AAGGGATTCTGTGGAATACGTTTTATCGTTTATACTGAGATTTAGTCGCTGGTGATGTTTGAAGAAAGATGCGACGACGATTCTTGAAATCGCATTGGGGGGGGGGGACGAGACAGGTTTTAGGGTTATTGTGTGTAAATGATGATATTTTCTAAACGGATTGACTAATTTCAGTAATTTTTATTCATCAAACAGTACCTTGTGAAATTGGCTTTCCAGTCATTATTATTTTGGGTGCTGCATATTTTGTTTAAATATGAAATATAATGTTTTGGGGTTTGGTTCCGCATTTTTTTACTCACCCTGTAAGATTATTAAAAACAATAATTCAGTAACATAAGAAGTGCAAACACTTACCAGACTCAGTAGTGTTGAAGAAATCCTTGAGTAGCTGCGACGTTGAACCACATCAGCTTTATCAGCCTGCCATGCATGATAGCGTCCGAGGGTTACAGGAAAATTGATGAACGGATGCCCGTGAAAACCCTATAGCTAGCAAAGGCAAAACGATCAAACGGTCTTTTTAAAAGGTGTTGTTTAAACAATTTTTAACAATGTTCATTGCTTCCTTATTCAAGGCCACTATCCTATATCACTTCTCCAATAAAGGGCCATACAGAAGGTTAACACCTTGAGGCCATTTCTTTTTACAATTAGCATGTTGTTTACAAGGAAGAAAGTGAGCATTTATCATGTCTAAAAAAACATCGGAAAGTCGAAAGACGCCAGTATACAAATATAACAATTAACATGTTTAATTTGAGGATGGACAGTCGATATTAGCTCCAACAAGTTTTGGAAGTTGATAATTTAGTTCCCAAGGCGAAATTAAAGGGGCACTGCGTCCTGAAAACCACGAAATGTGCATGTTTCTGGTTCTGGTTGAGTCAGTAAAATTCACTCATGAATATCACACTAACTTCTGACCTTATGTGTAGATGACCTTAGTAAATAGCCTTACATGTAATTGTCCATGTAGTGCTTGGATGCCCTATCCTTGAATGCAAGTAGTGTCCTAGAGTTGACGACGTTTGCTGGCAACTTTTTCCATCCTGTAATTGTTCTCGGGAAGGAAGAGTTCCAGAAGGCTTCCTTGGTTGTATGTCGTTTGTAGGATTTTTGTTGGTGCCCCTGGTATTTCTTGTGTTTCAGTTGAGGTGATCTGCTCATGAGATGTAAACCAGCTCATGATTGATTTTGTAGAGCACTGATAGCCTTTGTATCTTCCTTTGCTCTTCCATGTCTCCCCACTTCATGTGCTCCAGGATTCCAGTGACTGTTCCCTCTTCCTATACTGTATTTTTTTTTTTGTGCAGAATCTTGTTGCATATTTTTGGACTCTGTCTAGTGTTACGGTATATTACACTCAGTGTGTGTCCCACACAGTCACTGCATACTCCAACGATAGGGTATGCCATGGATTTCACTTCTTCTGGGCAGCTCCACATATTCCGCCTGATGACTCCGAGAAATTTCTGGGATTTGGCTGCAGTGAGCTGTGTTCGATGTGAGTTGGTCTCCACAAAAGGTGTAGGGATCTCTTTGGAGGGTTCCGGTAAGCAAATGTGATAGTACAGCACTTCGATGGATTAAAGTTCATGAGCCATTCATTCTGCCATGATTCGAGCAACTTGAAATTGTTTTGTAGAGTTGAGGTGTCCTTGTCAGGTGATATTTGTCGGTATACTAGGCAATCGTCAGCGAATAGTCTCACTTGTGAAGTCAACTTGCTCGGCAGGTAAAGTCAGCATAGTGGTCCAAGCACTGCTCCTTGCGGAACTCTTGATGTGGAAGAAGTCCGAGAGCCCATCGAGGTTTAATTAGAATATCGCGCACAAAAGGTTTGATGGTGGCAGCGAGTAGGTGGGGGTGTCCAACCGTCAAAACCGTCACTCTTAAGTGACACACCCCGTGCGTTTCGGAGGGGCACCACCTAAAGACCCCCCCCCCCCCCAAAAAAAGACTTTTAATTAGAATATCGCGCACAAGCACGGTTCCAAAGCGAAAAGATAGTTTTCGAATAATTTATCAATAACCAATAACTTAAGGATGAGAAATCCCGTGTGCATCCATGTTTAAGAATGGCCTAATTAGCACTAATTATTTACTGTTAATTAAACTTTTGAGCACAAGAGCGAAACCTTCACTATAAGCTGATTGTGACTATAATGCAAGATCCACAACTTAAGAATAGCTTTTCCCGTGCATTTTGTGCTTAAGAACGAGTTAAAGTTCAATAATTAGCCGCCTTCTAAGGTGCTTTTTGTTTTATGTGTTTAAACATTGAGCACAACGATCATTCCAACACCAAACGGTAGTGTACGAGTCAGCGTTTGCAGAATGTCAAGTTAAGAATAAAAAAACTCGTGCAAAATCTGCCAACGGCTTTATTTACCGCGAAATAACGCAAAACCGTAGCCCGGTTCATACTTCATGCGAAAGCGAATGCGAAGCGAATTCGACGTCATAAAACATTCGCTGCGAAATTCGCCCGAGTTGAAATATGTTCAACTTTTACGAATTCGCAGTGCGAATACTTGCCACGACGTCACAAGTCGCGTTCGCTTTCGCGCAGAGTATGAATCGGGCTTAACTCTTTTTTTGTGATATGACGTAATAGCATTGAGGCATACGTATCAGTTTGCAAAACAGCCACCAAGAATCGCGAAATACCACGACAGTAATTTTAAAAATAAACACGTACCGTACACATGTACATGTACTGTAAAATAACAGAGTGTTACACAGTTTTGGAAGTACAACGCATTATTTGTGAATTATTCATTCTTTTTCAAAAACTTCTAAACCCCCAGAAACACTCCCACTTCCTGATTTCACGGTATTGTAGAGGTTCCGATTTATGCATAATTATGTATAGGCCTCATTAGTACTTTTTTGGTATCAATCATTTAATTCATAAACAAATAATTATACATATACAGGTTTTCCCCTTCCTCCACTTAAAAGTACACATTCATAACAGTCCCATGGTCTATTTCGATCAAAATCAAAGAATGTCTTGAATCAAGAATCACTCTATAGGCCCTATATGAACCATTATACACATGAATGTATTGATCTGCTAATATATGAAATATTGCGGTGGGTTTTTTTACTTTCTTTTTTAAGAAACTGTGCGCCTTTGGTTGGAAAAGTTTAACACTCCATGGACAGCTGTAAAAAATGTGTTACTTTAATTAAACATGCGTATGACTTCCGTTAGTTGGGATCTGTGTTTTCCGGATGAGTGGAAAAACATGCCCGTTTAGAACAGCGCCAAACTCGTCCCCAGTGCTTACTTTATTTCCAACCGCGTTTCCAATAGTAAACCCTGGATAGGAAACTGTCTTCCTGTATCCTGATTGGATACCGCAATTGGCTAGTAATGGATTTTTATCGCGTACTTGGTGCTATATATTCACAACGTGCAGTACGTGTTTTCGCGATCATCCGTCCACGCCTTCTCGAAAATACTAATTTCCTTTCCAATTTGCTCATATTAATTTGAAATATGATACTGCATGTTGTCTCGATAAGATCGTAACAGTTTGATTTCAAAAATCGTGTTTTCGTAACTCACGCCGTGCTCGCGCTGCTACGAATTGACTCTGTTTTTACCCCAGACACCGCATACAAAAACAAACGCTAATGTGTAACGCATATCCAGGCATCAGACTGTTCCTCATTTGCATACGTGTGCAAAAATCTTGCACATGCAAATGATCCAATACCAGGGTGAGAGAGCAGGTAGTGGTGGGCGCGTACTGCTCGACACCCTGGGTACGAGGTTGGAACAGCGCTTCTTTGGTGTGTCCAATTCAATAGCAGTTTTTAAAGGGGAAAATCATCGATCCCGGCCATTTTGTATCATCCTTTTTTTATGCCGAAAAGGACTCGCATCAAACTGGGGAGAAAATCCAAATGGCCCTTAGGATCCCCGGCATACTAAAGTGTTCGCCATATCATACATCCTAAATCTTTTGCTTGCTTTCAGGCCTTCTTCGTAATGTATCTCTCTTTAATAATTCAGGTTCCACCATGAGTGAGTCTGCTTTACAGTCCATTCATGTATCAGGTAGGCTTTGATACATCGTCAAAAAATATAATTACCATGAGAATTGACTAACTGGGCCATATTAACGCGGACATTTATTTCTTAATAACGTGATAGGTTGCATTATTGCGTAATTCGCAAAATCATGACTATCTCGAATATTTGGGCCGGCATAATATTAATGCATAATATCGTATATTACACTATGTTACATTGCAGTGGTTTTGCAATGCAGTACGTGGGTAGCGATGCTTTGGTGTACATTGCGTAATACTTTTTAAGCCGTGCAGAAATCGGCAATTAACTTGCACAGGAATTTTTATTCGTAGGTTGAAATTCTGCAAAAGCAGACTCATTCATGACTGTTTGGTGTTGGAATGATCGTTCTAATGAACTTAGACATAAAAACAAATTAGGCGGTGTCCCCTCCCAGACGCACAGGTACGACACTTAAGAATTGCGGTTTTGAAGGTTGGACACCCCACCTACTAGCTGCTGCCGCCATTAAACCTTTTGTGAGAGACCTCAATGGGCATTATATGGGTAAAATACGAACAAGGAAATATTTGAGAGGATTTCCAACCAAGAGGATAACACAGAAACGGCCACTATTACGAGCAGGAATTTGAAATCCCCTAACAGACGCAAAATGCTTTGAATGTTGTAATTCCAGGTCATTATAGCAAAAGGGATTTGATTTCGCATCAACGCTGTTTCTTTCAACGGCCTCATAATGTACAATCTCCGTAAAAGTGGGATGCAGAACAATGACTGAAGTGTATAATGCCAACCTTTGGAAATTGCCCAACTATAGGCCTATTGGATTGAAGAAAAAAAAACTACTGTCTGTTGCAGCCGATTTTTTGTTTGTTTACGCCATTTGCCCCTTACTGTTTAAAAATATGGCCAACTCCCAGCAATGGCGAAATTCTTGAATTATTTTATTTTCACTTGGGTGAGCAGCTCTATGGGTGAGCTGGCCTCTGAGTACTTTTTTCCCCGGTCGTCAGAGAGCATTGCCATAAAAAAATGTTGATATTTACCCACTGACTGCATGAAGACCATGATTTTGGAAATGTCGGAGTTGTGAAGTGAAGCTTGAAGAAACTGAAGATCGGAAGCCTGCGTCTTCATCTTGTCTCTCAACATTTCTGACATCTTCATGATTTCCTTCCGACGCGGATACAGTCAAAGGTGTTGTATTTACAACGAAGCGGCGGGTAAGAAATTTGAGAGCGCCTGCCACGTGCTTCTGGAAAAGATGTAAACGAGCCGACCGTCGCATCAGCAGGGCTGCACCACCATTCCTTGCAATTGGCATAAAATAATCATATGGCCATTGCAAATTGGCATGAATTGGATATTTGTACATTCCACACGCACAAAGATGGAAATGTGGTCCACATTGTAATGTTTTGTAAAAGTGGATACACACAACAAAACGTATGAACCGCGGCCCGCTGGTCCTGTCAAAGGCGCCTTTGAAAACTTAAATAACTTGGGGCGCCTCACGCGGATAGAGCGCCCCCAAGAGTCTACCGGCGTTCAAGAGTTTTTTGTAATTACATAAAAAGCAAAGTAGCAAACGTGCCCTCCAGAATGATTCAGCTGATATATGTAAATCATTAATTATTGTGTTTAATCGTAATAATTGTTTGTAACGTGTAAATAGAAATTTGCTTAAATACGTAGTTAGAACTTGGAAGACCCTCGCAATCACATGCTGATCCTTAGCTTGAAACTTCAATCATGAATGAAAGCAAAGATTTATTCCGCAAAGTCTAACGTTTCTGTGTACGCCGTACAATTCGTACTGGACTGGGCATGGTTGGACGCTCGGTGTGTGAAACTTGTTGAAAAGTTGCATCACCCACCATGCCCATTCATCTGCGTTGAAGAATCTGCATTTTCATGCTTATATTTTTTTGGCGTGTGTAATTTAATTTTTCAGGAAAGAATATATTATCCACTTAAGTTTGTCACCGTTTGTCTTGCATGTCATGTTTGTGCACTCTTAATCCCTAGGACTGGACCAGTTTTCATCATGACTTTCATGGCTTTGCGTGTAGGTCTCAACATTTTCCAAAAGAGGCGCCCTGCAATTTCCTCTCAAAGGTTGTGTTGTAAATTTGGGAAAGCTGTTGGTACTACATTTACTAGGACAAGATTTAATTTGGTAAAGGTAGGTGTATTAATGTGATTGAATTGACCCATGCATTGATTGATTAATTGATTTCTTGCATGATTTAAAATGTTAACTTAAATTACCATTACAGTGCAGGAGGAAAAAGCAACAATTTTATTTCAAACACACATCACACATACATTTGTGTAGTAGGCCTACTTTAAAATGTTTAATCCGCCCTTCCAAACTCCCTCTTTCCCCCTCACCTTTATTAAATTAGAGGCGTCTGAATTTTTTTTTTTTTTTTAACAGGAGTTCAGTGCTCGGTGTCACAGCACTGGCCCTGTCCCTGGCCCCACCGGTGCCAAAGTCAATCAATCCAGATGGCGGTACGTACGACGGACATTGGCTGGAATCATTCTTCTTGTGCCCGTCGCTGGTTTAGGGACCTATGCTATGCTGGACAGCACTAGCAGGAGAAAAGTCTACGTGACTGGTCAAGGTTTCGTTAGGTTTTTCAGGTTTGTAATTTTCTTGAAATATCATTGCAAGTATATTGGGTCGGGGGGTGGGCGGGGCACACAAGCTCCCTGAGCTAGCTCCCTGACACTAGACCATTTTCATTACATTTTTTAGTTTGCAACCAGATCAGTAAACTCCTCTGAAATCTCAACAGTTAGGAATGAGTTTTAAGCACATGTGACAAACGGGGGTATTAGAGTAGTGACTTGTAAATTACAAGTCACTACTCTAATGTAATGCAGATTTAACCCTGTTCATATGTATGGTTATGTGTACCTTATCAAGTGAGCATGTTTACATCTAAGGTTATTGTAAACTGTACACAAGTTGTGAAATCTAATTCAGTAAATTGTGACAAAAATCCCATGTATTTGGTTGACTTCTGCGGACTCGATTAGCCAGGTACACAGCATTACCTGAATTGGGTCCCCTTAGCGTTTCATATAGTGTCAAGCTGGAGCTTCATATAGCTCCGGCTGTAGTGATGCGCTTTTTTTCACTCAATATTTCCAACTCTCTGTTTTGTTGTGTTTCAATACAGGACACTCTACATTGGCACGTACATCTCACTGGACTACAAATGGAGCCTTTGGAACCTGGACGAAGGATCTGAGGAATACAAACAGGCTTTCCAGACCTGCAACGAGCGAACGGGAGACATGATTCTCAACGGGTGTCTTAAAAACAGAGGCTTGTACATCAAGCTGGGGCAAGTACTCGTCACGGCAAACTACGTGCTTCCCAAGGAGATCTTGATGAAGTTGTCGGTGCTGCACGACAAGGCGCTGTCCCGGGATTACAAAGAGGTAATAAAGGATAAATTTGGTAGTAGTAGTCGCTGTAATCTGTTGCTTGCAGTAGTTTGGAAATTTACATCTACAAATCAGAGTTGTACATTTTTTTATGCTACACCTATTACAACTTTGAAGATCCAGCAAAAATCCATTATGAGGTTATTGAGAATTCTGTACAATTGAGGAAGGAAGAGCCCAGCCGCAAGCACTAAACGTGCAGCCTGATGATGCCTCTCTTGTGAGTTTAAGCACAAGATTCTCGTGAAGATGGTCACTCTCCTGAAGACGGTCAGAGCATACTGACCGGAACGTCGATTTTATACCTCTGGTTCTTTTTAGAACCATTCTCTTAGTTAAGAAATTATTCGCACATGGTGTTTCCGCAAACCTTTCATTATTTAGTATCTCCACCATGCAAAGCCTCAAATCTTACTTAAGATTCTCATGATTTGTTTTACAGTTAGACCAGTTATTTCGAGAGGATTTCAAGTGCAAGCCAGATGAGATGTTCAAGGAGTTTGACTCTAAACCCATTGCCGCTGCAAGTCTGGCACAGGTTCACCGGGCAGTCACCCATGATGATCAAGAAGTGGCTGTCAAGGTGAGTTTGCCTCCCATCCCCTCCCAACAGCTCTCACCTGGTTTATCCTGATTTTGAAGGATTCGGTACTGCGTGGCCCAGGAACTATAAGTCTCCAGTTTTGTTGATGGTCATTGAAATTTGCTGTCGTTCACTGGCTGGAGCTGGATTTCAGAGTAAATGCCTGCTGGATTAACAAATATAATGAATCAAATTAGGTGTTGCCCTTCACCGACTTCAAACACTGTACACTCAGTGTGTTACCTCCCGAGTGAAAGTTGGAAAAAATCACTCGGGTGGGACTTGAACCCACAACCTCCTGCTTTCTAGTGCAGATGTCTTACCACTCAAACACCGAGCTAATGGGATCGGTTGGCTGGTTCGAATCTGATGTACATAGCAGCGGGTACCGCATAAACTAATATAAGATGGAATTTTGCATCGGGTGAACTAATTCATATTAGGTTTTGCCCTTCACCGACATTTATAATGAAATAGATAATAGTAGAGTGCAAGAAAAACTGGACACATTACATTAAAATACTGTGAACAAATTTAAGGGAACTTTGACGGAGACAATTTGTATTAGGTGTCACCAGATGGAAAACCTACACAAACATTGCTGGGGTTTTTTTTTCAGGTCCAGTACATCAACCTGAGAGACCAGTACCATGGGGACTTCAGGACACTGCAGATAATGCTGACCTTAATTCACTGGATGCACCCAGGTTCAATCAACTACAATGAAATTCTAAGTGTGAGTACTGGGATGTTCCACATGCTTCTAGAATGAAAACTGCAATTAAAGTGACTATCAACAAATGATACAGGCCTAAACGCTAGGGGGAGGGGCTATAACCCTAACCCCAACTCGACGATGAGTTTCACTTGTTGCAACATTTTTATATATATACTCATAACGGTCTCACCAATAGCCTTGTGATGCACACAATGATGTAAAGTGAAATTTAGAAATGAAGAAATATAATTTAGGCCTAATTTGAAATTCAGCAGTAAAATGTTGAATTTACAAAACTCTCAGTGCAATGTTCATCCTATGTGAACCACACATCATTCGGTATGTAATAAGCATGCAACTTACAAGACCCTGTTAAGCACTTCATGATACACACTATGTGTTCACAATGTTGCGTGTATATATATGCAAAAAGTTCCACTTGGGGGTTTTGACAAACTCCCAGTCTCGGGTCAGGGAATGGGCATTTGATATGTATGTAATTATTCCTTATAGCCCTTAGAATTAAACAGATACCTTAGTTTTGTTATTGTAATTCTGTGAATTCTCATCAAGGGGTTTTCTCAAACATTTCCCTATGAAACTGACTGAGACAGGCACCTCGAGGATTGCTGTTTTTACAAAGGATCTTTACAACTCTTGATATGAGAAAGCATACTTAATAGTCAGTATCCCCCTAAATAAAAATAAGCAGACTTGTCTTAACTTAAAGTGGTTTACATTCACAACCTCTGTTGCACAGAAATACTTCTTGTTTAATACCTAGAGTTTTGTAAACAATGCAGGCTGTAATTTTTTTTTTTTACTAATGTGATAAAAGTTGGCATATTAGCACTGTTGCTTGTATGCTTTAGCTACAGTGGGCAGTTTCTATGTCTTTTTTTAATAACATTCTGTATTATAAACACATTTCTTCGTTTTTACCACAGGATATGGAGGAGCCACTCGCTAAGGAGTTGGATTTTGAAAATGAGGGACGCAACTCGGAGAGGTGTGCTGAAAATCTACAACATCTGAAATACATCTACGTACCTAAAGTACACTGGAATTTAACAAGCAAGGTATGTATACATGAAGGCATAAAAAAAATACAGAAAACTATCTGTCCTAGCCGAATCTTGATTTGGTCAGTTGAAGTGCTTCTGTCGTGACTACAATAATCTTCCTTTATGGAACAAATTTTAACAAATGATATGCTCAGGGCCCCGTGGGATCGGTTTCCACATTATAATGTGAACGAGCTTACCCTAACCGAACTCAACCCATCAAAGTTCGACAGCAGGTTTTGTTTGAATCCGTTGGGATAGGTACAGTACCCCTAAACTGATGGTCTTTTACACTGGGGTTGGCATACCTCCAGAAACTAAGTCCAACAGTGCGTGTGTACAATTTCCCATGTGGGTGTTGGAATTTGCCAGAATGGGTATGGTTCCTAGTAAATTAGGCTGGGGAGTTAGGGTTAAAGATCAGAAATTAAGAAATTAATAAATTGGTTCTTAACCTTTTGTTCCTTGTGTGGCAATTCTTTAGCGGGTTTTAACAATGGAGTATATCCACGGCTGCAAAGTGACCAATGTGGAGCAGATTGAGGAGATGGGAATCGCTCCTGCAGATGTGAGTACAGAAAACAATTAGTCTTACACCTGTTTCAGACCAGCCCCCCATAGAATGGGAAAAAATGGTTATTTGAAAGAACAGTTTAAAAAAAAAAAAATTAAAATCTGAAGAAAACCATAAAAGTAGGATCTGGCAATCGGATCCACATATTGCACCAGGCGGGATCAGAACCAGGATCACAGCGGTGCAAGATGAGGACAATGCTAAAACAGCAAAGAAAAAAATCCATCCCACATTTGATATCCTAAAATAAACTAATATTACACACACGATATTTTTGGAGGAGACCTAGTGCAGTCGGTAGAGAGTTTGCAGTTGACCCTTTAGTCACTGTAGGGCCTAAAACCGCCCTGCCTATTACTCCTTTTAGTGCCAGAAACTGCCTGAGTTCTCTCTGCTTTTATTGATTCCTCAGTGATTAAACACAGTGCAGTATAGTGTTAAGGTACAGTTGCTAATGTGTTATGCCATACAAGTTGCATGGAGGGATACCTTTTCAGGCATTCAAACATGTGTTTTAACGATTTAAAGGGAATATACATCATTTGCTTTTACTGAAATTTTCAGAAATGGATGGAATTGGGGGGTTGGAAATATATAGCAAATATAGTTACACTGACTTTTTTGAGGTTTTGGGTTCGAAAATGCTATAAAAACCAAGAAAAACAATCATTTCCTGTAGTCTGGTTCCCTGACTCCATATAAGAAGAAGACAGTTTTTTTAACCTTTTTGTTTCTTTCCTCACTCATTAGGTTGATGCTAAATTGATTGAAGCATTTGGTGAGCAGATCTTCCGCTCTGGATTTGTGCACGCAGATCCCCATCCTGGAAACAGTAAGATTACTTTTAGAAGTGTAAATCATATATCAAACCAAATATTCTGAAAAGTTCAGATACAATGATGTCTAAGAAAATTAAGTTATGCTATGCTGAATAGACCATACTTCATCTATATTGCTAGCTTATTAATGGTGCATTAAAGATAAATTTTGGAGCCTGCTCAGCCCGTTTGATTAACAGAGAACATACTTTTTTTCACAGTTTTTGTGCGGAAGGCCAAAGATGGTAAAGCTGAGCTTGTGCTTTTGGACCACGGATTGTACGAAGAGTTGCCAGCAAAGTAAGCATCAGAATGTGTACTGATAAATAAAAATGCCAAGGAATGTGCCTTTGGTTCCTGCAAAGTACCGGTGGCATTTAGAGGATTTAAGAGGATCCCTTGCAACAGATTAAATTGGCTAAAGGGAGTTAGTTTTAATGATCTTAAGCATGAATAGTTTGTACCAAGCAAACTTGAAGAGGTCGGCATAGTGATACTTTCCGCACCTGCCACCACTGTAACCCGGGTTCGAATCCCAGCCAGCTGAACACTCGGATCAGCTTTTCAGTACCTCCTCGATTCTATGGAGTCAGATTGATATACCCACCTCATCTGCCAACTCTACGACCCCATCTCCCACCGAGGCCCCCATGTGGACTGGGTTTTCAGTCCCTGCCTGAATTTGTGGGCTCCCTTAAATATATTTCTCAAGGTTTTTTCTCCTCCATTTAGCAAAAGGTGACATGTGTGTTTGCCTCCCCACAGGGTGCGACTAGCATTGGGCAGATTCTGGCGATCCATTATCTTGAAGGATGAACCAACCATGAAACAGAGCGCAGCTGAGATGGGGATCAAAGGTAACAGGCAAACCAAAATGATCCTACTAGTCACCGATTTTATGGTTTATTTGTTCTGTTCAGGGTGACGTAAAACAAAGGATGTGTGGTTAGAAAGATGTTTCAAGAGAGCATAAAAATACTTCAAAATCAGCTACACTAGGGATCATTGTATAAACAGAGGCCCCCAGTAATGGCGGCAGCATTGTGGGAGCTATTGTTCAGAGTAACCATCACTGATCATGAGCAGTTACTTAAATGTTGGCATAGTGGGCCTTTTTGGCAATACGTGTAGTCTGTGGTCTTCAACTCAACTTGGTTTCAAGTATTTTACATTTAATATCAAACACCTTGACCATAATATTCACTTTGATACGACCTCAAATTCCACACACTGGCTTTTTGGGGGAGAACACAATCAAGCCGATCATTAAAAATTCCAACTCTCGCTGTCGTTCTAATACAGAGGCACCGACTGAACTTGGTTTGTAGGATTTTACATTTAACCCCTAACTTTTTTACCCCCAACCCTAACACATCAACCCTCATATGACTTACGATTCACAGAGTACCTGCTCTTTGGGATGATGGTCACCCAGCGGCCAATCAACATGAAGGCACGCCGGGGACTGCACATGACCTTCATCGTGCCACCTGAGGAGCTGCGCAAGATGGCCAAGGAGTTCCACAAGATGAACGAGAGCCAGACAGAGCTGATGATGGCCAGAATGAACGACTTTATCTTGTCACTGCCCAAGTCACTGTATTTAATATTTCGGTAAAGGATGCTCACTTTAACGCCTGTTGTTCAAAGTGTTTACACGGCTTTACAGCCAAGATGCCCTGAAGGGTGGGATTCATGTTTTCAATAAAAAAAAACCCAGAACGACAGACTTTCAATAAAAAACAACAGACTGGATTAGAGTCGGCTGTATTAGGAAGATATTCGAAAGCATATTCAGGAACACTATAAATCTATATCTGAATAATAGCTTTGGTATGGGCCAATACACTATTTGACAACTTTTTTGTTTTCCTTCAGAAATATGAACACGGTACGCTCCATTGACCGGACCTTTGGCCAGCCAGTCAACTACCTCGTGACAATGGGCAGATGGTAAGTGCACAGTTGGAGGTTTGGTATGGCTCAGGTTCGAATCTCATCTGAACCCATACGTATTTGGGGTTGTCATCAGTTGTCTCCTAGGCTTCATCCCAATATACAAATAACACAAAATTAACTTTATGTCATTGCATTTCACAAAGCATAATCAAATATTGGTACTTTATATTGGTTTAATGTGCTTATTAGGGCGTTCTTTTCTATTTCTTTGGTTCTGATTTCCAACCGACCCTATTTTGGGCTCACGACCCACGAAACAACAACAACATTTATTACCGCTAACCCTGTCTGGAACCTCATTAAAAAAATTTTTTAAATGTAACAAAATAATGAATACAATGATCAGGCAATCAGGTTTTGTCTTATTTGAAAAGCTTTTGAAAATGAATGCAATAGTTCTTTCGTGAAGTGAACAAAATCCCAGGCACGCTGGCATAGCAACCAGTGGAATTCCACAAGATAACAGGACGCTGCTTCTCATCGTGCCTATAGTATACCTTAAACCCCTTAACGCTGGCTGACGGCTCTAGATGCAGGCTTGATAATGGCCGAGGGACTGCTATTGCCCTATTCCTGCTGCATAGCACATCCATTCATAGACAACGGCTGAATGCCTGCGTGTACACATTCCACCCAATGTGCAGCTGTCCGTGGCCGAACAATACCAGTGTCAAGGGGTTAATACTGGTATGTGATAATGTCATGGCTGCCAATACAGCCAAAACATTGCACGTTAGTGAGCTATAGTGCAGATAAATGGTATTAAAAGTCCACTACATCTTGCTAATATGGTTTCATTATTTTATTCAGTAATCAACTCATGATAAACTCATTGCAAAAAAGCAAAACTAGAGACAAGACGCACTTGGCATCATTTACTTTAACCACCTTCACAGTTGCTACTGCATTTTTTTTTCCAGGTTTTTATTATTTTCAACTGATGACCGACCCTACTTCATCAAAGGCAAACAAAATATGAGAACCCTAGAAATAAGGACACCCTGATAAGAGTTTACAGGTTTAAGACTAACTCCTTGACTTGAAAAGGGATGTGCTGCTGTTTCTTTGGGAAAAGAAATCTGAGAAAATATTCCCATTTCGTTGCAGTTATAAAGTATGTTCACTTAATAATATAAATATGGGAGTCACTGTTTTTGAAGATTACAGTTTTTTAATTTTGGCACCGGAGATGTATCTTTAAGGCTGGATGGTTCATGGTGGGAAGAAAAATAATCACAGATGCTGTGGGAACTAACTGTTTTTGAAAATTACAGTTTTGTAACTTTGGCACCAGAGATGTATCTTAAAAGCTGGATGGTCAATGGTGTGAAGAAAAATAACAGATGCTTAAAAGATTTACTTTTAATTGTTGACTTGTTATACTTACAGTGCTGCAGGTTCCATGTTTTTTGAGTCGGAAGACAGAACCTTTGCTGGAAGAGTACGGGCATCATGGCATCAATTCATCTATGATTTTACTCTCAGGTAGGTCAGAACACTTTGAGTTTGCAAAGTGGAGTGCTGATCAACTAAAGTTGAATTAATAGGTTAAGGTATGGAGTAAGTTCAACTCACTGTGTTGCAAGTAAACTCTGCAATCAAAGGCTTGCATCCCATCGGGTCGGGGGGGGGGGGATATTGTAGTGTTCTTGAGCAGTTTCCTTTATCACAAGGAGCTGAACTTAGTGCGCATGCGCTACTTCTGCAGGCTTGATGCAGAAGATGAAGTCTTGCTTCATCTTCTATACTTACTGGATGAAATTTAAGGGTTTTGTTCGGAAGAAGTCTTGCTTCATCTTCTATACTTACTGGATGAAATTTAAGGGTTTTGTTCGGAACTACAGTGAAATGTTTTTAATGCGCGCTGCATATATTAGGCTAAACAGGTGTGTGCATTACACAACCGATTCAAATTTCCCTAGACGTTGTTCCTAACAGGTTCCTGGGTGATATTGGTTTGTCGTGATAACATCCTCTCGCGTTGGCTGGTTATCACGTATCAAACCATAACAACGTCAAGCTCCTAGACTAGTGAATGCACTTTTTGGTCGTAAAAGAGCACTTCAACACTGCAATTTACCTAATTTATCACAACTGTTGTATTGTAGTGCCATAGAGTGTAGCAGGTATAGCTCAGACAGAATAAGGGTAACGAGTCAAATATAGCCCTGTCCATGATATACTTTTAGTTGAGAAATTATTCGCACATGGTGTTTTACCGCAAACCTTTCATTCATTAGTATCTCCACCATGCAAAGCCTAAAACCTTACTTATGATATACTTTTGATTGCCTTCGTGTTCTATTTCATGCAGATCTGATCAAGTCCTGAATTCCCTGACGAGTTTTGTCCTTCGTTTGATGTTCCGTTTCGGCTGGACATTTCCTTCAAAACCGACGGGCAGTGGACATGACATTATGGACAGTTTGCGACCGTTGTGATTCAGAGAACCACGTAATACCCGCACATTTTAGAAACAATTGTTGTAGCGGGCCCCAATAACTTTGGTTTTACTTATATAAATTATGTGTGTGTATATTAGATCCTTCATGAAGTATATTTAGAAACCTGAGGAACTTGTTTGTAGAGAAAGTTTACTATACAATTGTAGCCTGCTGTGACAGGGTCCATGGTGTTTTGTACACCCGAGGCACCCAAGGCGAAGCCGAGGGTGCCATTTGCCCCCGAAGGTGTACAAAACCAATGGACCCCGTCACAGCAGGCAACAATTGTTTTGTTTTACCACAGTTATAGATTACATTTACAGCTGTCTAATTCTGTCACTGGTAATTTCTGAAACTGGTCTGTTCCTGTCGCGGTACTTGGTGAACTATTCGCACAGATTTGTCCGTATTTTTCTTTGTGCTGATGCTGTCCTGTTCAAAAATCAAATTTCTGATCTTGTCTTTGGGACAATAGAGAAACTTCTTCTTTTGGAGGCGACCTGTTGTCATCTGCCAACATCATTACGGCAAAATTGGCACGGTTAAAATAAGCAGACAAACAGTGACAACGATGTAAATAACAAGCGCGGTCATAGTAGAAATAGTGCTCCACTGTCCCTCATGGCACATCTGACAGGAACATACATCAATTTACGTATTACCAGCGTAGCTACAACCTCGTTCCCGAGGTCACACTAGTATAATACAACTCAGTGAAAACGACACTTTCAAAAGCGGGAAAAATCCAAGGTATTATACCTATGGGGTACATCACTCATGTACCACAGCGTACAATGCCCATGCATTTTTGTGGCATGTCACATGATCCACTCTTGACCAATAAAAATTCACAATCTATTACCATGGCAAAACGAGGATAAATGTTGCCACTCTGGAACAGATGATGTTCAGTTTGTGTGCAATGATGTGCCTTCCTTTAAATGTGATCAGCGTATTCTATTGACATTTTGTGAAATATTTCTATAGTTATTCATGAAACATTTTGTTAATAGAAATAAAATGGAATGTAACAAAAAAAACCAAAATAATGTCAAATCAAAAAAGTAACTCAAACAAATGTATCAATGCATGCATTTCTTTATTGTTAGCTTTCAAAGAAAAAAAAGAAAACAAAAGCAAGTAATTAACCAATTGCCCTTCTTACTAAATTCACCCACATTGAGAATTTATTTTTTATTTTACATATCATTCTACAAATAATTTTTAAACACAACATAACACATCATTTTGAGTTTCTCCACAACCAGAAATGCGTGGGGCAGACTTTGATGTGTATTCGCACTTCAATGTTTCCATATCATCTAAATATTATCAATAAAAAATAAAACTTTGCTTGTGGCCAAAACAAGAAGAAAAAGAATAAAATGATTAAAAAATTGTGCGATTGGCCCATGCAAGACTGGTTGCGCCAAAATGATGTTGACCAACTTTTTAAATTTTGTAACGGAAAAATAAATAAATAGTTCGTTAACAAAAAAAACAAAGAATATAACTTCTTCAACCCTTTTCAAATGCTAATTTCCAACTCATGCAGTTAAGGTATGGAAACAAAATAAATCTTTTTCAACTATGCTGGGCTATGGAACAAAACTTTTCAAAAAGAATAAATGGTGTTAAATCAATCGGTCAAAATAAATACCAGCAAAGGTTTCATGCATGCATGCTCATGTGATATATGTTGTCTGTTTTGGGAAAATCGAAAGAAATCAAATTTAACACGAGCAACCAAAATAAAAGCAATGGTTAAAACCACAAACAAGAAACACTTATTTCTTCTATCCACTATAATTTTCTTAACTAGTTATATGTTCTTCAATTGCTATGTGATGTTTATCTACTTTAAAAACTACAACTACTGTCAAACGGTAACTAAAGCTGGCTTTTGAAGAAGTGCTCACCCCCGTTTTCCTTGTGAAAGGTTGAGGGGAATAGTCGGACAGAAATCTGTACGGTTACTTTTTCTCAGGGAGCGGAGTGGTTGTAACATTTTTTTTAAAACTCAGGAATCAAAACCAACTGTTAATGCACTTGCAGCAAAGAAAGGTGCAAAACTTGCATTCTCTGCTGTATCAGAATCACCAGAATTTATGTATTTTTGTACTTAATATTTAAACTAAAACATGTCAACCAAATCAAAAAAAGTGTAAACTAACCCAAACCGAGTTTTGTGACGTGTTCAAATTCGCATCTCCGTTCTATGTCCGATGCCCATGTAGCTGTAAGAAAAGTGAAAATAATAAAGACAACTTTCTTTTAGAAAAGTATGCATTTTATAAATAGTTATAGCTTATTTCTAACACAATTCTTTCAGTCTTCAGTTGAGGAATTTGGTGTGAAATTAAATTGCAATCCAATCCCAATATCCATACTCTTGTTTGATTTACATTTACTTTAATTTTTCTGAAAAACAAATAAATAGAAATTACATGTCTTGGTCCATTCGGTTGCCATGCTGTGTGACTGATATAAGTCAGTGGCAAGTATATTTGAACATGATATTTGACCCCTAGCCTTCCCCTCAGGTTTGCTTCAATTAATTACCAAGACCTAAAATCTAAGAATTCTCACCTGTTCCATGCTTATTGTCCAGTGATTTGGGGGATGCAACTGTAGCTCACTTCCAAGTATTCTTTCACTGTTTGACAAGGATCTCCAAAATCGAGCCCCCTGAGAATGCAAGAGGATGATGGGGCTCCGCAAAGCTCGACAGCCTTTTCCATTGCAGTAGGGTCCGAGTACTCCTCGCCTGCTTCAGCGCTGTCATCCAGGCAGTAACGATCGTTGGCGTGGCGGCCAAAGAAAGCACTCTTGATGGATACATACTCCCCTTGCTTGCAGACCAGATACAAGGAGCTGTCCTGGCAGACCCGCAGGTCGAAGGGCAGCGAGCGCGGCTCACCGTGCTCTATGGCTTTGTGGGTGCAAGCGAAGTTGACATAGACGTAGTTGAGGACGGCGTAGCAGGGCTCGCCGAAGGCTTGCACGGTAGCGGGATCCAGTTGACACTTGTCTCGGCCCTGGCACAGGTTGCGCAAGATTGCTCTGGCTTCTGCGGCATTGCAGTCAGCAGGGGGCTCACCCTCCAGGCAGACTTCGTCAACGCGGGGACCAAAGTTGGCATCTAGGACATCGATAAAGCCTTTCCCGCAGGTGATGGTAGTGCACTCCAGTTCTCTCTGGGACCGGAGCAAGACTTGTGGAACGGGTATAGCTATCAGGGAAAAAATTGCAGCAAATCAACATCCAAGGCTGATTATGGATATTTAGAAATTTAGCAGTTCCTCAAATTTTACTATTAAACATTTAAATGTTCATCTCGGCATATTTTTTTATGGCATGCTCAAATCAACACTCATTTACTACATGCGAATTCGCACATTTGTGACACTATGATTGATTTGTAATGAATTGCGAGGACTTCAGATGGCTTGATTCTAACTCTGGGGAAAAAATGCTGGGGGAGTTGGCATACCCTCGCAAGTGTTCAAATCTGTGTCGCGGAAGTAACCCTCGTCACATATGCACGCCGGGGCAGCGTCTCGTGCGCCGCAGACTTCGTGAGGCGGACACTGGAACTGCACACATTGGAGATCATGGGCGGCTGCGCAGGAACAGACTTTGGAGCAATCTGCGGTCATGAACGTTTCACCTTGCTGTAGACCAGAAGAGAAGTGTGACGGACAGTTAACACATTAGCATGTGAATTGGAAGTGCCTGAAGTTTACCACTTGCACTGGTACACTGTGGACATCGTTGCCAGGGTCCTGCTTTCCCACTTTAACCTTATCTCGGTTCAAGAGAAATTTCAACATATTCCTTCTGCTACTCCATGTTAAATTCATGTCTGTAGCTGCCATCGCAAGTGGCCCTTGGCCTAGTGATCAGCTAACCCTGCTTGCCATATTTTTATAATGTATTTCATATCACCCAAGCAGATTACTTCTTTCTCTTTAACTGAACATTTAACTCTTCACCTTGAGTGGCTTTAGACCTTGTCATCAGCAAATCTCTCCCTCTCACACCCCCCCCCCCAAAAAAAGAAATTCAACGATGCACAATAGATATCGCAGAATGCCCTGGTAAACCACTCACCCTGTAGTAGAAGCCGGTTTCATGGTCAACACATCCACACCTCTCCTCATCGATGCAGGTCTCGCCTTCCTTGATCATGCCTGTTGGGCAGACACAGTCCTCCCTGTCTGCCTGGTTGCAGGTGGAGCTGGCCGTGGGATTGGCACAGGTGGTGGGACAAGACGGACTCAAGGGGTTGTACACCATGTTCTTGGCCAAACAGTCAATCACTTTCAACAACAAAATGGAAAATGTGCCAAAATTAACCCTAACTAGTAAAGTAACATTAATCTCAACTAGAGAAATACCATTGACAAAACTAGTAAAATCACAACCCAAACCAGTAAAGTAACAATAACCTGAACTAGTATGGATCACTGACCCTGTACCAAGCTAACATTAACCCTAACTGGTAAAATAACAAGGACTAGTAAAGTCACATTAGCTGTAATTAGTTTAAAGGTTACAATAATCCCAACTTGTAAAGTAAATATAACCCTAACTGGTTTAGTGATGTTAACTCGCTGGTAATGTAACAATCAACCGATGTGGTTAAGTAAAATTGCTCGTATATAACTACTACATTTGCTGTCAAGCCAGTGCCTCATCTGGCCTGAGTATCTCTACTTTCCTTGACATGAATCAACTGGGAATGTTTTCTTTTCCCCTGGGGATGTCATGCCAAATCATCAAACAATCTCTCTGGCTAAGGACAGTATATTATCCATATGAAGTTTCTATGCCCAATTTTATTTTTAAACAGCACATTGAAGTAATAATGATACAGAAGTAATAATGATACAGTGTCTTGCATGCCAATATCAGTAGATAAAACATTGGTTTGTAAACTGAAAACTTATCATCATTAAAATCATAGCCTCTATGTAAAGACAGCTAGCTAGACCACAATCATATTCCAACAACGGAATATTTCCTATAAACAATTAGTCTTGCAGAAGAACTGGTGTTGTTTCTCGTTTTGTGGACTTACAGCAGAAGTCCTGTCGTCTCCAGTTGATGATGATACCCTGATCCCTGCATACTTCAGCGTAGGCCTGGTAGTCATCGCAGTGAGCCAGCCCGTCCGGCATGGTGCAAAGATCGATCACGCAACTCTTGAAATAGAAGGACGGGGATACGGCTTCGTGGCAGGATTGGAAAGGACCTGAACAAAGCAGTGATAACAAGAATTCAAAGTCTGATTGTTCAAACATGGAAAAGCATCAATGTGCACCCACGTACCCTTGGGCACCTACCCTTGGTTCTCATTGAAGTAAATCTGGGGTCTATCTTTGTTTTAGAGTTTTAATGGAGTCAATAATAGCCAAATCTTGGGCCACGTCAAACTTCACTTGAATAGCTTCCCATCTGGCTTGTTATTGACTTGTGACCGACTTGTGACGACTTATAATATAATATCTGAGTCTTATATAGCGTACGTATCTACCAACAATTAGGTACTCAAGGCGCTGGAAATTATATGTATTATTAAAGAAAGGTAAATAAAGTTTATGAGAAATATGAGACCCATTATGTAGCACCTTATAAGGGTTTATAAGGTACTGCGGCGCATATTGCAGCCACTGTCAGAAACACCGGGGCAAACCCCTTCTCTTAGCGATAAGTGTTACTGGGTTCTTCAACGTGCATTACACAACACACGGGACCTACGGCTTTACGTCCCATCTGAAGGACGAAGCAATAATGGTAAAGTGCCTTGCTCAAGAGCACAAGCACCATGTTCCCACGGTCAGGATTCGAACCCATGTACCACGGCACACGAGTCGAACACCGTAACCATTGGACCACAGCACCCCACAATGATGACTTGTGACTGACTTGATTATAACTTCTCTCTCCCAGCTTTCTAAGGTCAGACAACTATATTGTTACAGCTTTTATACTCAATTTGGACTCGAACCCATGACCTCTGGCTTACGAGAGCAGATATCTTAACCACTTGTCCATCTAGCTCTCCATGTCAAGCTGGCTAAGTCAAATCTGATGCAGCAGTGGTACTGCAATTAATGACTCTTGATGAAATTGTTTGCACTGTTGAGGTGTGAACATAAATGTATACGCGTCATATACATGTAAAAGTCAGGTTGGCGATTGTTGTGTTGTGTTGTGTTGTGTTGTATTTGTACATGTGTGTATAATCATTAGTAGTGTATGCAGGGCCCCAACTGAAACCAGTTTTAAACTGTTTGGGCACACCCTGGGTTTCTTTGGAATATCATTCCATGATTTCCCTCCCACTTCTAACACTAAACCTTGCTTCTTCATCTTCATTTCTTCTTCACCATTTCTTAACTATAACTCATTTGCTGTTTTGACGAACCCTTGATGACATTACTCGAAAGAAATTAAATAAAAATAAATAGCTTTCGTTTAAACGTCCATAAAAAGGAATTTGACAGGGCGTTTACCATCGTCACTGATGATGTTGTTGCAGATTTCCTGGGCTGCATCTTTCACTCCGGCATCACTGCATTCTTCAGGAAGCTCACAGTCCACACAGTCCTCACAACCACCACCAGCAACAAACCAGGACCGTCCAAAGATGGGAATATTGGTCTCATCCACTGGATCCAGCTATGAGACACAAAACAGATGGATTTAAAGGAACATTACTTGCTACAAAATGCATTTAAAACGAATCTCAATTGGAAAGAGCATTTAAAAGTAGGATATATGTCCACACAACCATCCTTTAAAAACAGGGCGTTTTTTGAGTTATTCTTGCAAGAACCATGCAAGAACGAATTACAGGGGTTGGAATTTTGACTCTCAAAAATCAAGCTGTTGAGTGCTAGTTGTGCATCCTGTCGCACAGCGCATCGCATTCTGAGGGAGAGCACGTCCTTTAATGAGTTAGAATCTCTCCAAGCCAGGGGCCTAAATAAATCTCTCGAAGCGGAAGACAGAGCCAAGGTTTTGGGGAGCAAGCTGTTGAGATATCTTTGTAGATTTACCGTTTCTCCAAAGCGAGTGAGGAAATCGTCATCAGGGTTGCCGTTGTATGTGCCGCACAAGCCCTCGGTGTGGCCGTAGTAGTCACCGGTCACGTCCACCTCCACCATGAACTTACCGTCCCAGAAAATAGTGACTCCAATGTTGGTTTCGATCACCTGTGTTTTTTTAGGGGGAAGGGGAAGGAAGGGTTGGATGGGGTCAAGAATGAGAACTAAATATAACTATTGCCGAGAACGGTAACTTAGGGTAACATTCTAATGGACTTGGTCGCAAATAAAAAAAAAAATTAAAAACACTTTAATATTCTCCCCTCCCCAGACTTTTCAATTACACTATTCTTGATTTGAAGAAATTGTTTTATGCAACTTTCGACAGTAAAACTCACGCTAGAAATGGTAGTCAGTCAAGGCATTTTAGGGAGACGCTGAAATGTGTCCGTAATGCCAAATGTCTTCCTACTGCCAAATTATTTACTACAAAAAAAGTCTCAATAGGTATTATTTCATATAGTTTATCAACTATTTTATGTTGTTTATCAACGACTCATGTGGTAATAGTCGTAGTCATTTACAGATTTTGAATGATTTCAACTGCCTAAGACTGATCAGCGAATTTATGTGCTCAGGCCAAAAATAAGTTCAAAACCGGTCACGAGCCACAAGGTTTGAATGATTTGTAAGCTGGTAATTAGCTGTTCTTGCTTAAGAGCAAATATTTCTTTGTGCTAAGATACTTTTTAAGTACTTAGCAGCGCTATGAAACGCGGCTCATTTGCGTACGTCATGGAGCTTCTATGTGTGGCAGGGCCAAGTTTTCACTTGTTAGTTTTACGTATTTTTAGCGTTTCAAGTAAAGGAGTAGCACCCCTTGAATAAATCCAACCTTTATAATAAACCCATTCCTTTTCTATTTTTGGTTTGAAATCTAGAACGTTTTCCCTTTTGTCTCAATTAGTTCAATTTTTCTCGCGACTTTTCCCTTCAAAGCTCCAGACTTTAGTTTAGTTGTATTAGTTTGTGCAAGTTCCTTACGGTGTGCTATTTTTCCAGGTTTTATATGCACAGAAAATTGCTAGGCCCAATAGCAAGTTCTCAGCCAACTTCACTACACACATAAATTTGCAAAGCAATTTCTTGTTCATTTTATTTATTTATTTATTTTTTTGGCTGAGCAGCTCGGTAAAGTCTTGGGCCCAGGTGGTTTAGATCAGCCCTGGGCAGTGTTGGGGGTTTAACGCAACAGATTGTCTTACCACATCGGGATAGTTCACGCTAATTTTCAGTTCCGGTGTGTCCACGCCCTCTGTTTTGATGCCGTCAACCAACGTTTGTCCTCCGTACTTCAGATTAATGGCCTAAGGAGTGAAAAAAAAAACCCAGAAAACTTATCAAAACCAAATTTGGCATACGCCTATTTTCTTTTACCTTTGCGCTCTCTCTCTCTCTCCCTCGTTGGAGAAATCATTTTAGAATGTGCCATTTTGAAATCCTTCAAATCTTAGGGGCATGAGATCCACTTTTAGATGAGAAATAATTTTCAAAACCACATTTCCAACATAAAATGAGGGTCAACAAAAGAAACCGAGAAGAACAGGATATGAACCTTTCACTTCCAGAAAACTATACCGGCGCGCCCCTTGAACAAACACATAGAAACTCTGAGATTGCCAAATGAAAGCTGCATGACTTTGTTGGCAGAGCTCTGATACAGTGTTTCAGAGGTAAAGGTTCAAATTCCCACTCAAGTCAATTTCGTTCTTCAGCCCACTCATTATAAGCTGACCAAGTCGGTGTCCCTTTGTTGTTTAATTTGATGATTTTTACATCCTTTAAAAAAAAATCGAAAAAAAAACGACTCGAAAAATCAAGAAAAAAACCACCACTCACTTTGCCATTGTAATTGAACTGGACTTGCACGGTCGATGACATGGATGGGTTGCGCCTTGCCGCTTCGTTGAAGACTATCACTTCAAAGGCCGGCACCTCGGCATCTGCGTTCTTGACCAGGGTGTACTTGCAGTGGCCCATGAAGCTGAACTTTTTGCCATCAAAGCTGATGTAGTGAGGATCACCGAGCGCTGTGCACCTGGACGTGCCTGGTATGTCACAGGAAAAATATCGAAACCAAAGCGTTACATCGAGCTCCAACACACGCAAGAAGCCAAAACTGAAGAAGTTAATGGAGGCCAACATGCATTTTGACAACCGATTGGTCAGAGTAGCATTTAGTGCACCACCTCAGTAATGACGTCTAATTGGGGTTGTTGAATTAATCTATGAAAAAATGTTGCAACCGGACACCGCTTCAGCGGTTGTGTACAAAGTCTATGGAGAGTCAAGACAAGTATTTCCTAATTAAATTGGAAATGTTTCTCAGTCCCAGATTCATGTCTTATGATCATTTTTGCAATGACTGACCTTCACTGAGATGAGTTATGAAGAAAACAGTCAGGTTGCAACATTTTTTCCTGAATCCATACTGTATGTCCTTCATGGGCCTGACATTCTGTAAAACATACTTCTGAAATTGATTCCAGCAACGTACTTCATAAACGGAACATATTTTGGAAAAATTCAGAGTGAAAGTGCCCTTTTCAATCAAAATACATTATTTTTTTTATTACTCGTTGATAGGGAAAGATCCACTAAGTTTACAGCTTTTACTATTTATATACAGCTAGGCAATGTACACGTACACTTAAATTACCACCAGCTGGAGGAAGCAAAACAATGCATAACCTCCAGGGCACACTTAAGGGTTAAGTCCAAAAATTCCTAAGCAATATTTTCTGCTGAGCAGCGTCATGAAATATAGACCCAGAACTGTTTGTGGGTCATTGGAGAACAAGCCGTACCAATATCGCAGTGGGTGCCGGTGAAACCTGGGTTGCACTTGCAGTTGTATTTGGGTTCGAGGCTGATGGCTTCACATTTTCCATTGTCGCCGCAGGGATTGGGTTCACATTTGTCCTCCTCCAACTCTCTCGGATCTGGAGCCTCGTCGCATCTGTAGTGAATCTACAGACAAAACAAATAGTAGTAATAATGTCCTCTGCACTGTAGGCAGGAGGTCGTGGGTTCGAGTCCCACTCAAGCAAGCTTGTGAATTTTTCTTGCAATCTCTCGCACAGCACCGAGTATACAGAGCTCATACCATTTCATCGGGAATGGGTAAACCCAATTTTGAATTGACGCTTCCCCATAAAACACTCCTTCAGGCCAGTTAATTCCCTCAGCGTGGAAGCAAACACCGACAGGGGGCATTTCAGAGTATTTTATGTAAAGTTACCAACTTGTCCAGTGCCTGGAATTCGTTATCAATTGTTGGTTGTGATTAATTTACTGGTGAAGCTTGAGCATTAATTTAAGACCATTATTTTATTTTAAAAAACGAGTGGCATTTTTGGGGGTCAAAACTTATCTTTTTTAATAGAGGTTGATGCCAATCAGAGAAGTTATCTTGTTAATCAATAGTTAGATCACAAGTAATAAGGGGGTGGACAATGAAAATGCAAGTCTTTTTTGACAATTATTGTTAAAGCTTGCCACTTGACTTATTTTTGACTTTCGTTAAAAAAAAAACAATGCCGGCCATGTTAGCATTAGAAATGAACAAGTGGAAAATGTCACTGAGTACAAGTATCTTGGAACAGCCATTGATAACAGGTTAAACTGGAACAAAAACACTCAGAGAATGTATGCCAAGGCAAACCAGAGGGCTTTATTTTCTCAGGAAGTTAAGCTCTTTTAATGTCGGTGTTTCAATTTTGCATCTATTTTACCAGAGTGTTGTCCAGTCAATCATTTCTTTTAGTTGTATTGTATGGTGCAATAACTTAACTGTAAATAACCGGGAAAAAAGGGAGCGGATCACAAAAACTGCAAGAAAAATAATTGGTCTGGAAGTGAAACAGGTGAACGAAATTGTTGAAACAAACTATCTCACGAAACTGCAGACTATAACTCAGGACCCAACTCATCCTCTGCATTCATCTATACAGTCACTCCCATCAGGAAGATTACGAGCGCTCCCCACTCACACAAACCGCTTCAGATTTTCTTTTGTACCTAGTGCCATTCATATCTATAATTCTAATTGTATCAGATAAATATTTCTGTTTGCAATGTTTTCACAATTCAGATCAGACCTTTTTAAATAAATTACCTAGCATCAGTATTGTAGTCGAGACCGGATAGTGCGAGACCGAGACCAAGACCGAGACCTGAAGATTCGAGACCGAGACCGAGACCGAGACCAGCCCCTTCAAGGTGGACCGAGACCGAGACCAATATGGTCCGAGACCGAGACCGAGACCGAGACCGCTGATAATAAATAACAATAGTCGAAATAAAAAACAAGACACGTTATTATAGTTGAAAGTTGTAACCTTTCTATTCACAAAGATTACAGACCAAAATTTTGACCAGTGGCAGTGTTGACAAATTGATACATGACACCTTACTTGAGCAAAAAGTAGTTACACTTAAGAAATAGGGGCTTTGACATGTTGTCTGCACCCAATCGTGACAAAAGTAAAAAGTTAAAGGTAGATGTTTCATCTGTTATAGGAACTCGGATCCTAAACTCCACAGTCACCCCTTGGTTTCAGCTATGACTTCTAACGGATATTTAAAGATGCAATTTTAATTTTACATTGTGCCTTTTTTTTTCCTAAAATAAATATAGGACTTAACTTCTAACAAGACTTGTGTACTTGATTTTAAAAAATGGGAGCTAGAAAATGTTGAATTAATTTTAAAATTTCTGTCATAGAATGTGGACTTGTACATGTAGACCCACAAGTTGCGAGGTGGTAGCCAGAATGTGCTACATATGGATTTTTATTTTTTTTCTGAACGAGATTTTAATTTTTGAGGAATAATGGGGTACTTCAAAATGAGCAGCCAGAAAATGGGGACTCATCATACACTCTCATGGCAACAGTGAGTGGTAACTGGTAAGAGTGTATGAGTTCAATGCTGGAGAATCAGTAGGAAAATTTACTTTTTCTTCAAAATACTGTCCCAAATTAAAGAGAACATTGTGTGGGGTCGAAAATATAACTAATTTGAAGCACCTCATTTATTATCAGAATACAAAATGTAAATGATTACGCCACAGGGGTGGGCTAAACTACACAATCCCCGAAAATGGCAGGCCTTTATTGCATAAATTGTTACAAGTTTATACTTTAATTTATATGCCCGACACAACAGACAAATGCCGAACTTGTTCCAAATCGTTCAGTGACTGGTACTGCTGCAGCTTTACATGTACTTTTGGGACTTTCCAACGTGCAGTCGAGTCCAAACCGACCACGATATATAACAAGCTTGATCTATGGGCTAGCAAATGTTTTAACTATCAACGGTACTGAACGAAGTGAACACAAAGTAATCGATCAAGCTGTAAAAGCTACATATTGCCGGTCTCGACCCGAGACCAGCCAAAATATCGAGACCAAAGGGGACCGAGACCGAGACCAAGACCGAGACCACAGCTTCCGAGACCGAGACCGAGACCGAGACCAGCAAAAAGTGGTCTCGAGACCGGTCTCGAGACCGAGACCGGTCTCGAGACCGAGACCGGTCTCGAGACCGAGACCGGTCTCGAGACCTACAACACTGCCTAGCATATCAGCTTGCAGCTTGATTTTAATTGTTTTTTTTATGACAATAAGCTTTATGTTTTCAAGCTGCTTTTTTTTTAAAGTAGGGATTTTTGCTGGACGTTTTATACTTTTATACTTATTACTTTTTCATAAATTGTAGTTTTCGACTTATGTAAATTTTTACTTGCCTAAATATATGTATATTGTTTTTATGTGCACATTGAGAAGAAGAATTTCACTTTTAAAGTCTTTTAATTGTGATGAAATAAAAATAGTGAATTGAATTGAATCAGGCTGAACTTGTGATGTGACTTGTGAAGACTTACTTTTTCACTTCCAACTAAAGCCCAGTACTTACCCTGAGATATTTGTTGGTGTTCGGGCAGGGGTCGCTGCCAAAGGTGTCTGGGATGGCATTTATTGTGCACATGGGGCTCAGGTGGCATGCTTCCACCATCTTGAACAAGGCTGAGGGTGCGAAGCAGTCTTGCGTCAGTGCCTCGCTGTCGTCTGTCGAGCAGATGTGGTCCCCTTGCCGTCGGCCAAAGTCGGCGTGGATGAGGTCTACCTTCAGGTTGCTGCACTCGATCTCCAGGTCGCTGCCCTGGCAAGCAATCAGCTCGACGTCGGGGTGGCAGATTCCAATGGGTACGATCTCACGGCACTGGTAGCGGACGTAGAGTGCTTTGGGGGCATCCCCGCCAAAGTTCCCAAAGACCAGGGAGCTGACACTGACTGTGCAGCTGGCCTGGTTGTGGCAACGGTTGCGGATGATCGTCTTGGCATAGCGGAACTCTTCAACATCCGCATTGTTGGCTGTGGCAGGGCAATCGTCTCGTGGCTCAGTGCTGTAAACAGCCAACAGGATCTCAATGCGCTCGTTCGATGCTGAGCAGTCAATGCTCAGCTTATCGTCCTCGCACACCACCACATCCACTGGCTTCAGGATTTCTGTTGACAGGGGAAGCATACCATGAAGTCAATTGCTGGAGAAGACTCTCTCCTAGATAATAACATCCCATAAGATATGATATGAAGCTCTCCCAAGTGGGAATTCAGAATGATGTTTGTGAATAAAGCAAATAAGAAGTCACTGTCTTCTGTCTAGAAACGTAGGTTCGAAAAGAACCAGTGTTGAAAATTGGTTAGTTTTTTTAAAATGAAAACATAATACATAAACTTCACTTGTCTGAGAAGCAAAATCTATTTCAGTTGACGTAGTTAGTAACTTCTGATACTATTTGATTCGTTTGACGAGAGAACGCCAGTCTAAAATGAGTGTGGGTTACCATCGCAGGTCTCGATGCCATCTCCGGTCCATCCGTCGTTGCAATAGCATCCGCGGACACCGTCCTCAATCCGACATTCAGCGTGGTCGTTGCACGTGATCTCCACGCACTCAGCTTCGTGGTCCGCATTGCAGGAGCAGATTTCACTGCAGTCGCTCGCCATGAATTGTCCGCCGTTCTGCCGAGGCGAAAACAAAAACAGACTTTGTATGGAGCTGCTAATAAGACACAAACTCTTTGCTGAATGACGCACAGCGGGCATGTATAAGATTTGAAGGAAAAAAAAGGAAAAAAGCTTGCAATACAAATCTCCAGTTGTGATCAGTCTGGGCCGGTGTAAGGCCGGCTAATGGGTTAATGCAGCATCGCAGCTCTTTGCAGAATGTATCTTGAGGGCATAGTTTGTTGTAAAAACTTAACAGTTTAGGACCTTTCAGCATTGCCTTAAGTTATATTCACACAAAAATGGAGCTAGAAAACTAGAAAATCTAGAAAACTCTTCTTTTCTTCTGTTTTTCCTATTTTAAGGAAAGGTAGGGGGGATTGGACCCAGAAACTCCACATTTTGAAATCAAAGACTTTTGAGATGTTGGTGGTGGCAGCAAACACACCGGTCCTTATTCCATTGTTTGCGTCAAATTGAGCACGCGCTTTATCTTGAACATGACGTGAATAAATAAAAAGTGTGTTTGCTGCCACCAACATCTCAAAAGTCTCACAATGCATGTCATGCACTTGATCTTACCTTGTGGTAAACACCTTGGTAAGTGCAGCCACATTGTGCATCTTCCACACAACGGTCCCCGTCTTGCAAGAACAAGCCCGGCATGCAGACGCACATGGGACCGGCCTGTCCTGTACAGTCCTTAGATGCGTCCTGGTCACCACAGGTATCCGGGCACAATGTGCCGATCTGGCTGAAGACCATGTTCACTGGGCAGTCCACATCTGCAAGGGGAAAAATAAGAAGAAACGAGGGTATAGTTTGACAGTCTGACGTAACACAGATGCAGCCTTTGTCACAGTTCATTTGACTATATAGACTTGAAACTGGATTGCGATGTGACTTGCGATTGCCATGTGATTGCCATGTGATTGCCATGTGATTGCCATGTGATAGCCATGTGATTGCCATGTGATTAACAAATGAGTAATGTACGATTGACTTGTGATTAACTTGTATGCCAGAACAGGGGAAATAAAACTGTGAAGAACTTTAATTTGCGATACAATTTGTACTCACAGCAAAAGCCTTGCCTTCTCCAATTGCCGACCTGCAGCCCGGCATCTATGCACTCGTCAGCGTATTTCTGGATGTCTTCGCACAGGTTGTCCTGACCTGGGAACATGGCGCAGAAGTCGTACAGGCAGCTTTCATAGTAGGCCACGGGATCGATGACTGCGATGCACATGGCGAATGGTCCTGTTTCAGACGGGAAATGTACACCAAAATATATTCAACCAGTGGAAGCTCCATGAGAGTAGGACTAAGGGGCCACCATGAAATGCAGGGCTTTCATTTTTATTTCTCTGGCAGTAGAGTTTTATACGTTTTGTCTTCTCCAAGATTCAAAACATGTTAATTCAACTGCATGTGCCCTTCAAGAATTCCGTTCACAACTGAGTTGGACTCTGTCTTAAGTTCACAAATCAAATGGATGAGATTCATGGGAAAAAACAAAAACTTGCACTTGTGAGATATTTTCCAAACTAATTGTCAAAACGATAAAAGTCCAACGTTTCATCAGCTCGATTCAAACGCTCACTCGTCTTGAGAAATACGTTCCCAAGAAAATTGGTACAGAGGTATGTGTTTATACCGTGACGGTCATTCAGCACGCTGCATGCCTCCTGTGCTTCGTCAAGCTTATCTGTCAGGCGACACACGTCTTTCTCCTGGCAGTCGGTACAGGCTTTGCATGTCTCGTCAGCACCCCAGCTCTCTCCAAAGCGGTCAAGGTCTGTGGTCTGCATTTGTTAGAGAAGGATAGTAGTAATTGCTGCTCATAATGATAATCTAAAATACATTCTCAAGACTGTTATTTTACCACTAGAGGTGATTTTGGGATGATTTGCAGAGGTGTATCAGGTCGAGAAATGCATAATCCAAAACATCAACAAGAAATGTCTCCGATTTTAGTTTCGTGACATATCACAAACTTAAAATGAGGAAAACATTGCTGAGACAAGTCAATTCTCAAGAGCTAAACTGGCATTGTAAAGGGAGGACGTCAATACTTCTTAATATTTGAAAACTATTTATTTTTTTATTTTTTTGAACCGACTGCAAGGAAGGGTCTTTTTTGACAGAACACATCATTTGTAATGAGAATGCTGACGGATCTCTGATTGCCACTTTGCAGGGCTGCTTAATTTATTTCATCAATCTTATTTAGCATTTGGCCGGGATAGTCCCTTTAAGTCTGTTTCGACTTGTTTTTCCCGTGGGGATCTGTAGTAGAAGATAAGAAAGAAAATGAATACAAGACACAAATACCGTTTCTCCCGTGGCCCTGATGATGAAATCGTCACCATTTACTCCATTGTAGTTACCACACAGTCCTTCCACTTGATTCATGTAGTCCTCTATCAGATGGATGTCCACTTTGCTTCTCCCATCCCAGCTGACCACCAGACCAAACTCTGTTCTGAGGATCTATAGAGGGAAGAGGTACACCCAGGCATGTTTAACTATACTTCTGAGGACACTTATTATTGCTCCGTTCTTTTGATGCTATATTGTTCATACTTTTTCTTGGCATGTCCCTTAAGGTTTGTACATGAAAACCTCCCGAGGACTTAGCTCAGGTCCTTGGGGTTAGTATCGCAGGAAACCCTATGTTCCAAGTCCTCAGACGTGAAGGATAACAAGATCATACAAAAAACAGCCTAATTTGCTTTTTCTAAACATCTCCCATAAGGTTTGTACACAAAAAGCCCCCGAGGACTTGGTCAGGTCCTTGGGGTTATTGTTATCGCAGGAAACCCTTTGTTCCAAGTCCTCAGACATAAAGGATACAAAGTTCACACTTTTATGTTCTGTAACTGTGGGGACTACTACACCAAATTGTGCCATGGTATTATGGGGACCGAAGACATTATGGGGACAGCAGATAGTCCCCATAACTCAGTCCTAATTTCCCTAACAATAAAAACCTTCCCCATAACATGGTGACGGCCACCCATAGTTTGGTATTGTTGGGTCCAAAGACACTGTGGGAACAGTGGAAATCCCCCCCCCCCCCCAAATTGGTCATAAAACCTCCCCACAATGCAGTATACAAATAATGAATGTTTATGAGTGCTATATGGTGAGAATATTTTCATGAGTTGAAAGATCGAGTTGAATGAACATTCCATCTTTCAACTCATGGACATATTCTCTCCATTGCATGAATGCAGGGCTGCCAACTTTGTGTAAAAGCTAAGAGTGAGAACTGGGGAAAATTTTGTCGTGATTCGTCAACTTGCGAAGCCATGGCGTGGGGTTCAGGGCCCACTAAAGGGCACCAAAAATTTTTAAACTTTAGAAGCTCTCTGGTGCATTTTAGAACAAATCATGGGGGTTTTTAAGGTAAATTTTTCCTTAAAATTCAGAGGAGATTTAAAATATTTCTTTTGTAATTAAAAAAAAAAACAATGATCATTGCACAAACATTACAACTTCCTGAACTGGAAAAGTATTGATTACAAGTTTGTTTCAAATTAAGAAATTAAGGCGAAGTAAAAATTACTTCCGCTTCCGATTACATGCCTTCCAAAATAGGATCGGTAGGTCAGAAAAAAAGGTATATGGATATTTGTTATATCTATATATATGGATTTATGAGTTGTGCTCACATCAGAGGTTATCGGGCCGATAATGGCACTAACTATTAAAATGTTACCAATGCATGTGGGGGGGGGGGGCCAAAAAAGAGACCACAAAAAGCTATATCAGCAGCAGCAACAGAAATCTTAGTAGAAACAGTAGGCAAGCAAATCACAGGAAAAGCAAAGACTTACCACACGTTTGTTACCGCCATCGGTGACTGAGATTCCGTCAATCTCATAGGGGCACGTGATGCGCTCGCCGTTCACAAAAACTTCCCGATTTTTCTTGAAGTCAAATTTCTGCAAAGGGGATACTTAACTCACTTAATATTGGGAATACATGTGTGCTTGGATGGTGTTTAACACTATGTTTACGACTGGTTGGAGTCTGGAATGCTGATAATTACCCAAGGCAAAGCCAAGGGTAATAATCAACATTCCAGACTCCAACCAGTCTTAAACACAGTGTTTAACACCAACCAAGCACATATTTATTCCCATTCATAAATACCTTTTTGGTCAAAAAATCAAACGGTTCTGGTCCAAAAGTCAAAACAATTCAAAAATAAATAATTTCCAACGATTTTGTTCGACAAGTTTACTTTCTGTTTTTCGAAACACTCCTCTAGCTTTATATTGGAGTGTCCAGCTTGCGAGTAAGACGTAAACAACTCTTTTTATGGAGATTGGTGCGCGCGTCACACGTACTGTGAGATGACACACTTGCAGCTGTGGTGAGTGCGTTGTGAATTTAGAACTATGAAATACTGACTCACTAGTGGTATTGCGCATGCCTACGTGAGGATTGTGAACGTTCAACCAATAAAACGGTAAAAGGCACCGGATTTCATAGGAGTCCAAATTTCATGCGACACTGGAAAGTGTTTAAGACCAGCCACCGGTCTTTATCATCCATTTAAGACTGGCCACGTGAGGGGCTCTCGACCAATAGGAATGGGTAAACTGTCTTATATATTTATGAATGGCTGTTTAATTAATTGTCTGCGCATCCAAACGGGTACAGTCGGCCATGGCTTTTCACCATAGCAAGCAAATTGTAAAAAAGAAAAAAAAAAAAGCCACAAACTACCGCTTTGGTCACGGCCCTACTCCAAGTATATTAATTTGAATTCTATGACCAATAGTTCAAAATAATGCTGAATTGCTCTGTTACAAGTAGCAAATGTGAACAATGAATTAGTAACAAATAAAACATTGATTTGTATTCTCCCACCTAGTCTTTGTGTCTAAGTGCTGTCTGAGAGCTTGTGAGGACTCGAACCCACAACCACCTGCTTACGAGTGCAGATGTCATAAATTAACAAATCGACCACCAAGCTAACCAATAATCGAGAAGATATTTTTACAGTTGTGACTGCTTATTTATGGGCAACTGATTAAAGCAGCTAAATTGAATGGTTTACAAACGAACGTCTCATACCTTGTCGTCGATTTCGACATAGACTTCTCGAGTGACGGACACAGTGGGGCGTCGTGAGCTGGCGATGTTATCAGCACTGATCGTGAAGTGATCAAGGGCAGTAGTGACCAGGGTTCGGGCCAGGATGTACTCGCAGTGACCCTGGAAGTTGAATTTCTTGCTATCAAAGTTGCAGTAATGGGGATCACCGTAGGCACAGCACTTGTGCGTTTCTGTTGAAATGTAGCATCAAGCAAAATTCCAGTTCAAGTTAAAGAATCCAACCACCTCATAGGCCTCTTGTGTCACAACAGAAGCAAGTCACATATCAGAAGTCCACCAAGAGACTACCATGGAGGGGCCATGTTTGCAGTGCTTAATGGGAAGAAGTTGACATATTCTGCACTCCAAACAGCATTCCGTTTGCAAAAGACCTCTCCTGATTTGATTGATGTGAATAGGGCTCGCTCAATGCAGCCATCTCTGAAGGAGAACTGCAACTGCGCATTTCACGCAACCAAGCACGCATTGCGCGGTGCTGAAAATGTTCCAAACACGCGCGCTCGTTGCTCGAAACGTGTTCGAAATACGACGCAGCTGATGTGCGTTATGCAAGTTGCCGCTCAAAATGCCGACGCACGTGGATGGTCTGTAGGAAATGACGTCATTTGAACGAGACCTATAAAGATGAGTTTATTAACATAAGCCTCCACGTATTTTTATGGTCCAGCAAGTAATTGACAAAAGAAAAACTGTAAGTTATTATTATTCACAATTGGGTGATCAGGTACCACCCGGTCACCATTTTAAAATTGTTTGATTTCCCTTCTTTCTTTATTTTTAATTATTGACAAAATTGATCTGTTACTTAACCGATATATATGGCATAAACTTGAAACTTGGAATGAACATCAACACTTGAAATGAACATCAAAAGATGTGCATATTATTACTGTGACATCGTGACGACATCATCAGATATCAAATTACAAGCGATTTAAGATCAAAACTTGAATATAAATTACTTTGGACTAAATTTTTTCAATGAATTAACGTGTTTATTTCTTGTGATGTGGTAGATTCTATCTTGAATAACATTTTGTATTCCCTACTTCCCAAAGAAATAGTGTCATGCCCTGTATTGGGATCTTTTAAAAACACGCCAAATCTCTAGTTATTTCATGTTAGATTTATTTATGCACTACGGTAAATTAATAGGGAATGAACATTGCCAGTAGCAATTCCCAACAAAAGGAAATGTCCAGCATACTAACCCCCCCCCACCCGAACACACTTCCTACGTCCAAGATAACAAGGGTGAGTATATATGCCTTTGCTTACTGATATGGCAGTTCTTGCCACCCCATTCCACGGGGCAGCTGCAGGAGTAGCCCAAGCTGGCCTGGGACTTGCGACAGAGGGCGCCGTTCTGGCAGGGGTTGGGACTGCAGGGATCCGAATCTGCAAACAAGACAAAAACTTGTGAGCAACATTGCTGACATGTGACACTTGCCAGTACGTTATCAACCCATTGCTCCCAATGGAGCTGTATAGACCATGTAGGCCTAACAGTTGTTTACAAAATTGATGCTCAGGTCACGTGATGCCAACTTTCAGCAAACGGTTTTCTTCTGCACTGCATGCCTATCTCTTAAAAATAACCCTCACCTAAAGCTACAAAATACAACTCAGTAGTAACCTGTAGTATGCATATCTTTCCATACAAGTACATTCCATACAAGAATCACAGCATGGAAAGGAAGACTAAAGAGGCATTACTATCAGAAGTGGGAATGGGCCTGGAACCACATGAGTCTCTAGCACCAGGTGCGGACCATTGCTGGACAACCTGGCAAGCTTTGAACCGATTGCGCACTGGATACGGCCGATGTAGGGTCCTTATTGACACATGGGGATACGTACCCGACGGCCAAACTACAAACTGCGATTGTGGGGAACCACAAACAATGAAGCACTTATTGTGCTGCCCAGATCGCCACATACAAGACCTGTGTACACCAAATGGCCGATTGCATTGAGAATGCCTCCATGACACCGACCTATTGGTCAAAACTGTTGTAACCTGCTGGTGTGGTGGAAATTGTATGCCTTGGTTAGAAAGACACGATATATAATCCATACAAGTGTGCACAACACATGTAGTATTCTGTGGTATTTGGTCCTTAACCCCCAAAGAGCCCTTAGGAGGTTAGGGTAAAAGTATTGACATAAATGAAAAAAAAAGAAGGTTGGAAGCCGTGATTTCTAAAAAAAAAACACTTGCGTTCATCTTATATGATTCGGTGTTTTTTTTACCTGGACAGCCCAGGAACTCCAATCGCATGGCTGGAAAGTTGTGGGAGTCCAGGACCCAGACGCGGGCCACACGAGCTTCAATCACATCCTTGAAGTAGTGAGTCTCAACAGTGTTCTGATCAGAGTTACCGGCAAAGACCTTAGAGAGAAAAACAAGAAGAAAGACAATGCTAAACCTATGAAGTATGCTTGTGTGTTCAAATGAAGTCTACGAACATTCGTACAAAAACAAGTCGCACATAGTAAGCATGCATTCAGGGTGTGTACGCTTAAAGCTATAGTCCATCATTTGCAGCTATCCGAAAAGTAACTGGCGTAATTATTGCTGAAAAACATACTTGGTTGAAAGATAGTAAGGGGACTAAACTCCCTGTGAAATTATTCTTTCTGGCATGCTGTCATTTTGAAGTAATCAACGAAAGAAGGCCTTTCCAACAGTGCTTCTTAAGACGCACCGTAGGAAAATTTAAATTAGTAGTTCGTTTTGTTATTCGGCGAAGCGCGCGCACGACGCACACGCACCCCCGGTTGCTATAATTCGTCGGATCAGTGCGCGACATCACCGCGAGCTGCAATCGGCTCAGTGAGAATGTGTCTCGGATGCTGAATTCAGGCCCAATTCAAAACATAATTCAGCAACTTTTGATTTGAAATTGAGATCCTAGAATGCTGTTTATCTCGAAATATACAGCTGAAGCTGAGCTGAAACTTCATCAGGTTAGTTGTTCAGTACCTTTCTTTAGATTTTGAGCACTTTTGTTGCTTCAAACGAACAAAATGCACAAATTACAAATGATGGACTATATCTTTAAAGGGCTGTCCCTTTTCAACTTATTTTGTATTTGATTATACGAAACTGCTCTGGACTGAATATTTAAATATTCGAAGTTGCACGCTGCAACTAAATGCTGCACTTGTCGAAAGTCGCATACAAGGCGCGCCGGTAAAAAAGTGCCTTCAGCGATCCATGTTATGGCCCGCAGGAGGGTTCTGCAGTAAGTTATGTTATAACTGTCAATGGCTTTTAAACTGCTAAAAGGATGGGAACATCTGTCTGCCGTCGACAAAATAGTTACCGTCAGGGCCGGATTAAGTGTTCCGTAGGCCCTAGGCACCAGTGTTCCGTAGGCCCTATTCCGCACTAGGCACCAGCACCAACTTCATAGCAAGCCAGTCCAAACTGGTAGCTCTTAAAACCTGTTGGCACACAGTGGCATGTTTCGTAGGCCCTCAATTTTTTCGTAGGCCCCAGAAGTTTTCGTAGGCCCTAGGCACAGTGCCTACTGTGCCTACTGGATAATATCGGCCTGGTTACCGTCAGCATAAAATGGCATCTGACAGTGCAGCACTTTACGACTAAAAAACACCACAGTAGTGTGTGTACACTTGTAGTTTTTTTTATCTTTCGAACATTCAAACCCGCAAAAAGCTATTTGAATATTCCATTGATGATTGAAAATCTGAACATTCAGTATATTGGCGACAGCCCTACACATGTGTGATTTGCCCATCGCAGGCTCTTCAGTTCTTGCACTGTATCCAGCAGGGTCTTCTACAAATAATAATTTTTGCCATTACAAGAAGATTGCCGTCTTACGTCTTTGAGTGAGTTGGTGAATCTGACCCACTGGAAGTTCTGTGGTTCTTTGGTCAGGTAGTGGCAGGAGTCGGAGTACTCCAGGGAGTAGCTGGTCACCCAGTTCTGGCCGACTGGATCGCCCTGGGTGGCAATGCCGGTCACTTTCGCTATGTAGCCCAAGTCAACCTGGATGATTAAAAACAAATATGGAGAGTGAGAAATACATGCAGCTCCTTCCTTCCCTTGATCCTTCCCTTTTGGAAAGGATAGGGAGTGATCCTTTACTATTGTTGACTGGATTGATGTGGGACATGATCCTGATTGGTCGGTCCATGGCAACAAGCCGTGCTACATATAACCATACCGCACGCCCACGGTCCATACCGCACTCCGCGTATTGCGCTATTCTAAGCCTACGTGACGCGATTAGTGCTGCACAATTCACTGTGAATTCAAAAGTTTGCGCGTAGGTTACACAGCATGCGTGTTCCAACTTTACTGTGCGTCAAGTTTGCTTGAAGATAAATTCATTATCGCGCTCGCGCTCTTGGAACACGGAAAATGTATTGTGTCTGTGTCCTACATACCACTTGGCCTTCGGCCTCGTGGTATGTGGGACAAAGACGCACGACATTATTCCGTGTTCCACTCGCGCTCGCAAGATAACTATTATTGAACACACGAGGGGCGCATAGCACTTGAAGCGAAGCCGAGGGTGCTATGCGCCCCGAGGGTGTTCAAAACATCATATCCCATATCAATCCAGTCAACAGTTGTTTTGTTATACCTCCGTCTTGGAGTCTTTGTGATATTGAAAACAAACTGCGGTACTTACACAACCTGACATTAAATGAATACAACTGAAGACAACGAGTCAACTCAAAACATGTCGCGTACTTGAAACAGCTGATCGTCTACTAGTCTGGTTTCCAGACCAAAAGATTCTGACTTTTGTTTTACTAGAGTGTGGTGTGGGTCATCAGGTCAGGGAACTAGATTTATCATCTGCTAGTTTGCTTGATCCCCCTCACTGTGTGGAAATAGCATGAGTACCAATCATATACAAGGGTCTGGCCGTACGTGTATTACACAGGGAGTGTGACAGACGTTGTTATAAACTGAACACGTGATCGTTTTAGACCAATTACAATACAGTATTCAAGACGGAGGTATAACAAAACCTGATAGTAGACTGTGAAATATCACTGATCGAGAACTGTTCACCCACCTGACTTATTTCAAAAGTTCATGCATGACCAATGAATGGAATACTTTGATATTCTCAAAAGCTTTAACATTTTCAGTTTCTGCTACTTTACACTGTACACAGATCCCAGAGTGCTGGACCATAGGGATTATTCTGCCTGGTCCATGGACACCTCCCAATCTTAATTATTTGGGAAAGGATGGGAATGATCGGTGTTTTAGTCGAGACGCTGCAAGATCATCACAAGACCATCACAAGACCATCACAAGACCATCACAAGACCATCACTAGACCATCACAAGACCATCACTAGACCATCACAAGACCATCACAAGACCATCACAAGACCTCCAGTCTCAATTCAAGTCACAAGCTATTCAAATGAACTGCAACAAAGGCACTCCTTTGTTATTGTTCGTGCCCTGTTACTTTTGGCTGGTCTTGTGCTGGGCCCAATTTCACGGCGCTGCTAAGCACACGATTTTCTGCTAACAGAGCCTCCATCTTTTTCATGGAGACCGTAAGCATAAGCACAGCAAAAGGCACGCTTACTCCAGAGGAAGAATTTGCTTAAATTAGTGACGTAACAATAGAAATCTCCATGCACGCGCGACCGTTAGCACACACACGCCGTGAAACAGTGCTTAAGGTTAGCAAATTTTTTCTGCTATACTAAACACAACTTTTCTGCTAACTGTTAAGCAGCGCCGTGAAATTGGGCCCTGGTGTTGTGTCTGGTCTTGTGCTGGTCTTGTGATGGTCTCAACTGCAACACTGGAAATGGTCACAACACAGTACCTGGATGTAAGGAGTGGGATCGCCCTTCGAGGCTATCCAAGCAGCTTGGTTGGACAAGCGGGCTTCTCCACCTCCGTTATTCAGCACATCAACGGAGCTAGTGACTGTGATGGCTTCGTCTGGAATGCGTCCGTTCTCCATGCCAATTCCTCCCACACAGGAAACTGGCAAAGGATACCAGCAACACTATTAAAGCTCTTTGACAAATTCAATTTTTTTTTTTTCTTCTCATGATTTTTCTTTTTTTTTTTTAACAAAATATTATGTTAAATATATACAGCTGAATTATTGTCAAGCTACAAATATTCCAATTTTGTACAATAACTATTCCATCACTAGACTCTGGCAGATATTTTCATTCGATGTCTCATTCAAAAGTGAATAACGTTTGCATTTTTCCAACTTTCACTCGGGAGGTAACACACTGAGTGTTTAGTGTTCATACATCGGTAAAAGGGCAAAACCTAATGTTGATTTGCATCACCCCTACGCAAATTCCATCTTATATAAATTTTAATTGCGGTACCCGCTGCTACATGTTCATCAGATTCGAACCAGCCAACCGATACCGCAAGCTCGGTGGTCGAGTCGTAAGACGTCTGCACTAGAGAGCAGGAGGTCATAAGTTCAAGTCCCACCCGAGGGATTTTTCCAACTTTCACTTGGGAGGTAACACATTGAGTATACAGTGTTCATACGTCGGTGAAGGGCAAAACCCAATATTGATTAACGTTTGTATTGCTGGAAGAATTAGCAATTAATAAGAAATGAACGTTGGGGGTGAAAAATTTAAAATTGCACTTGGGAGCAACGTCAACACCTTGAGGGTAGTTTAAATCTGGGTATAAATCCTAAGTAGTGTAGGGATTGAAAAAAAATAACAGGGTTCGACTTTAGCGGTAGCCTGCTAGCCAAATGCTAGTCAAAACAGCGGCGGGCTAGTCAAACTATTCCTTTAGTAGCCTGGCTGGCGAGTCCAAAATTATTGGGATGCGGCAAAGATGAAAGGACAGGAAGAAATAAATCAGTAAATTCAGAAAGCAATCCTGAATCGCTTTGGGTCTAATTTTATTAACTGTTTAGGGTTAAATTATCAGATCTGTTTGTTAAAAACAATGACAGGATTGCCTCAGGATACACATTTTAAATGTATACACATTGTTGTATCGGAGACACTCTATAAAAGAAAAACATGCGAGCTATTGAAAATGCCAGCAGGCTAGTTAAGAGTCTGTTTCAGTAGCCCGGCTACGGTCAAACCCTGATCAAGGGATAATTTTGTTTGAGCTCTCAAATTTAAAATCCCTTGTCCACAATTTTTAAATATCTTCAAATATTCATGGAAATATTTCATCATCACCTATGCTTAGGGCCCCGTGCAGCCCCACCTAAAAACATGTACAAATGTCACCGAGTGGACTTGAATCTGGAAAGTCAGTCTCAAAATTAATGTCCTTAAGCAAAAGACTTGATCACAATATACTAAAGTTCTACATTCCATATCTGTCCTAATAAAAGGGCCACTTTAAGAAGAATCTTCTTTTTTTTTTTTTGGTGACAGACCACGTAACTTACCTGGAGGTACAGTGCCCTTGGTTTCACCCATTCCTGAAATGAGAAGAAACAAAAAATATTTTCTGAATAAAATGAGAGTGTATAGCTGCAACTGCACCTTTACTTCTGAAGGTGAAGGGAAAATAAACTAAGCTTCTGGTCTCTGCTGACTGCAATACCAAAATAAGTCATCAATTCTTCCAAATTGCTTGCACTGAAAGCCCAATGATTTTTTTGGGGAGCAAATTTTGGACACCATACACTTGGTTTTATGACAAACTTGGTCACCCCAGTCTCCAGAAACTGGTGCACATTTTTATATGCTGCTTTTTTAGTCCCTCGGCAAAAATCTTAAAGTGTGAGTGCACACATCCACAGAACTGATTTATAGCGGATACAGTCAGTAGCAGTATTCCTTGTTAGCCCTATTCTTTTTCATTCTTTTCTAGGTCTCACAGCGCTCAGAAAGATGACTTCTAGAAATACATTGCATTCCAGAGTCGAACCCAACTAAATAGTATTAGGCAGAGTTGTAACAAGTCACTGATTTTTGTGCCTCGAGTCGAGTCAAGTCATTTTAAAGAAGTGTCTCGAGTCGAGTTGGGTCATTAGGTCAAGAAAGTCGAGTCACAGTGTGTAGTCGAGTCGAGTTGAGTCGAATCAGGTATTTAGCTCGAGTCAATTCGAGTCACAAATATTTGAACACCATACAATAAATAAACACAAGAGAGAAAGTCATGTTTTGGCTTTTTTAATTTTACATTCAGGTTACTACATGTGGTGACACCACATTTGACTCTTAATGAATATAAAATGATAGTGCCAGCTAATCGCCAACTAATGGGGACACTGATCAAACCACGAACGCATAAGTATAGGCCTACATTATGTGCGAACATTCCAACATGACGTGAACAAAAACCGGCACCGGCGTAAGTCATTGCAATTGATTTTCACGAATCGAGTCGAGTCATTCTGATGAGGAACTCAAGTCGGGTCGAGTCATTTGCTCTCAGTGACTCGAGTCGAGTCGAGTCATTTGCCATTAGGTACTCGAGTGGAGTCGAGTCACCAAAAATTGTGACTTGAGTCATTGACTCGAGTCATTACAACTCTGGTATTAGGCACGACTCAAATCGACCCATCATTCTGATGAGAAACTCAAGTCGGGTTGAGTCATTTGCTCTCACTGACTCGAGTCAAGTCGCGTCATTTGCCATTAGGTACTTGAGTCGAGTTGAGTCGAGTCACCAAAAATTGTGACTTGAGTCATGGACTCGAGTCATTACAACTCTTGGTATAAGGTACGACTCAAGTCGACCCAAATGGAGTGTAGTTTCAGACAGGCAATATATTTCACATATTAATTTTAATTGACTGTCTTACTTACTGTTACTGTAAGTCTTACTGTTTCAAACATCCATCTTAATTCTAATCTTTGGAAAAACTTGGTCGGGTGCGACTTTGAACCACCAGTCTGAAAGGAATGTCAGGAGGGAATCAACTGACCTTCTTGGGTCAGGATGGCAGTGAATGAGTACGCGGCCTCCTTCTTGCGGAACTTCTTCATCTGGAGCTTATCGCCGACGTCCAGCCTGCTGTAGCCCCGGATTTTCTTGTTGCGGGCAATCATGTGCTCGCTCTTGTCGTGGGCCCTCTTATCCCTGTAGATGGGGCTGCGGTGCCGGGAGGTGAAGCCGATCATGTGACCAGAGCGCACCTCGATCCAGTCCTTGGGTTTCAGCAGAATCTAAGCGGAATCAGCGATTACGACCTTCAATCAAAAGCCCAAGTACTCAGACCTATCTGTCTAAATTCTCAACATTAATTACTCATGAGGTGAATTTCCCTTTTAAAATCCAGTGGGCCCTTTTCACACCAAGCTTTCGATGTTTATCTTTGACTGAGCCAAGTGTAACATTATCTGGTTACTCCCTTAAGCCACAGGAGGCCAGTTTACTTCCTGCTGGATCTACCTTTCCGAAACCCCACACATGTTACATGTACAGGCACAGTCAGTCAAATTCATGATTTTCCGTTGTTTGTGCATCAATTTCAATGATCAAAAAAAGAAAGCATGGTTTCACGTGAGGGCCTCAACACCACCAGTTGATAACGACACCGTGTTGGTGTCGCAAGCTCCTGATACGAGCTCTGTAACCAAAGTCTCCAAAGGGTATCTTTTATTTAATTGATATAATAATGGGACAGGAAACGAACTTTCATGCTCGATGATTTCACTACCCGACAAAAACGAATGATACGTTTGATATTTAATTTATGAAAAATGTAGGTGCGTTTAGGCACTGAGGATCGTCATGCCAGTAAGTCGTTCAGTCAAGCGGTACTAATTGTTCCCTGCTGGTGGTAGGCATTCATCAGGTGCTAAAACTGCCCTAAGGAGATAAAATCTGGAGATAAGAGAGATCACTAACCCTGGTACAGTCTTGATCAAACACCCGAATATAAGGCAACTAGTCGGGTTTTCTCTTTGAAGAGGATTCATAGCATGCTGAATCTCATAATTTTTCCGTGTATTTGTTATTAACTTTAAGAAAACCAAACACCGCTGTCCTCTGTACAAACCTCAAACACTTCTCCTCTGTCCAGTTTTTTACGCCGCGGTACGGTGGTCTTGCCGACAACCTTGAATTTGCCTTTCTTCATATTGATGGGCTTCAGGACATAGAAAGTGACGGGTGCCTTGTTCTTGGGGACCATCCTCCATCCCTTGATGTAGCTGTGAGCAAAAAACAAAAGGATAGAATTCATTGTCAGGAATTATGTACAAATTGAAGGAAAGTCTCAAGTTAAATTCCTAATTGTGAGATTTGTTTGCAATATTGGTATATGAAGCATTATAGCACCTCACCCACAGATTCTGTGTGTTGATTGGCCAAGAGCGAGTCACATGGAACTTTTTATTTTTGCTATCTTTCTGTGCACAGCCAAAAGTACAATACCCGTAGCAACCAAAGTACTATACCATTAGCAACCAAAGTACCATACCCATGGTGCGGCATTTGTGTGCAAATACATGCTATGTGCGCGTTGAACATTGGGAGTAAAAAACTAAAATGTTTTTCTCCCTGGATCCCGACTGTAGGGAGCTGAAATCTCTAGGGGATTTATTACTGGCCTCTACCCACCTTGTGTGAACATTTGATTTAATTTCGTGAAGTTGGATTTTTTGGTCAAAATTCAGAAAGCGCACAACAGAGTTGGGTTCAAAACATCTCTCAAAGGAAGCGTTTGCGAGGGCTCCACATTTCGAAACGTTTTTACCATGAATATAAACATCTGTGTGAAGTTTCAATCTTTTATGAAAAAGTGCACAATTTTATTTCACATATTCGCTGGACTATTGGCCCCCTCAGGTGTACACAAAACACCAAGGGCAACTTATGAAGCCTACCTGTTGCAAGTAAGAGGATGCTTGGTGTTGACCACAAACGTCTTGTCACACTGGGAGTACTTCCATCTCCTGACCAGCGGCTTGGGGCCCCACTCTTCCTCGCACACAGCTGCAATGGCAAGGAGACAGGGGTATATACTGGTACTGAATTACTTCTTCTCGGAATTAAAAACTTCTTTGTCATTTTTTCTCTGCAATTTTCCGCAAAAATGCCGGGTTTACAACTTCTTCATTTAACAAAACAACATTCCTTTCTAAACATCTTTACATATATGCCAGAAAAATACGGAATACAGAAACGTACAGAAAAATTACCAAAAGAAAATTTAAAAGATAGAACAGTTTATTTACTTGGGCAACCCAGCACATCAAAACGAAGACCGATGTCCTTGTTCCACTCCTCCACAGTTATTCTCATGAACTGGGCCTTACTTTCTTCCTGGAAGAAGACCTGGACCGCTGAATCCGAGTCGGTGTTGCCGTAGAAGATCTAGACATTAACACAGGACAGAATGAAACTCTTAACAATCCAAGAGTGTTCAAAATCCAGCACAAGGTTTGAGAGAACTGTTGCAGGACTTGGGCAGACCAGGTACTGTTCCCCTACATGGCCTTTGGTAACCCTTGAAAATTGAAGTGCCAAGCAAAGGGTGCCACTGGGTTTCTCCAAAGGGGGTTCAAAGCAAAAATTTCTTGGGATTCACATAACACTTCAAGTATAACCAGGCCTCGATTTCAAGCTTTTTTTCTTTAACAAGCCCACCGGGCAAGTTACCTCAGCTTTTTGCGAGCCCCTAGATATTTTAGGCTGTAACTTGCACATCTGTATAACAGCTTTACATTTGCACTAGCTCAACTTCCTAACATTGCTAGGAAAATTCACACTCTAAGGAAGTTTATGAAATCTCGGGTTTGTTTCGATGTCTTGCTTTAACCAGTTCACATCGGATGACGTGTATACACGCAAAGGTTTTGCGGTATTCGGAACGGATGACAGCTAAACACGCAACGAGTGAGGCCAGAAATACCTGTCAGCGACCCGCTCGTAACAAGTGAGGCTGAAAATATCAGGGTGTATGTGTGCTACACAGATGACAGCCTGACATGGCCTGAACTCATCTGGGATCGAAGCTCGTGAAAAAAAATCCAGTGCCTGGGTCTGGTCACTGTCAAAATATCACGGCGTGAACTGGTTAAGGTTCCAGCCTCCTGATTTCATTCCCCTAAATTGACAGAGTCCAGCAAAATAATCTTTTCTGCTTAAAGAGACGCAGACTACTTTCAGAGAAGACCAATGGTTAGTGCATTTTCACCAGGTTTGAATGCGACAGGATCAAATGAATCTCGGGCACAAGATACAGCCAACGCTGTGGGGACAAAGCCTGCTTTTCCTAAATCTGCTTTTCGTAATTTTTTTTTTACCGTGCCGCCTTGTTTGTTTTGAGCCTCCTTCCAGTTCTTCTCGTCCTGACTCAGTTCCACTTTGAACTTGGTCACCCATCTCTCCTCGTCCTTGCAGCCTTGGACGCTCACCCCTGTTACCAGAGTGGGCTTGCCCAGGTCAACCTATGGTTGAGGTCAAGGGTCAGGGGTCAGAAATAAAAGTGATGTAACTGTCATTGAATACTTTTTTTGGAATATCAGGTTGGCTCAAAGCAAATTATAATTCTATTTTGTTGAGACTTGAACACTAGACATTGTGAGTAATTAGTTTTAAAAAATTATAACTAAGCAGATACTTTTTAATATTTGAATATTCTGTTGAATAGCATGACATTAGCTTTCTTTTCATAGTTATTCCAATCCAAGTAGAGCAGGAAAAACATGACTACAATTCATTTGGTTCAACATGGGATGGGAAGGTTTAAACACAAGATAACATGCAGCCGATTTCACGAAGGTTTATGCAAGACACGTACAATTAACTCCCCTTGCACCATAATTTAGTGTGCAAGTTGCGCGACATTTCCCGCTGCACAACATTTCAGTTATAACACAACTTACGCAACAAACTATGGCATAACTTATGCAATCATTTTAGTTGGAGTAAGTTATGGCGTTACGACTAAAAATGGTCTTACTGGCAAATCGTGATCTTCGTGCATCTGCCATTGCGCAACTTATCAAGGTTGACACAATACATTTTAAGCTTTGTGTTTTCGGTAAATAGATTGCTCTTTTACCCGTGACTGAATTTTTAGAGTTGTAGCACGATTCCGAAGAAAGTCGGACACAACTTTAAAAAAAGGCAGGCGGAGGTGATTCATCAAACTTTTTGTGTCCAAACGGAAATCATACACAAACAGCCTCCGTACATGTTGTTACTGTCGTCGGACAAAATTATTTCAAAATGGCAGGCAGAGGTGAAACAGCCTCAGTACATGTTGTTATTGTCCTCGTACAGAAAGTTTCGTGAAATCAATTGTATTTAACCTTTATTACACAGCTGCGCAACAAATTTGTTGCTTAAATCCTGCGCACGGCGTAAGTTACGCACTGTTTCATGAAATCAGCTGGTGTCCTTGCTCACCTGCACATACTGGTCCTTGTTATTCAGCGCTGGTGCCCAGCAGCCCTTCATTGCAGCCGAAGCCTGGGCATTCAGCCTGGACTGGCTGTTGCCGTACTCTGGGCCCAGAACAGAGGAGGTCTCGATGCTGGTGTCGGGAATGGTATCATCATCCATGCCCAGACCGTACATGCAGGCAACTGGGGGGTTGGACGCAAGGCAATGACCAGATTTATCAAAGTCATACCATAGCAGGAATATCACGGACACAACAGGGGCCTCTAATGATTGTACAGTGCGGCAATTGTTTGATGAAGAGGAAAAGTTCCTTATAGCCATATTTTTGGTAGAGCGGTGTTCATCACAGCCGTGCTATGATGTACATCACTCTGCTAAATAAATGCTCTAATGTAGTAAGGAAATGGAATTGGCGTTTGAGAAAAGTGAACGAGAAGGAATAACAAAAGCCAGACAAGTATGTTTTCATAATATTTTTTCATTAAGATCTAAGCATGAAAAAAAAATTAAATAGAGGGGCATTTGAACTTGCAATCTCTGGAACACCATGCAGCAGGACAGGGGACGAAAGAGGAATGCAAACACACTTTATCTCGGAAGTAGAGACAGTCAATAAGAAAACAAGAGCTAATTGTTCTTCATCGAGGAAGAAAGCAACTCAAATCTGAAACAGTATTAACACCCTCCTGCTATGTAAGAGATCACCAATGGTCAAAATGTCCTTCCTCACCTCCTGGCATACTGTTAACAAACCAATGGGGGTCTTGACCATTATTGACCCAGGTAATAACGTGGCCCAGAATGCATGTTTCATAGGAGGGTTAATAAAAAGAACTTACTTGCTGGTACACTGTCCACACGTGAAACTGATTAGAACAAACACACACAAAAATTAAAAATTAACACATGGATTCAAAAACAAATTCAAAGTCCGAATTTTGTCACCGCTAGTCTTTGAACTGTTTAAAATCATTTTATCTCCGTTAAAAAGGTATATTCTTAACAGTGGGGTATTTATTAAGCTCTCATATCCACCATGACTGGTGCTCAAGGCGCTACATCATTATTACCCCATGACAAGCACTCGCAATCACAAAATGTACTGAACACAAGACTTAGGAAAGTAATAAGGATCAAGTTGGCGTGGCGGTACTTTCCTCGCCTTTGACCCGGGTTCGTATCCCGCCTGTACCAATATCGGGTCTGGGTTTTCAGTCCTGGCCTGATACCGTGGGTTTTACTATAGAATATCATTCCGGGGTTTTCCTCCCACAACTAGATCTGTTATTTCCTTCCACATGTTCTACCAAGTCTTACCCATCCTGTTCTGGCGCATGCACCATTGGATGTTGACGAAATAATTAAAATAACATAAAACAAAATTAATTCAAGGTAATATTTGGTGAGATGTGCTGGACTAACTTGATACAGAGGCGCTAATGGAGTATGCCTGTTTGCCGCTGGACACAAACTTCCTGTATTCGCCGACAGGGGTAGGATCCAGATTGCCTCCGTTTCCTGAATAAAGGAGCTCCACGCTTTCTTCTCCCTCGTCGTAACAGATGACGGGTTCACTAAACGACCACCCGTAGACATCCCCTTTCCTGACGGGAGCAAAAAAAACAAGAGATGTCAATAGTGCCATGCAGTGAATCTCTCTTTTTAAGACAAAACCCGAGTATCCGCTCAATTCACAAGTACCCCCTCACCGGCAAAGAAAGTACAGTTGGGGGTGACCGACCGACGCCATCTTGCCCGACTGCCGCAAAGCACAGCCACTACGTGTGCACATGGTACAAATCCCCTGGTGTAGGTGCGTCACACACAAGGAACAGCGCACGTCAACCAGCGAAAAGTCCCGCCCATGGGACGTGGTTGCTAGGTAAAAGGGCGCCATCTTTCGTCGGCGCACGGAGCCCATACAGCTTATATTCGGGATTTTGCCCCGGCCTGTACTAGGATTTCAGCTCTCTCTTATCTCCAGATTCAAACACTTGGGGAAATTTACTGGATGAATGACCACCACCAACAGACCGACCTGATATTACATCAGATGGACCTGAAACACCAGATCTTGAGTATGACACATAAGACCTCGAGGCCGAGGCACAGTGATCCTGATTCCTAAATAAAAATCTTCTACATGGCCCTTTTAAAAGTACAGTTTCTGAGGTGGTCGGGAAAACGCTTTTTTCTGGGTTATTTTTTCTGCTTATATAGCTGGGTGGGTTTGTTAATTGCATCAAAGACAAACCTGAATGGAATTCGGGCCAAACTGTCCAATCTGTAGGTGGCCAACTCGTTGGGTGTCTGGCCTGGAATGTCGCTGCTGCCAATGTGCTTGTAACGGGTGGGGTCGTTGGGGTCTGCCCGCCACACGCCAGCCCTGAAAGGCTTGTCGCTCTTCGGAAAGAATTTCCATTCTGTGAAGTAAAGAATACAGTGGTGAGTGTGGCCCAGTTGTTAGGGTTTGTGACCTAGGTCAGAGGGTGAGAGGTTCCAATCCTAGCTGCTTCTGCATGGCCACATGCTGTGTCCTTGGGCAAGCCACTTTACCCTACTTGCCTCTTTCAGACAACTAATACAATGAGTATCTATGGTACTATACAATCAGCATTTAAGTACATTCTTCAGTCATACACCAAAGCATCGCATTTATTACCCCTGATTGGCCAGCTGATGATCCTTCCTGTATCCATCGTTCAATCTCCAGACAGGAAACTCAGGCAGTTAGTTTTTAAGTTAACAGTGATTAACTCCACTCAAATAGACATCTGTTGTATGTAAATAGCATTCATCAGTTCAAAACAGATGTAATAGGCTACAGATGTTACTGTGGGGTGTCAACGTGTAAAGCCATTACCATAGCCCCAAATAGCAGATTTAGTAGCAACCCTAGTCTTTATAGTCAGATCACTGGCCCACTAACCTGTGACGTAGCCATCACTTTCGAACGGGGATCCAGCCGCTAGCAGGATGTAGTTCTTGCTGTCAATGAATTCTCTTATGATGCATGTGGGGCCGTACTCAGTCGCGGCGGTTTCTGTGCAATGTAAAGTTTCAGAATATATTCACAGCAAACCTGGAAAACTCTAAACGTTTAGGCATAGCCGTCCTATATCCAAATGGGATGGGGGATGGATGATTTTGCATATTTTAGGAAGGCAGTGTTGTAGTGGTACTGGTACTCGACTCGTTTCCAGTTCTCGACTGAGTATATGCCTTTTGAGAATACTCGTGCTTGCACTTGTACTCAAATATCAAAATACTCAGACTCGAATTTACGGCACTCGTACTTGAGAAGTACTTGGACTCAACTATTTACTATCGTACTCTTTGGTCAAAGTGCTCGTATTCGATTTTAACTTGAAGGACTAGGGGATAGTAATATTTAAAATGATTTTAATTATCAAGAGTTCCAAGTATTCGTACTTGGATAGAGTTTATTACATGAGACTTTATACCCCTTGAAAGGATAACAGATAATATGGTCAAGTTTTTGAAGAACTCTTAAAGGATCCTGGCAAAAAGATTGCCGAAGGTAAATGGTACAGATGATAAGCTGATGGAAAAATAATTGAGAATATCTTATATGTGGATAAAAAAAATTACAGCATGTACATTTTTTGTGTTTACTTACAGTGCATGTAAAGTACTGATGCATGGTGGACTAACTTCACGTGAGAGGATTTTGTCATAAAGTTAAAAATTGAAGTTTGGCCAACTATTCGAAGGTTCATTGCACATTTCGAGCTTTTGGAGATGAGAACAAAAATAACCAACTTACCGAATTCCCCAAGGACTTCAAAACGCAGCGCTGGGCGGTCCTGCCATTCCACAAGGTTAATGCGCAGGTAGCGTCCATTGACGGCGCTGCCAAAGAACCTGGTCACCTGGGTGTCACTGTCAGTGTTGGCGTCAAATACCTGTCAATGCAGCACAGAACCCATACTGAAATAACATCCATTTTGGTTGAATATTTTCAGTTTTAAATTAACTTATAGGCATTTAACATGAATTCATAAATACTGAAGACAGTTTACCCATTCCCACTGGTCAAGCTAGAGCCCGTCACGTGGCCGGTCTTAAATGGTATGATGGCCTGGCTGGCTGGTGTTGAACACTTTTGCAGTGTCATATGAAATTTGGACTCCTATGAAATCCAGTGCGCTTAATAAGTTACAAGGTCAAAAATCTAACAGATTCCAACAGTTCTCACTCACCTTGTTGTCATTGCAATCCACTATGTCGTTCCAAGTGTCACCGTCGTCGGAGTATTCCACACGGTACTTGGTGGCCCACCAGTTGAGCAAGCTGTGGCGTCCCTGGGTGATCATGCCAGTGAAGACCGACTGGGCACCAGTGTCCACCTGGATCCACGGTTCATTGTCACCATCCGCGGGCACCCAGGCCCCGCCGTTGGTGCCGGCGAAGTTGAGCCGGCAGGAGCGGGCGCTAAAGTCAAGGTTGGGCTGGTCGCTTTCGTACACAGATGACACGCTGATGGCATCCACGGGGAACTGGCCGTTCTCCAGACCCAGAGACTTCTGGGCATCCACTACGTCGGGGAAAGAGAAAAAGCCATCAGGGCCCAATTACATACAGTAGTACAGTGGAACGTCACTATACCAAACACCGCTATACCAAACATTCGGCTATACCAAACATTGTCCCTAGCTCCCGATTTTCATGTGCAAAATGTACTGAACATTGATGTTGAAAAATGTCAACAGAAGAGCGACAAGTGGCGATATTTCCCAAAGGAATACATGGGGAAAGCCTCCCATTGCCGTAGGTATAAGATAAACAACTCTGTAATAACACGATTCAATAGTCGGCACATGTTCAAAGTCGTCTTTCAGAAACTACCAGGGCAGGCAGGATAAAGGTCTGAAGGGCGCTATGTACTGAAAAGTGAGTGCGGGAACAGCGGTAGCTTGAAATCGCTATACTGAACGATCCCTATTACAAACAATTTCTGTGGATCCCGCGATGTTCGTTATAGCGGCATTCCACTGTAATAATAAGGATTTATAAAACACACACATCTGCCAAATGGTATGGTACATCATTAACATTTCTCAATTTTTTAAAATGAACTTATTTGAGCCTCAAAGGCCCCTGATACAAAGAAGGATACTCAACACAGAAAAGCTTGCTAATGTAATTGACAAAATCAGTGAACAAGTTCTTCATTGTAAACTTAAAATTGTAAAATCTCAGAATTCGGAGTAGACTTTGCTGCACGGTCTTACCTGACGCAGAACAGTCATTGGGATCCTTGGCTGTAAAATCGAAACAAAGATAAAACTTAATCAATCATAATTTCTTTCTTTACTTTGTTCACTTTGTATCTACCATATACAAAAAGTATTATCATATGAGAAAAATAAAACATATCCTAAAATAATAGGGTTTTTTTTTTGGTCAAGAGCTAAGTTGTTGGTGTTGTCTAGTAACAATTAAATCATAAGTCAATTTCTGGGCGCAATAAGAGTATAATAAGAGATAATAATATGATAAGAGTATAATAAGAGATGAACAGTAACAAAGGAATGCCTTTGTCACATTTAAAGTGAATAACTTGCGACTTGATATGAAGGACTTGTCATTGACTTCTGACCGATTTAGGAACACCTGAGGGGGCTTGTAATAGACTCAGCAACGACAATGCAAGTCTCTGCAATATTTCAAGCAATTTTTCAACCGTAAAATCCAAATTATCAAAAACAGGGTCTGTTAAATATCATTTGCACCTTTGAACAGGACGACCATGGAGTAGCTGCGCGGTGCCACCCCGTTGAATGTGATGGTGCGGCCAGCTCGCAGTTTGCGGAAGTTCTTGATGTCGACGTTCCTGGAGTAGACAACATCGGTGACGTCTGGGCCTTCCTTGGATTTGTACAGGACGGAGCGGGTGAAGGACAGGCCCAGCATGTCTCCTTCCTTCACAGAGATCCACTTCTGCCGCTTTCTGTTCTTCCTCTTCTGCTTGAACTTGACTTCTACCTCAACCTGAGACCAAAAGAGTGTCATGCGAGGTTGATATCGGTCTGAGCTAAATTGTTAGCTTTTAATACGACAATCAGGATTCATGTGCCAGCTTTAGTGAATGCCGACTTGTTGGAACTTGCTCACACTGCATGAATTTCATGAAATGTCTCACTTTTTAGCAACGTTTCACAATGAAAATAATGCAAACATGAGTTACCTCATTAAGTTCAGTTTCGAAGTATGGAGTACCGAAGTGAATACGTCACGCACACTAAATGTGTGTAAAAGACATTAACCGCGTGATTCAGCCCGTGAACCAACACTTCGTTTGCACTAGATTTTCTGGTTCTACATGACGTCACACCTCGGTACTCCATTGTCTGATGGCCACATCAAAGTTAATGGCTTCTGATTAGCATCCCTTGAACCAAGAAAATGACAAATTGGGAACTGCCAACATAACAGACCGAATCTACACCTCAATTCAGTAGCGCACTCATATGGTGTTGCAGCGATCATACGTTCAAATCCTACACAATTTAGCTACTTAATAATTAACTTTGTTCAAATCTGCCAAAAATTTGAGGCTGATATATACACTTATATGTCTTGAGCTGCCAAATACGTTTGAATTTTCATCTGTCTCCAGAAAATTAACCGGGGATCTCCGGGGATTAACTAAAATAGTACATACGTCAGCCTTCTTGACTTTGATGTGCCTTCGTCCCACTATCTTGTAGGTCATAGCTGCCTCGTCGACCGGTCGGAAGATAATCACTCGGAAGGAGCCACGTCTGACTGCCAGGAATCGCACCCCAGTCACAAAGCCGTCTGAGATGAACTTCTTAGCCGGCATGACGAAGGTGAAGCCACCCGAGCCGCGGTACATTCGGTGTTTGCAGGCGAATCCCACCTCAGGTTCACTGCTGACAACATCTTTAAATTAAATTTAAAAGACTTTTATCTATTTAAAACAAATAATTCAATGTAAAGTGGTGTTGCCTGACGTGGCGCACTTTGCAAATGCAGTGTTGCCAAACTTCAAATTTTGATCACGTACACGTATTGTGATGATCTAAACAGGACAAATTTCTGTCGTGATTATATTTCCAAACGTCGCAGAAAGTGAACTGTGGCATTCAAAAGTAAGCCACGACGTTTGACAAATTTTGAACCATGGTCAGCGGCGGTGGACAAAACGTAAACCAGGTGGAACAACAATGTTACAAAGACGGCAACTTGTCCTTTATAGATCACCATCCGATCTCTCCAATATGGCTTCAAATGGCTTCGGCTTTCTGTACGCTATCCAGTCTTTACATACAGATCAGTGGTTTGTACAGAGTTGATGAACCATAGTTGGTACCAGCTAAAGGAAACAATCCAGCTCATAACCGTCAAGAAGACTGCATATATCAGTCACAAGCTTTCAAATCTCAGTTAATGCAGACAAATTATTCTAATGAGCCAAAGGAGCATGCTGAGGCAACTGTGTAAAAATCAGGTTTTGCTAACTGATGCCAAATATTTATTATTTTTAATTACCTGGCAAGCCCTTGACGTCCATTCTCATCGCCGGGAATTCACCGTTCCAGATCATGGGCACGATGCGAATGGAACGGCAGGACAGAATCGCTGAAAAGTAGTTGGTTACTTCTGTTTCCTGGTCGAAATTTCCACTGAACATCTTTAAAAAAAAGTTTTTAAAAACATATTTTATTCTCTAGCGTAAGTGAAACATAAATGAGCAAAGTTACCACACTTTTTTTTTTACTGAGATGTCCGCTGTTATTCGTTCAACAGCAAAACCAGTAACATATCCGGTATGCACAGAACATGTTACCAAGATATAATTTAGTTTAGCACTGAAAGTACCAAGAACAAAACATTTTTAGTTGTGAGCTAAAGAAAATGAAGTACAGAACATGTTAAAGGGAATATACATCATTTGCTTTTGCTGTAATTTTCAGAAATGGATGGGATTGGGGGGTTGGAAATATAAAGCAAATATAGTTACACTGACTTTTTGGAGGTTTTGGGTTCGAAAATGCTATAAAAACCAAGAAAAACGATCATTTTCCTGTAGTCTGGTTCCCTGACTCCATATAAGAAGAAACAGAGCAGTTTACATACATTGGGGAATTGTAAGGTCAGGGAACCAGTCTAGCTGGCTCGTACCCGTTCATAGGTTTGTAATCGATTGCAAACAAGTGCGATGGTCAATTGGGGCCAGTATTTGAAAAAAAGCCAGTTATTTCAAACGCTGAACGGCCGATCAGCGTTGGAAATTGATACAAAAATACCACTTTTCTTGAAAATGACAGTATACCAGGTGCCATAATTTTACAGGATGCTTTAGACTGTCATTTACCAACATCCTATTAAGGTATTTCGCAAAAACTTGGTAGTTTTATTTTTCGATGTTTGCAAATGTTGTATATTCCCTTTAAGAGTTGTCGGCAGAACCAAAATAAAGACACAGAGTAGGAAACAGAGTTGAAAGGCTAGCTCTGAACCAAAGAACAGAGCATGCTTACTTTTAAGCTACTAAGTAAAAGCATATGGGCTCTGTGCGCTAACGAAAGAGGCCCGCGTCCTTTTGCTTAGCAATGACATCCCATGGTGGGACATTTAGCTGGTTGACGCGCACCATTCCTTGTGTGTGACGCACGTACACCAGGGGATTTGTACTATGTACACGCAGTGGTACGGCAGCGCGTCGCGGCAAACTTGCAGTCAGGCAAGATGGTGTCGGTCGGTCACCCCCAACTGTACTTTCTTTGCCGGTGAAGGGGTACTTGTGAACAGAGCGGATAACAGACCCAAGCACAGATAATTTTACAAAGTCACATGCTATAAAGAACTGAGTTACAAGCTAAAGACTCTACCGACAGAATCTTACAGAGATAATGGATTTACCATGGTCTTGCCATCATCGTCACAGAATGCAGAACATAAACAGAGTCTTAAACTACAGACCTAAGCACAGTCTATGTTAAAAAGTCACAAGCTTTGACAACCTGAACAATAAGCTGAAGAACCCTGGCACAGAGAACCTTACAGAGCTACTGATTTACCATGGCTTTGTCATCATCACCACAGACCACAGAAGGTACAGTCAATCATTTGCAGTCTATCCAAAAACTAACTGACATAATTATTGTTGAAAATCATACTTGGTTTAAAGATAGTAATGGGAGAAAACTCCCTGTGAAATGATCCTTTCTGGCAAGCTGTCATTTTGAAGAAATCAATGAAAGAAGGTGTGTCCAAAGACGTATCGTTGGAAATTTTCGTTAGTAGTTCGTTTTTATATTGGGTGAAGCACGCGAAGCATTGACACGACGCACAAGTGCGCCCGGTGCTATAATTCGTCGGTTCAGTGTGCGACATGGTGTAGCTGCAATCGGCTCAGTGAGAACTGAACGCTGAATTCAGGCCCAATTCAAAACATTACTCAGCAACTTTTGATTTGAAATCGAGATCCTAGAATATTGTTTTCTCGGAATCTACAGCATTCACTGAGCTGGAACTTCATCGGGTTAGTTGTTCAGCACCCTTCTTTAGATTTTGAGCACTTTTGTTGCTTCAAACGAACATAATGCACAAGTTACAAATGATGGACCCTACCTTAAATCTACAGACCCAAGCAGAAATAATATTAGAAAGTAGCAAGCTCCAAAGGACCGAGTCATAAGCTAAAGAAACATGACGCACAGAATCTCACGGAGCTATTGACTTACCATGGTATTGCCATCATCGTCTGCAACATCCTGCCAAACCGCCATGTCAACGCTGCACTTCACGATGTACTTCTGCACGAACCACAGCCTGGTGGTGCTGCTGAAACCCTGAGTCACGACACCACCGCATCGACGAACTTTCTTAAAGTCAACCTGGAGTGGGTCAATAACAAACCACGATTTAAAACCTCCTGTTTTCCTTTTTAACGGTGGGCAAAAGTTTGAGGTGGCGAATAGTTGCAAAGTAGAGACCAGGCAGTGTCAAATGTTGATTGAAGCTGAGTTTATCAAATGAGCAGTACTTCCAATGTATAAAATTCAGCCAGAAACTGATGTTACTTGTAAGGTACATTGCAAGGTGTTTACTCATCAATTTGTCATATTTTTTCAGCAAATTAAGGCGATGTAACCATACCATTTTGGGTGTATGGACGGACGTGAATCCCACGTAGTTTACAAAATGTTACCAATCTTTAGTTTTTGGATTAATTTTAACTTAAAGCCCGAGTCCATCATTTGTAGCTATCCGAAAAGTAACCGGCGTAATTATTGTTGAAAAACATACTGATTGAAAGATAGTAAGGGGACTAAACTCCCTGTGAAATTATCCTTTCCTGCAAGCTCTCATTTTGAAGAAATCAACGAAAGAAGGCATTTCCAACGGTGCTTCTTAAGAAGCACCGTAGGAAAATTTAAATTTGTTCGTTTTGTTATTCGGCGCAGCGCGCACAAGCATTGGAACGATGCACAGGCGCGCACGGTTGCTATAATTCATTGGATCAGTGCGCAACATCGCGTAAAGCTGCAATTCAAAACAATTCGAAACATGATTTAGCAACTTTTGATTTTAAATTGAGATCCTAGAATGCTGTTTTTCTCAGAATATGAAGCTGAAGTAAGTTGTTCAGTATCCTTCATTAGATTTTGAACACTTTTGTTGCTTCAAACGAACAAATTGCAATAATTACAAATGATGGACTATAGCTTTAAGCTTCCTAACAACTCAAACCGTGATAATGTCAGACAATGGCGTCATTACGGTACCTTCTTTTGCTAAAAAAAAAATATGGCTATCCATTGCCAGTTCTGTAGTTAAATTAGGGCTGTCCCGAATAAACCGAATATTAGAATATTCGATCATCAACCTTATATTCATTTACCTTTAATTGCTCCGAATATTTAAAAGAAGAAAACTATGCACGTACATGACTGTGACGTTATATTTAAAGGGAGTATACATCATTTGCTTTTGCTGTAATTTTCAGAAATGGATGGAATTGGGGGGTTGGAAATATATAGCAAATATAGTTACACTGACTTTTTTAGGTTTTGGGTTCGAAAATGCTATAAAAACCAAGACAAACAATCATTTTCCTGTAGTCTGGTTCCCCGACTCCATTTAAGAAGAAACAGAGCAGTTTACATACATTGGGGAATTGTAAGGTCAGGGAACCAGTCTAGCTGGCTTGTACCCGTTCATAGGTGTGTAATCGATTGCAAACAAGTGCGATGGTCAACTGGGGCCAGTATTTGAAAAAAGGCCAGTTTTTTCCAACGCTGGTCAGCCGATCAGCGTTGGAAATTGATACAAAAATACCACTTTTCTTGAGAATGACAGTATACCAGGTGCCATGATTTTACAGGATGCTTTACACTGTCATTCACAAACACTCCAGCAAGGTATTTCAAAATGATTTGGTAGTTTTATTTTTTGATGCTTGCAAATGTTGTATTTTCCCTTTAACGTAAAGTTGCAGCACATTTTGTTGACGACGGTTCATTGTTCTCATCCTTTTAGCAGGCTAAAGCCATCGACCGTTATGAAGAAATTTACCTGGACGAAGGCACTCTGGTCCTTTTCTCTGCCGCACCAGCCGCCGGTCAGGCCCTGCTGGTCCTTCAGGAAGAGACGCGCTCGCTCTGCCTTGCTGTTGGCGTCGCAGAAGCTGGAGGCCGTGATTTGGTCGTCCTTCACCTGTCCTTTCTCCACGCCTAGACTGTCCGTCGACATGACTGTGTAAGATGTAATTGAAAAAGTGGAAACAGACTTGAGCAGGTCAATAACTTGAGGTAAAGATTCTCACCTTAGGTCACATTATTTCGTGGGTTTCCTTTTGTTGGTTCACCGTATGTTTTTCCGAGGCCATTAGAGTGAGACAATGTTTTGTGACAATTTAACGATTTTTAAAAACTGTTTGGTAGTATTGTTCATCAGTTAAAAGAACAGAACTATTCATTGTACATAATTAGGTTGTTTTGTTAAAGAGGTTGTGGAATGTTCGAAGACATTTCCGTCATTTTTCGAGTATATGTAGCCTATGGTGTGATGAAATAAAAACGACTATTGTTTCTGTCATGAAATGAGTTCAAAAGGTACTTTTGAAAGCTGTTTTTCAGGTCCAGTTTCAACCCGAACGTGCAACTGTGTAAAAGTCGTTGTTACGGGCAGCAAACAAAACACAGTAAATCGTGACGTAATAAACAGGACTCGTGTATGCTACTGTGCATCGGGAGTCCTGTTTATTACGTCACGATTTACTGTGTTTTGTTTGCTGCCCGCAACGACGACTTTTACACAGTTGCACGTTCGGGTCGAAACTGGACCTGAAAAACAGCTCTCAAAAGTACCTTTTGTACTCATTTCATGACAGAAACAATAGTTTTTATTTCATCACACCTTAGGCTACATATACCCGAAAAATGACGGAAATGTCTTCGAGCATTCCACAACCTCTTTAAAGGGAGATAGTGACAATTCAAGTGGTACACATATGGCGCTGAAAAGATTGGGGTTTTATTTACCCAGCAAAGGCAAAACTTTCCAATTTTCCAAACAAATATTTCCTATACAATTACATCAAATATCAATGGCACTTATTTACACTGATGTTACGAATGTAAGAATGGTTTAAGAGTGAATTCCTACCTGGTGGAATGGTTTTTGTAGTGGCAACTGCAGGAGAGAAAAAAAATTAAGGAGAAATCCAGTTAACTAAGTTCAACATTTTGGATCATTTCTGAAATGTTGGCTTGACACCCTTTTTTATTTAGCAAATATTTTTTGTGTTGAGCAAATTCATGTGTTGAGAATATGTATGTACTTTACGTTAAATTACGTAAATTTACGTTACAAAATCAGCAATTTACGTCGCATAGCATTTTGGCTGGAGACCAGGTTTTGCGAAACAAATGTTTTCTGTGCTCCAAGCCAATTCATATTCCATTCAATTAAAATCAATTGAACAATATCAAGTACAGTTTCAAATGATAATTTAAGATTGCAAGAAATACAGAGTTTGAGTATAGTTTACTACTGTGATTAAAGGTGTTAAGATAGAAGTGCCCAAAATGAAGGACAAACTGAAAGATGAAGCAAGTTTTGGTTCACCTTTCCCTTGAACAGGGCAAAAATGAAACAGTTACAATACTGACGAAGACAAGGAATAGAAATATACATTTAATTTATTTTAGTCTGAAAAAAAAAACAAATTTTAAATGTCTATCCTTAAATTTAAAAAAACAATTCTCAAATATTTCAAAGACACCCTAATTTGGGTCAAACAACGAATCAAAAATAAATTAAAAGAACTTTGTCAACGATAAAAAAATAGACAATAAGATAAAATTTCAGGAGAATAAGAGAAAAACTGCCACACTAGCTGATCATAGCTCACCTTGGAAGATGGGGTTAACCCCACGGTATTTCCTCCCAGCCTTGCCCGTGAAAGTGATCTCGCCGTTTAGGGCAAGGGCCCTGTACTCCTCCATCCCGAGGGAAGCCGTCAAGACGGTGCTCTTTGGCTTGTCGTCAGAGGAGAAGCCTATGACTGCCTTCTGGAAAATCAGGCACATGATATCACCCTTTTTGACTGGGATCCGCTCACTCTCTCCAGCGACCTCAAAGTGTTGCAACTGTGGGCCAAGAAAACAATCATAAAAGCAATGAAGCATCCATCTTTGTTAAACCTCTGTCTTGAACACTGTATTTTCATTGGCCTAAAACGATCACGTGTTAAGTTCATAAAATGTCATGGCACACTCCCTATGGGATATCACACACATGATATCTCACATGATATCCCATAAACATACATAAACGAGATAATAATACCGAGACAATGTGTGTAAAGATGTAAATAGAAAATCCATGGAATAATAATGAATTAGCCGGGAATATTGCACTTGAAATTGAAAAGTAGCTATAAAGTCCACTGACAGCTTGTTTTCCATTAAAATTGCATCACACGGCTGCCATTTGGTTTACGTTTTAACAAATTTTGAGCTGAGGTCCGACAACTATTTGTTGAATATCAGATGACTATTTACTGTATGCTTACTAAATATATAAAATAGTCACCAAGTTGTGCTTACGACATGTTTTGTGAAATGGGATACGACGCGTCGTAAGTCACGACGAGTTTCATGAAATTGGGTGCTGATTATGAAGCACTTTGACTCACCCTGTCACTGCCACTGCTTGTCACATAGGTGCTACCAATGATGCTGTAGGTGCTGTCATCCTCCCCTTTGCGCACAACGGCAATGGTGAAGGACTCCCCGTTGAATGGCCGGTATTTGAGCCCCTTCAAGAAGCCGCAGCGCTTGAATGGCTTGCCGACGAGACACACGGCAGTGTCGTCTTCAGGCTGCTCATCCACTACATCGGTTCCGGCCACATCGGGCTCGTCCACTTCAACTAAGGTGAGAAGAAAATCACAGGACGAATTTCAGTTTTACAAAATGCAACTATTTTTGGGGGGCAGATTCACTTTCAACAGTGATTCACATCATAACGTATATGTATTTGTGAGTCGGTGTGGCAAGACTTAAGCAGGGATATCACTGAAAAGAAAAGAGAACAAGCTTTTAATTCAGCCCAGTAAGTCTTTCAAATACAAAGCGATATCACTGATTCTAAAAAAAAAGCATCGACCACAAAAAGTTCACAGAGCCGATCCTAAATACCTTAACACATGAATTGGCAATTACTTCATTAACCATCGTCCCTTATAAAATATTTCTAAACAGTAAACACAATTTGGTGAAATATGAAGCCAACAAATGAAGACTTTATTTCTAAAACGCATTATATATCAATTTGTAAAAAAAAAATGTCCACGATTATGAAACTAATAAAGAATAAAAACAGTTTTCCCATTGTTAATTTGTTAAATTGTATTTAACTACATTAAACCTGTCCAAACTGATTCTGGGCAGCCAGGGTAGGGTGGGATTCTCAAAGGTAATAAAATGGCATTTATTGCATTTTGGAAATAAAGTCTTCAAATACTTCCGATAAACGCAAACATTATGCAGGCTTTCAACAAAAGCGATCAACATGCAAGAAAAGATTACTTACTGTCTCGTCCAATGAGATCCACTCGCATGCTGATGGCGTGTTTCCATAGCAACGGTCGGAATCGAATGAATCGGGTCATCAAGGCGTTTCTGAAGAAATTCCTGACATGCCTCTGGCATCTGCATCTGCTTTCGAAGACCTGGCGTTCACAAAAATATGAAGAAAAAACTGTCAGTTTATACTTTAATATACAAAATCTGTGAACCAGTGGCCCGGGTTCAATTCCTGCCTTGGTCATTATGCAGACTGAGTCTTCTTGACTCTTCTGGGTTTTTCTTCCCACAACTAAAAGTGTAATTTCTTCATAATGTCTTCTCTTTACTGGGCCCCATGGGAGACCAGTGGATTCCACTGCTACCCATTTGAAATACGAATTAAATAAATAGACTGGATGATTTTATATACTAAAGGAAAGCTTACATTGTGGTCTTTCCAACCATATAAATAACTCAATTTCACTTGTATTTGTGCGACATTACACCCTTTTTTGTGGAGTGGGTCACATATCGTCGCAGAGCTGACAAACCGGCGAATCGACCATTTTGGCGATTTCGAATTTTTGTTATTTTTAGGGTTTATGAAGGTTGCTCTTTCAAGTATTTATGCCAAAATTCTTAATTTTTGTCTGGATTTTGAGATTCAGAGCCCCTCTTGTGGCGAATTACTCACAAAAACAAATCCATAATTTGACATAGTGACGAATACGAAATTTCGCTGGTAACCAGCTTATGTAAGGTGTGCGTTCAAAGTACCAACGAATGTTACTCGTCAGTTTGTCGGATTGGCGCGAGCGGCGCGCGCGCTCCGACAAACTGACGAATAGCATACAAACAGTGTGAAGAACAACCGGATATTGGGGATTAACATAATTTGACAAACTGACGAATACGTTTACGATCAAATAAAATCATATCACACAACTTCTCTGATTAAATAAGTGACCTGATGGATACTTAGTTTCCTATTTTATTCAGAATATATACAAAAAGGGTTTCTATCGAAACATTAAGGGTAAAATACGGCGCCCAGAAAAGTGTCCAACTTCAAACGCAAATTACTCCAAACAAGCTTTTCGCTTATTCGTCGGTTTGTCAGCTCTGCGACGATATGGGCTTTACGTAAAACCAAAGTATGGGCTTTACAAACGACCTGCACTTACATCAGCATTGCCCTGGTCGTCCGTCACGTACTCAAAGTTCTGGCCGTCGCTGCTGTACTGCACGTTGAACTGCTTGACGCAGCCCATGGGGGATCGGTCCTTGTCGGCAATCCCACAATGCCCCTGGCTGACCACGCCGATGACCAACGTCTCCTGGCCCAGGTCCACCTGCAGCCACTGGTCCTTGTCCGCGGAGGCGGCCGTCCAGGAGCAGGCGCCGTACTCCGTGTTGTCCAGACGGCCTTGGTGGGACACGTAGTCTCCGTGGGCGGACGATGCAGTCATTGCACTGTCGGGGATATTACGAGACTGCACGCCGAGGTAGCTGTTGAACATGACTGTTTCAAAGACAAGTAGGATCGATATATCAAACACGGCGTCTTAGATTCGTCAAAAACAGTCATGTGTCAAAATTGAAAAAAATCTGATGTGACATTATTTATATATCACTCAAACACTGTCTGCAATGCCATTTGCGTCGCAAATGTTGAACGAGGGAAGCTTTCCACTCTCTCCTGCCTATCTACATGACTGAAGTTTTCACGTTCAATGAGAAAAACACACAGTAATTAGAGATGATATTGCGATGACTTTAATAATTCACTTTTTGAAAGACAATGTCAAAACTGTCTATGGCAGCGTTGTGATGTAGTCGAGAAAGAAACCTACCACAAAGCATGTATATTATGCGAAGGACAGCCATATGCAATATTTCAGTTCATATACTTTAGTTTTCAGTTCATATATATAGTTTTCTGGGATGCTTGCATAATTTGAATATTGGTTGCATACTGACCACATTACAGAGAAATACTTACATGCCTCCACATGTTTTCCATCAGATGCTGCAGTTAGGAAGAAGAGGAGGAAAAGAAAATGTGTGACTTGGGTGAGCACAAAACTTTAATCAGGTCAGTGTAACAACATTTGCTATAAAATACTAACCGCCAAATCCATCCATTTCTGAAAATATCAGAAAAAGCAAATGTTGTATATTACCTTTAAGTTCCAGAAGTTGATTCGTTTGATAATTCATTAACTACAACTTAGATGCATGAGAATATACATTATTATCATAACTTACATTCTAGGACGACATTTATGGAGTATGCCCTCTTCCCGTCTATTCGAGAAAACTGGACCTCAGTCATGGGTTCGATAGAGTCGAAGTAGTCTGCCGCATAGACTACACCTGCTGCAGGATCACTCTCATCATCATAGTAGACAGTGCCACCGGCCGATATGAAACCGATGTAGTCGCCAGCGCGGACGGGAATCTTGGAGTTGTCGCACTCGCACAGGTCCAAGCTGTCATCTGCGATGGAGAGCCGTGCGCTGCCCACGATGAGAAACTTGCTTTCGTCGTTCGCGTGCTGACGCCAGACAATGAGCGTGACAGGCTCCATGGAGTCGGCGTTACGCTTGATGCTGAAGGAGCGGATGTAGCCCTCGCAGGCGATGGGACGGCTGAAATCAATGATGGCGTGTTGACCCTCATCCACGCTGGCCCGCAACTTGATCTCGTTGCCCATGCTGGACGGGCATACCGCTGGATAACATGATCAATTAAGGAACAGAAACACAATTCATATGAAGGATCATGAATAGAGGGACAAAGGGGCATTTTCCTCTTTTCTCCAACCTCCCCTCCCCCCCCTCCCCACCAAAAAATAAGAAGACTTACTCTGCAGAGTAAACTAAAACAAACAGTACAGCTGAACCATTATCTCTTCATTTTTATATTTGGGTATTTTACGTCCTCAAACTGCATTCACTTACGTTGGCACCTCGAGCAGCCTTCACCAACGTAATTGGAATCGCAGTGGCATCCATGGACTTGGTTCATGGAGCCGCAGAAGGCGTGCTCGGCGCATTTCACCGGGTGGCAGTTGGCCTGGCCGCCAGCCTCACAGACACAGGACATAGTACAATCATGGTTGATCCACTGCTGGTTAGTCTGCAAAAAAAAATAATAATTGAAGGCTAAGTAATGGGCCCAATTTCATGGAGGTTCTACGCAGAAATACTGCGCAGCAAGGTTATGTGCTACGCACGAGTCAGCTGAGATTGCTTTCAAGCAATGTACATATTTCACGAGATTTTAGCCTAGAGCTGTTTTTGTTCAGCAAATATTTTTCCTAAGTAGATTTTTCCTCGACAGCTCAGTGAAATTTGTCCGAGATTTATTCCAGGATCACCCTCGCACAGAATCCTGTCCATGTTATTAAAGGTAGAGTGTATCATTTGTCATTTGATTGAAGTTAACAAAAGTGCTCAAAATCTGAAGAATGGTGCTTGTCAACTAATATGATGAAGTTTTAGCTTAGCAAATGCTGTATAGTATTCCAAGAAAACAATATTCGAAGACCTCAATTTCAGTTCAAAACTGAGGTGCCGAGTCATGTTTTGAATTGCGCCTAAAATCAGCATCCGGGACACATTCTCTCACATTTTATGACGTCACTATTAATATTTTTGTAAAGAACAACTTAGCCAGAGAATACATCTCTGAAAGCAAGTTCACAATTTTAAATTACAAGGCACTTCAAGTTTCAACCAGAAGGAAGGGTCACATGATTTTGCATGTAATATCGAAAACGAAGACCCTGGATTATTCTATCGATTCCCGTAAAAGTCATGTTCAGATCTCTTATGGTTGATATTATGTTGGTTTCAAAGATTAAATCTATTAATCTTAAACATGACGTCACGTGACCCATGATGACGTCATCATGAAGTCACTTCATTTTTCATCCATAACACATCCCGGTCTAGGTACACACCAACTTTCAACCCAATCTGACCTGCAGTCAAAATAACCAGTCATTTCAAATCTCTCTCCCCCAAAACCACATCATAGGAAAATAACACTTAAGGTGGAAGAACAAAATGATTTACATGATAGTAGAGGTCACCGTAGCGACAGCCGCATTTGGTCTCTAGAATTGGCACGCTGTTCTCCATGACGTATCCGCTAGCAGTTTCGCAGCCCTCCACACAGCTCAACTGGCAGATGGCAGCAGCCATCGGTTGGTAGCAGGTAGCTTGGCAGGCGCTGGCGCAGATGGTGTATATGGAGCCTTGAGGACATTCGAACGCTGGGTGGGACAAATGAATTTCATTTTGTAATTTTCTTGTTTCTCATGTGGACGTGTGAGCCAAATCCACCATAAACAATCAGACACACAGAAACCAGGATGCGGTGGCAATGAACATTAATAGAACACAATGGTCCGATTGGTGTTATACCCAAAAAACCCTGTACGAAAAACAAAATTACGATGACATAAGGCCAAAAAAAAATACTTCTGCTTCCAATTACATGGCATTTGATAATACGGTCGGTAGGTAGGGAATTTTTTTGTGCCAATTTTGTTTTGTGCACGATCATATGGAGGCGTCAGCGTGTTCCAAGGGTAAAAGGTAGAAATTGATGGTTTTTTGGGGTTTTACCATTTTGTCCATAGAAAAAAATTAGGGCAGGGGCTGTCAGAATAGGGTAGGTAGGGAGGGGTCTGTTGACGCCCAGACTACTTACGGCAGCTGAGCTTCTCACGCCAGCCGATGATCGCATTCCCTTGCTGGAGGTACTCCAGCCTGTTCTCCACCAGGATGCGGTTGGCGTACTCTGTCAGCATGTTGCAGCGTATCTCGTCGTCAAAACTCCTGCGGGAGCACAAGTCGTAGATGCAGGTCCTGTACATCTCTTGCGGGTCAAACTGCTTGTGACCCACTGCGAACACACCTAAAATGGGTTCGGAAATAATCATATACTGTCACAGTATATTCAAATGTAACTTAAAACTTTGTTACTGTAGGCAGCATTTTTATTACAACAACCCAATTTTACGGATAGACTCTTGTAATGTTTGTCTGTTTTGTAAGTACCTGAGTTTTTTTTAATAAATTCTTCAGGGGTGAGATTGGGGGAAAATGAAAAATACATGAAATAATCAGCAGAAGAGAGTTTCAGGGTCGCTAAGGGCCATAGCAATGTAGCGTCTATGACATATGTTTGTATTTGTCTGAGAGCAACCCTTAAAATACCCATCACTTTTGTTCTGCATACACATTGATATGTAAAACCTCAGGATTCCAGGTTTCAAAGGCATTCTTTAAAATCTGAATAACGTACCATCAGGGTTTTGGATAGGCTCGCATGCATCCTTGACTCTTTGAAGGAGGCCGTCATCACTGTTGCAGTAGTCCAGATCAACACAATCATCACAACTGGGACATTCAAAAGGGTTGGCAGTCCAGGAGTCACCGAAATCGTTGATTTTGCTCGTCTACAAAAAAAAAGAGGAAAATAAATGATCATCAGTGTGGTACTTTCCTCACCTTCCAACTCTGTGGCTCAGGTTCGATTCCCATCGGATAAATATGTGGATTGGATTTTCAGTCATTACCTGATTGAGTAGGTTTCCATGCAATATTTACTTAGGGTTATCTCAAACATTTTTGTATTGCCTTCTCTTGACAGGTTTCTTCAGGCCAGATGAAGCCATATACCGATTTCAAACCTCAAGTATCTCAAATGAACCAAAGTAAATACTGTGCGTTTACCTCTGTTCCGTTCCTCATGATGAAAATGCCATCTTTGTGAGGTTTCATGCTGCAGTGAGGTTTTATACCGATTTCAAACATCAAGTATCTCCAACGAACCAAAGTAAATACTGTGTGTTTATACCTCTGTTCCATTCCTCATGATGAAAATGCCATCTTTGTGAGGTTTAATGCTGCCGCAGAGGCCGCACATGTTCTCTCCGTACAGGGTCCGGTCCACAAAGATCTTGTAGGTCTGCCTTCCATCCCACATGATCTTCATTCCATACTTTTCACTGCTAACCACCTTTAAGAAGAAAGATAGCGAAAATTAAATCCGAACACTGTCTATACTCACTAGCAGACCTGTATTTGCAAAAACAAATTCTTCTGTACTGAGACCCAGCTTAGCAGCTCTCTGAAAACTGTCCCTTTTACTCACCACATATTTGCCATCCATGTCGATATTGACGTCTTCGCCTGCGGAGCAAGGCACATTGTTGATGTTGTTGTTGATGACAACTTGCTTGTTCTGCAGGAGGAAGACTTCCTGGAAGACCAATGTAAGATTACATTTTTGTTTACTCTAAAAGTCAGTTTGTTACAACTGAATTGCCAATCTCTAACATGATGGGTATGGCCAAATCCATGCAGAAGTGGACCCAGCTGAAAGTTTATAGTTTATGAAATCTTCGGAATTACAAGCATCACAGCCTCAAAATGTGGTACCGAACGCACAGGGACCTTTTACTTGAATGGTGTGCCAGTGATGAGATGGAATATGGTAAAATGTATCTTTTTTTTGTCAAATGGAATGGACCATTTACAGCATTGGCATAAAATGCCAACAACACACTCTCTCGACATGTGCAAACCCGTACAATGGGAATAAGGCAGCGACAGTAAAGTTTTGCATTTTTTTTCACACTGAGGGCATAGTCATGTGCTGAGCCAACATGGACATTATAACTGTAGTAAAGGTTACTGATGGTGAATCTCAGTTGGGCTGGACATGGCAAGGTTGGTTTTCTCTTCGTTTCTGTGCTTTACCGTTCCGCCAATCTGGACCTCCAGCTGTCGATTGAAGGAAACTTTCTTGTTCCATTCGGGTGCCACGTTAACGCCAACGATCTTGAAAGTCCTAATGAATATAATGACAAGAAAGTGACGCAATGACAACTGTGTTCCAGGATCAGTGACGAAACTGACTGAAGAAGTGTGAGAATGAAATTAGGGTTACAGGGATGTAATAAACACAACAACCAACATCAAATGACACAAACACAGCATACAAAGAAAAAATGACGCAAACTGAGCAACGCATACATATCAAATCCTTTGTGGTCAAAAGGACCCCATGTAAACTGGCCAAAGCGCACAGCCAGATGACCTTGGACACATAGAGATAAGAGCTCCCGGGCTCTGTGTATATACAGTAGCGCTGCCTAGCACGTGTACAATAAACAGACCCTACGCACTGAGCCATTGAGCAACGGCAAATTTTATTGGAGTTTAGATGTACAATTCTTTAGTAAATGAATACACGCGAGCCTAAACTTTAACCAATCACAATAAGGGTTATATTGTTGGAAAGCTGACGAGACGAAGAAAAATGACTCGAGAGATCTAAGCTCCCAGGTGGGGCTATTTAACGTTATGATGATGTTAATGGACCAGTTCTTGGCTGAACGCTCGGTTTACACACAAAACAGGGAGATTTTTGACTGAAAATGCAATGTTTAACATCAATTCGCGAGTGAAACTCAGTGTTTTATTCAGTTTTTCTTTCATTTTCTGAAAGAGTATATTGTCAGGGTCACACTGTAGTGAGATCTAAGGTATACCCTGTCGAATAATGAAGTGGTGGCGACAGATGTGAAAAAAGGCCTGTTTTCAATGATTTTTTTCGCCGCGTTCTCTCATAGAGGTTGCACATAAAAACTGGCCCGGTGGGTGAGTTCCCCAAAGGAATTCATATGAACAGACAAAGGAACAAACTAACAAACAGATAGGCAATGTCGAACCCACCTGTCGGCATCTTCCACACAGGGCTGTGCCAGGATGTACTTGCACTTGCCCTGGTAGTTGAAGCACCGGCCGCTGAACTGAGTGTAATGGGGATCTCCCCAAGCACGGCATAGGGCATACTCTGAAAGCACAGTCGTTAAACACTTTTAAAACGTTACCATTATTTTCAGTAGCCCACTGGGCTAGTTGACTAAGGCCACAAAAAAAGGCTCCGGTTTCTGGTATGCGCGCGCGTCGCCGTAGCCATGCACGTCGGCAAAATGAAAAAGGTTTTTTTCAATGAAAGATGATGTCTCAAAACCGCCAAACTCACTCGTTTAACTGGAATCCTGCTGCTGCACAATTTTAACGTGTTTTTAGATTGGGTTATGGTCGACAATAAGCTTTATGTGGCCTCTCTGGACTCCCATATATTTGCACTAAGTTTAGTCGGGCACCATTTGCAGTCATCAGCCGACATTTGAAGCAAAAAAATCAGGTAAAAAAAAAAAAAGCCGCGTCGCCGCACCACATTAGGAAGGAGTGACTGATAATTTTTTATGATGGCAAGGTACTCTCACCGTGTTCGCAATGTTCGCCATGGAACCCGGCCCTGCATGCACACCGGTACTCCGAGCCGCTGACAGGGACGCATTCCCCACCCCGGGTGTTGCACTGATGCTCTAGGCAGGCGTCAGGGATGAAGTACTTCTCTTGCTTTTCTGGCAAGCACTGGTATTTCACCTGTGGGACAGGGCGTGTTAAATACAACTAGGAATTAACTCAAACATTTTTAAGGTAGGAAATGGTAAAAGGTTTGTGATATGTGATCATAGTGTCTGGGGTTTTAACTCTAGCTCCCTGTTCGTTTGTTGTGTACTTGAGCAAACCACTTTACCCCAATTGTCTTTCTAAACCTAGAAATAGTTGTGTTTGCTGGAGAATCGCCTCCCTCCCCCTGGGGCAGTGGAAATATTGGGGGATAGGTGGCAAGAGCGGCCTCCCCCCAGTGTAGATTCCTCAAGAGGTACAATGAAATTATATTTTGCCCTTCACCGACATATAAACAGTGTATACTCAGTGTGTTACCTCCCCAGTGAAAGTTGGAAAAAATCACTCGGGTGGGACTTGAACCCATGACCACCTGCTTTCTAGTGCAGATGTCTTACCACTCGACCACCGAGCTAATGGGATCGGTTGGCTGGTGAAGTGCAAAACCAAATTTGATTTACATCACCCCGACGCAACAATTCCATCTTATGAATAGTTAATACGGTACCCGCTGCTCTATACATCAGATTCGAACCAACCAAACATTGAAGAAGTACACTGTAATACAAAATATGTGTGAGTAAATAAAACTGCTTTTAGGCCCTACAGGGCAGTTGAAAACCACCCCACATACCACGGTTTTAGTGTTCTGCAGTGTCGGACAGTGCAGTAATGGACAACTAAGGGAAAACAAAAAATATATCTAGTTTAAAAAGAAAATGCACCTTCAAGTATTTGAAAGTTCCAGAGCAAGGATCTCCGAACACACCGTTGTTCACTTCCACGCGGCATGAGTGAGCCCCATGGCAAAGCTTGCCGATGACACTCCGGGATTTGGGTGAGAAACACTCGGTTGAGCGCATGGAATCACCAGGGCAGACGTCGGTGCTGCTTCGCCCGTAGTTGGCATTGATGATGTTGACGTACTTGCTGCCACAGTTGACGTAGGCAGTTTCATGCTGGCAGAAGTGTTGAACTGTACGTTAAGAGAAAACGTTTTCAAAAGTTGCAAAGAAAGCAGCCTAGTCTTGTACTTCCGAATCAAGTTAAAATGTTGTAAAACCCAAATGGATAGAAAGCCGTCACCTTTGACCCAAGGATTACCTTTGGAATGGAAGCTGTTGAACCAAAACTTTCCCCTACTGCCATATCCGGTCGTGAAAGCCACATATTTCCAGTTTTTTATTCTTGGTGGGCACCAGGAGAGTGACTGACTCGCCCCAGCACGTCCAAGACGGAAACAGCCATCGCTCCAGTCCACCCAGTATCTGTATAAACAAATTCAAGCACAACCAATCATAGTATTTGCAGCATTTATGGACACTCTAAAGGTATTTGCAGGAAGTACTAAAGGTACAGTCTATCATTTGTAATTTGTGCATTTTGTTCGTTTAAAGCAATCAAAGTTCTCAAAATCTAAAGAAGGGTGCTGAACAACTGACCTGATGAAGTTTCAGCTCAGCTTCAGCTGTACATTTCGAGAAAAACAACATTGTAGGATCTCGATTTCAAATCAAAAGTTGCTGAATCATGTTTTGAATTGGGCCTGAATTCAGCGTCCGAGACATGTTCTCACTGGGCCGATTGCAGCTCTGTGATGTCGCGCACTGATCCGACAAATTATAGCAACCGCGCACGCGTGTGCGTCGTGTCAAAGCTTGCGCGCACTTTGCCGAATAAAAGAAATACAAACGGAAATTTCCAACGATGTCTTTAGACGCATCGTTGGAAAGGCCTTCTTTCGTTGACTTCTTCAAAATGACAGCATGCCATAAAGAATAATTGCACAGGGTGTTAAGTGCCATTACTATCTTTCAACCAAGTATGCTTTTCAACAATTATTACGTCAGTTACTTTTTGGATAGCTGCAAATGATGGACTGTAGCTTTAAATCATGATCACAAGGATCTTCTTTTATTTCTTTAAAAATGAATTCTGACTTAACGCATGTACTTCTGTGCTGGGTTGAGATAATTTATTGAATGGGTTTTCTTTTTGATAATGAGTCTTTTGCAAAGATGTTCAACATTTCAAACCTATCCTTTTGTTTAGATTTACATCAATGATAAAACGGATAACTTTACGCTAGAAAATTTGAAAATCTCGTTTCGAATTATTTTTTTTCAGAATGCCACGCTCCACATTGGTAAAATCATCAGTAACAGTCAATCCTTGAACCCAAAATTTCAAGCACAAAATAAATTCAGAGAAAAAAAAACAAAGACAATTTAGACATTGGACAGCTTGTCCTAAGTTCCCACCCTTTTGATTCCTCCCAGCTGACTACGTTGTTCTCTTTCCAGATGGCTTGGGGCGTGCACTGCTTACACTTGCGGAACACTGTTTTGCTGTTTCCCCATCCACCCATGTCTGAAAAAAAAATAAGAAAACTAGAGATACTATGTCTGTTGCAACAGAACAAAGGGCTTATTCACATTATGCTTACTTATTAGTAACATTTTGTCATTGTACCAAGTTTGAAGTCAAACCGATGAAAGGAAGTGTACACATTTTGGAAGCAGAATAAAATTTAAAATATTAAAAACATCATTAACAATCAACCGATGAAGTCATTGTGATGTCACGTTGGTCTTAATTTGCATACCAGTACCATTATCTACCTCCCCACCAATTTTCATGGCAATCGGACCTTCCCTTATAAGTGTTTAAAAAAAAATCACATTTTTGATGACGTCATAATGGCGTAACACATTTTCCAAAATTGTGTGCATATACCTATTACCTAACAAACACAAAATAACAAGAATTTTGAATGGAGCATCTTGCGTTCGTGAGATATGGCTTAAAGATCCAAAACTTCATAAAATTCATATAAAATCGCATGAGTCTACCTACATACCGAGTTTCAACCCAATCCGACTTACAGTTCTGTAGATATAGGACTTCAAAATATACACTTTGTGATGACGACACGTGACCCATGATGATGTAAAAAATTGACGTCATCGTGACGTCACTTCAAGTTTCATCTATAACACATCCCGGTCTAGGTACATACCAACTTCAGACCAGTAGTTCTGGAGATATAATCCTTCAAAATATGCACCTATTTTGTGATGTCACGTGACTCATGATGACGTCAATGTTCGGCACACATGGTCTAAGTGTGCGCCAAGTATAAATGTACACACTTAGTGCCGGGAACAAAAAAAATGTGTACAAATGCTATGGGCCGAAATGACTGAATTTAAAGGAAAAAAGGAGAAGAAAAAATCTTAACGAAAACAAAGGCTGTTTCGGCTGGTTGCCGAAACACAGCATGGCTAAAGACAGCATTGACAGTGTCTGGGCTCATTCTGCACTTACTGAGTTCGACCAAGTCACTCTGCTCCCCCTTTGTTTCTGAGAATCCCAGAAAAACGTCGTTGTGGGCACGAACTTCAAACTCCACCCGGAAATCGCCATTATCCAAGGGAGGAAGGTCGTAGCGGTAATGGTATTCGGTGTTGGTCTCAATGAGCGGGATTTCTGCAGTTAAAGCAAAGGTAATGAATTTGATGCAATTTACATGACTCTTTGACTACCACATGTTACAGCCACAGCATAATCAGAGTCTAATTGAGTCCTCTTACAAATACATTAAAAAAAATTATTAGAAGGCGTTTCCATGTAGTCAGAGTCCTACCCATAATCAAAATAATGGCATCTTTGTGAATACTTGGCCAACACACTGTCACGTTGATTCGAATATCTTTTTTTTAAATTTTTTTATTTTAGTACTTCCTTTATTCTTCACTGAGTGACCATAAACTATTGAGAAGGACCTCTAGAACCTAACTTGGCACTTGGTACTCGGTTGGTTCTCCTAAATACTCCACATGGGAGTTTTAACTGGAGGCCAGAAACACCGGGGCAAACCCCTTCTCTTTGCGATAAGTGTTACTGGGTTCTTTTTACGTGCATTGCATTACACAACACGCGGGATCTACGGCTTTACGTCACATCCGAAGGACGAAGCAATAATGGTTAAGTGCCTTGCTTGAGGGCATAAGTGTCCAGACCCGGGCTCAAACCCACATTCTGCTGCCATTGAAACACCATAGCATGAGTCCGGTGCGATACTCTTAACCACTAGCCATGACACTCCACACTACAAAATGTAACAAAAATCTTAAGTGAATACTGACCTTGTTCTCCATGAACTGGGCCTCCTTTACCTAAGAAAGAATCAAGGAGAAATGGTAATATTTAATTAGTACCTGGTTAACTCTTTACTCTTTTATCACTGTAGGGCGTGAAACCACCGTGCCTATGGGTTAAATTACATGTGTATGTCCCCTATATGCAGGGAGGGCATTGGCCGATCCAGGGGAGCATGCCCTGGTGTTAGATGGGAAAGAATGTTGCAACCTGACGCTACTTCAGTGGTTGTGTACAAAGTCTATGGAGCGTCAAGAACATTTTCTAAGTATTTCTTAACAAAATTGGAAATGTTTCTCAGTCCCAAATTCATGTCTCATTATCATTTTTGCTTTGACGGACCTTCATTGAGATGATATATGAAGAAACAAGTCAGGTGTGTTTACAAACACAAATGCCCCACAACCGTGACTGTTCCCATGACATAACACCACTCTTTTAACATCAACTTATGTACCTTGGTCACATGGAACGTTCATTGACAGCATTAGTGTCTTCTGTAGGTTTTATATGAATTAATCCCGAATCCCTATGATCTCAGAATAAATACAAGATTTCTATTGTTTTAGCCACTGTGACCTTGACCCTTGACCTTTTGGCCCCAAATGCAATAGGCTTCTTAGGATTGCCAAGGACAATCCACAAACCAAATTTGAAGTTCATATGTAAAGTATTTCTCAAGTTATCACGCTGACAAAATTTCTTTTGTTTTAACCACTGTGACCTTGACCCTTGACCTTTTGGCCCCAAATGCAATAGGCTTCTTAGTATTGCCAAGGACAATCCACAAACCAAATTTGAAGTTCATACGTAAAGTATATCTCAATTAAGTTATCACGCTGACAAAATTTCTTTTGTGTTAGCCACTGTGACCTTGACCCTTGACCTTTTGGCCCCAAATGCAAAAGGCTTCTTAGGATTGCCAAGGACAATCCACAAACCAAATTTGAAGTTCATATGTAAAGTATTTCTCAAGTTATCGCACTGACAAAATTTCTATTGTTTCAGCCATTGTGACCTTGACCCTTGACCTTTCGGCCCAAAATGCAATAGGCTTCTTAGGATTACCAAGAACAATACACAAACCAAATTTGAAGTTCATATGTAAAGTATTTTTTCAAGTTATCGCGCTGACAAAATTTCTTTTGTTTTAGCCACTGTGACATTGACCCTTGACCTTTTGGCCCCAAATGCAATAGGCTTCTTAGGATTGCCAAGGACAATCCACAAACCAAATTTGAAGTTCATATGTAAAGTATTTCTCAAGTTATCGCGCTGACAAAATTTCTTTTGTTTTAGCCACTGTGACATTGACCCTTGACCTTTTGGCCCCAAATGCAATAGGTTTCTTAGGATTACCAAGAACAATACACAAACCAAATTTGAAGTTCATATGTAAAGTATTTTTTCAAGTTATCGCGCTGACAAAATTTCTTTTGTTTTAGCCACTGTGACATTGACCCTTGACCTTTTGGCCCCAAATGCAATAGGCTTCTTAGGATTGCCAAGGACAATCCACAAACCAAATTTGAAGTTCATATGTAAAGTAATTCTCAAGTTATCGCGCTGACAAAATTTCTTTTGTTTTAGCCACTGTGACATTGACCCTTGACCTTTTGGCCCCAAATGCAATAGGTTTCTTAGGATTACCAAGAACAATACACAAACCAAATTTGAAGTTCATATGTTAAGTATTTCTCAAGTTATCGCACTGACAAGATTTGTCCGGACACACACCCACCCACCCACACACACACACACACCCAGACTTGTTTCACATACCTAGTGTGGACTTTCCTTTCTTTTCGTGTAGTTAAGGAACACCAGTGGAAAAACTCATTTTTCTCAAACTGTGAAAACTCTTACAACCCAATTTTTTTTCAATGATTCCCTTTAGTGTTTCTCTTCATTCTGCTACAGATAAACCTAACCCAAAAATGCCTCTAAACCTGTTTTCCAGAAATGGGGAAACACTGTGTGGACGTGGGCAAGTCCACACAACGTCGGTGCTACCTACATTATGTGGACGTCTTTTGTTCGGAAGTCCACACTGCGTATGTAAGACAAGCTCACACCCACCCACACACCCACCCACCCACGGAAGGACAAGGCGGAAACAGTATGGCCCTTCGGCTTCGCCGCGGGGCATAAAAAGCAGCGTCAGGTTGCAACATTCTTTCCGTTAGATGCTATCTGCCTGTGGGTGGGGGAGAGTTGTTGGACAGTGAAAAACCTCTGACCTATTTGCATTTTCTATCACTCTGCACCATCTTGTTTAAATGTTGAAATTTGACAATTTAAATAGTATAAAGGCTTTAACAAGCCAATTGGTGAAATGGAGCATTGACATTGTTACTTGAATTTTTTTTTCTTGAGAGGTGTTTTTTTGTTCAATGTCTGTTTGTTTGTTTTTGGTTTGTTTCCTTTTTGTTTTTGTGTTTTTGTTTGTTTGAGTTTTGTTTAAACACCTTATTTGTATTCGTGTAGTAGGCCTATATACTGAAGAAGTGTTGGACTGGTCTTTTAAATGTATACGCTAATGTTCAGAGCTCTAGACTACAAATGGCTTCTATTGGCCTACACAACTTACACCTGAGTGGGCCAAGCTCGTAGTAGCCATATTCGTCATCATCGAATGTACCAGTGTCACCAAAGCGCAAACTGGAAACGGGCAAGTGAGATTTGTCTCTCAAGAATCCAGAGTCCTCATTGTCTGCGTGGATGTTGCAGTCTGCGTTGCACTGCATTCCTTCCTTGCAGCCTGAATGAACAGACAAGAAAGGAAACGAAAAATGTTAGCCGAAAAAATTGAAAACAAAAGAAATACTGGGCCCCACAGAATATTCCAAATTGGACATTGTGCGTTTGTTTTAGGCTTCAGTCAAGCTTAACCAGCTGAGGTAGCAGACAAATGGAATTTATGAACTTTTTTCTCTCTTGAAGTTGAACACAATTCATTCTTTTCACTTAAGTTTAGAACTAGAAGCAGAAATATTCCCATATCTAGCCATCACTAATTTTTCCTTTCACTTTCAGTGACCTATCAGCCATCAGAATGTGATAATAATAGGCATATGTCCTGAGTGATAAATCAAATTTACCAGGGAAAATATTGAAGTATTTTATCTACTGTGTTCCTTCCTCCATGCTGAGAAACACTTCTAAATTTTCAGACTAGTCTCATACCGTTTGTGCACAGGGTGAAAAGGGATGGCCAGATATGGGAATCTTTCCCTAGAACTAGTACTAGTAGAAGCATGTCCATGGCTAGGGGGGGGGGGGGGGGGGGCCTATATAGTCGTGTTCCCTAACGTGGCGCACTTCGAAGCTTACCCACATTTCCTTGTGTAGTGTTGCCAAACCTCTTTGTTGACAAACCTCAAATTTATGCAGTGAAATACTGGTACTTTTACCTTATTAATGCTTGCTGTTTAACCTTTGTGAACAATTTCGGTTTCATAAAATTTAAGCCGAAATTAAAAAACGGTGGCGTCCGGAAATTGGGCACAATTTGGCGGAGTGTTCCCTAACGTGGCGCACTTAAATAAATCTCGGAAAATTCCAAATTAACATTTAAGAATCTCTGAAAACTTGATAAATTCTGATAAATCATTCTTATCTCTACTTACATACCCAGCCAGATGTTTGTCACAAAATTATTTTCTTATTTTTCGGGGCATTTTCAAAGGGTTCACTTTGCACTTGAAAATGAAATCGGAAAATCACGCCAAAATAAGTTTTTCTTTTAACTTTGTAGCGGGTAAATAAATTCGCGATTTATGAACGGGAGTGTTTATAACTTGATGAAATTTCACTTTCTGTGAAATTTCAGTTAAAACTTTTGCTCTAGCTAGGCGCTACAGGCGAAAAATCAAAGTGCGCCACGTTAGGGGCCGCGCCACGTTAGGGTACATCAACAATACTGGAATTTCAAATATAAGTGCACATTTTGCTATTCAAAAAGTTAAATTTGTGTTGGCCTTGACAATTCTACCAAAACTTTAGTTTAAGTATCATTTTTCATCTTTTTGTTTTTGTAAATCATGTCTGAAAACAAGATTAAACGTTTCAAAAAAAAAGTACAGGTATTCATTTAACAACGGTACGGCATGGGTACGGTACCAATAATGCGCACGTACGTTGGGCATGTTGCGCTGGCAGCCGGAGGCAAAAATGAAAGGCCGTATCGTCACGTGTTTTATTACATGTGCGTGCAGACGAAACATTTTCAACATTTCGGAGGACATTTAAAACTAGGTTTTAATGAGTTCGCAAGAGTCTTTAGTTCTTAATTTCTGTTTAAACAAAGTCACAAAGTAACGGCTTGGAAGTTGTCAATCTTAACTTACCCAGTACAGCCTCAATTTTTAGGTTTTTAAAAACCGCCACTGATATGTGGCGAAAATTCTCCAGCACATGTGCATGCTAGACCAATTTTGGTCTAGGGCGCCCTCTCTTGACAATTTACACGCTTTTCCATTTACCCGTAACACGCATGCGTGATTCATTATTTTGAGTGAATTTTCTTTCCTAAAATGTGTTTAATCATTATCAAGTCCTAAATTTATCGATGGAACAAAATTTGACTTTTTATTCTTTTACACATGACTCTGGAGGAGCCGTAACTGACGCATACGCATTATGGTCGCTGACTATTTTGGTTGCACAAAAAAATAATTGCCACCGTACCGGCGCGACGGAACTTCAAAGTCTGAACAAGACGTCATAACAAGCTTAACAACAGATTCACACGAGATTTTTTCGACTTTGGGATTTGGGTTTTTTGTTATTATTTTATTCCCGTGTAGGCTTCGGTACAGTAGTTTGACTCAGTCACCGTAATAATGTAGGCCTACCGTAGTGAAAGCGCCGGTTCAGCTGTGATTGATATTAGAAATTATGTCTCCGGGAAAAGTTGTCGCCTCAGTTATCACATTTCACCGGGCACATTTTTCGACATGTCATACTGATGCGAGATGTAGTCTAGCTATTTTTCCGAAAGTGTGTCCACACATACACGGATGCTATCAGTGCACGGGACTTTTTTTCCACTGAGCCCCCGTAGTACAGGGCCAACGTATCCGCACCGGGGATATTGGTCTCAATTCCGGTCGCACTTACTGGGTGTTCAAAGCGAATCCGCAACGTAAAAGTGGTCAAATTTTCTTCCAGAAATGAAAGTCGAATGGCACAACAAGACCGTATTTTGAGGTATAGCGCGAACTTCCTGTTTGCCAAGTCGCCCTTGCGCTAAGTTGTTGAAAAACTATTCACTGCAGTTCAGAATTATTGATTAAGGATCCTGTAATCAAAAAGCGACTGGAAATTTAAAAGTCTGTCTCAGGTGACGACTTTAAAAAATAAAAATTAAAAAAAGTGTGAAAAAATACACTCAGACTACGTCCACTTCAAAGTTCACAAGCCAGAAAATCGCATTTTTTTAATTCCTTTACAAATAAGGAAATATTTGAGTGGAATTCAAATAAATATACTTAACCTGTAGAGCTGACGCTGCAGCCGCATCCATCCGTGCCTGTGGGGGCACCGCCCCAGTTCGTCATTGTGCGTCCGTATCTGTCCTCCCACCAGCCATAGATTCGGTTCTCGACTCTCCACCGCATCACACTACCGTGGGCCTGCGGATCGGGGGAGGAAAGGGCCGGGGAAAAAACATTTGATTCAGGTTAAATTCGGAAGTTAGGCTTAAGTCATGATTATTTTTAATCCGTCGGAAAAATGCAATCAAGGATGGGAATTAATTCGCGGCAAACGTTATTGAACGCCCAACGGCGGATCTGGGGGGAGGGCCAACGGGAGCCATGCACGCTTCCCCCCCCCCCCCCCCAAAAAAAACGAACCCAGCAAATTTTTTGTTATTTTTTTTTATTTTTAAAGTGATGTCGCAAAATAAAAAAGGCAGCTACTGCGTACATCACCATCTTTTGCTTAAGAAAACGATTCGGGGCCCAACTTCAAACATGAAGGAAAGCTCAGGACCGGAGGCTTTAAATGTTGACGAGAAGGCATGAAGAACACGCAAAAGGTGAAAAGTACAATTGTGAAGGTAAGAAGTCGAATAAATTGAAATTCCCGTGATAAATTTCGTCGCCAATGTTTCGAGAGGTCTAATTTATATTTTGAGTGAAGTATAGGAACCCGTCCTTCACGTGCACTTTTCACCGAGCAAATTAAAACGGGACAACAACGCACCTATGGTCCTCCAGTGTCAGCGCTGTTTTCATTTCACCGCTGTGGGCGAATAATTATGATAGGCCCATAGAGCTATATTTAATTACTATATTAAACTCCTCATTCTTGCGCGCGCGGAGATGCTTTGAAGCCGCTCTGGGCGCAGACGTTTTGAATTTATGTGCGTGTTTGTAGAACACAATCAAAATAGATGGATTGAATTTTAAAAGTGTACTCTAAATGCAACGCGCAAGTAGAAGTTACGCAAACAACTTAAGCGCGTTATGACGGTTCAAAAAACGTCACGGCGAAAAGCATATGCAGCGGAGGGGACGCGCACACGTTGCGCTGTTTGCGCAGAGCAAAATGAAACGCTCATTTGCCTGATCGTGCGTTTCGGTTTTGGGCGTATCGGCTTCGATGACGCACCGGTATGGAATACAAACGCAGATATGCAAATAGCCGTACAAAAGCCTTACAAAATTTTGAGTTTTCCATAGGTTTGTGCACAAACATGGATACGCCCATCAGGCATTTCTTTGTACATCGAGTTAGCGCTCTAGTAATAATATAGCTCTATGGATAGGCCCCAGTGTAATGAAAACTTATAGCGCCGGTATCCGCCGAGTAAAACGCTCATAATAGTGCGTTCTACAAGAACAAACAATCAAAACGTATATGCCATAAAACTGAAAGAGTGACATTTGTCTTGAGAAATTATTTGAATGATTGGAATAAAGAACACTGTCGTAGTTTAAGTGAAAGAATGTTCCAGAGTTTGGGAGAGGCGTGTGAGAATGAACGATCCCCAACGAGTCTGGCAGTGGCTGAAGTAAAAGGAATTGGAAAAGGTGTCATAAACCCAACTTTTATCCGAATGTTATGAGTAATCACTTATTGGACCCGCTTTTCTAAAGCACACATATTGATATACATCTAGAAAAGAAGACAGTTTACTCACAACGTAGCTGATGAACTGCTCGCAGTACTCCGAATTGTCGGCCAGGGCAATAACTTGCTTTAGTCCGGCGTTATAATTGATGTTGGCGGTGAAGCTTCCAGGGTCTTCGCAGTTGTCCACCAGGCGATCTTCTCGGTTCTCAAACTCGTGATCGTGGTGGACGATGGTTATCGCTGGTTAAAAGAAAAAAAAAACATTAGAAATGAGAAGGTTGAAGTCATGAGTACCGTGTTTTTCATGGTTATTTCCCCTCCCCCTCAATATTAATGCCAGGACCATTTTTGACTATAAAATATCGGTCAAATTTTGGAAGCAGTGCTTCAGGCACTGACACCATTTATCTAAATTATGTTTATATAAATTATGTGGTTAAATATAAAAGCCAACAAATTCACAAATGTCTTCATCTATAGTGCCATAACTTTGTCACTCTTTGCAAATCCAGATTCTGGTGGATTTATAACGTCGACTATAATATGATTCTCCGTATTCTTGAGCACGTATTTTCCCGAATGAAAAAAATGCTAAATTACTCAAAAAACTATATATGCGCAAAAGTTTAACTTATGGTCTTTGCTCAAGCTTATTTGGAAAGTGTCTAAAATTAATACTTAATGTTAGACCAACTTAACAATTATAAAAATGCCTACTTACGTTCGCTTCCCGACATGTCGCAGTACACAGACATCACACCATTTCCTGGGTCGATGTCATAGTCACCACTGTGTGAAGACCCTCTAGCCTTAACATCAGCACAGGAGCAAGGATCATCTGGAAATAAATAAAAATTTATTCATAAGAAAATGCTAATGGTCTGCAAGCAGGGGCGGAGCTTTCAGGAAACGAGGAGGGGGGTTCATTTGAACTTTGGTGAGGCGTGCCGAGGGTCTTGCTGCGGGCCCCGGGACAATTCGGTTTTAGTGTGTGGTTTGTTTGGTTCTGTTTTCTTTAGTTAAGTTGGTTTTTCCGCCGGCACGGTTTAGTTTGGTTTGTTTAACGTTTGGTTTGGGTTTAGTTTGATTTGGTTCGGTTCGCTTCAGTTTGATTTGGTTAGGTTCGGTTCGGTGTGGTCTGATCTAGTCTGGTCTTGTTGGTTTTGGTTTAGTTCCGTTAATAAATAAAACACCAATAGATCCGGATGCAGTTCGAGGGAACTTCTTACCGCAAGTGGCACGGTGTAATAAACACACGACCAGTAGCGCGACAAGCCATGTCGCCTTCATTTTTGGCCCAACGGAGATTGTCTGCTCCGTGTCGTTTGGGGGAAACCAGTCAGGGGGAAGATACTGCCGCCTGCCCCGTTGCTCTGAAGGCGTCACTGGGGTGCTCGTCCAAGTAAAGTAAAACGGGTGATTCAGAAAGAACCTAAACAAAGAGACGTCATTATTCTAGGCATACAACAACAACATGCATGAGATTATGAGGTGTACTTCTCATCATACCAGGCTCACGGTAGATACAACACGGATAATTGGTAATCACCACAGTTTCCACAGTGTTAGGTTATAGTCAAACTTTTCATTAAGTCTCGACATTAGCTTATTGAAGGGGTAACGGGCATTCCCCGATAGTGAACTGACGTATCATTTTGATGTATATAGCAATAATGCACAGTGCTCAATACACGGCGTTTGAGCAACTGTCGTTGGTAATGAACGATGCCCTAACCAGAGTACAATCAACAATGAAAATCACTTTCTGTTTATTATACCAACAAAAGCCATTTTAACAGAAGTGTACACTTTATCTCCCTTAGAGTGAGTAAAAAAACGAGCTGATTCAACAGAAAATGACAATATAATAACGAGTTAAGAGCGCGAAACTTTCAAATTTTGTGTCTTTCCACTACAAAAACTTTCTCCTACGGGTACGGAGCACATAATGCAGGAGAAAGGACACCTGGGCTATGTAACTTGTTAAAAAGTTCTTTAACAAAATTACCATTAGTGCGAGGTTCAAAGAAAGCACGTACCTGTCGTGGTTCTTTCTGTTCGGGCAGGATGGCAAGTGATGCTAACTCCTGTTCACGTTATCTCACAAGATAATCCCACCACAGTCTGCTGAAATTCCTAACCCGCCAATTATGATAAAACAAATCAATGTAATCCTGTGCGCGGGTGGGAAGGACGTCAGCGCATTGTTTTAAAATCGCGGGGCGCGAAAACATTGACGCCACTCGGATCCGTATAACAGACTCCACCAATCAGCAGACTCGGTAGCGCCTTTTTCTATCGATGATGGCCAAAGCCGATTTAACCCGACTACAGACAATGATTTGAATCGATTATTCAATTCAATTGCTCAAAATCTGGTGGAAAAATGTCACATTCAAATACATGTACCATGGCCATTACAAAAATCATTAGGTATAGAGTACGCAAGTGGTTCGGGAGAGAATTTTTAAAAAAAACTCGTACGAAAAAAACAGCAAGAATGAGGAAATGAAGTACTTTGTTGAAAACTTCTTACAATTATTGAAACGTAGGTATACAAATCAAATATTTCTCTAAACGTCTTTCATTTCTGGTACCTGTTGTGTCAGTTCTACCGAAACAGCGTTGGTTTTTCAAGCATTACGAAAAGTTATGTGTATGTTCGAAAGACCTGATTTATATGAAAAGGGTATCAATCTAGCTATGTTTCAATTTATGACAGTTTTATGTAAAACTCAAAAGGTACCAACAATTTGTCGATATAATTATAACCAGATGTGTTATTATCGATCGTTGATTGTTATAAATCAAGAGACAATCAAATTAAACTTGAACCATATGCACAAACGGATACTTTGCAAGGACGAAAACAACGTTCCCACACAAAGGCTTTTATTTGAGGTATTTATTGATTGGCGATGTCGGTCCATTATTGATAATTTTACAGGGGAAATTATTGGAAATCTTGAAACTAGCCTCAGTTCGATTAGTCCAGGATCCAGAGGTAAACTATAACAACCGGGCAGACAGCCAGACACCACTGAATAAGGACATTCTGCACGGTCCTGATTTATCAGTTTCACATGTTCTGAAATTTCATTGGTTGCCATGCACCATGGTGAATGTACATTCCTAAGTATGATTGGCCGGAGTCAAGCGTGTGCTCATAAATATTCAACTAAATTTGACCACTCGGTTGAGGTCATCAGTACCGAAAGCTACCTCGAGGCAACCACGTCCCCAATGCGTCAGTATGCTACCATTCGCTACTATTTTCGAAGCGGTTGAAAGTAGACCTGGGAACGAGGCTTGCCTTCACGCAGGGTGGCAAAAATCTACCTCAATTTTAGACTGAGCTGGTGTCCCGGGCAACATGTTGGGTATTAGTGCCCGGCGCTTATGTAAAATGTGTCCCAGCTGTGACAGAATAATGGCGCCAATGCAACTGCGTCAATCTGCATATAAAGATTAACATAATGCAAACTTAGAGCTTTTGGCTGGGTGTGATTCGTCAGACACACCCACAGGTTTATCCAATCAGATTGCTATACTTTCGACTGACGAATGTAATAAGCGTGGGGGCTTCATTGGATGTAATTGTGCTGCGGGTGGCGAGTTAGTGTTTTAACTCTTTGAATGTTATACGCTATTATAGCTGGTACACCCCTATATACTACCGCTTTCAATATACTGATAAACATGGAAAACATCTTAAAACATTGCTGTCTTTATTCGCCGGCGCAAAGTGCCATCAACGATCCATGAGGTGAACTTAATAAGAATCAAAGACATCAGTGTTCCCTTTATTGCAAGGTATAGACAAAGAAAAGGACCGATGCGCAAAGAGAGACTAGCCTTTGTCTTGTTCGGGGAGCGATACATTCTAGAAAGCAGGCCTCGCTGAATTGTAGAATCCCGACTAAGTGATAAGTCTGGTAGGCCTACCCAGTCAAAAAAGTTCTGATTTCTTTATCAATCTAAGGTCAACAGGTTGGTGCTAATATCACATGAACAAAAGAGCAGAATTTCTCCAGTTTCCGAAAATTGCCAAATAAACCCGAACTCGTTTTCGTTGGCACTGGGATATGTTCTTGATAAGTCAGATGTTTCCTGGTGTAAAGGGATTTCAAATAAAAATGCCCGTCATGTGTTATCAATTTAGATACATGTACATGAAATCAAAGCTCGGTTTGGGAAATTCGATGTCAATCGCGTTCTCGGAAAAGGGCAAGGTTTTGCTGAGTTTTGTCATATAGTTTTTGAATGTGACGGATACCAAACCTGTGGTCTATTAAGAGATGTCAGAGAATCGTCAAGTTCGGGAACCCGACTATAGTACAAGTGATAAGTTGTATCATATTTTAACAGAAGTCGGTGGGGAACCAAACTTGTGAATCTGAAAGGCCAGAAGTGTGCATAATCGCATCGTGGTCTTTTGTTTCCTTTTTTGTTGACAGTTGTTGGACAAGCATCTGTTGCAGATTTAAAAAGAAAAGAATCTACTTAATCCTTTGTCGATGAATTATGATTGCTCCCTTTTGTTTCAAATTCACTGTCAAATTCTGCCTTTGTTCCCTTTTATCGACCCAGCTATTCATGTGTTCTATTTATACCAATGCAGCCACAAGTTTTCCATCGAAAACAGATCGATGCGATCAATCCAATCACATCGCTTTCAAGGACCACGCGTCATGCACGCGCACGCAGCCTGGGCGCTTTTGGGCCTTTCCTATTGGTCAATCTCTAGCCTGACATTTTGGATGGGAATTATGTCTGTTCATTTGACGCGTGGCACTTTTATGGTGGCCTGTGCCGTAAATTAGTTGAAGTTAATAATCATTAACTGTTTTCCACGCCCTTAAAGACAATTGCAATTTCATATAGGTCTGGATTTCCATTATAATTTATATGAGTTTGCTTGACAATTTCTGATGAGAATAATAGTGCAATTACACGTTCCAATTGCCTTAACAGGCTGCTTGCGATAAAAACAGACAAAGAAGACATCGCACGGTTTAAACTCAATACTATTTTTTTTATTAAACTAATTCAGTACAAACTATAAACCAATAACGTAACCCTCCAAGTTAGCATTACCTATTACCCTATGAACCGAACCAAAAATGAACAGAAACCTTTTCTTTTTCAAACGCTCACCAACAGTATCTACACAAGTAAAACTTAAATTACTTTTTGATTTAAATAATTTCCAAAATTATACAAATAATTAGTACATTTGAATACCATCACTCTTATATACACGTGAATATTTCATAGTCGTAGGTACGTCATATTTACAAGTCATTATCAGAATGGTGAAAAAAAATCAAATCATGTGTCAATAGTCAAAAAGTATTATCTTTATAATGTAACCGATCAATGAACCCCCGAAAAAACGCTATCATGATGGATTACAATAAAACTCATTTCAATTACACATTGATTAAAGTCAATTTTAAAGAGAGGGTGCGATAGAATTACCGAAACAAATTTACCTCTTCCCTTTGATGTAGTAATTTCAGTTCGATAAGACATATTCTCCTTTTCAAATTGAAACAAAATGTGACCAAAAAATAAGTAAAACAATCAACACGTAAAATGTACTCACATGTTTATCATTTTGATTGGAAATCACTCATATAAACAATTACTTATTTAAACAATGTCTGAAAATTACCGTATTTTGCATACAGAAAAGAAAACTTAAATATTAGTGTTGTATTTATTTACTACGGGTAAATATAATCTTTATTAAAGGCTCTGCTTCAATAACGTGAATTGAAAAAAAAAATACCTAAACATGTCAAAATTAGTTTTTCTTTCAGTGAATTATTGTATAAAGCAGGGTGTACCGGTACTCAATACTTTGAATCCAAACAATACATTTTTTAATGAAATTTACTCTTCCCCGTGTTAAATAAAAATAATAGTCCATAACCAGTGTACCAATAAGCATTACAATTCCACACATATACATTACCGTACACCTTGTTAACACGGAATGTTACAATTTCACCGGAAGTTGCTTATAATTTCTGAGGCACGAACAAGGGGAAAATTCACCATTGCCACAAAGTATGAAAATAGACCTTTATCATGCTGCCACCATTTTAGTCATGTTCCCTGCATCCAATAACTGAATGATGTTTTCTTGGCAAAAAAGGAATCAGACTATATTTCCTTCCAGCCTCGCTTTGGTAACATTGATTTGAATGGGAACAAAATCAAGATGGCCGCTACATGGTAATGGTCTATTGGCTGAACACAGACAGGTTCTGCTTAGCGAATACAGTTCGAATCAAAAATATGGTTTTTGAGTGGTTTCTGTTCTCCACCGATTTCTCTAAAGCATAAATTGTGCTGGGAAACGTACTTTCATATGTCAGGCCAAAACTGATCTCAGCAGAAGCGTCCAGCTAATCAACTTGCTGAGTGAAGTTTCTAGCAGAGATACTGCAAGTTTACGTATTGGCTATGCACACCTTTTCTTCACGAAACAACCTTCTGCGCTTAACACATTTATGAAACCTGATTTGGGTCGCTAAGTATGATCACAACTATGTCGTCTTACAAATGCAAAATTAAACTCGATACGGTGTTTTCTTTTGCACAGTCATTTACTATACTTCATATACATTATTGCATCAGTGGATGGTGTTATTGCTACGAACCTATGAATCAACAAAAGAATATGAGATTATTGAAATAAAACTACGCTAAAATAAAAAACAAATCCACAACTCTCCACATTTGATGGGTAATGTGTTGGCATTTGCTTCCAAAAAAGAAGTAACAGAGGTAATGTGTGTGAATCAATTAAAATTTGAAATCAAAACAATATCTGACTTTTTATCAGGCTATGAAAGATTTAACAGCTCACTTTCACTGTGTCATTTTTGTGTGTTATGCGCTCAATTTGAAAATGGTCATATGTTAAATATGGGGCTAACTTTGTGAAACTTATTGGCTATGCAGATTAAATGCTAACAAGAAAGTTAAGTTCTGGATTATTTACTGTTACTGAATTATTTACTTTCTGATATATTTACTTTTGAATACGGTGCTCTTCAAGTAGATAATATTGTGACACATATACAGTTGACTCTCGTTAGTGTAAACACTGTTAGTACAAATTCTGGTTATAGCAAACACAAAGCCTTGGTCCGGACTGTGCATTTATGTGCACAATGAATGGGACTGATGATCCTCTTAATGCAAAATTCTGATATAACAAACAATTTGGCTAGGTCCGAACGTGTTTGTATTAACAAGTGTCGACTGTAGTACAGTTAAAGCTTACTGTGAAATGGTGCTTGACACGGATATTTGTGAATCTGCACAATTCATGACTGAGGAATAGCCCAAGTGACACATGTTTTGTACAAAAACAAAATTAAGCCACCATTGGACTTACCTACGGAATCCATCGAAATAGTGTAAAACCTTGATGGATTCAGGATACTAAGGATTAAAACTGCAAAATATTCCGGAAAAGGCGTGCCCCTTAAGTTGATTTAACAGAGTTTTAAAAAACAAAGGTATAATTTCAAGCCAATTGCTAAACTAGATCTTTGTTTTTAAACTTCTTCAACTGCATAAGCAAAAGCGAACGCGAATTGGTGACGTCATGGCATGTATTCGCACTGCGATTTCATAAAAATTGAACATATTCCAACTCGGGCGAATTTCGCAGCGAATGTTTCATGACGTCCAATTCGCTTTGCATTCGCAATCGCAGGAAGTATGAACCAGGCTTAACACATACTAGGATTCTTAACAATTCCCTTGCCTGTAATGGGTTTTAAAAACAAACTTTTGTCAAAACAGGACTACCGCGAGCAACGTTTCATAAGGACCTTCTAAGCCAATGAATTGTAAAATTAACAGAGTAATTTATGTAAATGCAATTTGCTCATTGTGCACGTAATCCGGTAAAAATCAATAGATACAAACAACAGAGGGCTCCCACATACAACAAATAAATATTTCACTTACAACAGACTGAATTAAGTCAGCCACAAGAGGGCTCACTTCACTTCAAATTACAGAAAGTATGAATGTTCACTTCCACAACATTGTGCAGAACTAATTTTAGAAAGAAAGACAATTAACTTTTTGGTGTCACCTCTAACTGAATGAGTCCAGTTTCCGTTGAATTGGATACTTGATATAGACAGCATGCAAATAAATTACTTCAATGATATTTTGCGCTCTTGAAAAAAACTGCCTCAGAAAAAAAAAGCTCCTTTTCCAAATTTACCATACCCTGTTTCCTACAAACTACAATCGCAGAAAAAAAATGCTGTCTTTCATTAACCCTAACCGAACTTAACCCATCAAAGCCCAACAGCAGGTGTTGTTGAAATCTGTTAGAATGGGTACAGTACCCCTAAACTGATGGTCTTTTACAATGGGTTTGGTATACCTCCAGAAACTGAGGCCAACAGTGTGTGTGTACGAGTTCCCATGTGGGTGTTGGAATTTGCCAGGATGGGTATGGTTCCTAGTAAATTATGCTAGGGAGTTAGGGTTAAATTATCTTTCAATGGAATCAATTAAACCCTGGATGCTGATTGGCTGATCCATAGCAACAAGGGTTAGGAAGAAAAACCTATTATTGCACATTATTCAATCACGTCTGTATTTGTCATTGCAACAACCAAGCAGGAATAATTTACATAGACATTATGAACACAAACCACTCACCCGTTAAAATAGTCACAAACAAACCCATATTAGCACGATGACTTATGTTGTCAACTAAAAGAAAACAACTGGCATGCAAATATTACAGTAAATGTACATTGTACATAACCTTGTGATTATGAGGGTGCACCACTACCGTATTTATCACTTAAGTTTAAATAACCGTCAAAACCAAAAATAAACGATGCATCAACAAAAGAGGAAGAATGTTGCAACCTGACGCTGCTTTTTTCCTTCCTATATCATCTCAATGAAGGTCAGTAATTGCAAAAAATGATGATAAGATATGAATCCGGAACTGAGAAACATTTCCAGTTTTGTTAGGAAATACTCTCCATAGACTCTGTACACAACGGTTGAATTAGCGTCAGGTTGGAACATTCTTTCCACAAAAGAAGCCGGTGTACGCAAGCTTTCCCTGGAGAGGGCGCTTACTGTTTATATACTTATTTTTGTATTTTCAAAAGATTGTTTTTTGTAACGTCCTTCTGGCATAACGCTTATTACACAGTGCCGCGTACCAGCTTTTTAGTTCTGTTCTGTGAAATGGTTAGACACTGGTTCACAGGCAACACCAGTGTACTTAGCTAGAGTATCTCACCCTTGGAAGCCCTCAAAGGTCAAAGGTCATGGGTAGTTTCCACGGCGACTACTCGTCTTCGCTCTCCTGATACGAGGTGCCATTTTGGAGAGGCCTTGTTACCGCATTGTCATCACTGTCAGAACTGAAGAGATGAAAATTTTACACATTAATTATCAGATTTTTCATAAAAGAGGCAGGGACTACGGTATGAATACAGATGGTTTTGGAGATTACAAATAAAAACAAGAACTCACCCATAAATGAGCTCATCTTCTGACTCATTTAGCATCGAAAACGTTGGGTTATCTTTGAAGTACGAATCTGTCGAAAAGCAAAATAATGTTAAACAATTAACGAAGATCCCATTCCCAAATTCTGGCTAATAAAAAGTAGGCTGTTGGTATTTTATTGGGGGGGAAGGTAGTCTATGGAATAGCCACTTGCAAGTCAATGACATTCGCGCAGATTGGGCAATTAATTATGCAAACCAAGACTGCATCTTGACCTTGAGATACTGACCATTCAGCAGGCGCCTTTTATCGGGTCTTCCATAACCTGTTGTTATTATACAAAAAAACGGCAACCAAATTGACCAATCAACAGCTTAGTTGATTAAAAATGGCGTCACAGTTTCTAAAGTCGACTCCGATTGGCTGATGCGCGGGGTCGCATAAAATGTGCATGTTGGGATTTCCGACGTTCGTTCGTGTGGCTCTGCACACGTAAATGTCTAATCTTCAGACTAGGGGGAAGGATGGAGAAATATAAAAAGTAGTGTCATTTTGTTCAAAGTTGGGTGTTGATTCAAAGTGCTTTGGGATTGATGGGTTCACAAAGGCGTGTTTTGTTGGTAGGTCTCAATTGGTTAAGATGTGAAACTTACTAAAGACGTTTGATTGCCGAGGTTCCTTGGCTGGAGCTCTCGGTTTGGATGGAGCTGGGTCAGCTTACGGTGGGTTAAAAGGCTATGACTCCAAGTAAAAATCTGTTCTGGAGTTTCTTGGTCCGAACTGGCTTACCTTTGTGTGCATTCTTGGAAGGTGAATAAACAAAGGCCATGGCGTACAGGTAACAGTTGAGAAGACTGTAGAAGGCCAAAAATTCAGCTGGTGCTGAGTGGTCAAGGTAAATGTACTGATAAAGTTACTCATTCTGGTAATACTTTTTTTTTATTGTTTGACATATTCAAACATACGAGAGGTCTGAAGAAGTTTCATGTTGATCTTTCCTGTGGTTGTAATCCATCCAAATACTGCACACGATTGGCCACAAGTATCCTGAGGCAAAGTCTTTAGTTTCTTTTTGGATTCAATATAAAATTGTGTGTGATTTTGGACATGCAAAGGATATAATTCTTGTAGTATGTGGACAGCTCAGAGATGAAGTTGTTTTGCAGAATCCCGATGCCAAACCTCATGATCACGACCGCAACACTGATGAGGAACAAAGAGAAATCATTGCTCGGTGACATTTTGATTAGTTGCTGACTGTAAGCATTACTTGGCACACAACACACAACCTTTTTAAACACTGTCTATAGGATCTGAGCAGGAGAGTAGATGGCGCTGTATGGCCAACCGGTGAGGCCATGAAAGTTAACATTGTGTGTGCCCACTGACTTGCACATACAGGGTGAGTAAAAAAAAGCAGAACTTAAACCCCCAAACCATATTTCATATTATAAAAAATATGAAGTACCAAAAAATAAATAATAAATGTGATTGACTGATTCTACAGTAAGGATCATCCTTGTTCCATGACGCGGCATTTGTGGGCAAATGCATGCTGGTGTACGCGTTGAGCATTGGGCTTAGCACGTATTGTTCCCAAGAGCCAGTAGCTACAGAGTTATGTTCAAACATTTCGTGAAGGGGTGGTTTGGAAGAGAGAAATACATTTTCCACCAATTTTGTATTGAAATAGAAGTTCATTTTAACTGTAAATCAAATGACACGGAATATGTCGTTTATATAAAACAAATATTCAGTGGCTTTAAATTGTGAAATGGGAGGAATACTTTCACTCGGTAAAATCTAGACTTTCAGAAAAATCGAGATTTTACCTGGCGATAATATTCCTCCCATTCCACTCTGAGCCACTCAATATTTGTATACTTATGCATTAAAGCCAGAGTCCATCATTTGCAGCTATCTAGAAAAGTAACCGGCGTAATTATTGTTGAAAAACATACTGGTTGAAAGATAGTAAGGAGACTAAACTCCCTGAGAAATTATCCTTTCTGGCAAGCTCTCATTTTGAAGAAATCAACGAAAGAAGGCATTTCCAAATTTAAATAAGTTGTTCGTTTTGTTATTCAGCGCAGCGCGCACAAGCATTGGAACGGCGCACAGGTGCGCGCGGTGGCTATAATTCGTTGGATCAGTGCGCAACATCGCGTAAAGCTGCAATTCAAAACAATTCGAAACATGTTTTAGCAACTTTTGTTTTTTTACATTGAGATCCTAGAATGCTGTTTTTCTCGGAATATGAAGCTGAAGCTGAGCTGAAACTTCATCAAGTAAGTTATTCAGTATCCTTCATTAGATTTTGAACACTTTTGTTGCTTCAAACGAACAAAATGCACTAATTACAAATGATGGACTTTAGCTTTAACTCTATGGACATTATTCTCAGGTTGTTCTGTAAAACTACTACTGCCTACACTGTACTGTGGTTTCTTTAACATGGCTTTATAAAAAAATATCTGTTTCTTACCAAACAGCCACAACGAACAGCATGAGGACTGTCATGAACCTTAGCCGCAGATCTGAAAGTAGAAAACAAGAAGTTCGAGTAATTTGAAAGTGTTCTACACTTATGGGTGACTTCAAGGCTTCGATGAAGAGGAGCTGTCAAAATGATCCCTTGGATTTGAACCACAGACATTTGAGTTGATGGTAAACTTACTCCATGAGATTCCCTAAAAAATGTTTTATTCACTGTCGGGGAGTGACTCAAACTCTGTGAAGGCTCCTGGGATGAGGAACGGTAACAGTGATCCCTTGGATTCGAACCACATACCTTTTAGTTGAGAACTATGTAAACTACCTACACGAGTGATTTCAGCTCTGTGAAGGCTCTGATGATGAGGAACGGTCACATGAATTTCTGGATTCGAACCAGGGACCTTTGAGTTGAAGGTCTGGATTCAAACCAGGGACCTTTGAGTTGAAGGTCAAGTCAACTACCTAAGGATTTTCTAAATATTACTCGCACATGTAGGGGAGTGACCTGAGCTCTGTGAAGGTTCTAGTGAAGAGAAATGATCACAGCGATCCCTTGGAATCGAACCATAGACCTTTGAGTTGAAGGTCAAGTCAAGTGCCCAATTCTTAATGGGTTTCTAAATCTCACTCACTCAGGTACAGTAAATGAGTGACGTGAGGGCTGTGAACGTTTTTCTGGATATAAGGAACAAACTAGTGGATTCGAACCAGGGACCTTCAAGTTGAAGGTCAAGCAAACTACCAAATTCTTCATGGGTTTTAAATATTACTCACTCATGTAAGGGAGCGATTTGAGCTCTGTGAAGGCTCGGATGATGAGGAACACTAAGTAGAGTAGGTACAGACTGCCGACCACTAAGAAGAAAATGACAAGGCCCTGTATAGGAAAACACCAAGGAAGAACATGACCAATTATAGGAAACCATTAGATATTTCTGGGTGCAGAGCGGCGATTGAAGTAAAGTGTCCTGCCCAAGAACATTTTCCAGTCAGGGCATGAACCCACATATATTGCATATGAGTTGGTCACTGTGACTGCCGTTACATTTTATTACATTTAGTAAAGTTACGGATAAGATACATGTGCAAATAGTCAAACACGCACTGCCCAGGAGAATAGGAAATACTCCAGCAGGGACTCACCAAGAAGTTTCCGCCGTCCACTTTGTAGTTGAAGGTAGGGTCAAAGAGGGATCGGTACTGAGACCAGCAAGCCAGGACCACAGCTGCCACCCAGATGATTCCGACAAGGACCAGCTTGGGTAGGTAGAAATACATCCACTTCCTGTCGCTCTGAATAAGGGGGAAAATATAAGACGGGGTCCAAGTCAAAAGGACATGAACAAAAAGTGTTTTAACCCTTACCCTCACAAAGGTTGTTCCAGTGTTGAAGTCGAGTCAATCACAATTCCATCACAAGTCCTCACAATTCCATCACAAGTCCTCCAGTCTTAAGTATACAATTTAAAACAGAGGGGTACCCTCCTCCCTCCAGTGTTGGTATAGCCTATACACACCTCTACACTACTGGTACCTACATGTGCAAGTCCCCCTTAGATGTTTCCAAATATTTCCCCTAAGATTCCGGGAACACAATAACCAAAAGAGGGGGGTTCCTTACGTTACATATCTCGCTTCAAATGTTATGTCACAAGCTTTTCAACCAGTTTGAGTCGGAGGACCTGATCGCACTGGCTGTTTTTGTACACAGGCACGGCTGATGGGTTAAAACTTCAAGATTGCCTCGACTTGCCTCTGGGTGACGTCTAAACACGCTAATCCCTTGTGTCTTTTGTAAACATGCACAAAGTCTGTGCAGAAGTATGTGGAGGCGGACCATGTGTTGATCTTGAATTGGCCGTTGTGCACGGCCTACTGTTGTACAATTTATGCTCCAGTGCACACCCCGGAGTATTGAAACATATGAGGTTTCAGCAAGAAATATCGTACAAATACTGTTGAAATGACTCTTGCGAATCAAAATTAAGCGTTAAGCATTATATCAGAAGTTGGCTGGAAAATTTTGCCTTTTGAGAAAACACTTGAAATAAACAAATAATCATGGCACGAATTGGTTAAATTAGTTGTGACAAAAGCATTCCCATGTTATTGTTCATCCCCTGTTACTTGTGATGGGACTTGTGAAAGTACTTGTGAATTTTCTTTTAACTGGACTTGTAATGTACTTGATTTATGAGACAACGTGCAACACTGCGTTGTTCCAAAATGTAAATTATGTCTACTTCATTTCAGTGCAGGGTCCAAAACTTGGACACTTTCAGATGGGTTCACAAGAGGGGTTTAAAAAGCTACATGTAATGTGCAAAGCAGAGGAAAGCAGAGGAAAGTGCGCAATTAATGAAAAACAAAAATGGTTTTGTATAAACTAGTGAATGTGATAGCAAAGTGTGCGTTGGACTAGCTCAATGTCTGCACTTGTTTGAAACGTTTTGCTGTTGTAACTGAACATATGTCTACAACACTCTGCACATCCACTCAATTCTGAAGATATCGTTAATATTCAAGTTGGACATTCATCCAAACTGCAGACATCAAACTGTTTTACTAAAAACTTCATATTAATTTTGTGAGATGCATTTTGCCAACTTTTTGGTTTCTGTTGGTCAAACAAGTACAGAAAGAACGATGGTACGATTAAATTTAACGGACCATTTTACAAACTTAATATGTACAAGGTCTAGGTTCATTGGTTTTTTAATGGCATGGCCTACTATGGATTGATTACATCTAAGTGCACATGAACGATGCGCTTAGCAATGCATGTCTAAAATACATGTACCAGCACATCCGTTTTACTATCAAATACTAAAAATTTTGAGACCGCACAAAATTAAAGACTAACAATAATCACTGCAAACAGATTATCAAGCGTGCATTGTGAGGCATCATGATGCATTTGTGCTGTGACCAACATACACATACCATAAATTTCCAAAAGCGAAAGGGGCTAACTGCATAATCCTTTCAAAATAAAAGTAAATTCACAAATAAACATGGGTGAATTTTTCAACCATGTGAAACATAACAAGGTTTAAAGAAAGAAACCGTTATTTTTGCTCATGCTCGCTTGCCAAACAGCACATAAATACAATGTAGCATACTAAACTAATGTACAGTCACAATTAAAAGAAGACAAGGTAACTTTGAAGGTAAATTTAGTACAGCTAGTATGCATACAAGCCACAACTGATTCAAACATACATGTACATGTATTACAGTATTTCCCTTTTTTCAACATCCTGCAAAGACCTTTTTTGGGTAAAAACTTTCTTTTCTTCACTACAATGACTTTCAATAGGCCCTTTATGCATATTTTAGTTTATTTTGTATTCCGTTCAAGTCTACAGTTACAATATATGCAAAAAAAGCGACAGACACAAAACAAACTGACAATGTGCCTATGGGCCTTATTCACGAGTCAGCCATTTTGAATTGAAAGTTAGGTAAAATCTTAATTTTTTGAACTTGCGAAGAGAAATGAAAGCAAGTTAATTCCTTATTGATTCCAGTCTGCTTCAATGAATAATTTAAAATTTGTAATTAAACATTCCCTCAGGTTTAAAGCCATATTTAATAAAAATTAAAAAAATGACAGTAAAATAAGTCTGCATTGTGCCTGCATAAATAGTCTGGCGCCATCCCATTACACAGTAAATAATTAATGAAATTCGACAAAAAGGCCAACTCGTGAATATAGCCCACAGCAAGGCAGCTTGATTGCTTACAGAAACATAAAAGACTGCACTTTGAAATAGAGAAACCAATTTGTGTTGAAAGGAACATGTAGGGCTAGTAAAACATGCTAAGATAAAGCCTGGATTTTTCAGTAAATACATGTACATCACAAACATATCAAAATAAGGAACCTTTTTAAGGGCCCACAGCCTAAACAAATCCCTAAAGAATTCAATCACCATAAGTGTCAATGGAAGGAAAATGCATCGGAGGATGTAGACTATCATGACGTTAGTGGTCTGTACATGATTAATTACAACTTCACACGCATGGCTGGACAGGACTCATTAGCTATTACTTCTATGATGTTGATAGAGCCTGCGGTTATTTTTAGACATCCGCCGGGGGGGGGGGGGGGGGGGGGGGTGAAACAATCCATTGCCAGCTGCCCATTACCGTGCAAGTCCAGACTATGGAGCTAAAAATAGATGCTGCGTCGCTGTACAGACCACTAACGTCACTCACGTTTCTCCACACTTTACATTTTATATTTTAATAAACCTAGCAGTATTTAAATTGCAGTGTACAATAGGGAAATTTGAAAATTTTTGGTCCTTTTCATTGCGAAAGTCAGTGTCATGCAATCTTGTAAACAAGTGTGACATGTGACATAGTCTACCGTCTAAAAATCCCTAAATTGGAATGATGTATATTCTTTGGAGTACTTTTTTACAAGAAAGGTATCTTTTTTCTTTATTTGTATTGATAAATATTGTAATAAATTTCGACCACTGGTTATGGCATTTTGATTTTGATGGTCTGTCGAGAGAATCTATTTAAAGCAGGTCTATATTTTTTTTTTTAAGTCATTTTGATAAAATAATGTTTACACAAAAACTAACAGTAACAGTTATAACCAATAGAAATATACTTTATCAAAGTGGTGAGAGATTTTCTACATACTGAGGATGTTTTTAAAAAATTGGAAAAGAAATCAATTCCAAATTTGAGAATAGGGACCAAAAAAACGGAAAAGAAAAAAAAAGATAATACTGAAATGTTTAACGTATATATTTGGCATGGATACCATTCATCCTTTCTCATAGTTACGATGCATAATGGATTAGATTTTGGCACTTGTCCGGTCCAACAAAACCTTGAAACCAGCGTGGCCCCATAAATGAATAATTGGAGACTGAAAAGCATGTGCCAAGCACAAGTAAACAGATGGGACCCCAGGCTAGGGTTTTAAGAGCCCTCGTGTGCCGACATAAAGGGAGGCCTGGGACATTTCTGAAATCTAAGCTCCGTCTCCAGCTTTGGATTCGGGCACCAGTGTCGTGATTTTTGCTCCCCAACTTTGGGGATTCTGGCAAAGATTTTTGTTCCCCTTTCATGCTACCACAAACAGAATCGTATTTATAAGAAGGCATGGTTTGAAATTCTTCATTTTGATTCAAACATGTATAATGCTTAAAAATAGTTCGAGATATGAAGGTGAAGCTGCAGACGTTGCCAAGGTTTGAAAAAAATTGCCTCGGACAGTGCCTGAAAAGAATTGAGCCGCCATTTTCTTTTAAAGGAAAAATTAACAAGCAAACTATGTGTCATGCAAAAACCTGTTGGGAACCAGTTATAAGCAGTATACATGACATGACATATTGGCTGGTACCCAATTTCTGCTTAGCAAATGCTCTCTTTGCTCATGGAATTTCTCATGCTTAGCTGCTCCATGGGCCCATTAGCGAGCTTTAGAATTTCTGTTAAGCAATTAACTTAAAAGTCGGGCCCAAGCAAAAAGTATTTGGAGTTGCAAGGACTTACCTTTCTGATGCCGTGGTAGGCACAGAGCCAGAACAGGAGGAGGGCAGACAGGAACGTGGTCTGGAAGATGTTGTCTAAGATGATGGTCACCCAGGAGTCCACCAAGAAATTCAGGGGGAAGATCGGATCTATGAAAGGTGGACCAAAGAAAGGTATTAGTTAACTCAAATTTTATCAACCTAACCTGTGAGGAAGATGCCTTACCCCTAACCCTTTCAGACGTAGCACAGTCCAGCAGGTGTAAGAACACGTATGTGGGACCTTGCTGCATTGAGCCATCAACACCAGTGCATAAACTGAAATTTTCAGACAATTTGAGCTAGTTCCACTGATTAATGCCACAGATGTATCCCCTGCTGCAGTTGGTGACCACAGACACTGAGGCAAGTTTGGCCTTGAGATCTGTGACCGTGTTGCATGTTGAATTCAGCAGGGTTTATGCTAACTGAATCCTCCCGCGTGGGGAGTCAGGTTGGCGTAGCGGTACTTTCCTCGCCTTCCACCGCTGTGACCCGGGTTCGAATCCCGCCTGGGTCAATATGTGGATTGGGTTTTCGGTCCCTACCTGATTCCGTGGGTTTTCCCCAGAATATCTTCTGGGCTTTTCCTCCCACCTCTTAAACTGTAATTTCGTCTCATTGTCTTCTCTCTAAGTTGGTGTGATGTTTCCCCTGCGATGCTTTACCGACTATAATATACAGATACAGATATCTGCAACTGTGTAGGAATCCAAAAGCACATTAAAGGGCAAGCCCCGTGTATTGTAAACGCAGCTGAGCTGAACTTTCCTCTATTTTATGATCCTTTATTTAACATATTGCTCACCATTGTAGAGTAGTAGAAAGGGAAGCAACACAGACAGCCATTTCTGCTCAATGGACCAGTCACGCATGGAAAACTTCCTCAAAGAGTGTGCAAACATACACTGTCAACAACAAAGACAAGTTACCGTCAACACAGTGCCATTAATCTTTAAGCATAATCTCCTAGGCATTTTGTACAGAACCTTTACGAATTATTCCCAAACCCAATACTATACGGAAACCCTAAGCACAAATCTTCGTACTAATGAAAAATCGAGACGTCAAGGCCAGACAAAGTGATGTTGGCTCGGATGTACAGTTGTGAATCCATAAAAATGCTGCAAACGCAAGCATGTGATTTTGGACGGTTACAGTAAATATACGCAAATAACTCCACAAAAATTTGTGGAGAAGTTGACATGTGTTTAATATTTTCACACATTTTTATCAAACTATTGAATTAGCATTTCAGATGTTTTCTTTAAATTAACATTCATCAAAAATGTCAACAAACAAAAAGGGATTGGTTATTTGTCATGATTCCACCAGTGATATTTTTGACTTGAGACATTTAAAATCTTCTCTAAGAAGTAGATTTTGGGAAGTAATTGGATGAGATACTTACTGTGACTATGAAGGACAGGACTAGGAACACAAACCGAAACCAGATCTCCATCTCGCAAAAGGCAGGATTGTATGTGCGGAACTGTTGGTGGAATGAAACGAGTAGCGGTTAATGATTTGACATTTCGGTGTAATAGGCAGATCTGGGCCCAATTTCACGGAGCTGCTAAGCACAAAACTTTGCTTAGCACAAAAAAAGTCTGGCTTATAAAAGCAGGTTACCAGCCAAAACTACATGTGATTTTCATGCTAAGCTAACAACAGCTGAATACTAATTGCGAGCAATATACCTCACAGGGAGTTTTGGCTGGTAACCTGCTTTTATAAGCCAGACTGTTTTTGTGCTAAGCAAATTTTTGTGCTTAGCAGCACCGTGAAATTGGCCCCTGCTAAGCCCTTCCCCATTTTGTGTAATACAGCAATCACAGCCAACCGCAAGTCTGACAAAAGTTCGGTATGGAACATGCAGTGATGGACGTGTTCATCTATTTAAACCGTGGACGAAAATTCCAGAGAACAAAAGATAACAATATCGTCCACGATTCCCAGCAAACGTCCGCGATTGGAGTCTGCCTAAAAAGTTAGAGTACAAACAAAAGAGGGACAATAGGATGCCCACGATTGTGACAGTGTGAACGTGCTTGTCTGTATTGGGGAGACGCACATGTAGATGAGTCATTCCACCGGTTTGGGGCACAGTGCCTGTTACATCCAAATATTTGGTTATATTATTAAAAGTATCAATGCATTCTAAACAACTGCTCAACATAACATTTGTTTCAATACTTGAGAAAGTTTGAAATCTTTGAAATGTACTTTGACAAAAATATGAGCAAGAATGCATTAATTCAGACGTAACATTGACACTGTGTCAAGGTTACATCCAAATATTGTTTTTGCCGTTTTTTACACATGTAAAATATTACCCAAACTGACATTGCATATTTATAACTGATGAAACATCTACTTAGTTGACAACCAGTTTTCAACGGTTGCTATGAGCTACAATGTAATACTCCAGACCCAAGAACCATTGAGTTTCAAGTAAATAGGTATGGGAACTAGACGAGGCAATGTAAGAAGCTCCTGGATGTCTACGCCAGCTTTTAAGAGCAATTCCGTTGTTACCAGAGTTTCCTTGTAGTGCATGGCAACTTACACATTAACATTGCAATAATGATGGCACATGTACAAGCAATAACCCCATGACATTTTCTTTTTTCATACTGAGGTGTTTTGGAAAGTGAGTACAGTAATGGCTCGATATCGAAGACAACGCAGCTACATAACCCATTTTCACATGAACTTCATTGTATCAACAGAATATTGGTTCTGGTACTTACAGTAAAGTTGACCTCTGTAACCTTTGCCCTCTCCAGCCCTTGGAAGAGCACTGTGATCATGTAGGAAGAGTACTGTATGGGGCTGACATGCAGCAGTAGCATTTCCTCACAAAGTTCCGCCTGAAATATAACAAACAGGGTAACAAACGATTTACTCTCCAGTAAAGCAAGCAGCCACCATGAACACTCTAAAATCCACGACTGTGGAAGAACCATAGGGCTATGGGCTCTGTGCACAAGTACTCCTTCACCGGCAAGAAAGGGAGACATTCGAACGCATCACAGATGACGCAGACGACACGAAGACATTATTGCTTTGTGCACATTCAGCATACAAAGTCGTGCGTACTTTGCGCTATATACGCCCTCCAGTACATGCAAGCAGTATGTCCCATCCACTGGGTTCTCAAAAGCGGTAAAAGCACGCCCTCTGTTGTTGGCGCATGAAGCCCATGCATACTAAATAACTCGCAAGCTATCTCACTGTAGATAATGTACCGGTAGCCTGCTGGGCACATCCATGTTTGGGCACAAAACCTATGAGCTCAAAGTTTTGTACAATTACATGCAAATCTGTGAACTTGTACTTGAAACTGATGTGAAAAATCAGTCTGACGTGCATTTGGGTGGTAAGATGTCTACACTAGTGAAACAGAGGTTGTGGGTTCGAGTCCCACCAGGGTAGGCTTGCGAATTTTGTCTCTAAAGCTCTTAGACAATACAGTGCTTCAAAAATGAGAAGGGGGGGCGAAAAAAGTTTTTTAAAAAAGGAAAATTCACTGACCTTTTTACACGACAGCGTTCTAGTGTGGTTGAAGAACATGTTGCTGACGGGTACCAAGCTGTCATCTTCTGCCAACCCTCGGATGTAAATGCTAACGTTGAAGATTTTTTGGAAGCTCTCACCTGTAACCATGACAACCAAATCAAAACATTTCATTAAAAACAGGAATTTCTGTCTGACTTCTTGATTAAAATTTTATAACAATGAGGGAAATATAAACCAGTAGGATGTCGTGCTCTAAAACCAGAACTGCCAAAATGTAGAGTCAAACCAAGCCAAGGATCCTTTAAGTACCTATTGTATGTGTCCTTGAGCAAGACACTTTACAGTAGCATTTTCTTGTACCTAAATATTGGTCCTGTGATTAACTGAATAACAACCAACATTTAATTGGAACTTAGATTTTCATGGGAGCAGAGATATCCGGAAAGCATGTCTGAACCTTCGACTAGGATAGCAGTTGAGCAGGAAAACATTTCCAGCTGGACTTCGGTTCTTACAGGGAGGGTTGCAACTGCACTCAAATTCCAAACAGGAAAAGTTGCACGTACCTTGACCGTTGTCTACCTCTACCACTGATGTGAGCCACAGGGAACGATTGAATCTGCTGAGAAGTGGAGACTTCAGTTCAAAGGGTCCGCCCTGGTAAGGTCAAAGGTCACTTACGTCAATCACACTATGCTATTCTTTATATAGATTCTTGTTAATTATGTTTTTTGTGATATATGAAAATAAACTATAACCATAACCATAAATTAGGGTCATTTCTCAAATCCTGAATTGGTTTCCAGCTTTGGCTTTCACTTTGGCAAAGGAACCCTTTATGGACCCTTAATGTTCAAACACATTAAATACTGACACTCCAACTTTGGATTTGTATTAAAAATGATGTTTTGAAACAGAAAAATTGACATATCGAGATAGAATTTTCAGAGCTTCGGATCTATAATAAGGTTCATGGAGCTCTGAGCCAAAGCTGGAGACAAAACCGTAGTTTGAGAAATTAGATCACTAATTCCCGATTGTGGTGATAGGAAGCCATATTGGAGGCCAAGACTCAGTTTCAATGTGTAGCCTCTCAGCAAACTTCAGATGGGAACCAGTCACAATCAAATGCAACACATAACAGTTTGACTGGTAACCTTTTTTGGCAGCGCAACTTTCCAAACTGGTACACCCAGCAGCTCTTTACAATAGGCCCTAACCCTATCAAAATTTAGAATTCTTCAAAATTCTCTTTGCCAAAGTGGAGGAATTTGGAGGATTGAGCAAAAGTGCGTTACTGATTTCGTAGGATGCACTTTGTCAAGGTCTTGGGCCGGACCTTGTTCTGTTTTTTGCTCAGCCATGCATAAATACAGGCCTGGATTATGCTGGAAAACCTCCATACTGCTCCAGGATGTCACTGGCCAAGCATGACGGACCATATCCAAGAATTAATTGAGGAATTTGCAGGATTGAGGCTATTTTTTTTTCCATGAGGCCAATTGGAAGATTTTTGCAGGATTGAGGCTACATCCTAGCAAAAAGGCCTAGGGAGTTAGGGTTAAATATCCTACATGTATTTACAGGAGTGACTGCACTATTCAATAAATATTATAAATTTTAAATGTGCAAAATTCTGACCAGTTGTGCTACGGAATACGGTAAGGTGCGGGAGTCTACCATAAATATTTGAGCATTTAAAAAAAAAAAAACCTGGCCAAGGATAAAGAGCACTCAAGGACAAGCAGAGGGTGCAGTCAATTTAGTGATAAAGGAATTAGTACGGATGGAATGTAAATGCTGATTACAAAGTTTGACATACATTTACATACATATATCCATATCTGTATGCAAATGTCAATATTTACATGTGTGTACATTGTGAATGACAATAAAGTTTGTTTGATAATGGACATATAGAAATATTATATCCATTTTGTTGTTTGGGCATTGGGCAATCAAATAGATTTGTACAGGGAATGTCCATGTTTTATTTGGATATTGGACATTGGACATTCACCTAGGTTTGTGCAGCGCCAATTGTCCATATCTTTTATTTGGATGTCATACATTGTGAATGGATTTGAGAAAACGATAGAACATCACTTCTTATTCGTATGCTAAATCGACAACTAATTTTCATAGCTACATGTATTGTGTGATGAAAATGGACCTAATGCAAAAACAAATTGCTAAAATATAAAACACTTGATTTGCTATGTTTATTCTAAAAAAAATGTGTTTATGCAACTGGTTCGTTTATGTTTTCTCATCGCAAAAGTTAATATTCTGTGTGAATTTTTTTGTACTTACTGGCAAGTGTTTTGTAGTACTCCTTTCTGCATACATGGCTATACTCGGGCCTGTGAAGAAAGAACAACTAATTACACTCGTTGTACAATGTAGTATTGTTGTATCCACTGTGAACGTTGTGCACAATAAAGTTCTACTAGTGTACCTTGCTTTGTGTGTTCTAAAACATAAGTAGAGCAGCTACTGGTAGTGTACTTTTCACCCAAATACAAATTTTCGATTGGCAAATTTATGCACCATGAATTTGCATAATGATTTCGGCTGAATACATTTTAACTTTACAAGTTCACATTCAATGATTAATGATGACTGTGACATATTCAATATTATTCACATTGAAATCAGTAAAGTAACAAGAAAACTGTGTCAAGTACTTGGCGACATGGGTGATACAGTGTATGTACATCATGTACATCAATACATTTGCCAATATTCAACTAAATACCTCACACATATGTTAGCATTTAACAGAAATTGTGTGACCGAAGTGTGAAACTACAGTAAGCTTTGCATTTTTTTCATCTGGATTTCATCAACTTCACCTGGTGAAAAAAACACTCTACTAATTAACAAACCAGATTTGTCCGAAGGAATATATTACATGTAATTAGACAGCTTCACAATGAACCTTGGGGCATAACGGCCTGAAATCCCAGAAAATATTTTGTGTTAGTCTACTTATCCTATTTCAAAGGTCTGGTTGAAAGGAAACTAACGTAAGTCTCACCATTCCCCGAGAAAATAAAAAATAAAATGGTTCTTTACATCAGACGCGTTGGAAGTTTTGTGGCATACGCATGTGTACCGGTATTTCCAGCCTTGTCCGTTCAATGTCCAGTACATGTTGCGAGTGTCACATAATACACACAGCACCAATACACAAATGTTGTTTCTCGCACGTCCGCAGAATGTGATACACTGTGCGGCAGGATTCACAACTAGCACTCAACAGCTCGATTTTTGAGAGTCAAAATTTTGACCTCCGACATTCGTTCTTAATTGCATGGTTCTCACAAGAATAACACCCAGTTTTTAAAGGATGGTTGGACATTTATATCCTACATTTAAATACTCTTCCCAATTAACATCATTTCATTTAAAGCAGATTTATTAGTAACCCAATTTTATAGGCACATTCAAGGACATACATGTACAGGAAATGTAATGTAATTCCACTGAAATTCTTCACTGTTTAGGAAACAAATGGCTCATGCTTTTGGAAGAGAATTCAAGCCCGATGTACAATAATAACTGCAAGATTCTACATCACGTTTTCCAGCCAAATCCTGTAAAACATGTCAATTTGATTGGGTTTTTACAGCCCTACATAAAGCAGCACACATTTAACAGGTAGTGTGAAGTTTGTTAACCTCAACCGTAGCATGGTCCATCAGGCGTAATAGTCTGTAGGACCTTGCTGCATTCAGCCATCAACACCGGGGCATTTGACAGCCAATTTTGTGACAATGGTAGCTCATCCCATTGAACAATATCACAGTTGTATCCTGCAGCAGTTATGGGCCACAGACCCACTCACTGGCATTTTATCCTTGACAATTTGACCTGAAGGATCTTGCTACCGGTACATGAGCATTCTTAATTTTAAAACTGTTAAGGCTGAATCGTACTTCATGCGAATGCGATGCGAGTTTGATGTCACGAAGCATGCGCGGCGAAATTTGCGGGAGTTGAAATGTGATCAACTTTAGCGACTTCACAGCGCGAAAACTTGCCCTGACGTCACAAATTCGCGTTCTGTTCTTGTAGTCAGGTTCCCTGACCCTACGCTTCAGACAAACAAACGAAACAGGACAAAAGACATCAGGGAATTGTCAGGTCAGGGAACCAGACTAGCTAGCTTATGCCCATGTTACCAAATGCAAACAAAATGTGGACAAACTAACTTTGGTCAATTCATCACAGAAAATAACATACCTGCTATTCCTAGTAGTACTGAGAGTGTGAATGCCGTGAAGAAGGCAACGAAGACCAACACAAAGTGTCGTTTTGTCAAGGTGTAGAGACGCATCTGTACTGATCTATGTACAAAGTAAAGCAATGAAAAGAGAATGATACTATCATCTTCAAATTCTTGATGAGAATCCTGCTAAATACAACCAGATCAAACAGCTATTGGAGCGTGAAGCCTGCTTAATCACAGGGCAAGTCCAAGAAAAGGTCCCTGACTACTTACGTACATGTAGCTCTGACAAAAATCCAACAAACTATTTTTTTTTACTGAGCACTGGTTCTTATTGGCATTACCAGGATTAAAGTTAATCACTTATCATCCTGTAAAAACATTTGGGAACACAAATGCAAACAACTGAATGAAAACAAATACCAAGCCAACCCTGTAGCCATTTTGTTCAAACATTTCATTACAACTGCGTAAACACAACCAACTTGCACTGTGAATAAAAAGAGACGCTCTCCTCTGCTCACTTTAGCGTATACAGGAAGTAGGCCCAGTAGATTTCCTTGCTGCGATTCAAATAACGATGTTTCAACTTTTTCAGGTTCACCTTCATCATACAACTGAAACTTCAACAGCTTCTAATCCACTGCACTCTCTCGCTCGCACATTTCTCCATGATTTTGTAGCTCTACTCACTTCAGCGTATCACTAAATTTAAGGCGTGTCGTGTGCACGTACTGAATGTCTGCTTGCGCATCAGGCATCTAGAATTGTTAAGTATCACCACCTGTGGACCATTTGGTCACATAGCGTTCCCAAATGGTTCTGACGATATGCAAATTATTATTTTTTTTTGGGTTGACTTGTTTTTTATTTACTTGGGATTCCGAAGAGTGTGCATAGGTCTACAATTGCGTGACTTTTTTTTTCCTCATTTCCCCCTCAATCTGCACCTATGTGTTCAGCAGACACCACAGATGGCCCAGATTGTTTAAACAAACACTCGTCCGCAAACGATGCAGCTGCGCAGCTAGTTAAATATTCTATCAGATATTAATTACTTTGACGGACTCTGAACACTTCCTGTGCATAATCTCCATTCTGGTCGGCAACGGGCTTAATTAGTGACACTGAGGAACCCATGCTATAGAATACATACCAATGTCAATCAATAATGTGTCAAACAACACTCCAACCCCTGAGGCGACTTTGCTGCGAATTTTTCTTTATTCTCCAACATTCGTCGCAGTGCAGAAAACCGACAGCACAATTTGTGTGCTTTGACCTCGAAGGGACATCAAGCCCATAATTGCATCTTGCTCATAATACAGCGCTGAAGTTAAAGGTGTCATTTTTTGAGCAAAGACACATTGATCTGGTTAAAATGGACAAACAGTTTGATTAGGGTAAACTCGTTTGTGTGTACCCAAAGCAAATAGCGCCCTCCTTTTTGTGTCCGATTCAATCATCTCAACTCAAGAACCGAGATATACGGATTACAAGAACTCATTTTTTCCCCCAAAAACAATCGTCCACTGGAATGCACTGCCCCCCGCTGTCATTGAAGCACCTTCAATACCATCCTTCAAAGAAAGACGGAAAAGGCACATGAGCCAGCACGTCTAAGAACTGACTCGAACCCTCATTGGCATGATATTTCGGAGGAGGCTTTGCCAATTAATTATCCAGATCCAGATCCGCCATATCTCAAATAGGCTAACTAAACACAAGCAAAATGAGATCAGATGGGTACAAAATCAGGGTTTCTAAAGACAAAGTGATAAACTATGTAAATAGCTAGACATTGCAAGAATACATGTGTTCTTACTAAATAATCAAACGTTTCATTCAACAAATGTCAACAATTTGTCTTCCATAATTTAATTAGAATGTCATTTGACCAAACCAATTTATAAAGCACCTTCCATTGGAAAATGGAAGGTGTTGATTTTTACCAGTAATTACAGTTAATATCTCACTCTCTCAATCATTACCAGGCAGTTTTGGTCAAAAGTGCATGTACATGTAATGCAGGCGCACTTTTGACAAAAACTGAATGACAGGCAGCAGCCGTACAAATGCACATTGTCAAAATTTGATGCAAGCTAGTGAGGGCCCGATTTATCACAACCCATGACGTCATGCAACACGACGCTTTTGTGAACATTGGCTGTAAAAGGTGTCCGAATTCAACTCGGAATTACAAGATAACTAGACCTCTGAAGGTGCTGAATTTAACGTTTTGTTGATATTAAGCAGTTGTAGGAGGCACTGTGTGAGTATAAAGTGACAAAATAATTGCGATTTCGAATGGATTTTCGGCTCCCTTAGCAACAGACTCTCCGTCCAAATAATACATGTGGATTTTTGACGGTCAATACAGAGGTAGTCCAATACCATCACATTTACGGGACTAGCCTATTCCCATTTTCTGATAAAAGTAAAAAAAATTAAAACAACAAGTCACGGCTGCACGGCACCAACCGGCCCGCAACCGCATAGAAAAATTGTAATTTCTACCCCAAGAAACTGTTCACAAATAACCAAAATGGTGTCATTACATTGAGAGAAGTCTGATCCCAATGACCCCAATCACCAATGGCAATGGCAATGACAATGTTATTTTCCTAAAAAAAAAAAAGCATTCTTGATTCTAGCCCCACTTATGTGGCCGTCGGTATGCTGCGCTGAACCTCTTGGCCACACACCGTGGTACCGCGCGCTACTGAGGACGAAGTTTCATAAAATCTGCGGGCCGTTTCTTACATTCTCAGTTTCTTACTTTCTTATGGTTGTATTCTATGATGTTTCACCTATCACTTCTGGGATGCTTAGGTCTTATGATGTTCCATTTTCCGAGATATTCTTCAATCTTTCTGGAGCCCATATGTACTCGTGAAACGTCTGGTGATGGCAGCCATTTTGAATGGGACAAGAGATGACCTCAAGCTGTGACGTCGCGTTTATGCAAATTGCTTGTCGAGCGAGCGAGGGCGCGAGTTGCAAATGCGACGGCTGTTTCCTGTACCGTAGATCCTAAATAGAGATCGGTGCACGTGGCCCCCTGACGATAAATGCATGGTACAGGAAACAGCTGTCGCATTTGCAACTCGCGCCCCAGACTGGGACCGTGAGTGCATAAAAACGTGCAAAATTACTACTGACGTTTTTTTACTCACCATTCAGCTAATTAATGCCCACACAAAACATACATCAAAATGCTTAAGTTGCAAGCATGTCACCTGCAAAATTTGAGACCTTAAATCCAATTTTAAGGCAAGTTTTTGACAGTTCAAAAACCATCCACGTCATTCTCCATGCTTTAGAAATGGTGGTGTGTTTCCCAAGGTATTCTGGGTAGGTGTAGGAAGAGCCTTGCAGCTTACTTGTTTTTTAATCGATGGCCAAATGAACATAGCGCCCTCTGTTAAAAAATGAAAAACATTCTGCATTCACTCAGGTCAACAAGAGGGCGCTGTTTTATCTACACGATGAAAATGTTTTAGCTGAGGAGTCTTTTTGCACAATGCATTGCAGTACACATCAACGTGATGTTTCGCGTTTGGATTTTGATAACTCCCTGCAAAATTAGAATTAAACGCTGAATTTTTGGTGATGCAATGCTCACAACAGCAACTTTGCAGGGCAGAAGTTTCGGGGATTATTGAAGAAACAGTAGTGAGTAAGAAGCTTGCACATTTGATTCACACTGGTTTTATTATGCAGCACAAACTTTTGCACAATATGGATGCCTTAAGTTTTGGGACTCTCATACACAGTATTGAGAGTCCCAAATTTTCGGACTACTCGCGCCCTCGCGCGCTCGACAAGCAATTTGCATAAACGCGACGTCACAGTTTGAGGTCATCTCTTGTGCCATTCAAAATGGCTGCCATCACCAGACGTTTCACGAGTACATATGGGCTCCAGAAAGATTGAAGAATATCTCGGAAAATGGAACATCATTAGACCTAAGCATCCCAGAAGTGAGGTAAAACATCATAGAATACAACCATAAGAAAGTAAGAAACTGAGAATGTAAGAAACGGCCCGCAGATTTTATGAAACTTCGTCCTCAGTAGCGCGCGGTACCACGGTGTGTGGCCAAGAGGTTCAGCGCAGCATACCGACGGCCACACTAGTGGGGCTATCTTGATTCTATTTTGATCGAAACAAAACAGGGGCCCTACACTACACGGTCGCCCTAAAAAGTCAAGGTAGGCAGGGAAAATATTAAAGTATTTACTGAGAAAACACTTAGACATTTTCAGAACCAGTCTCACACTGGGGTTCGTGGCTTTGTGCACATGGTGACAAGTGATGGCCAGATATGGATATGGGAATCTTTCCCAAACGAGACGTGTCCGGAAATTGGGCAGGTAATTCACACAACATTCGTGACATTACGGCCAACGCCTATTAACACTTACGGTTCTATTTCTTTCCCCATGATGATGTTATCCCCCAACTGCAGTTGTGCAAATAGAGTCAGGTATGTTTCACTGCAACATGTTTACGAACAAGGCTTAAAATGGCTGCAAAAATCCCATCACAGATGTTCAGAAATTGACCTGTTGCATACGTACATTAGTTGCGCTGGTATTCTACACGCAATCCCCTTTCAAAAGCGTGTGCGGTAAACAGGAAAACCAGTGAACTATTAGCCTCCCTTCGAGAAGCGTAGCAGCACGAGTTAAAGACTAGTCGCCCAAACAGTATTTAAATCTGCCCCGCCCACTTTTCTTTTTAAATCGATATGATTTTAATTACTAAACGGACAATAAAAGTGATTAGTTTTTATAAGGTAGGACAAATCAGCATAAGACAGGTCCAACTAAAATGCTCACATTGAATTGTTTGACTTGACAGCGACGTAGAGCAAGCTACTGGCCCAGTAGATATAGGGGGGGGGGCACGCCCGCCATAAAAAAATCCCCCCCCCGCCCTTGAAATTTAGTAACCTGAAAAAATGCACAGTCCCATGAGTTACCTTGATTAGCGGGTTTAACATCAAGTGCCTTTTTACACATTTTTAAGGTATTTTCACCAACTTAACCCTGTTTTCGGGAGTGGCTATTATAAATTACTTTGACGTCCCGTGGCAAGCAAACAGCGCTAACTATTGTCTGACATTTACCATGGATATCGATTTTGAACAGCGCCTCGTGGGAAGATGGTGTCCAGTGAAAAAGAAACCCGTCTACCTTTCAGCAGCACGGATGGAATTGGGCTCCCTTCCATTGTAATATCCAGCCCTCCCCCCCCCCCCCCCCCCCCCCCCCCCGTCCACTCGCCCCAAGGCTAGGATGAGAACCCTAGTTTTCTGGCTACACCCCTGTGACCTGGCCCAAGCTCCCACCGTTTCCCCCTTCAATCAGGCCTTTTAACATAATAAACACAATATTTTAAATTTAAAAAGGAGTAATTTGAGGGGGTTTATCGTTCGATCTTTAAGGAATACACATGCATCTTTCCTGATTATTGTATCCGTCTTGGGACTCGACAATACCACGTTTTCACCACCACAATCGCCATCAATATCGCAGGTAGTATATGCATCACAATCATACATCAAAATGAAAATTCAGCAGTTAGCCGTTTATTCCTCAACCTTCTCCGGTCAAAGAGTACATGTGATGATTTTTTTTCTTAAATAGGAACACAGTTTGTGCAACTTTGTATGTGTCTTTTATGTATGAAAACTATTTGACATCCCGTTTTTGGTTAATATTTTTGTTCGAAAAGTAAACATTTTCCATGCTTTACCTAACAACTGAGGGCGCTGTTGCTGTGATGTCATTTCGGGAAGACACTGTTCAGTTAAAATTTGCTCATTGCAAACATTTGTGAGAATGGTTTGCTCATTGCCTTTACTGACAATCAACGAATCACCAAATAAATGAAAATTTACGACCGCAAAATGTCCAAATTTCCAGCAGCTTTTTGTACTGAATATAGCTGTAGTATCGAGGTTTACGTTTCTGCCCAGGTGAAAATTCCAGTTGAAACCAGTTGAACTGGTTTCAACTGGTTTCAACTGGTCCCAGTTGAACTGGGAATTGGTGACTGGTTTTAACTGGTTTAACTGGTATTAACTGGTTCAACTGGTATGAACTGGTTTTGAACTGGTTTAACTGGTCTGAACTGGGCAACTGGTTTAACTGGTTTCTAACTGGGCAACTGGTTTAACTGGTTTCTAACTGGTTTCAAACTGGTATGAACTGGGCAACTGGTGTAACTGGTTTCTAATTGGGCCACTGGTTGAACTGGTTTCTAACTGGTTTCAACTGGTGCCAAAACAGTTTAACTGGTATGAACTGGGCAACTGGTGTAACTGGTTTTCAACTGGTTAACTGGTATGAACTGGTTTAACTGGTATGAAGTTTCCAACTGGTTCAACTGGTTTAACTGGTGAACATGGTTTCCAACTGGTTTCCAACTGGTTCACAAATGACATGAGCTGTTGCCAACTGGTTTGGAACTGTGAAGTCGTTTTGAATTGGTCTGTAGTTGGCATCAAACTGTCGTTAGCGGGTTGAAATGGTCTTGAACAGGCGGGCTGAGATCTGTGGGTTGCTTCAAGGGCGAATACATGTAGTTTGTTGAATATATCCAGATAGATATTTTGCAATTGATAATAAAGAGTGATTATCCGGAAACAAGTATTACAAATGAGACAAAGGGGAGCAAAATGTTTTGGCAAATATTGTACGTTGTATATATTTGACACTATTTACAAAATGCGTATCATCATAATCAATGAAATATTATAATTGGCTTTTCAAATAAATAGATGCAGAAGTCTTGAACCATGAAAAACTATCAAGATGGTGGTGGAAGTTATTTTACACTTGATTTTTACAAGATTTTTTTGATGGCTAGATGATTTTCCACAATCCAACTTATATGTAAATTTCAATGTTGAGGATAAAAGAGGGAAGGTTTTGGTTTGAGTTTAATGCCTCTCGTTTCATAATTAGGCCACAATCCACTCTAAAACAGTAAAGCTAGCCTATTCGTTTCAATTATGAAACTCGTCTCAATATCTCAGTGAGTAAATTTACAGGAAACTTCAATGGCTTGATAAATCCAGGGCAATTAACATTCAGTCTCAGATCATCATAATATTGACAAATAAATTGAGAAATGTACAGACCTGGGGAAACAAGTCCTGGGAAGCACAGAACTTTCATGTACTGGTCAAATTTTATCGAATCAAAGATGAAAAACATCAAAGCTGTAACACTGAAGCCTTGCAGAAATAACGTCACTGTTTTGATATCCAGTTTGCGTGCCTCAAATGGTTATAACAATTACACTCTGAGTCACTTAATTTGCTGCAGATTGTTCCTATGTATACGTGCTTCTCCAGTGTCTCCTGAGCCTTTTCCCGTCACGGTCGCACCGGTCTCTGTTGCAAAACTCCTCTCCTCACGTATCGATTGACTGTTCCATTGTGTCCATGGCTCCCTGTCATTGAGAACAAACCGAAAACAAATTAAAAAGTAAGAAAAGCAAACCCTCCAAAAAACCCTTAAGAACAAAGATGGTCTGGGCTGAATAAGACAGCTCTAGTTGTACGTACTTTCAGAAACCAACACTTTGTCAGGATTTTGCTTTTAATATGTTCAGTCTTAACATTATTCAAAGTAACCTGATTAACTTCTGCATTGCCGAAGAAATTGTAATCCGCAATTAATTTGTATCCTAATACCACCAATATTTCATTTACCTTGCTTTATGCAATACTTTCCTGATCCCTGAAATTATTAAAGGTGTGCTGTTTCTTGCATTTTATGGGAATACGACAGAATTAACCAGGAGTCCAAACTCATATACATGTATTCCTCATTGTGATTGCTTCGAGTATTATGTAGGACTAGTCGTGCTTGTAAATGTACAAAATGTATAATACTTGGATATGACTATGAGCTTTATTTTCTCACCAGCATGGCCAGCTGATCACAAACAAAGCTTAAGCATGTTTAAGCAAATAATGATATCAAACATAAAATGTAGTACATGTGACAGAATCTATGCTGTACAACGGATACGAATAAAAAAAAGCTGGGTATTTGAAACATTCAGTACAAACTTACCAGTAAGGCCTACAACAAACTGTAGGTTTGAAAGAACAGGGCTCCAGAAACGAAAGGTTCTGTCCAAACTCTCTCCCATTCCGCAAAGACCATGGTGCTGCAGGAATATTAACTCTGACTAATAAGCTGTATGTTGACAGACATGTGTGATGCTTTTGGACGCAGATTTGGAACTGAATACAATACATGTAAGGAGTGTTTTTTTCGAGAAGACGATGTACATTTGTGCCTGCTCCGTCTTTAACCATTTTGAATGAGTAGTAGAACTGAACTGAATGCACGCTAGCGCAACGTGGCCTAACGGTTTTTCTGGTTGAGGCAAGGTCATATTTACATGTACAGTATATATGCTGTGTGCTGACCACTAGCTTAGTACGTGTGTCAAAGGGCATATGAAGTGACCTTGCGCAAGACTGGACAGTGTAAGTCATATACATGTACATGTACAGTATATGTTGTGTGGAATGTACATGTACATGTACAATGCATTCCCACACAGTATATCGCTGCACGGGTTGGGGGGGGGGGGGAAGAGTCCATCATATTATTGAACTGCAACCGCGACAAACATGATGTGCAGTCTTGAATCATGTTGGCTGGTTTTCTACTGAAAATCTTAGGTCAATTTCCCATTGAAATTCTTCTCTTCAGTTCTCAATTATAAGCTCAAAACTGAAAAACAATTAATGATCGACCATCTCACAACAAGAATTGCCATGGTTTCTTCAACAGGTTTCAACTGGCTGTTGACACAACAAGAATTGCCAGTTGATAAACTCTTTTTTCAACTGGTTTCAACTGGTTCCTGTTGGCACAACAAGAATTGCCAGTTGGTAACTGGTAAGTTCAACTGGTTTCAACTGGTTCTGCTGAATCCAGTCGAGCTACCAGTTGAAACCAGTTGAATCGAACAGGTACCAGTTGGACACCAGTTAATCCCAGTTAATCCCAGTTAACACCAGTTGAAATTGTAACTGGTTTCAACTGGAATTTTCACCTGGGTGCCCGGAATGGAATCACAGTTTTGCTCATGAATATGGACATTCGTATTAGCATAAAACAAAAAAACACCAAAATACCCTTAAAAATTGCAGAACTGACGAAAATTGAAAACGCTATGTACGTATGGTATGGCATCCGGCGTCCAAGTGAAACACGTGCGCGCATTATGCTTGCCCTTATTATGCAAATGCCCGCCGTGCTATGCCGTGCACTGGATACGAGACTATTCGTAATGACGTAGGGCGCCTATTATGCGCTGTCAAGTAATGACAACAACCGTTAAAGAGTATTGTTTTATGTCAGATGTTTTGGTAAATAATCCAGCACATAGAAGACGGATTTAAATTTATTACTGTGTTTCTAGATCTAGATATGAGATGAAGTGTAAACATTTTGATGCGATAAAACAATAACGAATGCGCAGTATTTAATTTTGAAAAATAAGAATATTCAGTGAAATTAGACGTGTGGTTGCACAGATATTGGCCTTTAAGATATTTGTTTTTTTAACCTGCATTTTTTTTCTTTTCCGGTGAAATTTTACAGAGAAAAATGAGATGAAGAGGATTATACACTTTATTGCAATGTACTTTCATTACTGCTCTGTAAATAGAGTATACCGAATAAGAGAGAATGATATCAAAATTTAGTCATACTGTCGCCATATCAAAAACAACCAGCTTAAAAATACCTTTATCTTTACGTTTATCATGACTAATTATTTTCTAATCAATCTTGTACACACATCACCAGAATGACGTTGGATTAAAGTACCTGCATTCATCGTACCTGTTTGATCTGTCATGGTAGTACTGGGGTACGATATAATCCTGAACGGCGTCGTAGAGTCTGACCACGTAGTCCCATCCTTCCTTCACCCGGCCTTTCCACTCCGGCATCTGGAAAGAGTAGTTCAAGGCATCCATCTTGGAAACCCAGATTAAAAAAAATCACAAGTCAGGCTAGATGATCAAAATAATATCCACGTCTCAACGCGGTCTTCTCCTCATCTTGAGCAAGTGGCAGTAGATAAGACGACACAGAGAACCGAAAAATAATTATAATGATGAATTCACTCGGTGCTGCAGAATGATGACGTCAAAGATGCGCGCTGCGTTATTTCATTCAGGCCCCAATTTAATATTCGCGCGGAGATTGTTGTTCAGTATGGGGAGTGAAAAAAAGAAATCAAGTGCGCCGTGTATGACTTAACTCAGCATCCGAAGGTATTACGAATTGCTGGAGCTTTTGCTGTAACACGTCGGGCATGTACATGTAGTGCATGGGAAGACGTGAAATGTTGCCGAAATCGATACCAGCGAAGGCTTGGGAATTAATTATTCATGGGGCTCTCCCGAACCTTAATTGAACGACGTCAGAATCCATAGAGCACAATATGAATAAGAAACCATCCATGGTCGCAATGAGTCAGTGCGCTCTTGATTATCATTTTACCAGATGAGGGCTATGTTTTTCTCTGTCTCTTTATAATGAGGCGAGTCGGTGGTTTGGGTCCGGCCGGATTGGTTGCCCTGGAGCAATTAGATCGGATGTGTTGCTAGGCGACTGTCTTCACGTCAGATCCTCTGGAGATCCCCCATCAAGCCGTTGCAAAATGTCACACGGGTTCACGCAAGACGACGACAGATTCGTTGGTCGGTTAATTTACCGGAGTTTGTCTGATTTAGCTCCATTGGATGCGGTAGCAGGATCAGACCTGAATAAATTGCCCAGTTGACGAATGGCTGCGGCATCGGTGCATACAGGCCATGCAGTTTAGTGTAATTGATAATGAGTGTCATCCCCGCGTAGGCCTAATTGCGCTTGTTTTGCGAAAATTTCATCCACTGCATATCACGGCAATCACGGCATTATTCGCTGTAGGTTCTCTTTGTTATAATAAATTGTTATGCACTTAAACGAACTACGGCAATGACAATTCGCACACGAGAAGTTAAAATCATAACCCCGCTTAAAAACCTGCAGCGGCTTATTATTCTCTTATTAGTATCAAAATCTACGAACAATCAAAGACTCGGACGTAGTCGAGTCCAAGTTTACTCAGCGCAAAATAATCAAAATCCATGGACTGTATACAAGACAGGCTACAGTGCGGCCTTACGGTAGATTTCTGTTACCAGTACATGTATAACTGTGACAGGAGCTCCTCCTCTACTCGTCGAAAGTGAAACTTCTTGCCTTTTTGGTGTTCACTCCGCCTCGAATCTGCTTTCTTTATTGACACAAGCACAGACCAGACTTCCAAGTAAAGCCCTGTGAAATTTACATTCAATCTTTATCCAAACACACAAGATTCATTCTGGGGTCATCAGGACTGAGGATTAGAAACTACTCATGAGACGCTATTAATGCCCGGACATTGAACAGTCTTCACGGGTGATAAACTTTCATTTTCATTAATACTTTTTATATGCCTGTTGTTTTCAGACAGAGCGGAATATAGCATGGCATGGATTTAGCAGCGCGGGTTCATGGCTGAAATCACCGTTGCATGATATAACTGACCATAAAGGAGAATAAAAGTTTGCCAGCGCGAAAAGTGCATTTAAATATCCGGGTACATTGGGCGGTTAACCGAAGATGATCAATAATTGCGCATGCGCGCAAGGCCGTCAGTGTCCTTTGTACTGTGTTCGAAACTGTCTTAACTTTATGTTCCGGTTCTGGCTATATCAACCACGGGACCCTCAAATATGGTAAAAAGCGCCCTCTCTTGCTTGCGTACGGAGCCCATAAAGAAAAAGGAAGGTAAGAAACAAAAGAATCAGCCAATGCTGAAAGTTGTTTTGTTTTTTACATTTTTTTACTGTAGAGTAGACCCATATATATCAAAATGACAGAGTAGCATAAACGAGTACTGTTTATTACGTCACGATTTACTGTGTTTTGTTTGCTGCCCGCAACGACGAATTTTACAAAAATTGCACGTTCTGGTCGAAACAGGACCTGAAAAATAGCTCTCAAAAGTACCCTTTGTACTCATTTCATGACAGAAACAATAGTCATTTTATTTCATCACACCTTAGGCTACATATACCCCAAAAATGACGGAAATGTCTTCGAGCATTCCACAACCTCTTTAACTTCCGATTCCATTCGTGCTATATGCTACACCGTGTGAAGTACACATGGTTGAATTGAGACGACGTCACGCTAACGAACTGGATACAGTTCATGTTATAAACAGCGCCCTCTACATCAAACCAGGTCTTCCAGCCCAGCTCCCCCCCCCCCTTTTTTTTAATGTAAAGATTCACGTCCGTGGTATTCTCGGGTTTAATTCACCCCGAAAACTTTATGGAACTACTTACGAATTAACTGTGGTTCGACGAAAATTCAGTTTTTGTAGGGTACACTGATTCACCCCTACCAGAATCGGTCATACAAGTCTACCAGCAGGGTGGAAAGTTTGTGCGCATGCAACCCAACATGCAACCCAACATGATAACAACCTTTTTTTTCAAACGGTTGCAGACACCCAAAATTGAGCGAATATGCATATATTTTTATCCGTTGAAATATAAAACATACTTGTTGCAATTTGTCCGCAGAAAAAAAATATCTAATTTGTTGAAGAGCACGGACAGAAAATCTTTAAATACATAGAATCTATTTAGATGGAAAGAAAAACAATGAACATTGTATCATGTTTTTCACAAATCGATGTTTATTCTGATCAGCTTTAAATCGCCTATAAACGCATAAAAACAGAATTTACATAATTGCATAATAAGGTTCTGCGCCTATTATATTCCGTCCATTAGTTGAAGAGTTTTCGTCTTGCTATCTGCAATTTGTTTATGCAGCAATGGCGGTGCTTTTGAATTTATTGGCAACCAACACGGTCCAGGTGTATCCTGGGCAATGTCAGATCCTTCCCACTCGCACTCAGTCCAGCAGCAGATGTCTTGTTCCCAGGCAGCGGGGCGCTACGCACCGGTGCCCCGTGTAGGCTCAGGTGTGGCCGGCCGTTAGGAGCGGTATGCGACCGCGCCCTTCCGATTCCCTGAGACTGAGTGTGACTGGGCAGGACACCAACGCTGCCGCTGCTGTGATGTGGGACACCGGGGTAGTGACGGAGTTGTCTGGTGGTCGAGTAGTACAGGCCGAGCCGGTGGGCTGGGAAAGCACCTGTTAATTGAAAAGAGGAACAATCTGTCAAAACTTAGCAGCTCGAGATATAGATCTTCACAGAAGGCCAAAATCAGAATCAATTATCTCTCTGTTAGTACTCAAATGACTTTATAAGGTAACCGAGTTGGATAGCTGCCGGTTTTGTGATATGACAAGGTTGCTTTAGTAATTCAGTTAATTGCTGAGACGGTAGCACGGAAGTTGATGGTTTCCAAGTCCTAAATTCAGTCAAATATTCCCAACTAAGATATGATGCTTTAAATGTGTACATCTTTAGACAGAGCTAGAAAAGAAGACAAGGAAGAAAAAGGTTTCATTTTCTTTAACATAAGCTACCGGCATGAGAAGTAGCGTATTTGGTATACGCGTATTAGTATTTGAGGAGCCTCTTTCAAATAAAACTAACCATGGTTTTGATAAGGCACCATCCCAGCTGCCTTCCTCGGCAGCGGTGTGAAAGTCCCCCTCTCCGTTCCCCGTGAAACGGAGTAAGTCCCAGGGTCAGTTCGAGACCGGCGCAAGCCCGGTCCTCTCCTCAAATCGCCAGTTCTCAGACCCAGGACCGGCATGGTGGGAGTATCCTCAGGAGTCGTGGTCCACGCAGAACGCTGTTGCCTTAGGGCGTCTGAGTAGAGGTTTCCTTTGGCCAGTTTACCGTTGACGATAATCATACAGCCCTGCTCGACAGCGGTCCTACCGGGACTCGGCGCCGTCCGCTCCCGCACCGTCTGCGGACGCTCCACTGGCGGTTCTCTCTGCTCCGGAGTACCGGAGATCTGAGGCTTCTGCCCCATTCGGTCATTTTCTTTTCCAGCTGTGCTTTTCGTCTTTTCTGTGAATGTCACGTTCATTGAGGAATGGATTTTCTTCTCAGGATTGGAGTTTTCGTCTAGTGACGTAATGATTATCAGGGGGCATTCTTCTGTGGTTTTCATTTCGTTGTTGTTTGAATCATTTTTTATATGTGGAGCCAGTTTCTGTCGCATGTCTTCCAGGATGACTTCTCGTGTCGCTGCTGGAATTTCATCGCATGTATTTGCCTTTGGTTTTCGCGCGTCAACTAAGAGCGGACCGGTGTGTTTCTTGTTGGGTGTGGGGGCGCTCTTCAATCGACTTTCCTGCTCCGCAACCTGCCGGTTCTGAGCCAACTGCGATTTTGCTCTTTCCAGATCCATCTTTGAGCTACTACCCGTTCGCGAACCGGCGCTGCTGTTGGGTCGGGAGGTCCTCCCCGTTTGTTGTGCCGGTACCGGAGTGAAAACCAGCGAATCGGATTCAAGGTCGATGACGTCATCCCCGTCACTTCCTCCGCTCTCGGTCGTGGTTGGCGCAGTTCCTTCGGGATAGCCCCATCCTTTGGCAACGCGGCTCCGTAGGAGATGGTATCCAGCCGTCTCAGCGATCGGCCTGTTCTGTGTTACTGCCTCTCTTACGGCAGATTCGCCGAACCCGCTGGCTACCAGCGAGGAGATTACATTGGCGTCGAGTTGCGTGTCAGTGAGTCGGTTGGGGAACTGTGCAGGACAGAGTCTGCGTGTGTAGCCCCTGTTCATCCACGGATGGCGCATGACGTCACGAAGTGTTATCCTCTCAGTCTCATTCGCGGTGAGTAGTTTACCTAGAAGGTCCCTGCAATCTGAAATGAAAAAAAAAAGAATCAAAACAGACTACCAATGAATGAGCTTCTCTTGACAAGAAAGTACGTAAAGTCTTTTCTAAATCACCGCGGTACCTTGCATCAGAGTTTATAAAAAAGGCTGGTAAAGTGGATAAGTAAAACACGTCTATTTTAAACCCAGCACATTATGAGACAGCTAGGCTTACCACGAGTCAGGTTCTCTGGTATTGTACAACCAAGAATGATTTTAGCGTGCAGCTTCGTCATGTTGGTGGGTGGGTCAACAGTAAACGGTAGCTCGCCCGTCAACATGGCGTACATGTTTACTCCTCTGAAAGAACCGATGAAAATAAGAAACAGGTCAATATAGGAACTTGGTACAAAAAAAGCACCTGATGGAGGCATAAAGGCACGTGGTTAACGCGCAAAGGCTTTTGGTAAGGGCAACTGTAAACTGTACATTGTAACAGACCTAAATCTATAATGGCGTCGAGCTTTGTTTACATGTGCGCTTTCTTGGGAGTTTGGTTGTCCACACCTTGCTCCCATAAAAAAAGACGTTGCACTTTGCTAGGGCAATTGCTATAGTACAAGGTAGATGCACTTGTTATAGGCATTTGGTAAAGCCACTTGGTGAAAGCAACTGGTAAAGGCACTAGGTAAACAATTCAATAAAGCATTTGAATAACATTGGTAATATCAATATAGGTGGGGCATCCGGTAACGCTAATTGGTGCACTTGATCAGCCGTTCGGTAAAGGTATTTTGGTAATTAAATTGATTAATTCATTTGGTAAAGGACTTTGGTAAACGTAGTGGTAACATCACATGGTAAAAACCCTCGGTAAGCCATTCGTTAAAGGCACTTGCATATGGTAAATAGGTAAAGGCACTTGGTAAAGGTAGTTTGGTAAAAGCACTTGGTACCGGTAAAGGTCCATGTTACCAAAAGAGAATCAATAGGACATGCGAAGTTATCTGATTCTTTACTTCTCAGGTTTTTTTTCCGATCACAAGACCTCTACTCACATGCTCCAGACATCGACAGCAGGGGTGTAATTGGCATTGCAGAAGATCTCGGGTGCTGCATAGGCGGGGGATCCGCACTGGGTTTTCAAGAGACCGTCTGGTCCTAAGATATTGCTCAGGCCAAAATCTGGTAGCAGAAAGGACGAAGTAATAAATTGTCTTTAGTACTGTTTAAACGGTAAAGAAATCACTAAGTAGTTATTTTCCCTAATAACCAAACTGGTATACAAATTATGGGTATTGTATGAACTGCATGGTGATTGTACACAGGACATTTGGAGAAATATTAGAAACTTTTAAATCACAAAATTTAAGAAGGAAGTTTTAAGTCTCACAGAAAAACTCACCAATCACTTTCAGGTTTAAATCCTCGTCTAAGAGAAAGTTTTCAATTTTGATATCCCTGCAAGAAAATGAAAAATATTAAGTTCCAAAAGGCTAGATAGGCCCAAAAGTAGGCTACCTTAGCCGAGATTGTTTGACGCTACTGCCTATTATGTTTGAATTCTCAGGGTTTTAAGGGATCGTCCGTCTTTAATGACAAATCCTAAAGGGATCAAAAGGCCAGCCTAGTTCCTCTTAAGATGTATTCATACAAGGGAGGAAAAAGTTTCCTTCGGGAAACCCACCTATGGACCACGTCCGCCTGGTGCATGTAGTCTACCGCTGACACCAACTGCCGCATGAACTTCCTCGTCTCCCGTTCGCTCAGCCGCTTCCTGTCGCACAGGTAGCGCATGAACGGCCCTCCCTCGGCGAACTCCGTGACCAGGTAGTAGTTGTTGGCCGTCTCCAGCACCTCGTACAGGCGAATGATGTTCGGGTGGCTGGTCAGCCGCTGGAGGACCACGGCCTCTCGGCGGAGGTTCTTCCGGACGTACTCTCGCTTGGCGATGAGCTTCTTGTCGATGATTTTCATAGCGACCTACGAGTGGAAGGTGGAGTTCGACAGCACTGAGATAAACTGAGAAATGGCATATCCTACACCCTCTCTTATCCCGCCCTTCGGTTACTCATTCCATATCCAATCATTATGTGCTATGTTACTAAATAACAATTTCTTATTTTTTATAATGCAAAATCGCTCCAAGCAAGGCTATAAAGACCACTTTTGGCAAAGGGCTAGAGAAAGTAGGAAAATTTTACGAATTTTTATTCCTCTTAAAAAAACAGGCTAGATCATAGGGAAACACGCACTTGGCAAGGAGTTCCATCTTTGTTCTACATCTCGGCACAGCTACAGCGCATGGGTGAGAGGAAGTAGAGAGCCTGGTTGCACGCTAAAAAAGCCCAGCGGGAGGAACCAAGTCAAACCAACTTATGGATAATGTGCTATATTGTCTATAAAGCGTACAATTATGATGGTACATGTAGTATATTTACAGTAAACTGTAAGCGACTAGAAGTAGTCTTTCTATGTCAAGCACTTACCCTTTCCTCAGTCAGTGTGTGGGTTCCACTCCGCACTTTGCCAAACGACCCTTCACCAACTGTCTACCCTACCAAGTAGCCTCCTACCCGCTTGCGGACCGCCGTGGCCGGCGGAGCGGGCATCTTACGGGAGTCCGAGCGACGCAGGGGCGGGCGGGTCCCGTGCCCCGTGCCCTGGTCATCTTGTCCGGCGGGCGGGAGTACACTCCCGTTGGCCATTACTTAACCTCCCTCGGTCAAACCTAAGAAGTTTGTGTATCTCTCTCCAGCCACTGGTTTGATTGTTACTACAGCCTCTAGCAACGCGATTCTGGTGCCTGTTAACTTATATGCGGGATCGATACCAGTGAATTGGCAGTATCGATTGCTGAATTGTTGGTATCGATTGCTGAAGCCAGCTCTGCATATAACTGGTCTTTAACTGCCAGCGATGTGCAATCTAATCGTGTTGGTTATCGAACATTTTCTACTTCTTAGGGTCTTACCTGAATTTAACTGTATGTTTAATAATTTCAGAGAAGGCAATGCAGATGGGTGCGTTAGCAATATACTTTATCACAAATTGGCAAAAGAATTGATTGGTGTCTCGTCTATGTGACAAATGCCTTTCCGTGACCAATTTAAAACAGAGCAGAGGCAAAATTCACATAATCCACAGTTCTGTAACGACCCGCAGTAGTGTTAATTACAACGGCCTTTGAGTTTCATAAATCCTCATATTTATACATTCAAATCGCCTAATTTCGTAACTGCATTTCAGAACAAAGTGCAAACACTGTCTCGAACCGGACACAAACAGCTAATTCCTAAGACAAACAAAACAGTCCGGTTCGGTCCGACCTTAATAGCACGATCAATTGTTTGGGCAACATAATGACAAGATAATTTGAGATATAAGTAGGCATATGACCGAATGCCATTCATCACGTGTAAGCACTACAATTAATATCTTTTCATCCCATTTAATCCTCTGTACAGTGCCCTATGCACGATTTTGCTCGTGAGGGGGAGCGGTGGCAAGCACACGATCTAGCAGACGCAAGTAAACAAAGATGGGGAAACTCCCATTTCTATTACATGTATTAATATTTTTGTTAACTCTTCTGAGAAGGGAGTTATGGCACCATCCCCATAAATTTACACCACTGCCTCTGTGGAAAGATTCTTCCCAATAGATAAATGTTCTCTGACGGCTTTGTTAGGGCTCGGAATACCCATTGGACGGCTGGACTGAGTCCAGTGATCTCATCGGTCGTGTGCATTTTTACTTAATTAGATCGGTGTTGTGTGGTTTATCTGGGAACATGTACTGCCAGAACTTTAGAAGATGCCATGTCGCAAATATAAAAAATCTCAAAAAGTGATAACAATACAACCAAAACATCATGAAAACAAATTCAGTATCTTGGAGTCTATTTGGCATTATTTTGTGCCTGTTCAAATAATTCTTCATTTTTAAACTTCATGAAGTACAATGTCGCTACTGAGAGACCCATACCAAAATATCCTGAAGGCACGCTAATTACATGAAATGTATTTGTAAACATTAAGCCCCAAACAGGACGACACAATGCAATGACATCAACTGGTGACCCTGTGACCCAATTCTAAAACGGATTGATTTTCTGGCCTGAAATCAATCGACTCTCCCAATTGATTTTACTGTTTCCTTTGGGAACAGGCTCTGCCCAGAAAAGTCATTAAATATTCATTACCAGATTGTAGTTGGTTTGGCACTTGCCGGGGCTCTGGTATCTAATTGGGGCTGGGTCCATACATTATAAATATTCTGTACAATAGTAAGGCAGAGAAGGTTGGAAAGGAATGCAAAGTCACATAACATGACGTCATTGCATATCAATACACGTTTTGTAATTCTGTTCCGTATTCAAAAGTACTGAGTTCGTAACTACACTGTGAGTGATATGTACACGGATATTGACTCAAAAAGGCCAAGACGGAATAAAGTAAATAGTAAAAGAAACATACAAATGTCAAAATACTGTTTGATTTATGACACACTTTTGCCATTACTGACAATGAATGTTACTTGAAATTAGTGAAAACAATTTTATTAAGACTTGTACTTGAGTATTCAATCAAAACTTCAGCTATGCATCAGTTTTACAAATTTGCCTTTATTTAAAAATCTATTCCCATCTTTCACATACATTTCTCCTTTGTTGAGGGGGGAGGCATCCATGTGACAAATAATGGCAGCAAAAGTGCCCTCCTGAACCACTCTAGCTCCCTCTTGTGGCAGCTCCATGTACAAACAATGTTGCCAGTGAGAGTCCCGGATACATATAATACCCATAATGAGGAATTTGAACAGTTCTCATCCAAGTTTCTGGTTGCATGTATAAAGCGCCCTCATTTGACTGTGCACAGTATAGACCATTATGACATTCTGTGCATATCCCATGATACAAGAAAGTATATCAAAATGTTGATGTGTTTTAACACTATTCTTACATATGTTGATGTGCATATTTATTGTCAGCTTTCCTCATCACTCATATCACAATGTTCCATCACGTTTGCTACATCTTTGTCTCCTTTGACATATTTCTCCTGTGCAGAAGCTGTCGTAATCCGAGGTTAAGGAAAACCATCTATTATGCTATTCTGTATGATGTTTCAACTGATTGATTTAATTGATTTAATCTACATCTGATTTAATCTAACATGCAACAATGAATGGGTCCACACTTTAACACCTCTCAAACCCTACATCTTTGTTGTACATCTTCGTGGCTGTTTCATGTTTCATTAAAGGATATTTGAAGTACTCAAAGTCGGCTCCCACCGCGCAGGACATGAGCGCCTGCATATTCCGTTCCTCCAAATCCCCAAAGACGTAGCCGTTGGCTTTGTCAACCACCTTCAGAACATCCAGCATGCTTTCTTTGTCCTGGAAAACCAATACAAATACATGAAGTTACTGAATGTCTAGCCTTAACCATCATATAAATGAGGTTCTAATCTCTCCTTGAGTATGGTTCTAACCTATGAAACATTTGATACAGGTTCTAACCCTATGACCAGGGAGGTTCTTACTTGTTTATGAAATCGTTTGAGTGACTACAAATCTCTTAAACCATTTGAGTGAGTGAGGGGCTGACCTCTGAAATAATTTAGGTGAGGTTCTTACCTATAACTAGTGAGGTTCTATCTTCTGTCATTTTGGTGAGTTCAAACTTGTTACACCATTTGATTGAAGTGTTTCAATGAAGCTATAACCTCTAACATCATTTGAGCAATGTTCTAACCTCCTCAATCATTTGAGTGAGGTTCTACCTCTTTCATACTTTGAGAGTTTCTAGACCTACATAACTGAGTGAAGCTCTAAACCTCTCCCATCATTTAAGTGAGGTTCTGAACCCTTCCAGTATTTGAGTAAAATTCTAACCTCTTCCATGATCTGAATGAGGTTATAACCTCGTATCCTTTGAGTGAGGCTCTAACTTCTTATTCATGTGAGTGAGATTCCAATCTTTTACAACATCTGAAAGAGGTTCTTACCTAATCCAACATTAGAGCAAGGTTCTAACCTCCTGGAGAATTTAAGTAAGCTCTATCCTTTTAAATTGGCCTGAGCGAGGTTCAACCACTTACATCATTTGAATGCGGTTTTAACCTCTTACATCATACAAGTGAGGTTCAACAAGCAATCTGAACAAGTCCAACATCACTTTCGTACAAATGACCCTCCTTATAGCAAGTTTTGGCAAGCTTACCTGTACATTCAGTGTGATGAATGAGACCAGACTGTAGTCCTGGACCAGGCCAATCAGGGCCTCATTCAACTTCTTGAATTTCTTCAGGAATGGATCGCCCCCGAGGTACTCCAGGAGGTACTGGAGATCCAGCACCTCAGTGTAGTAATCAAGATTGAAGGCTGGAATCAGAAACAGGTGTGGAATGAAGAACACTATCTCAAACTTGGAAGGCTCAAACTTAAGAGTTGCAGAATAAAGGAAATACCCATATAACTTCATTTGTGTATAGGATTTATCTCCACAGATAACAAAAACAAATTTTAACTACAGAGCAATTTTTTTTTCGTGTGAATCTCAGATTGGAAGTTCACTAAGTCTGCAAGGACATTGCAAATTTGGCTCCCAATTCAACTCGTTTCAATCAAAAAAAGATCACATTTCACAAGATCTGAACTTCTTCTGTACTTTAACTTGTTTCTTTTCGGCAACATACCTAGCTTTCCATACTTTTCTACAAGATCAATCTTGGACAGTATGTTGACATGTGGTAGCTCCATCTGAAGCATTGTGGAGAGTGACGTCAGCAGGACAGAGATGAACTTCGATGGCTCACTGCAGTAGTGGGAGTCGACGAGGTGAACGGCAACTAGCTGAAAAGAACATTTAAAATTTAGTACGGAAAATACACTCGCCAGAGAATTCTTGCATTACGGGTTATGTTGATGGAAACAAGTTTTCAGCAAGTTTCTGAACTTCTGTAAAGCATTGTTAAATCCAATCATTTCCTGTATGGATCTGCATGCATCACAGATCTAATTTAGTGATTAGTTTACCCCCCCCCCCTTTTTTGTTTTAAAGAAAAGGTTACCCCGTGTTATCTCACATTGTACTTCCATTTCTGAAGAAGGGCCACAATGTTCCGCATGGAGTTGTGGTGTGTGTACAGTTCCACCTGGCCAGGGCAGTCAAACAGAATGTAATAGTCCTTGGCCAAGGGTTTCAGCTGAGCCTGCAACCAGTCAACGTTCTTCTCTAAATACTCCATGCAGTACACCAGGCTGCCGTTAGGCCCCAGTTTTAGTTTGTCCATCACATCCGAGGCTGTAATGAGGTCTGAGACATCCACGGCTGCTTCATAGGGCAGACTGTCATTGGCTGGGTCCAGGTTGACCACAGCGACCTTCCGTCCGAGGTTTGTCAGAAATTCTTTCATGCCGTTGCAGTAGGTAGTTTTTCCTGCCCCCGGTGGGCCGATGACTACCTGCGCAAATGCCATTGGTGCTTTCAGGCTTGATCAAGTTGATGGTGAAACACGAGCCCAGTTACAAAGAGTCTATAAAATTCTTTCAAAAAGATGAAACTCTAAAATTTCCACCACGGCCGAAAATTATCTGTTGTAAAAAAGAAAATAGGGCCAGAGGGGGACAACTTTTAGTTGAATTAATATGATCAGATGATTAAGGCGATGGATATTTGGCCGGCGACGGCTTTCTTTAAGTAAATAATTAAGCCGGAACGTCACTGAACATGCAAAATTCAAAAGCAAATTTCAAAAGCAAAAACCTTCCTTCAATCAAGTTCATGTCCTTCAGTCATGTCAGTTCACCATGTTCACGTTCAGAGCGCGCGTTGCAGTCGTCGAAAAAAAAAGATAGTGGATATTTTGCCGGAGGTAATGACGGCAAACTAACGATTACTAAAGGTTTGCCGGCGGCAATCCATATCAACAGAGGGCGCTGTACTCTTTAAAATAGGGCTGAATTATAAGATGTATTAAATTCCCACCAAAAGTTGTGTAGCACGATTGGTGTAATGGTTAAGCAAAGGCTCTAGTAAGCGGGATGACTCGCGTTCGATTCCGACCGCACCACATTTTTAAGTTTTTTTTCTCATCCCCAAATAAATAAGAATATTTTTCTTTTATTATTTCAACATGTCTCAAACATTTTTTGCAGAGTATTACATTTTCTTTTTCAGATTTGTGGCTCTGGAGGATTTTTTTAAAAGGGAAATAAATTCCGAAATTATAAAATGGTCTGAATCCCATCTTGTGAATACGAGGTAACAACGATAATTTTGGCATGGAGCCAGACTAAAACTTGTCACCGGAAAATGTTTTAAGTACAAAAAAACAGTAACTGCGCATGTTCAGTGCATATCCGGCAAGCTAACGTTTACTAAAGGTTTGCCGTCTCCGGCAAAATATATAGTCGGACTCCCTATTATCGCGGCATCCCTATTATCGCGGCATGGGAAATTTCTCTTTTTACAGTGTCAAAACTCCTTCAAGTGGCGATTTTTATCCAGTTCACCAGTCATCAAGGATTTTCTACCGAGTTGTATAAAAAGGAGGATTAAAAAATGTCGTGTCTTTCGGGACTTTTAACGATTTTAATAAATATTAACGTTTTCCAAAACTTGCAAAATTTTCCCTCACCGTGTCTGCTAAAAGGTACCGTTTATATTTTAACATAAATCTTTAATTGCGCTCTGTCCATGAAAGTTCCATTGTCTGGTTCCCATTCTTCAGCTGCAAATGTAAAATGAAGTCGAACGACGATATTTGCAGCGCGAAATCGTAACAACTTTTACGGGATCAATTATAAGCACCGCGCGTTAGCGAAAATAAAACGGCACACCGTGTAAAGTGAATGGCGCCCTCAATCGCCGATCAGTAGACTTGCCTCAGAGATTTGTGTTCTCCTTTCGGGCGAAGGGCAGGGTCTTAAGAAATCATCCTGCAGAAAATTTGTCTTTAATCAACTTGAACGTTACAGGGAAAATATCAGACTTTATTCAGGGGGTGTTTTGGTCAAAGATAAACTATGAACAAAAAAGTTGGGATCATTATAAAAACCACTTCCCGCATACCGCGATAATAGGGAGTCCACCTCCGTTCGCACACGCCGCGCATGTCTATTTTCACAGGCATCGTACACGGAATAAACCACACCACCCGTCAGATTTTTTTATATTAATTTAAAAAGGAAGAGTTATACTACACATAAGACAGGACAATTCTGGAAGGTTAGTGGGCAATCTCTATTCCGAACGAGAAACGTGATAAGTACCGCGATAATACGGCGTTCCATCCTACACTGCCAAAAAAAAACATGAAAAAGGAAAAAAGAAGGGTTTTTTTGTTGTTGAAATAACACATTCAAGTTGAAATTATTAACATAAAAACAAATCGAATTTGTTGAAGAGCACGGGAAGCGCAACTTTAATCGGGACAGACAACGACTAACTATTATCATGATTATTATATTAGGCTATTATTAACTAACTTACCGATCAGGGGAAAAAAAGAACATGGAGGCCGCCATTTTGCTTTAATGTGCTTGTTTTTAATTTCGCAACTCCACTAATTTCTGAGACTGAACCATCTCTTACACCGGGGGTGACTCCTTCTAGCATTGATTTAAAAGCTGTTTGTTTCATTGCTTAATATCAAATACATCAGACAGTAAGAAAGAAGTAAGTAAGAAATAGTAAGGAAATAGAGTTTTAGATTAATATTGACTTGTTTTATTTTTTTAAAGAATAGATACGAACTTTAAAATAATTCAAACGCCTCTATTTACTTTGAACGATCTCGCAAAAATTGAGGGCGGTATACATGTACATTATAGCGCAGCGCAGCGCGGGGAAATTTGGCTAAATTTGAGCAGACGACATGCAAAAAAACCACAAAGGCTGGAAGTCCTAAGTCACGTAAGTTAAGACTTCAGGGGGGAAAATGGCATTTGTGTGCAAATGCCAATGGTTACTAAGTTACTTTTGTTCTCCCCAATATAATTGTCATTCAGGCTAATTTATGCTGTAACTTGATGATAAGACATGAATCTTAGACTGAGAAACATTTCCAATTTTGTTAGGAAATACTTAAAATTGTTCTTGGCACTCCATAGACTTTGTACACAACCGCTGAAGGGAAAGATTCCCATATCTGGCCATCACTTGTCATGCTTGTCACCGGTCCCTGTGCACAAATCCTATGAGCACTGCCACTGGCACTGATGAGACTGGTCTGAAAATTTCTAAGTGTTTCTCAGTAAATACTTCAATATTTTCCCTTCTAATTTTGACTTTTAAAGGACATATTACAACTTTTGATGGTTGATACATAGGTCACTGAAGGGAAAAATTAGTGATGGCCAGATATGGGAATCTTTCCCTTGCTCTAAATAAATATGTCAGGCTAAACATGCTAAAGCTACGCGGTCCTATTTCTACGCGCTCACTTTCAATTTGTGTGTGACAACGTGCGCGTTGCAAGCGTTACCTGGGCAGATTAAATTAGAGGGTCGAGGATATCCATATTACATAATCCATTATCTTGGTTTGATGTATTTTTTTTATTCGCAGTGCAGTGGCAATTGTTACGGCAGCCGATTTTCAACTGCTTGCTATCGTTACGGTATTGCCAAATCACCATTGGCATTGCGAATCCATGTGACAACCAGAACGCTTCGGTAGCTCAATTTACTTAGACCACTGTGCCAGAGATCCGGGTTCAAAACCACTGCCATGCTGCTCAATTTTATTTCTAGGCTAGTTTTCTCTACTTTCAGGTTTTTAGTCAAATCCTTCTTTTTATTTAAGTAGGCCTAGATTTCATTTTCTTCTTCGTAATCCATGGCTTTCGAGGATTTTTTTTAAAGGGAAATAAAGTCCAAGAACCATGCAGTTGAAAGATAGTCTAGTTCCAACAGCTAACCAAAGATCCTGACGTTGAATACTATATTAGGTCAGGGAACCGGACGGTTCCGTAACAATAGCAGTTGAGAATCACCTTACGGTTGCCGCAATAATAACCACCACGATTTTTTATCCTATCCCTCCAATGGTCAGATGGTGTGATTGATGAGACCCGCCAAGATCTCAAGTTATGGCTCTGCAAGTCCCAGAAGTGACGGCGTTTCTCCGGTCAAGACATGTTCAAGTCGTTGATGAGTGGACCGTGGAATGCCTGGACTGGCTCCAACAAGAGTATCAGGTAAAAATTTGACAAAATTTTGCCAAATACTGAAGTAGCCACGAGGGCGTTTTTATTTGACTTGTCTTAGCTTAGGACAGATCACATTTTTACTGATGGTAGCCAATATTTTAACCAGTGCCCTACATGTACTTATTTCTTATATCTTTTTCATGTATCCTCACTAAATAAGGGCCAAAATGTCAAACCAAATGAGATGAAGCAGTATGTGTATGACCAATGGCTGGATTCGGATCTCACAGAAATCGCCTCGCCTGCACTGCCCCCTGGAATTGCACAGCAAAGGAAGACACAACTGACAGGCAGTTACGTACTGCAGGTGATACTGTAATTAAATATCGATATGGGCTTTAATTAATCTGCAATTGCCAAATTATGAGCAGAATTTAATGACGCATGTATTACATGATTTTCAAAATTAACAGGCCTATCTGAAGTAGTTCAGGTAGGTCCATATTTATTGACCAGTTTTGTGTTGCTGGATGATGTTATTTTACATTTCCGTGATTAAATGAAAGTTCATTTATTGTAATTTGTTAAGCAACCTTTATTTCAATTTCCAGATCAATTCTGTGCAGGACATCAGCACGCCTGCATATGGCCAGCTGATCAAACTTCAAGGAAAAGAAAATGAAAATGTTCTGGTGACGGCCACCCAGGCAACCCAGCAAACCCAAAGCAAGGTAAACCTATCGGCTGGAATATTGACTGTGAAAAGAACTTCACTAAGGAATATTTTTTGTACAGTCAGTAACCATGCCTTTGAACTACATGAAAGCGATGGGATACTTTTTTGTGAAATAAAGTCTTTAGTCAGTATAACTCACATAAATTTATTAATTATTTACGTGTTTATTTATTCTTATTCGGGGTAGGCCCAGTCAGTGGAATCCACTGTTCTCCCATGGGACCCAGTAAAGAGAAGACAATGTGATGAAGTAACAGTTTAGATGTGGGAGGAAAACCCCAGAAGAATATTCTGGGGAAAAAATTAGAAATCAGGTAGGGACTGAAAACCCAATCCACATATTGGCCCAGGCAGGAATCGAACCCAGGTCACAGTGGTGGAAGACGAGGAATGTACCGCTACGCCAACCTGACTCCCCTCAAGCTGGTGTTTTGGTTTTTTTCCCTGGCATGAAAAAAACCAGAACTTTTTTGTTCCTCCTGAAGTAGATCCCCTTACAGGTTTACTCCCCAGCTTATTGTCTTTGAACAGAGGCAAGTGAGGTGACATGGCTTGCCCAAGGACACAAATTATGGCCAGCACCTGGATCGGAACCCCAGCCTTATGATCGTGTGTCACAAATCTAAATAGCCCACCCGAATTCCCCCCACCCCCCTCTCTATCTCTCTTGGCACAGTGACGTGGTGTAAGTTATTTTGCTGTTTGCAAAATATGGCTTTAGAGCTTCCAAAGTGAAAGTGTTGACACAGGGATCTTGACATTCAATTGTAAGTACATTTATTTTTTTTTGTAGACTTTTTGTCTTTGTTATGTTGTGGAATTTTCTTGGTTTTTCGATGCCATAGTTTGAGCAAAAGTCAAGCCGCATGCTGATGCTGCAACTCACCGATGGTCACCAGTCGCTTGAAGGAATGGAGTACCAGCCAATATCCCAACTCAGTGTTAATATATTACCAGGCACAAAGGTAATGCAGTTGAGGTTTATTTTTTTTTCATTTTTGATTTGAGAAATAAAAAAAACCTTATATTCTGCATCAAACCGCAAACCAACAAGAGTGCAGTCCATTATTACAAGTCCATCACCAGTAAGTTGCAAGTTCTTTGATGAGTTCAGTGACAAGTAAAGGGAAATGAAGATTAAAGCAAGACCAAAGCAACACTTTTTTGTCACATGGCCGTGTGATAGACTTGTGGGGACTTCAATGGTCCTTGTAAAACACAAAGTGTAATATATCAGTTTTATAAAATGCAATTTTTTTATCACCACTGCAGATCTTAGTCCATGGGTCGGTGCAGTGCCGTATGGGTGTTCTCATGCTGACAGCCAACAACGTCAGAGTACTTGGTGGGGATGCAGAGTCCCTGGCCGAAAACAACTCACAGATTCAGATTCTGTCCCGAGCTCTGTAAGTCAGTCTGCAGTGCTAAGTAAATAGGCCCTCAGTTTATTCCCATTAATCAGGCAGACTTTTTCATGAGCTTATATTAACCATCAGTCAGTTTTATCAAATATTATGGAGTAACTTTTTCAAGATTGTTAACAGTCATGTGAGTCAATCAAAGTTTAGGCCGGGTTCCGAAATGGTGGAATCCGGCGACCAGAATAAGAAACTTTTACTGCGGTGGTGTCACGCTCATGCGCATGCTGTACCCATTCTTAAAGAGGAGGCGCGCGCATTTTGGTATACCTATTGGTTGAAGGAGCCCGGAGTGGGTGTGTACTACCTGAGCGCGACTCATGTGAGCCTGGTGCCACCGCAGAAAATGGCTGCCGTCGTATTTGTCTATACTTGGCTGTGGCTACTTGCCATAGACACATGACTTTCTGCTAGCCTTAGCCAACTAATTTGGACATAGCCTGTGACTGAGGTGCCACATGCTAAGATTCAGGTTGCACACTGGCACTTAGCTTTTCTTCAACCAGATGGGTGCATGCCCTATAAGGTGATGGCCCATTTATTTGTGACTGCCATAGTAAACTCTGATAAGCATTTTCAATTTTGCCATTTTGGAACTTGCGTACTCGATTATTAAGTTAATACCAAATTGAATGAATACATACATTTTTATTTCTCCATTCTTTCTCAGTGGGCTTGATGGAAGCCAACAAAGCCAGCAAGAGCCAGTTCCGGCTGCATCCAACCAAAGACAACCGGCTCCTCAGTCTCCTATTGATCTCACTGGTGACAGCGAGATCATCAGGAATACCAGTAGCTCTACTGGTAGATCCAATCACAACAAACAAAGAGGTAAGAATTTCAATATTCATAAGATCTTTCAAGGTTTCAGTGCCTTTTGTGATTTTGAATGATAACCGAGCAGTTTTCCTTGAGAGGGCTATCGAGGAATTGGAATTTTCAATTTTTTTTAAATTAACTTACTTCGACTTCAAATTGTGATTCTTTCAGTTTACAGGAGTCATGAAAAAAAATTAGTACATTCAATTCCTTCTTTCTGTTGGTATATTTATCTTTCCAGCAGCATCTCATGTGAATGAGGAAGATGGCTTCTTCAGTGATGACCTTGGGGAAGACCTGGATGCTCTGATGCTGAATGAGATCGAGAGGATTGAGGAGATGGACCAGATCCAGCAACTAGCCAGCAGTGTGAGTAAAAAACATTATACAAATTCCCCTAAAACTTGGGTTTTATGTATACAACGCCTGAATGAATCCCTCTGATTGGTGGGTCGTTGATCATGTGTCATTGAATTATTCATGATCACTCTATTGGTTGCGTTATTACACAGCTCTGATGACTCTGATGCTGTACATTCAAGTGCCAGTTTACAAGTCACCAGTCTGCTGACAACTTATTCAAGCGTTGAATAAAACAAATAATGAATGTTCGTGGAACGGAAAGAATAATTTGATTTGGTGACAGATAGAAAGTTCCATTCCACTCGGCTTTGCCCCATGGTATACAAATAATGAATGTTTATGAGTGCAACGGTAAGAATAATTTAATGAGGTGACAGATGGAATGTTCCATTCCACTCGGCGTTGCCCAATGGTATACAAATAATGAATGTTTATGAGTGCAATGGTAAGAATAATTTCATGAGGTGACAGATGGAAAGTTCCATTCCATTCAATTTCACCTCGTTGAATGGAACATTCCATCTGTCACCTCATGAAATTATTCTCTCCATTGCATGAATGGGAAACATTCATTATTTGTTTTATACATTCATTATTTGTACTTTTTCCTTTTCACTACGCCTGAATAAATCCTTGTCATCTGATTGGTCAGAGCCACCAATAGTGTTACGGTGCAATGGAACTTCCATTACTGTGGAATGGAACATCTATTTTCGTAGTGCGGCCAGGCCGGGGGTTGGGATGAATGATTAAGTAACATGTGATCAACAACTGCCCAATCAGATGACAGGGATTTATTCAGGCATTGTATAAAATGGAACATTCCATCTGTCACCTCCTTAAATCATCTGTCACCTCATTCAAATTATTCTTGCCATTGCACTCATAAAGATTCATTGTTTGTATAATATCCTTTTTTGTACTATCCCTAATCTTGTTGGATATCTTGTGTTTATTTTCTTTGATAATATAACTTGTATTTTTATTTATTTTTTTTTCAAACAGGCTGGAGAGGAAACAGAATGGCCGGCCGATGAGGAAGAGATCGATGAGATGTGGTTGGAGCAAGTTGAGCAGAATCACGACGTCCAATCAACCGATCTTTCAAAACAGAATGCGACAACTAAAAACAAGAGCAACAGTGCACCAGTTATCACTCGCACAGCGCCAAACATTTCAACACTGAATCAAGTTCCTCAACAAAGCCGGCAGGCCCAGAAGGATGCCAAAGTCAAGACGGAGCCCTTTGCAGCCAGGCAGGGGAACGTTAAGCAGCCAACTTTGAGCAAAATAAACCTTAGCAGCGTCAACAGCCTTACAAGTGTTCGCCACCAAGATCTAAAGATGGAAAGCAAACGTCCTGATAAAGAAGGTCTTGGAAATGTTTTCAAGACAAATATGCCAGACTCTAAAGGTGCATTCAGTAGAACTAAAGACGAACCCAGTGCCAACAGAAGTACAAATGTTTCGTCAAACACAAAAATTGGAAACAATCCTAGAACCAGTGACCAACATGCTCACAGAGATATTCCATCCAAAGCTAATTTAGACTCCAAGAAAACACTTGACTACAAAGTCCCAACAGTTCCTCAATTTCTCAAGAACAAGGAGACGGCAGGACCAGAGACCAAACCACTGGTTGACTTCCAACAGAAGGCCCAATCCTCTGAACCCTCAACTTCATCAAGTGACCCCATCACCAACTTCCTTAATTTGCGGACGGGTGTCGCAAAGCCAGCACCAGCCACAGGAATAGCTGCCCGGATCACCAAAGAGCCCCCTCAGGGAAAATGGGACAATAATGCCAAGATATCAAGTCTTGCTGCGACTGTGCAGAGTAGTACATCGGGCTCGGAAGACACTGAGACTAGTTTTGAGGAAGGTTTGAGTGCTGCAAAGCGGAGACGTTTTCGTTCCAACGAAGGTTAGCAACTTTACTGTGTTGTTTTTCTAATTTGATTAAAGTGAGTACTAATGTTGCCAATGGAAGGGAATTTTACATTCTGAACTTTGGAAAGCGGACTTATGTGATTTTTTTTCCTTTGATTTTTTTCTTACTAATTTTTAGGAGGTTGGGCTGATCGCGGCATGGCAAGTTCGTCTATAGTCGCACTGTCATCAGTCATGGGTAGGATTCAAGCTCAGGATATATTCACATTCACTATCAAGGTATGCAGTCTGATACATAAATTCTTAAATTGTATAACATTCTGTCCAAAATGTTGTTTTTATTTGAATAGTCAATATTTGAATAGTTTGTTTTGTAGTGCTAAACGTAGTTCATATTTTCCCACACATTACATGTGAAGTGAAGTTGTTAGCAAGGGCGGATCCAGAACACAATGGGGGGGGTGGCAAACAAAGATTTGTTTCCCAAGTTGATTCCAAAATTGACGGCGTGGGGTTCAGGGCCCACTTAAGGGCACCCAGACAAGTTTTGGATTCTAGATGCTCTGCTGTGCGATGTGAGGCAATTTCTGACCACTTTAACCAATTTTGTTTTAATAAAAGATGGTGGTGTACGCATTGGCTGCCTTTTTTGCGATGTCAATTTAAAAAAAATTGGATTCGCTTTTTTTTGGGGGGGGGGCATGGCCCCGTTTCTTCCCCCCCCCCCCCCCCCCATGCACCGTTGGTTGTTAGTGTAGCGGTAGGAAACTACAGCCCTTGACATAAAAAACCCAGTGTTTTTTTTTACAGTAACTAACCCTTTATTAGGAGTAACCCTTTCAACCTTGCTTCTTTTTTCTAATGATATAAAATGAAGTGGTTTATGATAATTTAATTTTTTATACAGGACATGTTTTCACTATTTTGTCAAATTTTCTCCCACATTATTACAGGGCTTTGTCGTAACACTGATTTCTGCATTGAGCAAAAATGATGGCCACTGGAGTATCTCTGCAAAGATCAGTGACAAGTCAGCGACGCTGGATGTCGACCTGTCTAACGAGGTGAGTTGTGGAAAAACTTTTACTTTTATAGGAGCTCAAGTAATCATAGGTGATGAGAAGTGACGTTGATTTGAATGGTTTAAAGGGGCTAACTTAAAAAAGGAATCAGCTGTCAAGATAGGCTCTGGTCTTATAACGGCAGCTTGTTGTCAAACAGTTTACACAAAACGTCAGGAAAAACTAAGCATCGTCGATATATCAATATTTCTCGATTATTCAATATTATATTGATGTCTTTATCGCCAAAATAGTTTTTTAATCAAATCAAAATTTTCGATATAAAAGAATGATATCGAATATATATCGAAAATGCGCCAGATTATCTTAAAAATAAATCTCCCGTTTGTGCTTTTACTTTGTGTTTGACGTTTGCTGTATAATGAAATAAAACTCGGCGGCAACTTGCGCTTGTGACTCAAAATGAAAACATCGCGAAATGCGAACTGGCGTCGCATAGTGCTCTGCGTTCGCTGGAATTCGCAGTCTCCCCAATGTAAAAGCTCAAAAGAAACTGCCTGTTCTGGACAAACTCTCAGTGCTGACATTTGTTTTAAAACGTTTGAGCAATGCTCGCTCCAGAGAAAAACGTGGAAACTTGGGACTTAAGATTTTTTTTTTCAAAGTGTCATCTTATGGTCTTTAACTTTTACATGTAATATTCGATATATTGAATATTCTCGATGTTGAATTTCCAATATATCGATTATTGAAACTTCTGATGTCGATGGTGCTTTGGAAACACTCAGATGATTACTATTCACAGTTTTCCTCAACATTGGCGTTTGAGATTAAAACATCTAGCCTCTTGGTTTTGCTTAAATTGCACTATTGAAACTCTTTTGTTTTATGTTTCTTTTCATGTTCAGGTTTTGACTGGCCTTATAGGATTCTCTGTTACTGAGATGATTGTAAGTCAATTTGTACTGTTTGGACTGTTTTGTAGCACAAAATTATGTATCATCCTTACAAGAAAACAAAGTCTCTTAAATATTTAAAGACCACAATTTGTATTGAAATGAAATTTTGTAAGGGCACTTGGAATAATGAATAGATTCAATTGTCCCTACGTAAAGTTAATATTTCTTTCAAAATGTATTCTTTGGCCTGCAGCAATTAAAGAAAACAATAAAAACTTCAGATCCAGTAAAGGCCAAAGAACTGGAGACAAAACTGCGGCAGGTAAGACCCAATTTCTACAGGAAAAAAAGTATAGCATCAGCAAATGTTGTCTCCCACTCTCCACCAAGATCTAGTCAGTGCTTTTGTACTTCTTCATATAACATGCTGTATTTGCATTGACAGAATTTCTTGACGTCACTCAATGAGTGGCATTTATTTAGCCCATGCTTACACACCTCATGCATACCGTTACTTTTTGCTCACTGCGCTACCACTCAATTTGTTGTTGCAGTTAAGATGCAGTGGGCAATGCCACTCAATAACATCAGGAACATTCTGTCTATTTTAGAGCTGCATGTAAACTTTCCATTTGGTTGATGTTACTGTTTACTGTTAGAAGCATGATCGGGAATCTTTCCAATCAAAGATTAGGTCCAAAAAGCAAAATAGTTCTGCTTCCGATTACATGGCATTCGAACATAGGGTAGGTAGGTAGGGATTTTTTTTTTGCCAATTATTTGTGTACGATCATATGGAGGCATCTGCGTGTATTCAAGGGGAAAAGGCAGAAATTGATGGGGTTTTTTTGTGACACCGGTCCTAAAAAATTAGGATAGGGGCTGTCAGAATAGGGTAGGTAGTGAAACCGGAAGCAGACTTTTTTTCTTTTCTTTTTTGGCCTTATTGTGTGTAGAAAGCTCTTCCTATCCTCTTCATTGTGAATACACATTGGCTTCACCTAAAGAAACCGTTACCTGTTTGGGATTTTCGGAATATAATGAAGAGCACCTTCTTTTTGCATTGTAATGCCCATAATTTGATACTAAAACTTCCAAATTGTGAGAAAATGTATCCTTTTTTTTCTTCTTTCTGAAATCTAACTGTAGCTTTCCCTCCATTGTTTCCCCAGGGTCTGGCACAGTGCCAAAAGTCCCTGATCAACATGCACTGCACCTTGACCGTCCAAGTCCGTTCAAATCAAGAGCGCCCCCTTGTGATCGCTGTGGGTAAGACGGACCCGGCGGATCTGGCCACTAACTTCAGAGAGGTGCCCGGCAAGTCGTGACAACCAGCGTCATCCAACGATGTTGAATCGTAGGATTGTTTTAATACCTGGTGAAGTGAAGTGAGTGACACATGCATGAACAAAAGTTTAAAGTTTCTGTTCAAGTTGTGGTTGTTAGTTGCAGAACGAATTATGAACTCATAAATGGTTGATTATGCTTTTGTTCTTAAAAATGGGAGCTCCGGTGCGTGGGTCACATCACAGGAGTGGACACTGTTTCGCGTGCGTATGACGCAAGGTACATCTCAAATCTTGCAACGGAACTGGGCGCATTGCAGCACTTTCATCCAAGTATCCATCATGTATATCCCTTTCAGTAACCACTTCACGCCGGGATTATTTTGACAAGAAAGGAACGAGGCACGGGATTACTTTTCACTGGAGCTCAAGCCACTTTTTACTGGAGCTCAAGCCATCACTTTTTACTGGAGCTCAAGCCACTTTTCACTGGAGCTCAAGCCACTTTTCACTGGAGCTCAAGCCACTTTTCACTGGAGCTCAAGCCACTTTTCACTGGAGCTCAAGCCACTTTTCACTGGAGCTCAAGCCACTTTTCACTGGAGCTCAAGCCACTTTTCACTGGAGCTCAAGCCACTTTTTACTGGAGCTCAAGCCAGTAAGTTGAAGCCATCACCCTTGGGCAGTGCACTCGTGATTACGCCTTCGCTCGCTGCGAGTGGGTAGCTGACAGATATTTCCGGCCTCGCTCCCTGTGTGTTTATCTGTCATCCGTTCCAAATATTGCAAAACTTTTGTGTGTATACACGGCCTCCGGCGCGAACTGGTTAAATAAATGATGAAGAGGTACCTGTTTTTTTACTTGAGCCACCTTTCCACAAGTGTGCTTTCAGTCATTTTTGTTTCAGCAAATGTGAAGCCCAATTTAAACTGTAGGCCTACATCCATGATGGACATGACACGCACAAACAGCGTACTTACAGAAAGGCAGCTTTTAGTGCACCTTTAAACATGACAGAAGTTGAACTTGTTTCTGTTATTGACAGCGCTGCTTTCTTCTGGGATGTAAATCCTCCTGCAATTGCCTGATGGCTCTTTTATTCAATTGTGAAAAAACAATTTTAGCACCATACACGTGTGTGCAGTTTTTCCCTTTTACCTCAAATTTAAGGCAAATTGTGTCTGAGTCTACTTACATCTCTGTTTCCATTTTTCTCTCTGTTGAGGAAGGAGTTCTCCGTTGTTATACCTTTTGTTAATCTTACATAAACATGTTACAGAAATGAGACTGGGCTTGCCTATTTATTAGCTCGTCTAGAAAATCTAAGTTTAGAACAAAGTTTATGCTCAGTGTCCGACAGTCAATCAATTGGAGTCGGGGAGTCAGTCAGTCGTTTGGGAGTCGGGGGGAGTCAGTCAGTCGTTGGGGAGTCAGTCGGGGAGTCAGTCAGTCGTTGGGGGGGGGGGGAGTCAGTCAGTCGTTGGGGAGTCGGGGAGTGAGTCAGTCAGTCGTTGTGGAGTCAGGAATCACTCGGGGAGTCAGTCAGTCAGTCAGAGAACATGGGCTGGCCTTTTGGGTTGTACAAAAATCAGTAAAACAGTCATTAATCTGTTACTACAACCAAGTCACTGACATTTATTTTTGAGAACATTACATGTGTCTTCTGGGGTTAAAGGGAAGATACAACATTTGCAAACATCAACAAACGAAATGATCATATTATCACGCAATATCTTACTGGATTGTTAGGGAATGACAGTCGAAAGCAACCTGTAAAATCATAGCTCCTGGTGTTCTACATTTTCAAGAAAACTAGTATTTTTCCAACGCTGGTCGGCCGACCAGGGTTGGAGAAAACTGACGTTTTTCAAAAAGTGTTCCTAATTTTTCATATTGAGTTATTCTGCATTTTCTTTGCAATTGATTACACACCTGTGAAGGGGTACAAGCTTTCTAGACTGATTCTCTGACCTTACAATTCCCCAAAGTCTATAAATTTCTCCGTTTCATCTTACGTGGGGTCAGGGAACCAGACTACAAAAACATGGTTGGTTTTCTTGGATTTTCCAGCATCTCCGAACCCAAAACGTGAAGCAAGTCAGTTTAACAATATTTGCTGTAACATACTAATCCTCCAAATCCAATTATTTCTGAAAAATCGCAGCAAAAGCAAATGATGTTCATTTCCTTTAAAGTTCATTTTTAGAGGTTTATTATGCAGGAAGTGTTTCTGTATTAAAATAACTTACGTTTTGATTGAGTTTTCTACACTTTTTGTGTTACTTTTTGTTGTTTCTGTTTGGGTCTTTCATTTTATATTTTTGTTTCTAATAAAAGGGGACGTCCAGAGTTACTGATCTGTACAGATTTTAAACATCAGTCTTCATAAATGTAAAATTTATGCAAAATTGATGACAACCAATGCTTAAAATTGCTAAATTTATGAAACAATTTGAATTTTCTTTCAAAAACAAACCTTCTTTCTGGAACTGACTCCAACCTCAATTCCATGTGTTTTTTTATGAGGGAGTTTGCTACTCAGTGGAAATATGAATAACCCCCAAAAAGGTTGCTTCAAGTTCAAATCATCAAGTTAATTTTTAACACTAAACATCAACAACTACATCATTACATCAAATACAATTTTTTTTAAAGGGGACTTCCAGAGTTACTGATCTGTACAGATATTAAACATCAGTCTTCATAAATGTAAACTTTATGCAAAAGTGATGACAACCAATGCATAAAAGTGCTAAATTTGTGGAACAATTTGAATTTTCTTTCAAAAACAAACCATATTTCCGGAACTGACTCCAACCTCAATTCCATGTGGTTTCTTATGAGGGAGTTTGCTACTCAGTGGAAATATGAATAACCCCCAAAAGGTTGCTTCAAGTTCAAACCATCAAGTTGACTTTTAACACTAAACATCACCAACTATATCATAACATTAATAACAATTTTCGTTTTTTAAAGGGGTTTCCAGAGTTACTGATCTAAACGGATTTTAAACATCGGTCATCATAAATGTAAACTTTATGCAAAGGTGATGACAACCAATGCATGCATACAAGTGCTAAATTTGTGGAAAAATTTGAACTTTCTTTTAAAAAAACAAAGTTCTCTCCGGAACTGACTCCAAACTCAATTCCATGTGGTTTCGTATAAGGGAATTCGCTACTCAATGGGAAAAATGGATAACCCCCAAAAAGGTTGCTTCAAGTTCAAACCTTCAAGTTGATTTTTAACACTAAACATCACCAACTACATCATTACATTAAATACATTTTTTTTTAAAGGGGACTTCCAGAGTTACTGATCTGTACAGATTTTAAACATCAGTCTTCATAAATGTAAAATTTATGTAAAATTGATGACAACCAATGCGTAAAAGTGCTAAATTTATGGAACAATTTGAATTTTCTTTTAAAAAAAAGAAGCTTATTTCCGGAACTGACTCCAACCTCAATTCCATGTGGTTTCTTGTAAGGGAGTTCCCTACTCAGTGGCAATGTGGATAACCGCAAAGAAAAGGTTGCTTCAAGTTCAAACCATCAAGTTGATTTTTAACACTAAACATCAACAACTACATCATTACATTATATACATTTTTTTAAAGAGGACTTCCAGAGTTACTGACCTGTATGGATTTTCAACATCATTCATCATAAATGTAAACTTTATGCAAAAGACAACCAATGCGTAAAAGTGCTAAATTTGTGGAACAATTTGAATTTTCTGTTAAAAAAACAACTTATTTCCGGAACTGACTCCAACATTAATTCCATGTTGTTTCTTGTAAGGGAGTTCGCTACTCAGTGGCAATGTGGATAACCGCAAAGAAAAGGTTGCTTCAAGTTAAAACTTTTAAGTTGATTTTGAACACCAAACATCAACAACTATGTCATTACATTAAATACATTTATCTTTTTTTTTCTTTTCTTTTTAATTTCTACCTTACCCCCAGCAGTGCTGAAAACCAATTTAATCAAACCATGATCAAACCAATTGCCAATTTTAATTTGTCGTTGTGCGACTGTACATGACTGCAAACTTCACTGACAGCATACTGTATGTTTTACCAAAAACAGACCCTTCTAGGCAGCTTGCGAATTAACCTTTGAAAAAGATGTTAAAGGTGCATTCCCCGTGCTGTTCAACAATTTCAATTTCTTTTTTTTCTTCTTTTTTTTTTATCTGTTGAAACCCTCCTATGGAAACATGCATGTGAGCCTTGTTATTACTTGGGTCAATATTGGTAAAGACCCCCATTGGTTTGTACACAGTATGCCAGGAGGTGAGGCAGAAAAAAATTGACCGTTTGTGACCTCTTAAATAGTAGGAGGGTAAATACATTTTCAACTTGTATGTTTTATTCCAACCAAAAGGCTCCCTTTCTCCTTTTTTTTTTTTTTTTTTTTTTTTTTTTTTGAGGTCTGCAAACCTCTGAAAAAAGGGTTTTGTTTTGGGCACAAACATAATCCACACAGCGGGCAGACTGGCTCCTGGTCCATACATTATTGATACTGATTGTACAATAATATGTTATTTACTGAACTTGGGCAGATTTTTTTTTCGGTCGATGTCTCATTCAAAAGTGAACAACTTGTTTACATTGCTAGAAAAATACCAATTTAGAAAAGGAATCTATTTTTCGAGATGAAACTCAAAAACAGCACAGGTAATGCATCTTTAAAGTATCTTGATCAAGAAATATGCACAAAAAATTGATGGCACTAGGTATATTTACTTTAGGCACTGCTAAGGTTAAGTTCATTCAACATTTAAAATATGTTTATCACCATACTCAAAACATTCTTTCACAACAAAGCCAAAAAAGCCATGAAAACACCATATTTTTTTAACTGACTATACTACGATACTAAATACATCAAAAAGTTAATTTTAGGAATGACATCAAGTAAGCAGGATTTAAGGCTTGTCAAGATTATTGTAAAATTTTGCTTTGGGGTTTTTATATATATTTTTTTATAACTCTTTGACAAGTTGAAGATCTGATATTTTAGGACTACAATTTGGGTACTCTGTGTGTGTAATACCTTAAAAGCCTGCTTACATATTTTAAATGCAATGATTAACACATCAACAATTTTCCTAACACTCTTCTATAAAATGTAATGAAAGTGATATACAATGAACCATTCCCGTCTTAGTTCTATTGGTTGCACTGCATGTGCTAATAACCCTTTCCAAAGCGACTATAGTTCTTTCACAAAATATAAAAATTAATGTGTGATTGAACATTAAAAATCACAGCCTCTATAGCCTACATTCCACAATGCCTTTTTTGTTTGTTTCAATCTTACCATCAGTGCTTCAAGAGTTTCTGTATTTATACAAATTTGAACAATGCTCTGTCTAAATGCCCCAGAACAAAAGCTGAAGTTCAATCTACCATCAAATCCAACATAAAAGCTGTGCAATATCTATGCATTTTTTTTAATCTCTCTTTGCAGGTGTTTTTGCATTAACTGTGCACAAATATTGAACGAACTTTGCAAAATCTTAGTTCTTAAAGAAAATATGAACATTGAACATGTACATCAATTAAGTGAATTTAACTTAAACACCGAAAAATCTGTTGATAACCTTTCAACAATTTTGCACTGTGTTGAAAGATTTCTTCTTTTTACATTTGCACCAATCTAAGCAAACTTCATGAGTATACGACGTTTTTCTTTAAAATTCTACACATACCAAGCACATCATTTAACACTTAATACAGTAAAGGTCACCAATTATAGATTTAGTTGTTATAATATTATAACATGTATTATTATTTTTATTTTTATTTTTTTTATGATTTTTATTTTTTATTTTTTTTATGATTTTTTTATGTGGGGGGGGGGGGCTTTTTTTGGTTTCAAATACCTTAATACAATGCCTCAGTTCCTATATACGTCAAAATCTAAACATCGTTTCAAATACCAGTGCAGTAACTATACCATTTTTTAGTGATATTTTACCATCTTTTAACTTGTTTTTTATTTACACGAAATTCAACAAGCTTAACAATAAATAATAATACAAGCATTTATAAAGCGCATTTTCCAATGGTTACAATGCGCTACGAAAGAACAACTCCAGAAAGTACAACTAATGAAACAGCGGGAGGGGAATGAACAAACAGAAGTACAATTAATATGATAATAATCATATAGATTTTTTGTTACATTTTAATTTGTATTATTTGGGGTTTTTTTTAATATGAATTACTTAAAAATTGCTTTAAAATGACATAGTTACTGCTGACATGGGCTTTATTTTATGATATATTCATTTTGAAACGATGTTTAGATTTTGACTTATACAGGAACTGAGGCATTGTATTAAAGTAATATCACATATACTTTCATTTTACCAAGCTGCATGCAGCAAACGAAAAAGAAAGATTTTTGTTAATCACTGTTCAACAGTTTTTCATGTGAACTCAAAGAGCAAGGAGCTTTACTAAAATACGCCTATTCACTTTTCTTTTAATTTCCACACTTGCCTAGAAGGCCTACAGCTCCCCCCCCCCCCCCCGCCCAGAACAAAATTATTTTACTTTGAAATAAAAGTCACTAGTTTTACGATTACCTTAGTACAACACATCAGTCTCCATATACAGGTATCAAACTTAACAGCTTGTATAAAGCTGCGAAAATGTTCATCTATAAATCGAAGTATAAAAAACAGTTTCCGCTGCGAAAATGTGCATCTATAAATCGAAGTAGAAACAGTTTCCGTTTTCAATAGGGTACGAAGCGCTTACCTCGTTGCGCGTCGCGTTGTTGAGTTGGCAGGTCTTGACCAGACCTCCCTGCCAGAGATTGAAGGAGCGGCATCGGCGCTCGGCCCAGCAGGCCTGGCCACACTCGAGTACGCCCTGGACCGTCAGTTTCTTGATCTCATGACCGTGCAGACACCGCCGTGCTACGCGGCCGTCTGCTCCCAACGATACGCAGTAAGACGGGACAAAGTGAGGCATTTCGCACATCACAAATTTTCGCTGGTTGCAGTTCCTTTTGATAAGTGTCCCGTGAACATTTCCTCTTATTGCAAGACAACATCTGTCAGGACTAGCGGCACTGGTATGATTATTGCCACAGTTGGTGTATTCGTTGGTTACATTTGTGTGAGGTTTCCCACCGACACACCGTTGATTTCCGTCGTCGACATCACACCCGATCCAGAGTGGTGTAAATCTTCTAAACCCACTGAACAAGTCGTCGTGCAGTTTAATGATGAAATTATGTTCCTCCCATGAGTTTGGCACTATGAGACTGCTCCTTGGACGCTGACACGCCGTAACAGCATCGGCCCAACGAGGTTTTCCTTGAAGCGCAATGTAACACGAGTTATGCCATTGGTACCAACCTTGGGGGCACGCTGTGACAATGACGTGATGAGCGCATGCTGTCATCCAAATGAGGAGTTTGACACGAATGATTAATGTATACACCATTTTTAAGCAAGGAGCCGATACAAGAGTTCTTAAGAAAGATTCACCAATCCTAGAACGGTTTGGGTAATGTTCATACGAGTCTGATGAGTATACCGGACTGTTATACCTGCGATGCGATGCTAAAGAATGGTTGCGTTTCTCTGGCGCAAATTTGAGATTTCAGACCTTGATGTTAAAATTTAGATTCTCATCGCGAATCCATCTGCGAAGCAGCCAATCGAAAGGTATATAAACACCGAAACGGCATCGATTTCGAGCCAACGAAACCAGTGTTGCCGGCCGGGCACAAAGAAACAAACCGGAAATTAAAAATATTCCTTTAATATGCTTTCATAATATGTGGAATTGCCTACCTTTAAGAACAGTATTGCAGACAACTGCAAATAGATCGCCAATTAGTTGGTTTCGCCATTTCAATAACAAGGACGTCTGTCCTTCGCCAGAGAAATAATAAAGCTTGTGGGCGTTGTGTGTTGATTTCACTCGGTGGATAGAAAACGCGTTCTTATACATGCAGCGTTTGGACATGTTTGATGAGAAAACAACCATGCAATTAACCTATGAAAATGCCGAGGGACGCAAACTGCAGACGGAGGATCTTGTTGATTCAGAGATTGTGTCATAATGCTGAAAGTTGAGGCTAAACTTCTGCATATTGCTTTCCAAAAAAGTATAGTTTCTACCAGTCCAAAGCAATAATTTACTGGTTTTATCATTGGTTTAGCGTTTTCGTAGAAAATCTTTACGTGATGAAAATGTACATCTACAATTCGAAGAAGGTACATTTTCCCTGTTCAATGAGGTTATCAGCGCTTACCTCGTTGCTCGTCACGTCGTTGAGTTGGCAGGTCTTGGCCGGACCTCCCTGCCAGAGATTGAAGGAGCGGCATCGGGGCTCGGCCCAGCAGGCCTGGCCGCACTCGCTGACTCCCTGGACCGTCAGTTTCTTGATCTCATGGCGGTGATGGAGACACCGCCGTGCAACGCGGCCGTCAGCTCCCAACGATACGCAGTAAGACGGGACAACGTCAGGAATTTCGCACATCGCGAATCTACGCTCGCTGCATTTCTTTTTGATGAGTACCACGTGAGCATTTCCTAACATTCCAATGCAAAATATGTTAGGGCTAGCGGCATGGGTATGATTTTCGCCCCAGTTGTGGATGGTTACATTTGTGTGAGGTTTCCCTCCAACGCACCGTAGATTCCCGTCGGCGACATCACACCCGATCCAGAGTGGTGTGAATTTTTTAGACCCTTTTAACAATTTGTCGCGCAGTTTCATTATGAAATTATGTTCCTCCCATGAGTTTGGCACTATGAGACTGCTCCCTGGACGCTGACACCCCGTAACAGCATCGGCCCAACGAGGTTTTCCTTGAAGCGCAATGTAACACGAGTTATGCCATTGGTACCAACCTTGGGGGCACGCTGTGACAATGACGTGAAGAACGCAAGCTGTCATCCAAATGAGGAGTTTGACACGATTGATTAATGTATACACCATTTTAAGCAAGGAGACGGTACAGGAGTTCTTAAGAAAGATTCACCAATCCTAGAACGGTTTGGGTATATAATGTTCATAGGAGTCTGATAAGTATACCGGACTGTTATACCTGCGATGCGACACTAAAGAATGGTTGCGTGTCTGTGGCGCAAAGATTCCAGGCCTTAATGTTAAAAATTAGATTCTCATCGTGAATCCATCTCAGGCGAAGCAGCCAATCGAAAGGTATTAACACCGAAACGGCATCGATCTCGAGCCAACAATGAAACCATTTTTTTTTGCCGGCACAAAGAAGCAAACCGGAAATTAAAAAATTCCTTAATGCTTTAATGTGGGATTGCCTACCTTTAGGACAGAATCGTGTATCGCAGACAACTGCAAATATTGATCGCCAGTTAGTTGGTACCGCCATTTCAATATAAAAGAACGTCGGTTGTCCTTCGCCGGTATAAGAGTAAAGCTTGTCGTAGTGTGCCAGTTGATTTCATTTTGTTGAACAGACGTCCATATACATCATAAAGGGACATGTTTGGTGAGAACACAACCATGCAATTAACTTTAAAAAGAACATCACTGATGTGGAGGGACAAAAACTGCAAACAAAGGAGCTTGTTCTGAAAGTTAAGGTTAAACTTCTGTATACTTCTTTCCAAAAAAAAATAGTTTCTATGCCAGTCCAAAGCAATAATTTACTGGTTCAATCAATCCGACGTGTGCATTTTCGGAGAAAATAATTTCGTGATGAAATGTGCATCTACAATTCGAAGAAGGTACATTTTCCCTGTTCAGTGAGGTTATCAGCGCTTACCTCGTTGCTCGTCACGTCGTTGAGTTGGCAGGTCTTGGCTGGACCTCCCTGCCAGAGATTGAAGGAGCGGCATCGGGGCTCGGCCCAGCAGGCCTGGCCGCACTCGCTGACTCCCTGGACCGTCAGGTTCTTGATCTCATGACCGTGCAGACACGGTGCCACGCGGCCGTCAGTTCCCAGCGATGCGCAGTAAGACGGCACAACGCAAGGCATTTCGCACATCACACATTTACGCGCATAGCAGTCACTTAGGTAAAGTTCCCCATCCTGATATGGCCCCTTTGCAATACAAAATTGCCCAATCCTATCGTTGCCACCATCGCTCGCCCAGTTGGTGTACACGCTGTTTGCGTTTTGCCTTCCAGCACACCTTCGATTCCCGTCGACGATATCACACCCGATCCAAAGATGCCTCGTATCAAACTCGCTGAACACTTTGTCACGTAGTTTCATAATGAACTCATGTTCTTCCCGTTGGTTGGGCACAAAAAGACCACCCCCTGGACGCTGACAAGTCGTCATAGCATCAAACCAAGTCAGCTTTTCTTCAAGTCCAATGTAACACGAGTTATGCCATTGGTACCAACCTTGGGGGCACGCTGTGACAATAACATGATCAGCGCATGTCGTCATCCAAATGAGGAGTTTGATACGATTGATTAACGTATACAGCATTTTAAACATTAACCCTAACTCTCTAGGGGTTGTGCAAAATCACATTGAAATTGGAGGATTCAGGACTAGGGCTATCAAGGAGCCGATATACGAGGTTCGTAAAAAGGGATTCACCGATCCAAAACCGATTTGGGTATTAATTTAAATACTGTTCATACGGGTCTGACGAGTATACCCGACTTGTGTACCTGCGATGCGACACTATGGCTGCTTTAGTTGGCGCAAAGATTCAAGGCCTTGCTGATACAAAATAAAATTGTTACGCGATTCGATCTGCGACGAAGCAGTCGCCCATAGGTAGTAACACTGACACAGCATCGATTTCGAGCTAACAATGGAACCATTCTACCGGCACGCAGAACCAAGCCGGAAATTAAAAATATTCCTCCATCCTTCATATCTTTTGAATTGCCTACCATTATACTGCGGACATTAACTGCAATAGATCGCTAGTTTGTTGCTATCGACCTATATTTCAATAAGAACAACCGTCCGTCGCAAGAGTAATGAAGCTAGTAGGCGTTGTGCGTTGGTTTCAATCGGTGGAAAAGGCATTCAGTATTACAGTTTTGGACATGACTTGTTCCATAATAAAACCCATGCCTTTAAAATGTGGAGGGATGAGAACTACAGACAAAGCAGCTTGTTGATTCAGATATTGTGTCATATTCTGAAAGTAAAGGCTATTATAAGCCTATAATCTCCTGTATATTTCTTTCTTTAAAAAAATTTGCTTCTACCGGTCCAAAGCAATATATTACTGGCTTAATCATTCCGTGTTCGGCAGCGCGGCATTAGGCCTACGTCAGCCGGTGAAGACATCTTTTCATACAGTACATGTACGTGCGTTTTAACCAGTTGCTATATATTACCGTACGCGTTCAGCACACGGTATATGAAAATGGGTCTGGGAACGAGACAATTAGAGTTCAGAAGTTCCTGGATGTCTGGCTTGCTCATAGTCGGCATTTTCGTAGAAAATGTTTTCTTGATGAAAATGTTCATCTACAAATCGAAGAAGGTATACATTTTCCTTGTTCAGTGAGGTTATCAGCGCTTACCTCGTTGCTCGTCCCGTCGTTGGGTTGACAGGTCTTGGCCGGTCCTCCCGTCAGGTTCTTGATCTCATGGCCTTGCAGACACCGCCGTGCCACGCAGCCGTCAGCTCCCAGCGATGCACAGTAGGACGGGACAACGCGAGGTATTTCGCATATCATAAATGTTAGTGCATAGCAGTCATGTTGGTAAAAGGTTCCCATGCTGCATTGGTCCTTTTGAAATACAACATTTTCCCACCTGATCGGTGCGACCATTGCCAGCCCAGTTGGTATACAAGCTGTTTACATTGTGTCCTTCCGAGCGCACCTTAGATTCTTGTCGACGATGTCACACTGTTGATCCAAAGTGGTCTTTCTACAAACTCACTGAACACTTCATAATAAACTCGTGTTCTTCCCGTGAGTTGGGCACAATGAGACTGCCCCCTGGACGCTGACAAGTCGTAACAGCATCGAACCAGGACAGCTATCCAGTTTTTAAAAGCGCAGTGTAACACGAGTTACGCCATTCGTACCAACCTTGGGGTCATGCTGTGATGATGAGCGCATCCTGTCATCCAAATGAGAAGATTGGCACGGTTTTCCAATGCGGATAGCATTATTTTTAAACGAGGGGCCGATACAATGGTTCTTAAGAAAAATTAACAATCCAATGTGAGAGTTAACCTGTAAGTGGGATGTAATACGAGTCACGTCAATTATTGTGCCACCCGTAGGGGTAACGCCAATAGGCGACTTGAAACAAGCCTAAAACGCCAGAAGAAGAAAAACCATAACTAGTACATTTTGCAATAAATCGAGAAGTTCAAGTGAAGCGCCCCCAAAAGATGTATTCTTTAATAATATTGTGGCGATAATCGTTTTTGCTAAATCTGCGTCCAGGCTGCGATATAATTGAGATGATCTCCAAAGTGTCTTCTGTGTTGAAGATGGAGTGAACAAAATGGACCTCAAAACGATTGGACCTAGTTCTAGTTAAACCAACCTTGCCGTGTTGTAGGCCTATACACCGAGACAGAGGTGTAATTTGGCGTACATTTGGTAATACTGTTGGCGGGCTACATGCGCTTAGATCTATAGGATTATAATGCGTCTATGAGGGCATGCAGAACTTTGTTTAAATATGCACAATAGGGAAGTAAGTGATTACCATGGCGACACGATAACCATCTATAGACTAGTGTGGCAACAGTGTGAAAAGGATATTAACAAATTACGGTTGTTTGGCAAAAATTACATGCTATTCTATCCAACTCATAAAGCGTTAAAGTCATACGCTGCGATTATTAAAACTTGAGCAAGTTAATTGTGAAGTCTCCTTCGGACTTGCATGAGCTTGGCAAAACCGTAACATTGAGTAACTACGGCGTCGCGATATAGATTCTGATCCGAGTGCCAGAGGTAGTCAGTTCGGGATATTTGTTATACTGATGACCGTGCAAGGCGTGCGTGGGGACTCTGGTAAATATAGGCCCATGCTCTGCTTTTGAAACACCAAACCCTGTCATGTTAAATTCGCTGTCCAACGAGTATTTCTATTTGGTGTTGACGGGCTTTAACTTAATGCCAATTCAGAGCCCTAGGCCGAGTCAGCATAGAGCCGGCCGGAGCCGAACTAGACTAGAGATGAACTTCCCCGAGATTTGGAAACCATATCGTATAACTGGGATCCCAGAAACTTTTTCTGGAGGAGGAACATAATGATTGGGTTTGGGTCATAGGTTCCAACAATACAAAGCCGTTTTTGCCTACTCCAAATTCGTGCTCCCAATTAATAAGACTAGACCGTAGGCCAGACTCGGAATTCGCATATAAGGTGGTCAAAACTGAAGATAAAACGTGACCTGTGTAAAAAAACAAAAGAAAATCGCTTGCTTGCGGACCAATTAGTTTTACTAGTTCGCTGGAGTTGGGGAAGGGAGTGTTGAAGGCTAGGGGCGATCATGGAGTAACTAAGAACGTCCACTTGTCTAACGTTCCATGATTCGTCGGTCGCACCATGGTCGCACCACGAACCGGCGTGTCTCGATTTTTGCCAATTTAAATTGAGTTTTTGTCATTAACGTTATTATTTCATCTAAGTGCTCATTATCAAAAAGTTTTATTCTAATAGTGAGTCCTCATTAACTAAGAACGCTAATTAAACTGTGCGGCGTATCTCTAAAAATGAAAAATGTTGCACCACGAAGTGGCGTATCCCGCTACGCCGCTTTACACGCTAATTCCCATAGACCAACTTTAAATCGGTTTTTCTCATAGTTTTTCTCAAAACACAAAAAAAATGCAATACATCGGTTCGTGGTGCAACCGACGGATTATGTGCAGTGCAGTATGAACACTGCCCTCTCTCGGCCAGCAATCCAGCTGATAAACAAAAACAAATAGTGCGAAGATTCCTCCGCCGTGCTTGTATCATTGCCCGGCCGGCATTGTCAATGGTTGGTGCTTTAGAACTAAAACTTCATAATAAAATGCATTTCTGCTTTCAATTTACAGTGATAAAGCTGAGCTGAATACGTTGTAGAAGGGATTTTACACGTTAAGCGCTAAAACTAGCAGTTTTCCTCCATGGTCATGTCAGTGCAGTGTGACCTTGCCAGCTCTATAACTACATGTATACATGGTATATGCTTGGACTCGGTGAAATTTTAGGCAACAAAGATTCCCATATCTGGCCACCACTATTTTTCCCTTCAGTGACATATCAGCCATCAGTGACTGTCAGAAAGTGATAATGTGTCCTAAAAAGTCAAATTTAGCAGGGAAAATATTGAAGTATTTACTAAGAAAACACTTAGAAATTTTCAGACCAGTCTCATACGGTTTGTGCACACGGTTTGTGCACATGTTGTGCCCATTCTTGAAAATCACGCATTCTCGAGAATGGGCGTGCACATTCTTGAGAATGTGCAACTGGATCCTTGCTCAATCTTGGCAAAAAATAACTCTTCCAGATTGAGCGCACATTCTCGAGAATGCGCGACAAGATAACGGTCTTGTCGATGCCGAGCAACGGCTGCGCTTGGCAAGTCTAGCTGAATCCTCGTTCACTGATTCTCAATAATTATACTGTTGCAACGCAAGGCGCTGAAAAGTAGAGTGGATATGATAAGTAAAGGCGTATTAATATGGGGGGGGGGGGGGACCGGGAAAATATAAGAGACATAATAATACTAGTGCAAAGAATTCTGATTTTTGGGATAATAAAAGCGGGGGGGGGGGGGGGGGGGGGGGGGGGGGGACGTAAGAATGAAGAATGTGAAGAATGAGAATGAATACTGCGACATCCCATAGTGCTAATGCTATTTCCCATTTAAATTGCCACCAATTTATTGTTCACATCCCACCATAACGTCGCAGAGCTGGATTCTATCTAGTCAAAAGAGCAATTTTGGCAGCTTCTGGACATCGTTTTTTTCGTGGCACGCATATGATACATGCAGGGACTTGTAACTTGTCTAGCCTAAACAAAGCACTTCCCAGACTAGTTCCCAGTCCTCCGTTATTACAAAACTTCCCATAGTGGGCAGAAAAAAGCAATAATAACAGGTTTAATTTGATTCAAATTATCGTAGTTATACGAGTACAGAAGCATAGCACATTTTCTTTCCTCTTTATATGAATTGTTTCCCTTTTAACCGCTATACAATTCATTTAACATAATTATGTCGTACAATGTTTGTTAAGATTGGGCAAAATTCATAAATTGTGCACGTGATATTCCCACCCAATCTTAAGAATGAGCGCTCATTCTTAAGAACGCGTGCTCGTTCTTAAGAATGGGCGCTCATTCTTAAGAATGCGCGCCCATTCTCGAGAATGTGCATGCCCATTCTCGAGAATGCGTGATTTTCAAGAATGGGCACAACACACACGTTTTGTGTGACGTGATGGCCTCTTTGTCTGTTGCATCTAGCCCATATAAAGCTGGTATTTGTGTAAGTGGTATGTCATTTCCTGAGTCCACATGGCGGTCATTTAAAAAAAAAGCCCGGCTGGTGGTTTTGGAAAATGGGTTGGGCGGCCATTTTGAAAAAAAGGGGACTCCTTCCTTTTTTTCAAAAAGGCAGGACGCTAAAAATGTGTTTTTAATTGGTCTAATATAATATGGGCATATTGCAGAATACCCCGCCACTCGATCTATCCACCTCTCCACCTCGTAGCCGGCTACGAGGTCACGGTTGGTTGACCTCAATAAACATTCTCAGCACTACTTGTATGTACTATGCGTCATGCTCCATTGCACTCCCACTTCGTAACCGCGTAGCCGCCAACAGGGTAGTTGGTTTGGACTTAAAAATTTTTCAGCAACTCCCATTCCTTTTGTGTTGCTTCGTTCTCAAGCATATTCAAGGGGACTCCCACTCCGTATCTGCGTAGCCGCCAACAGGGTGGTTGGTTTGGACTTAGAATTTTTCTCAGCAACTCCCATTCCTTTTTGTGTTGCTTCGTTCTCAAATAATGGACCCCCACTCAGTATCCGCGTAGCTGGCATGGACTTGAATTGTTTCTTTTCCAGTGATTCCAACCTCGTAGCCAGAGAAGTTAGGGGTGTATTTCCGAGTGGCGGGGTATTCTGCAATTACTCCATAATATGCATAAAAAATTAATACAAATATTGCTGATGACTTGTATGAGTAGACCTTGTTAAATGATTAATGTGTTTGAATGCACTTTGTATTCCAGATAACTTCAGATTGTGTTTTTCTGCCATGGAGCTGAGCAACCAAACAACAGAATATGCCAGCCGTGTGGGGACCCACGACATTGATGGCATCATATTCCCTGAATTTGTCACTGAGCGTTCCCTGAGGATTGTCAAAGACTATGAAATACGCGACGATGACGTGTGGATTAGTGCATTTCCTAAAGCAGGTAATCACGTATTAATAACAGACCACAGAATAAGTTTGTGAGTTGTAAAGTTTCCTTGCTGTCCAAAATTGGAGATCGTGATGAAAATTAACCATTTATTTCTCAATTTTAAAAACAAAATGCATTTGAAATTCAAATATGTCCAGTTTTCTACATCAGAAACTACCAGAATGTAATTCCACTTCTCCGTAAATTTTAACAAAATGGTATGCTTTTTGGATACTAATTGATTTTTGTACAAATGCTTTTTCTACAGGGACGCATTGGGTTGGCGAGATTGCTAAACTTATCCTCGTCGACGGGCACAAAGAGAAAATCGACCGTTCCCAAATGTCACACCCGATTTCATTTGACTCGTATCTCACTGAGGTTTCCATAAGTGAGAGGGCCAAAAAGTGGAAGTCGCCGAGGCATCTGAACACTCACCTACAGGAGCACTTGCTTCCGACCCAGCTCCGTCAAGGCAAAGGAAAAGTAAGCATAAGCAGTCAGATCTTGTAGCAAAGTTTCACTGTTTTATCAAATTTTTCACCTGGTTTTTTTTTTCCAAATTTTTCACCTTTCTACCGGCATCATTACTTATTTTTATAGGATTCAGGAATATAGTTCAATAGTATATTTCATTTCCCTATCATGTATATCCACAAAATTGCCAATTTACACAATAAAATTTGAAGAAATCCAAGCTAAGTGGGGAAAACTGTTCGCAGTTACGTGCGTAATTGTTATCAGGCAGACAGGTCGTTATCTTCGCTCGTACCCCCTGCCCTGCAAACGGGACGCTGGTAAGGGCTGACGTCATTTGAGCTCTCATTGGATAGATTTTGCGTGACCTGTGACGTAGAACGCGTCACACAAACTAGCTTCCGGTGCCCATCATGCGTAGCGCGCGCTAGCTGCATGCGAAGGTCAATCTGTACTTCCTTCACAAGATTCTGTGAAGCTCATCAGCCCTTACCAGCGCCCTGTTTGCAGGGCGGGGGGTACGAGCAAAGTCGTTATCCTGATCGTAAAGGCAGCCGAGGATTTGGCGCATGCGCGAGTGAAATATCGGTGTGGCTAATATACTCGTAAGGACAAGACAGACTGGCTCAAATGTAGCCCCTATGCAGGACACACAGTGGTGTTATCAACAGTTCCTACACAGTCAATACAAATAATCATTGTAATTTATAGCTTTAACACTATAATTATGTTGATTGTTTTGATGTTGTCCTTTCAGATCATCTATATCGTTCGCAATCCCAAGGACAGTGCTGTGTCAATGTACTTCTTCCTCAAACCAAGAAATTACGAGGACCTGAGTGATTGGAACAGGTTCATTGAGCTGTATGGCACTGACAAAAGTAAGTTCATGCAATTAATACAAACTTAAATTTACATGTCTCCAAGTTTCCCCTTTTAGCCCAGCGGATATGTGGCATAATATCTTTGAATTGTGCACTTAATTACCCCCGCCCCCTTTTTTTAAATGGCTGCCACGCCCCCCAAAAAGGTGCTTTTGTGGTGGCTCCACATCTGGAAAACACTTATAATCTATATAATTAGTCTTTGTGAAGTTTCCTGCTTTTGTGATAAGTGGGAACAACCGTTTTCACTGCGGGCATGATAGGTTCCCTCCCCCCCCTTTAAATGGCTGCCACGCCCATAAAAAGGGTGAATTTGCAATGGCTCCACATCTAAAACATTGTCTCGGATGAATATAAACATCTGTGCCAAGTTTCACGCTTTTATGAAAAGTGCACAATTTTGTCACATACCCGCTGGACTATTTATCTTTTGAATGATTGTTTTTGTTTTCTAGTGAGATGGGGTTCTTGGTATTCTCATGTACTTGGACACTGGAAGAAGCAGAGCGAGTACAGGAATTTGCTCTTCCTGAAGTACGAGGATGTGAAAGCTGTAAGCAAAGACCAAAAACTTAGCCAGTTTGAAGGTGTTTGCAAATTATTTTGTTCATGTGCACAGTTAGGACGTGCAAGCACCATTTGCTATGTGATGTAGAAATGGCGTCCTATAAGTATTAAACTTGGAAATATAGAAAATGAGGACATTTCAAGTTGTGCCATGGGGTAATTACAGTAAATAGTATACATGGGAAGTCAAAAATGGGACATCGTCTGATTTCAGTGTAGTTTGCATACCTAAATGACTTGGAATGTTTTGTGCATTTGTTTTTGAAGGACACCCGGGCAGCCATTTTGAAGATTGCAGAGTTCCTTAACCATCCCTTGGACGATGAAGCCTTAGAGCGGGTTCACGAAAACGCCTCCATGAGGCAAATGAAGAAGACGTACCGCGTGGCTGGGGAGAGTAATTTTGGCAAGAAGGCGGTGACCAATAAAATCGGGGCTGCTCACTTATTAAGAAAAGGTAAGAGTTAATTGGGAGGTAGGAAACTGAAGTGCAGACAGGAAGAGGAAAGTGGGGGGGGGGGGGGGGGAGGATGTACACCCTCCCCCCGTCATTCTCACTGACTCGCCAAAATCTCTCACTGACTAATTCATGTGATTGTCAGTGACAAGAGGCCACAATGAATAGCGCTACCTTGGGTCAGTTGGTGTTCAGTACCTTTCCTGAGCACCTTAAATAGCGCCCTCTTGCGGCAGATATGTCAAGCCCCCTTCCTTCCCTGCTCTTTATCCCCCAGGCGCGGTTCTAGAGCCAATATTTTTGGGGGGGCTAGCATGTTGGATGCAAAAAAAATTTCGGGTAGGCGTGCTTAAATGTAGACCGTTTTTTTTCTTCAGACACTTAGGCCTCCGAAAAATCAATGGGGGGGGGGGGGTGCCTCGTGCCATATTTTCAATGGGGAGCGCAGATAAAATCCTGCAATCAGGCACACTATATTAACTGAAAGTGTACAAATACACCCTTCTCACGACTATTTCTCTAGGGAAGACCGTTCGCATGTACGTCACATTCTTACATTTTGCTAGTGCAATGGCTTTTTTTTATTGATTTTTTTTTGGGGGGGGGGGGCTAGACAAAATTTGTGTCACTGTGTCCACATCTTCCATTTTTAGTTAGGTTAACTGTTCAGAGCTATCATAGGAAAAGTCAAACTTCAATCTCAACCAAACTTGGTGACAATAATCTTTGGGTAGGGGGACTTCAGATGACTTGAGACATTTGAGGTCAAAGGTCATCTAGGGGTCAATTGAGGTCATTGTTGATTTTGGTCAGGTCAACTGAAAAGTGTGCTTACTAACTGACTATAAATACTGCCAGCATGCCAGGGGGATCGCACAAGTTTTAACTTGCAGTATTTTTTAATCTTTAGGGGTGTGTAGGTGGGGAAAAGGTTCTGGCTGTGTTATTGTCCACAGTGGTCTGCTGGCAATGTCACAACCCCTATCAGCCCCACGAAACCCCCTCAATTTTGCCCTTTCCTCCCTCAAAAACCTCCCCTTGTGAGAATCCCGACCCTTTATTACATTTTTGTTTGAAGGTACTGTTGGAGACTGGAAAAATCAGTTCACTGTTGCTCAAAACGAGGTCTTCGACAAGATCTATGCAGACAAAATGGCGGGATGTGGACTGACTCTGCAATTCGAATGAGAACATCAAAGGTACGATAACTTTGAAAAATTGTGACGAATTGATTAGTCCATTGTTAGCAAAAGCTTCCAACAGATTTGGGGTCACGTCTGACACCTGTAATTTCATTTTCAAAAGCTAATTTCGCTGAAATCCCCCTTACCACTACGTACATACACCTCATGTTAAAGTTTGTCATTAATTTTGCACTTGCAGCAAGCTCAGTGGTCAGTATCTGTTTCATGGCAAACTGGTCTTTGTAAAATCTTAAAGGCAGTATGCAACATTTGCAAACATCAAAAAACCAAACTACCAAATTATTATGAAATACCTTACTGGACTTTTAGTGAATGACAGTTTTAAGCGTCCTGTAAAATCACGGCACCTGGTGTGCTGACAGCGACATGTTAAAAAGGGGTAGAATATTTGTATCAATTTCCAACAATGGTCAGCTGACCATCGTTGTAGCCAAGATACTATCTGTGCCCGCGGCAGCTACATGTTGGGACAGACTCAGATGGTTCATAAATCCTTAAATGTTTTTCTTTCTTTTTCCTTTTGCTTGTTTTTTTTCCCCAGAACCATCCATTTTGTGAACAGCAGTTTGATACTGGTAATTTGAAACAAAGTTTCTAAATTTTGTTTTGTTTTGTTTTTTTAATTTATATTTTATTTGGCTGCATATTCTTTTCTTTTCTTTTCAAACGCACTTATTTTCTCTAATTAATTTCCATTTTCTGAGTCATATTTAAGTTCTGAATAAGTCATTTTTAAGTGCAGCTGTATCATGAGTCACATGTAAATCAATTGTGCAAAGAACATTAAGCTAAGTTATGAATGAAAACAAATTAGACTTTATAATGTATTTAAAAGTTGACTGTTGTATGAGCTTCAGAAATTCAATGATCTTGGAAAATACGAATGAAAGAGGACTCAAACCCAGTGGCTCTAGACTACCAATCCAGTGCCCTATGCACCAATCATAGTCACATCCGTTATCTTTGCTGCCAGCCAACGGTTATAACATTGTAATATATTGAAGAATCAGGAATCATAATTTATAACAACAGTGCATCGTGCAACAGTATATTTTTTTTAATGTGAACATCAGCATTAGAGGCCTGCCAACTCTCTCACATTGAGTGCGAGACTCCCGTAATTCAGATTATTCTCACCCTCTCACGCCCACATGAAATGTCTCACTCTAAAAAAAAAACACCTCAAAAATTATTTTTAAACGATGATCTTTAGCTCAAAAAAAATTGGTTAAAGTGGTCAGAAATTGCCTCAGATCACGTATCACGTCAGAGAGCATCTATAATCCAAAATTTCCCGGGGCCCCCTAAGCGGGCCCTGAACCCCACGCCGTTAGCCTGGCTTCACGTTGCATCAAGCTCCATCACCAAATTCTCACTCTCAGCACTTGACTCAAAGTTGGCAGCCCTGGCACTACCAATCAAAAGTACAGGGCAATCCAAGTCCGCATACTGCCTGTAAATTATCCCATTTTTCAGTAGATGAAGTCTGCTGGCCAAGCCCCTCCCCATTTCGGCAACCCGTCTAACACCTCCCGATCACGACACCTATATATTGTATGTCAAAATAGAATTTAATAGCTTTTCACTGCACCGGGGAGCCACCGCGGACCGGAGTCCCCTCCACATTCCAGCAGAGTTTGTCACCCTGCACTATCAGACTCATCTGCTCCCACCGGTTCCGGCCATCAAATATTAACTCCGGTCATAAGTCATTAATGATCCGACTCGGGAATCCAAGACGATTCCCGCGAGATGGGAAGGAGGCTAGAACCAAAAGCGATCAGGAAGTGAGTGAGATTTTGACAGTTGGGGCTGACGGTTTGCAACCGAAGTCCCACGTAGATGAACAAGGTGCTTGGGTCGACCTCACATTGACGTCTTTTTCTACTTATATGGACATTGGAGGATTCTTGGAAGTGTGCATTCTATGACTGTAGACATGCATTATTTTCCACGCCCAGTGGGGCAGGGTGTCCGTGTCATTATGTCCGTAGGTTAAATTCCCGAAGGATTGTCATCACTTTTGACCAATCAGAAACTCAATTATTCAGAAAAAACAGTTAGTGACTAACACTGTTCTCTTTTTTTGTAACTCTCATACATCTCTACATGTAAAAGTTTCACATTTTGTGGTTGCCAGAAGCCCAACACTTGCAGATTTTATTCCACGAAGTGCAAGTCAGGTACATGTAGTTCGTTTCAGCACTTAAACCTCTATATATCACAACTACCAACCCATCCTTAAAACAAAATTTTTAAAATGACCATTTTATATACTATTTAGGTCAATGTTACCACTTGGTACCATTACATCAGCAATCTTGGAAATACCCTGAAATATTTGTACATATGTATCAATATATGTAGATTATTTCAGTATGTTGTAACTTTTTAAGTATAAAAGGGGCTGTTAACATCCCTTAATAGTCCTGAGACGTAATGACGTCACAGTTTGTTTACATGTGTGCTTTTCTATGTGGTAGACGGTCCCCACTTTGTCTGGCGTCCTGACTTCGCTCCCATAGGAAAGCGCATATGTAAACAAAGCCATTACGTCTCAGGTCTATTGGCAAGTCAAGTGGGTTGAGTTCTTTGGTTTTGTTAATTTTGTTTTTCATTTAAATAGACGTGCACAATAAAGCTTCTACATTTTGTAATTATATTTATTTGGTATTTTTAAGTTGAAAATTGGGGACAGAGCTGGTTACATTTCCCCTGCCCCCCAAAAAAGGAACATTTGTTTAAAAAAATTAATCACCATTTGCAGTTGAATAAATTAACAAAAAAAGAAAGCACCATCTGTAGTTTAAGCAGTGTTTCCTGAGCTTTTAGTCATCCAGGCTTTGTCCCCTAAGTCAAAAATCTTCCGACTTGTCCATTGCTCAGCCCCCAAGCCCGTCCACGAGTCGATGATCGCAGTAAATAACTAATATCGCGTTCACACCTTTCCAGGACAATGGGCACCACTGGCTTCCTCCCGGGAAATAAATAAGGGGAAGAAGAAGTCGACAGGCTTGAGCAGCGACCCCGGTCCGATCATGATCCCATGGTGCACTGGGGGGAAACGGGTCGGCTGCATGCCCTTCTTGTATTAACAGAGATGCAAGATAATTATGCTTTAAAGGGAATATACAACATTTGCTTTTGCTGCAATTTTCAGAAATAAATGGATTTGGAGGATTAGTATGCTATAGAAAATATTGTTAAACTGACTTGTTTCGCGTTTTGCCTTCGGAGATGCTGGAAATTCTAAGAAAACCAATCATGTTCTTGTAGTCTGGTTCCCTAACCCCACTTAAGTTGAGACGTTGCAATTTATAGTCTTTGGGGGATTGTGAAATCAGAGAATCAGTCTAGCAGGCTTGTACCCCCTTCACAGATGTGTAATCAATTGCAAAGAAAATGCAGAATGAAAAATTACGAACAATTTTTGAAAAAAAAGCCAGTTCACTCCAACGATGGTCGGCCGACCAGCGTTGGGAAAAATACAAGTTTTCTTGAAAATCTCAGCACACCAGGAGCCACGATTTTACGGAATGCTTTAGAATGTCATTCACTAACAATCCAGTAAGATATTTCGTTATAATTTGATCATTTCGTTTTTTGATGTTTGCAAATGTTGTATCTTCCCTTTAAGCTGGTGCGTACCATTATTCCTCTATGGGGTGATGTGGATATGCTCGAGTAAAAAGATCCTTGGCTTTTAAGAGGGTAGATAAGGAACTTGGGAGTGGCAGTGTATGTTGTAATTGCAAGAGATGACATATTTGATAGTATTGCAACCTATGTTTGAAACAAGGGGCAAAGACCTATGGGGGGGGGGTTAACATTTGTAATTTCAAAAAGGCAGTTTACTTTGACAGAACAGCAGGGCTGCCAACTTTTATTATAAAGAGCTGAGAGTGAGAATTTGATGATGAAGCTTGATCAGAAGTAATCGTGCTAATGCGAGCGCGAAGCCCTAACGGCGTGGGTTCGGGGCTCACTGAAGGGCCACGAAAAAAAAATTGGATTCTAAACGCAGCCCTGAAACAGTCAAAATGTAAATCAAGTTTCAGATTTTATTGTGTTGCTCTGGGATATTTAAAAAAAATTTATAACATCATTATTTATTATGCAGACCCTGTCGACTAGGCTGGTAGTTTCCCTAGATAAGGGTCAGGGAATTTTGTCTTCTACTAAGAACGCTTTGAACAATTCCCCAAATGAAACACAAAGTTATTACAACGGCATGAATAAAGGATCAGACAATCTGAAAATGCTGCACGTAGGGATTATTTGACACATTCAGTATTCATGATTGCTGCAAGTCACGGCGAGGTCATGACAGTAAAAAGATCCACCAAAAAAAAAAATTGTTTTACTTTGCAGTGCCGTTTATTGTTCAACTTGGCGGTAAAATACAACACAAAAATGTAAGAGAATGTTTCTAGCAAGTTTTTAACGATAAATGTGGTTCTTGAATATAAAAGAAATCATTACAGTGCATTAAAAAATTGTTGAATGAAATTGAAGAAACAAATTGTTCTTGGTACATACATGTACATGAGTATAATGTACCTTCATAGAGTTTTATAAACTTGCGTTTTGGCGCAGAAAATCAATGGTTCTTTTCTGGCTGAAGGGGCTACTTTAACATTTCCGTTACTTGAGAAACAGCACTGGCAAATTATTTTTTGAAATACAGCCAAGCACCTTGCAACCTAAATTCTGGTTCATACATGTACATGTACTTCACACTTGTAAAAGGTTTTGGGTTTTTTTTAATCCAATTTCCTTTTAAACTTACTTTTTGGACATCATGAAATTTGCATGATGTACATATGAGCTGGCCAAACCACTGAAGAATTTGATAATAACAAATAAATGACAAAAAATACAATCTTGTGAATAGTTAATGCGGTGCCCGCTGCTATGTACATCAGATTCGAGCCAGCCAACTCATCCTGTTCACTCGGTGGTCGAGTGGTAAGACATCTGCACTAGAAAGCAGGAGGTCATAAGTTCGAGTCCCACCCAAGTGTTTTTTTCCAACTTTCACTCGTGAGGTAACACACTGAGTATACAGTGTTTAAGTTTATACGTTGGTGAAGGGCAAAACCTAATTTGATTCAGATACATGTACATGTAGAAACGACAAAAATTTTATTTTGAGAAGGCCAAAATTAGTTTAAAAGTAAAAACATGTTGTAGCAGATTTTAAGCTTCTGGCTATATTGAAACCTATTCAATATAGATGCTCCAATCTTGTGGCATGACAGATGCAAGTAAACCTTGTTACACTGAAGTAAAAGCAACACAGCTCTGCCCCAGTCTATGATCATCAGAACACATGCTTCACAAAATGTGTACAAGTGCCCAAGGGATGCATTTATTGCGGTATTGAAAGCAAAGATACTTGTCCTCTACATGTACATACAGAGTACCGAAGTGTGACATCGTTTAGAACCAGAAAGTGTCATGCAAACGAATGGAATTCACGCGCTTGTTGGTTCATGGCATAGATATGGAATCTTTCTATGGTTCACGGTCTGAATCACGCGCTAATGTCTTTTACACACACATTGTCCTCTACATGTACATTGTACATACAGAGTACCGAAGTGTGACGTCGTTTAGAACCAGAAAGTGTCATGCAAACGAATGGAGTTCACGCGCTTGTTGGTTCACGGCATAGATATGGAATCTTTCTATGGTTCACGGTCTGAATCACGCGCTAATGTCTTTTACACACACATTGTCCTCTACATGTACATACAGAGTACCGAAGTGTGACGTCGTTTAGAACCAGAAAGTGTCATGCAAATGAATGGAGTTCACGCGCTTGTTGGTTCACGGCATAGATATGGAATCTTTCTGTGGTTCACGGTCTGAATCACGCGCTAATGTCTTTTACACACTCATTGTGCGCGTGATGTATTCACTTCGGTACTCTATTTTGCCCAAGATTTTTATTTTATTTTATATTTTAAATCTGTTTGCTCATTGGCTTAGCTGCCATGTACTAACACAAAAACGAATCACCAAAGAAACTAACATTTTACAACGGCAAAATATCCAAACTTCTGGCAACTTTTGGTGCTGAAAAGGCTGTAACATTTTGAGGTTTCTGCCTGAAATGACATCACAACTTTGCTCAAGAAAATGCAAATTCTCATTAGCATTAAAACAAAAAGGCACCAAAATACCATTGAAAATGGCAAAAATGAAAAGTTTAAATACCTTTTGGGACACAAAGGTGCATTTCCAAGAATTGCATTAAAACAATTACATTGCCATGTAATGTAAGTATTCACAATGTGAACCAAACAAAATAGCCAGAAACCCAAGTTTATTATTATTTGTTTTTTAAGTTAAACAAAGAAATTGACTGCAGCGGGGCTTAAACCTGCGACTGTATTAATATTTAACACGATACCCAAACTAAAACTATACGAAATGTGGTCAACATTAGCCAAAAACTTGTGACAGTCATTAAACAAGGCAAAAGATGGAACCTTTTTTATGCTTTCAAACAAAAATTAAATATGTGTATAAAATTTAAGTACGATTCAAAAACAAATGGTGCTGGCATGACGGTACAAAACTCAACATTTTAAATATTTAGATTAATAGAAGTGTACATGTGAGGATCACGGTTGGCATTTTAGGTGATGTTACACTTTTACACTCGGAAATTTTCAATGTAACGTTAAGTGAACACATGCACAAAGTTTGTCCATGAACCATTACATTTTCGGCTACCACCATTTGTTGTACTACCACCAATTTCTTGCACAGTGCAGTCAAAAATGACTTTTGATGGATGTGAATATAGTTCATTTAATCATAATTTAGGAACATTCAAGATTTCCAGAACAGAGTCGAAGAGCAGACCTAAAATCACTACTCAAATTCAATGCCTCTTTCTCCCAAGAAATTACATGTATAAGTAAGTAGTTAGCATACTGCCTTTTACAAGCAGGTAAAAATTACTTGGTTTAAAAAAAAAGCAATCACACATTTGTATTTACAATTTGTTCCAAGTGGCTCGCTTTTGAATATGACTTAAATCTTTTAAAGGTACAAAATGACTGAATCCCTCTAACAGAGCTCTATTCTCCCATTTCTTTTCCCTTTTTTAATCTTGTAATTAAGCCGTCCACACAAAAAGGAAAAACAATACAGTCGAGTCTCGTTATAACAAATTCGTTCGGACCTAGCCAAATTGTTTGTTATATCAGAATTTTGTATTAAGAGGAACATCAGTCCCATTCATTGTGCATATAAATGCACAGTCGGGACCAAGGCTTTATGTTCGTTATAACCAGAATTTTGTATTAATAGAGTTTGTATTAACGAGAGTCGACTGTATTCACACAAAAAGAAAAAAAAATATTCTACCCAACTGAACTGGAAAATATTTACCAATGAAAAACCACGGCAACACGATCATCGACCTACATGTACATCAGGGTGAACTTTTAACATGATCTCATGCCGAAGCCTCAACGTTTTGATGACAGAACGTCATGCAGAAGAAAACAGATTTTCTTTTGAAAAGGCAAAATTGATTTCTTCATGATCCCGTGTAATTTCTTAATTTTTGTCCTACCACTTTCAGCCTACTGAGTATATAAATAAATACTTAACAGTTCATACAAAAATTATGTACATAACTTTACTATGCTCAAAAGGTAAAACTTATATAAAAGAACAAAAGCCAAATAATACTTCAACATCAATGCATAATCAAGAATACAGTAGTAAGTTGAATATAAAAATACAAGCCAACCAAAAAGCAAAATACACACGTGTATGCATTCTAATTACTACAGTGTACATGAAGTGATTAGGTTCCTAAGTAGATTGTAAAAGTATGTACAAGAAAAAGTTATCCATACAAAAATAAAACCAACCTCATCACAAAAAGGCAAGTGCTTCTTTACTTTTGTTATCAGCAAGTGTCACAAAACTCTTAACCGTTCCCTACAATGCTTTGAAAATTAATATCCTCATTTGGCTTTCTATGGTAAGAACCTTTAACCCGAACCCTCCTTGATCCTCCTCAATCCTCCAGGCGGTTTTGGGGGATTTTGGAAGATTGAGGCTGAATGGCAAAAAAAGTGTCTCTTGATTTTGGCCGCTGCATTGTGTTGAGTTCGTAGGCTGTACCCAGCATTGTTTGCGTTCAATCATACATTGAGCCCTGCATCATGCTCGATATCATCCGCACTGCTTCTGAATGTCATCGGCACTGCCTCAACCCATTAACAGTGATTGTTGGGGGATTTTGAAGGATTGAGGCATTGGTCACTCCTCCACTGAACAACTTCAAGAAATAATTACGGATAATTTTGGAGGATTGAGGCCGAATCCAAAATTTAAATGATAGCAATTGGAGGATTTTGCTGGATTGATGATGGTTCCGAGCCAGAACGGCCTAGGGGGTTAGGGGTAAATCAGCAATATACATTGTAATTAGGTACAAGAGGAGAATTTGTCCCCTGCCAAACTTCATAGACTCCACACATGACCATCTTTAGTTCAAAGTAGCATAAACATTATGAAGTGTAAGAATACAATATTTACTGTACATCTCCCATGAATATAGACCAATACATGTTTATTGTAAATTAGATGTGAAAAGCTATAAATACATTATTGCATATTTTTAAAAATCTTCAAATTTTAACAAGCATTCTTAATTGTAAATTCCTTAGGTGCTTGTGATCTTTTCTAGCATTACCATTATTCTTGAAGCGAAACATTGGCGTGCTTGAATACAAAACAGTGAAAACGAAAGATTTTTCAACGGCCACAACTCTACCGGTTACATGTCCAAACTGTACACTGGCAATATGTGTCAGGGACGTGTCCACCTTCCACAAAACTCCTACATGTACTTTTTGTATCCATGTCATTAAGATGCACATCACTGCGAAAAACAAAACCTTTGGGTATCGATGGAACTCAAAACGGAGAGTGTTAGTGAACCCCTAGCGAGAGATGCTTCCCGGACTGGGGATGATCAAGTTGCTTTGTAAACAGCGTACGCATGCATAACATGCAAGCTGATCAAATCTCCAGCATGCAGAAGGATGCTAGAATGTGGATTGATTTGTGGCTTAAAAGCACGGGCGGCACACAAGATCACCTCGTGAATACACAAGTTGTCGGACACTGGCATTTGAGATGGATGACGGGATGAAATGTCCCCCACTTGAGAACTTCACATCGACTGCTGACATCAATTCAAATGGGCAGCTGCCGTCGCCACAGACTGACCGATCACAGGGCGAGAATCAGAAGTTTATTGACCCACAACTTGTCACTTGTGAACTTCTCTGTTACATCATCCACTGTTTTACGTACTTAAATCCTAGAGTTTGGAACAGCAGTTCCGATCTTACTAATATCCAGCATCTTCCGGTACATTGTATCTTCCCTCATAAATGCCCAACTGCAATATCTCTATGCACGTCTTACTCTCCATACCTATTTGTTTTAAATACACAGATGTTTAAAAAAAAACACTATTTACAGAATTTAACAAAAGCCATCCATCGTAAAACAAAAAAGATCGTAAGACTTACAAAAAAAAGATGCATACATCAAAACAGATTGTATTCTTACTATTGTATGTATTTTCCACATCTTCTTTTTTTGGGGGGGGGGGAGAGGCGTAATTGCCTTATTTAAGTAAAGTTCGGTCGTTGGGAGCCCCCCTTCTGTACCCCAGGATCCACCACTGAGACGCAGAAATTGTAATAAAATCTATTAAATCATTGTCTTTTCGACAATCGTTAATATGGGACACACTTTCTTGACAAACAGCCAGATACACTTAGATACAGGTACATGTACATGCAGTATTATGCAGTGTCATTCGACTTCACAGCTGCACAAATCAGGGGTGAAAGCCATGTCCCCACTTCTGGACACAAAATGGATGCTGTCACACAGTGATGAATGCAGCTCGTGTCTTAACCTAACCCCATTGTGTGTCTGGAAATTGGGACACCGGTTATCGCAACTGTCTCAAACTAGGGTCCTTTTGTTTTTTAAGTAACCTCTTTAAAATTACGGCTAGTGCATTCTTCACCCTTTGCCAAAAATTCACAAGGATAAAAGATATTAAAAGCTTAAAATTGTAAAAAAGGGCATTACAAGTACATTTTCTGGTCCGGCAGAAAATCTATTAAAAAATGAATAGACAAACAAATAAATAATTTAAAAAAAGGATATTTTATGCATTGAAGCCTCTCTTCAGTTCTGAAATGTCAATAAATGTTCCGTGCTGCCTCCACATTCATGTAGATCAGTTACATTTGTACACGTACATGTATGCACTATGTACAATCCTCTGCATAGATTTTGCCTTGACTTGAACAGTACCGGTCGCCTAACTCGGTACCCAAATGTCTGCATCTGAAATAGACAGAGAAAAGTTGGTGGGTGAGAAATACGTGGGAATTTTTATGTAATCATATTTTATTACATTTATTAACCCTACTATGCAAACATACTGTACATTCTGTGTGAAGTCGTCCCTTCAGTCAAAATCAATCAAGTGACTGTTTTTAACAGTTCGGGGCTCCAGCCTACATACAGTAAAGCAGGATTGACTGGCTGTGAATGTTTACTTTAAATTTAACTTGATACAGCTTTGCTTTGATTTTACAGGCTTGTAGGTGATAGATAAGCCAGCTTTACCCCTCGCCTGCTTTTGTCTGTTGACTGAATTTGATTAGTCACAGTGCTCGCTTGAAATACGATCTGACTGTTGGTGACCAGCCTGTGTGACCAGCCTGTGTAAAAGGCATGACAGGGAAAAGGATGGAATTTTTTTTTTGACTGTGTGTGACTGGTCAGACAGCTTGAGAGTTAATATTATTCACTAAAACAGCAACGAGTCCCTTGAGTTAATGTTTCAGAAATCAGCTAAATAGCACTGTTTATAAATCATGCGGGCATGTGTGGTCTACACAGGATTCGTGATCGAGAGGTTGTGGGTTCGGGCCCCACTGTGGCCATGCATGTTGTGCCCTTGAGTAAGGCGCTTAACCTCAATTTCTCCTCTCAACCCAGGTGTTATGGGTACCGGCATTATTCAATGCTGGGAAGGTAACAGACTCGCTGTGGAGGAGGTGTGGTGATCCCCCCACATCAGCATATGAGTCTGGCCCAATCGCTTCGAATGAGAGATGGGCACTCCGTTCCTGTGAATACAGGTTCGTCCCCCTTTTATAAATCATGCCCTGCACACAGCGTATACACGTATATGTACATACATGTATCCCTTGTGAAATTGCCTTCAGTTGTTCCACAAGATAATCCACTCTCATAACATTCACTCGTGGAATTCTCAGTCATACGCACTCCCCGGGAATAATAATAAAATCCCCCGTTCCCATAACAAGATTATACCGAACGACGTAATTCCGAGTGGTGATGAATTTTTTTATCAAACGAAAATGAACGGAGCATGGAAATGATTTGTGGCAGTTCGGCTATCCAGGGAGAGGGAAAAAAAAGTCATGTTACACATCAAACTATGCCGCAAATGGGAACTCATAAACTATCCTCGGGGATATGCTGAACCGGTAGCAGATTTTAAGTGGAACGTTAAACAATGCATCAACTCACATAAATCGTAACATTATTCTCCGCCATGAAGTACTTTGATATTGTACATAGACAGAAATGCCAAATATTTGGAGTACATGTATGTTTATTCATAGAGCTAGAAGCAAATGCATATCCTGAAAAAAAAAAAAAGGAATTAAAGCAGCTCAAGTCTTTGGGACAAAAATGGACTGCTCTGCTTTAAATGTATTGGAAGATGACATACAAATGTACTGTAAGTACATGATAGAAATATTTGCACTATTTTGTGAGTTTACTGTAACATCATTTTTCAAGCGACTTGTGTTTGCAACCACCAAAACAACATTTTAACAACCATATTCATTCCCATGTTAGAGTCGATAAAACTCTTTCTAAAGCGATTTCCAAAATAAATGTCGACCCAATTTTGAGCGTGCAGTGAAGGCCGACCGAAATTGAATGTTTATCTGCCCGACAAACACATGGCTTTAGGAATTTCGTGGCTGTCATCTGCACAGGAAAACAGAATGACAATCAGATTCTGTGGCAGCCTTTATTCACACACCTGTCTCCATCGGCCTCGCTAAATTAGATCACTCCAGTGAATCAGAGGCAGCAAACTGTCACTGCGTGTGACTGAAAAGACAAGAATTGTGTGTACATTTCAACGTCTGCATAAACCTTGTCTGCGTCATGTACACGTGTATGTGTATGTGAACGTATGCACTGTACAGTGACGTGTACGTGTCTGTTCCTGTCTTCTATTACGCTCGAGGACAGACCCACAAAAGGATAAAAAAAAGATCCTTTCAGTCCTCGAACGACGGTGCTTTTGTTCGAAACTGTCCTCGATCATACGTTTACATGATTAGTCTATAGATGGGAAAGTGTTAAAGTACAGGGACAAAGGGAAACACAATAGGTTGTCCTCAGGCGTATAGTAAAACACGACTACATGTTCCTGTTTGTGCACAAAAGTTTGCTAATTGGGCCGTTTTCACAGTGTGAACAAGTCAATAATCCCTGGAAACTAATTTACAAACTTCATCAAATGTTTGAGTCCATTTCAGAGCAAAATAATCACAATCCAATGATGCACATGTGTATCATTGCAGAAAGTAGTAATTTACACACAGAAAAATATTTAACTGAAATGGTGCCAGAAATGATACAAAGACTGCAATTTGAAAAAAAGGAGCAAATCGTGCAATTATATAAGGGCTTACATACATACATGTACATACATGTATACATGTACATGCATATGCGTACATGTACAGTACATCCCTTAAAACCATGCGAGCTTCTTTAGAACCTGACAAACTCAATCATCAAAGATGGGCAAGTACGGACCTGTCTCCGACAAAAACTTTTGCAGGAGACATGCTAACAGCCCTTGCAGTAAAAAGACCAAACCCGGAACCTATATGTAAGTTGTCACATCTATGTTCCTACAGGGACTTGGGTATTTCTCAAAACTGCACCCTAAATACTTTGCCTAATTCCTTTCAGTATATAAATATCCATCCCTAGTCTCCAGACTGTCTAGATCGATTTCTTAATGCATATCAATGGCATACATGTACATGGAAATTGCAATGTAGGCACCGGCCTAAGGCTCAGTTCATTCCCCCCCCCCCAGCTTGTTTACATTCAAAATACATGTATCTATGCATTAGCAATGAAGCGACACTATAATCCTTCATGTTCATTAAAGATACAAGTAGTTAATGATCATCAGATAAATCTCCTGATTATCGACAAGGATCTTTGATTTGTATTCATGCTCGCGGACTATACCACATTGGCACTAATCCTTGATTACATTGGCAAGGATTCAAGCAGATTTCCCATGTGCAGTAGTTCCTTTTTATTCAACACTTTCATTTCCTCTAAGTGATGGACTGATTTCCTTACAGGAACATGTATGAATAAGAATCATGGATGCTAGTCGAGACGGTATTCCACTTTAAGAACCTCAAACTCATTGTACACTTTGTGTATTGGATTGCTTGATGGTTTAAAATTTGGAAGTATAATGCAAGAATTGCTTCTAATTAAGGCAATCCATTTGGAAGAGAGTCGAGAGATGTCAGTTGAGCATCTTGACAGACAGGCAATTATAGCATTTTTATGTGAGAGGGTATTCCTTGAAAGAGATGAAAGTATCATGAAGACTGTTTTCTGAGACTCTCTAGTTTAATTAATGGTATAAACCCCAACCCCTCCCTGATATTTCCTACAGTACCTAATTGCATAGAACGAAAGAAAAAACATGTACTTGTAAACTCATAGCTTTACAATAAGGTTCCTACATCTCTCAAATGACTGTACAGATAAAAGGTTAAAATTTAATGTGAAAATGTTGTAATTCTGGATTTGTACCTTGATCAAACTTCTGTGGGTGCCATCTCTGGTGTGTCACGCCGAACCCTGTTGATGTCATCGTAGCCCTGACGGCTGTTGAAAGCCTCTTTCGTGGTGGTGTAGAGGTCCACGAAGTAGTCCTTGATGTCGTTGCGGCGCATGTACAGCACAATCAGGGCCAAGACACCAACCAGGGCCAGGATGACGCTGAGGATGATATAGGACGGCCGGAGCTCGTTGTCAATGTCTATCTCCTCCGGCTTGGGCCCGCACGGCAAGCTAGACCCCAGCACAGGCTTGTGACGCTCGGACTCATCCACCGCATCCCCGCACGTCACATTCTCCTTGTCCAACACCAGGTTCGTGGCATTTAACCAGGCCTGGAAGTCTGCAAGCCGGCAGTTGCAGTAGAAGGGGTTGCCGCTGAGATCGATGGTGAGGTCTTGCTGTACGTTGGAGAAGCTCTCAAAGTCCAACTCAACGACGGATTTGTCAATGTTGACTAGCTCGTTGTTGCTCAAATCTAAGTATTGCAGTTTCGGGAATACTTTTTGCTGTGGGTGTGGAAGTAGAAAAAAGCAAAAACTAAACTGTGATTGCAGATGAAACTGTGCATTGGTCAATATCAAATTTGTAATTCAGGATTGCCCCGTCAATTTAACCCAAACTTTATTAACTGAGTTGCCACAGTTGCATTCATGTTCTTACTGACCAGCAGACACTGGCAAGCTTGATAAGGCAGAAACTTCAGTGTTCCATTTGCGTCACCATTAAAAGTTTACGTTTTTTTTTTTTAATTTTTGGCTATCTGCTGTTGTCAATTCGGTTTTGGGGTACTTTATGAGGATATTAACACTTTTTTATATCTTACCTGGAAAGTGCCGCTTCTGATGGCAAGTAAACTGCTCTTGTGCAGAGTGAACCTTTGAAGCTCCTGAAACGTCAACACGCTGGACTCCTGGACGAATGGGGAGAGGAAGCCAATGTTGTTTCCGTCCAATCTCAATTCTCTCAGTTTTGTTAAATGCACATCAGTGAAGATATTTGTCAAATTGTGCACATAGTCATCTGGAGTCACATTCAGGAACGCTTTGGTGAGACTCAACAGGCGGAGGTTGGTGGAAACATCGGCGAACATTCTCTGCGTGTCATTGGGGGTAAGTTTGTTCTGGTCTAGTATAATCTCCTCCAGGGCTGCAAAAACAGTTTGGGAAAACCATCCTTCCTCAATGTAGCTGATATTGTTGCCAGTCAGAATCAATGCTGTCAGATGTGGGAGGGCCTTGCTCGGTTTATTGTCTGTTGTCAGCTCCGTCACAGTGGTCTCTCCTGATATCGTCAGGGAAGTTGTGTTTTGTGCGACTTTTTCCCACGTCGGCCACCTATTGCATTTCAGTGCAGTCCCCGAGCAGCTGCATTTCCTCGGCCTAGTTGGCAATCGACAAGTTTCAGCCTGGACTGCGCCGGCCAACAGGGAAAGCGTAACAACAAGGGAAAAGATAAAAGATGTGTACTGACAAGCCATGATGTTCGGGGAATATCTGGCTTTTGGCTCTCGGAGATCCCGCACTAAATAATTCCTGGTGAAGTGCGAAGCTCCTGTCGACTTGGTCTCTGGCAAAATGCAGGATTGTTCACACCCTATGTGGGTTTTTAAAGGCCACTATGATGGAAGGAATTGACATGCGTCGCGTTTTCCAGTTGGCTTCTCAACTTCACAGCTGTCTACAGTAGTCGCCATTCGCTAATCAAACCTGTAAGAGTACAATTGACAAAAAATCAATAATGCTTTTCAGCGCAGGCAGGAATTATCAGTAGATTGGCTTTGTTATTAGAGAGTACTCAGTCACCAATGGAAAATAACGTTAGCTGAACCTAAGCAAACAAATTCAACACTGTCGCTTGCCCAGCTCCAGAAGGTCTGACATTGTTCACACTCTGTTTAACTATACTGTTGAATCGACCTTCACTAGTCTGGCAAGTTGGACAGAACAGCATACAGATACAGCATAGTTAAAAGTGACTGCTCACACTGTATACTGCATCAAGCGTAGGCCTACTGATGCTCTGCACAGCCCAAAAAAATGGCAAATCAAGAAACAAAAATTGGCATTTCACCTGAAGGTTCACCCACACACAGGTAGTCATAACTCAGTGACGTGCATCGGAACAAATGAGGCAAATCGCCAAGGCCCTATGCAGTAGGCGAGGCAAGCTAGGTGTGAAATTTATGATGAAGCGTAAGACAAAGTCGACACGCTCGGGTGAATGCCATCATGATGATGCCCGGCATGGTCATGGGTATAGAGCGCTAAGGCGAGTGTGAAACTGAGATAAGACTTTGTAATTATCTGTGCTGACGAAACGAGCACGAAGGGGAAAGCTCTTGAATAATGCATGAACCCTCTACTGTGTAGCGGGTTCATGGAAAGATCTCTGTTGTGATTATCAAAAGTCATCGGTGAATTACTGATGAAAAAAACAGCACTATAATCGATCAAATTATAATTTTGATTGAACCATGAAAATCAAATGCCACATGCACAGTGTAGGTTTTGTCACTACAATCAGGTGCCTCTTTCACTCCCCAGGCAATGTTACTATGATGCCCTTACAATCCTCCAAAATCCTCCACCATGGAAAAACTAATGACACGTTATTTGCACTGTATTTTACCAGGGACGTCAAGCGCCAGGTCAAGTAAATAGTGGCTGGGCTCTACCTAAATCCAGCAAAATCCTCCCCAACTCCCTTGGTAAATTTCGAAAGATCTAAGAGGCTTAGAGAATGTTACACCCCATTAGTGATCATTGCGTGTGTGGATAAGAGGATCTGGCATTGTTGACCATAACGTTGTGTGTCAGAAGTTTCAAGTTACAAATGAACAATTATTATCATACAAACAAAATGCCAACACGTTTAAAACAGACATATTCCACAAAACGATCAAAGGCCTCTTAGTAAGCAACATGAGCAAATAGGATGTCTCTTAAGTGTTTTGCCCAAAGTACCGGTAGGGCTGTCCATTTCCGAATAATTTAGTATTCGATTATTCGAAACTGCGTTTGACCAAATATTCAAATATCCAAAACTCACCGATCAAGTTTACACAAGTGTTGCACACAAAGTGCGCGGGGTAAAACTTTGAGTGCAGCAGTCAATGTTATGGGCCACTGGAATGTTTTGCAATAAGTATTTTAGAACTGTTAGGGTTTTAGCCAGCTACAAGGACGAGGACATTGAACCACAATCGACAAAAACTTGCTGTCGCCGTTGACAAACAGATGCATCTGACAAAGCACTTCAACTTTACAATTAAAATAACATCACACTCGTGCACGTGCATATTTTTTTCTTTGAATATTTGAAAGCTATTCGAATATCAATGGCTGATTGAATATTCGAATAGTCAAATGTATTTAGAGTATTCAGTATACTCGGGCAGCCCTAGCCCAAAGTTTTCAGTTGAGCAATAAACACATGTATTTTACTTGATCAATTTCTCATAGCACTGTGAATAATGGCCTTACTATTTCACAACTTAGTTGTGGTACTTACAGTGAACATATGAATCATTTCGCATACTTTTAGTCGAAATAATTCCAAGTAAAGGCTGATGAGCAACACTTTCAATCCCCACAGATTTAAGCCAATCAGGCTCAATGATCCCCACCAGGTACTTAGTAAGTCCCTGATCAGTGTACGGCTGGGTCAGGTTGAATAATTCATTGGGGCTCTTTCCAGGCAGTGCCACGGTTCACTAAAATATCAAGCACCGCGCGTGACATACAAGTCCATCAGGGCCTTTGTCAATGCATGCCCAATGGTATGTGTAGCGCAATAAAGGCCGCACATGTATTTATACGCAGCTATACACGGTGTCAAATGAAACCACAGGAGGCAGGCTGTTATCCAGAAGTCACAGCTAGGCAGACTCCATGAAGATGTTAATTTAAAGTCAGGACTACCACTGAAATATACACACCAAAAATTCATTCCTTATTCGCCAATGTCGTAAATTACACCACAAATACCCAATTTGTTTGTTTTGAACCATGCTAGCAGTAACCAAAATTGGTGAAATTTCTTTACAAAATGATTGAAATTTGTCCATCATGTTTTCTTTTATTGATGCCTTTACAGTTACAGATATTGCAAATTCATTAATTTCCAGAGTTCATGAGTTCATGAGCCAATTTTAATGCATCAGACTATTTTCAGAGAACATACTTAGATCTGTCATCAGTGTCAATATGACAATGTAACCTGAGACCCAGTTTTTGCCTGCAAGACTCATGCATGTTTGATCAGTGATGACACAAATGACTTCTCAGTTATCAAAATAAAAGCCCATAATACTGTTTGACTGTTTGTACCAGAGCATCAGAAAAGTAATTCAAACATGCGACACTATCGCATGTCCCGTCCGCTAGCATCAACTGATGCATTAAAGTGATGCCAAGCAGAACTAATAATGTTTGATTTTAATCCAAATTTCCTTCACTGTGTCACAGCAAACAAACCTGCTTAAAATAACTCTTCCCAAACAAACTTGGAATGACAGCGAGTTGAATTTGTTTTATTTCTGGCCTACAAGTGAAAAATAACACCTATGGGTACCGGTACATGCCCTACTGTAGATATTTACCACAAACTTACACTACAGTACATTGTACATCTTCAAATCTATATATTTAAATTTTTGGATAATCTACTGAGACAAAACTAGTTATCTATCACCTTCATGGCATTGCTTAACCAGTTAGCAGAAAAAGTGTGCTAATTTACTATTTTAGCAGAAAATTGTGCTAAGATGGCAGCTCATGAAGATTTACGTTATGTTATGGACTAGATTATAAAGCAAATTTTCCGCTTGATATTGGGATACATTTTACCATGGTACCATTTGGCAGCTACATGTACATTGTACATGAATTTCAGCCATGGCCCAAGAAATTTTTTGTGAGTTCAAGAAATTCAGTTAAAAAGTAAAAGCCAATTAATTTTGTGAATGTATACATGATTAAAGTAACAGTGTATGAGTATTCTGAACCGAGTGCTAATTCAGAACTCAGCAGGAAGTCCGCTACTGGATAGAATATCTTTACACTGGCAACAAATTAAATTATACTTCACAGCATGTACAGCCCAACAGACTCCTTCAATTTTCTTTCTTCAAAACACTGCAAGAACTTTGAGGTAGCATAATAAATATCTAGCAGCGCAACTGTTTTTCAAGCAGTAAACAGCCTGAACCATTTCACACTCTCCTTTGTTGAGTAGAAACTGGATTATAGGCAGGGGTCACATAAGGTCTCGGTATATTACTCCAGGGTGAAAAAACTGAACTGTGGTTACTTGTGAGTGAACGTTTGTATTAGGGAGTATTGGGCTTGAGGTTGAATGCTGTCTGGGTGGTAATAGATTATTTCCATGATGAGGAAAGTCTGCACAAGGGTGTGGTGCGGTAAAAATCAAGTTCAATGACTTGAACCAGGACTTAAGTTCCCACAAACATTTCTCTTTGTTGTGTAACAATAAATTTGTTGCTAATGTTTTTTGTTCTGTGGCATGCAGCGTTCTTATTAGGAATTCTTCCACACTTTGCTGTCAGATGAAATACATACCCGGTACATATGCATACAATGTATGTGGTTTTGGGTAGATCCAGACATTGTGAGAACCACAATATCACAGCACTTACATGAGGAAAGAAATAAAGCAATTGGGCAACATGACGCATAGCATTACAAATACAATTCTCTGTCGGTACGGTAAATATTCATAACACGATTAATTTTGTGCTGTTATCTGCCCTGATTTAACAACTTGCACGATGTGTGCATACAGCCCTATGCAAACATATCATTAAAGTCTATCAGTCAATTGTGTGGTCTGTCAGTGTCAGGTACATTAGCTTTTTCTCCATTTCTTTTATCACAAATAAACATGTATCTCTTCACACAAATGCTATTAACATTGTATGTCAGCACTCATGTTACAGCTGATGTCCAATTGTTCAATTTGCCAAAATCTATATCGCAAAAATGCCATTCTCATTTCAATATAACCCTAGTATTCCCAATCAACTACATTATTTCAATATAGATTTTCCCATATTTTTTTGTGTAGTGGAGTGCCTTAATCTTTGGTAAATATCCTCCCAATTGCTGTGCAATTACACACGGACACAGTTCCTGCACGCAGACAGCACGTAAGTCAATATCGGAATCATTTCATATTATCGACCGAGGAGGGGGGGGGGGGGGTACAGTGTAGGCATTCATGCAGGCATTTTGTCTATGTGAGTGACCGACAATTATGCTGGCTGGGGGGCAAGGGAGGGGAATTCAAGAATGGTTTGAAGTAAACCATGTGTAAACAGTCTAGTCTGGACAGTACAGCTGCCTGTTTGCTACACTGGTAAATATAATATATGAAGCAATTTTGTGATGTAAATTACCATACACAAAAATGATGAAAGAAAAATTATCAAAATTTACAGTGTAGGCTAAACATTTTCTTTTTAAAGCTCCAGTGTAAAATTATGGTTTTTCAAATTTGCAACCCTGACATTTAAAGTAGACTTGTTGAATTAGTTTAAATATTTAAAGGGAATGTACATCATTGGCTTTTGCTGTAATGTTCAGAAATGAACAATTTGAGAGGTTAGTATAATAGATCAAATATTGTCACACTGACATTTTTGTGTTCGAAAAGGTTGGAAAAACCAAGAAAAACAAACATGTTCAAGTAGTCTGGTTCCCTGACTCCACAAAAGATAAAATGGGTCAATTTATAGATGATGGAAAATTGTAGGGCAAGGGAACCAGTCTAGCTGGCCTGCACCCGTTCATGAACATGTAACCAATAGCAAACAAAATTTGGACTGAAAAAAATGGTAAATTTGGAGCAGTAGTTGAAAAATAGTTAGGTTTTTCCAACGCTGGTCGGCCGATAACCGTTGGAAATGTTTACAAAAATACCATTTTCTTGAAAACGACTTCACACCTGGTGCTATAATTTTACAAGATGCTTGAGACTGTCATTTACCAACATCCTAGTAAGGTATTTCGTAAAATTAGTAGTTTTATTTTTTGATGTTTGCAAATGTTGTATATTCCCTTTAAGCAATCACTCTTTTAACTGTTTAGGTCATTCCTTTCATCAGGATACACCCAAAATTCTCACATTTTCCTATTCCTCATACACAATGGTTGACCTTAATAAATGCACATATTTTCAATGATATTTAATCAAACCTATGGCCATTTGCCAAGCCTTTTTTAGTTGACAGATGTGACATTAGTTCTGTGGGACTTACATCCTAACTTTTGCATACATGTATACACCTTTGGTGACTCTATACAAAACAGCACTGTGATTTGTAAAGAGGCAAAAGGGCCTATGGGCTCTGTGCACAGACCCCTTAAACGGTCAGAAAAGGAGAGATGGGGCCGGGGAGACCAAGACTGGTTCCTGGTCCACCACTGCGTATTCCAAATGATCCAAAGTTATTGAGGGCGGAGATTAGTCTGGGAGACCATTGCAAGGTAAATTTGAACGTATTCGCCCGCCGATGACATCTGATGCTCACACGCGAAGTCACTATGGCTTAGTTTTGTGCACATTCAGGCCTCAGGATAAATAAGTCATGCGTACTTTGTGCGCAAACCAGTACAGTACGCACACGCAGTGTCCCGTCCAAGGGGCTCTAAAAAGTGGTAAAAAGGCACATTCTTTTATTCAGGTCCAACAGTGACAGTAAATATGAATAATGTGATTCCACCTCCACTGGCATACTTATATATGCCTATTTTCACAGGCATCGTAGAGGAAATAAATCGAACCACTGCCAACATTTTTTCAAAGACGGCACAATTCAGGAAAGTACGTGAGCAATCTCTATTCTGACATTCCATTTCGTTTAAACGTTTTGGAAAATGTGTAAACAGATTTAGAATTGTTTTTGTGTAAACGTTTAAATGTGTACACGTCACATCCTTACAAATCACCCAGACGACATTGAAATAATTTATGCTAGGGGGCCTACTTCCTTCATTTATCCTCAATCCTCCATAATTTGCGCAGTATGTCATGTATGTAAAGGCGAGAGCGTAGAAATAGGATTGCGTAGTTGACGATAATGCATGCTTGAATTCCAAATTAATTTCAAATCAATGTCATCGTACTTTTCGTAGGCCTATTTGGTGAATTATGATCATAATCCTCAAGGCGTCAAGCTCAATCATTCAACGCCAGTGCAAGCTCACTACTGTCGGAAAAACGTGTCCTACCGATAAGAAATGTATACAGATTTATATGCAATAGGCCTACCCATTGCAGTTGCACAAGACACCGTCAAGATCCCGAATTCAAAAACTTTCTACATGAACTGATGAAGGCCTTCCCTTGGCCTTACAACTTACACCATTCGTGGGATAGTTTATATTCGCCCACAATATATATCAAATAACCCAGTATTAGCGGCTAAAAACGTATCTTACTAGTTCATGAATACTGTAGAAATTCGTAGTTCCAATGAAATCTTACCTTCAAGTTTGTAAAGTGTTGAAAAGCGATGGCAAATGTCTTGGAATTCCGAAAGTTTCTGTACGATCGAATCGGCTCGACGCAAAGATCCCATGCGATATATTGCGGTGTGTGTACGTTGTACATTGTGTATAGTGCAGTGTAGTACGTTTTGTACGCCCCATTCTCGCACAACACAAAATAAAACCGCAGAGTCGTCTATTGAATGGGGGCTCCCACCTTAACTTCATGCCACAACAAAGTCACCAATATTGGGTTTAACTAAGCCTAGTATCCAGCACAAAAATATCATAAATGTTTAAGTTATCATTTTTACTTGCACACATTTTAACACCAATTTAGAGTCCCATTTAGCTAAAAGTGAGTGCGTCCCTCCCGTAATGTTCCCAGAAGTTTACCTCCGTACAACTTTGGTTTCGACTGGCTGGTTTTAAGAGGCCGCGCACTTGTCATCTCTCTCGCAAAGAACTCACAACAAAGGTTTGTAGAGCTATAGTGAATAATTTACTGAAGAGCCACTTATTAAAGCGGGACTTTAAAGTCGATAACTCTTTTGTGGTCTTATTTTGACAAGATGACTCCATGACTCATGCTGTTACAGTTTCCGAGAAGTTTTTTTTTTTAAACATGAACCACCATGGATAAAGTGACTGGATTAAGGAAGAGTGGTTGGGGCGACTTATATTTTCAGTCTTTATGGCAGACTATTTATTATACTACACCTTTACTTGATGAAAACAATGTGAAGTGATAACTCATATGCAATTTTTTTTTAATTCCTGTTTTGTACAGTTCCATTTATTTTTGGCAATCAAAAAGACTACTCTAAACTCACAGTTAAGTCTTTAAAATAAAATAACAGTTTTAGAACTGTGACTGTGCTACTGCTAGGTGGATGGAGAAATGAGTATTTCTTCTTTTAGTTTTACCAGTTGAATTTTGTATGGATGTGTTTTTTCCTCCAGTACTTAATACCATTTTTGCGTAACACATCATGAAACTTGTTGTTTTCGGAATTCGTAATCATTTAATTAGAATTTTGGCTGGTGTCAGTAAAATATGGTGTCCCGTCATTTTGACGTAGATCCCATGGTTTTCCTAATGTTGACATTCTACAAAAACCAATTGCACTGAACAAACAAAGGACAAAAACACAAATCAAAGTGTAGTTCCAACTTCTCCTCCATAACTCATATTTAACTTGAACATTTAATCACACTTGGTTGTTTTCCAGAAACAGAATCTAAAACTGCAAACAAAATTTCTTTGTTTCAATAAATAACACATTTTCCCCCATTAAACTCAACTTGAAAAAATAGTTTGTCTTAGACATTAGTTGGGACAGTTAGTAAACTGACAAAGAATGTATGATTTATAAGGACAATGGCTATGCCAATTAGAGTCTATGGTAAAAGTTTTAATTAGTTTAAAACATTTTGTCAGAAATCTTTTTACACAAGCACTGTGGTCAAATTTAAGCTGCAAAAACCTCCCAAAAATCCAATAGCACATCAAGAACTCTTTCACAATCCATAGAAAATCTGTAGGTAATACCTGTTCATCAGATGTAAAAAATACATTAATTCACACTTTACAGTAATATGTACAAGAAATAATGTGTCAACGACAATGATACCTTACATCTTTAATGTGGAATGTACATACATGAAATTGCATGATTCTGAAAGGGAGAAGAGAATTATATATACAACCCCTCCAAAAGAATATAAAATTGAAAGTGTTGTAGTGGAGTCCATCACAAGACTTAACAAGTCAGTCATTATTCACAAGTCCATCACAAGTCATCAAGTCAAGTCACAAGTTATTCAGATGAACTGAGACAAAGGCATTCCTTTGATATTAATAATTATAATAATAATTTATACATTTATATTGTGCAAAATCCATATGAATATGATCAAATGAGCATCACAATTATTATCCCTGTTCATCAGGAATAATCAAATCACATTTATTTTCCTCTTCATGACAGAAATGAAAAAATAATGTAAGTATTGAAACAAAATATAAAGGCCACTAGAGGTGGCAAAACCTTAAAAGCATAGCTTGTATCAGGCATGCCATTACACAAAACAGACGAATAATAACAGAAAAAACAATTACACACCTGTATAATTCTAAGAATGAGACCATTTTTTTCTGTAGCAACTCGAGATCAGCGCAATTTGGTCTCTGCCTTCACAGGTACCCATTTCTACTCCTGGGTGGAGAGAGGCAACCGTAGTAAAGTGCCTTGCCCAAGAGCACAAGCACCGTGTTCCCCATCAGGGTTCGAACCCATGTACCATGGTATCAGGTCGAACACCGTAACCATTGGACCACAACACCCCACTGGATATTGTTGTACTGTAACTTATTTGTGACTGGATTTGTGACTGGACTTGTTATGGTCTAGACAACAACATTGAAAATAATGCTGCACAATTTGGTCTCCACCTTCACAGGTAGAGACTTGTTTATTCTCAAACATAAAATTTCTTTTCCTCTGCCCAACTTCTTTTCCATTTTCAATTAGACAACTACAAATGTTGCATTGTAAGAAGCCGGTACTGATGCGCTAACATTCTTTTATTTCAAGATCACAACTCAATGTCATCATTAAAATCTCCTTTTGAGTTGATAATAGAGAATCTATTCAAGAAACAGCAATTTTATCACAACTCAATTCATCATTCAAGGTTTGGCCATCTTTTCTTAAATACTGAAATATTGAGTTGCATGTTAATTCACGTTTTAAGGCAGAGGCGAAATTTTGTAACAATCTCCACTTTTTAAGTTAGCTTCTTTGGTACTTACAGTTTACAAACATTTACATCAGGAAATCTGAAAAAAATACTGATTTTTACAACATTCTTTACTTCCACAGTTTTTTTAATTATATAGAACTTTAAGCCGAACAAAATTCAATCTTTCAATGTTCAATCATGTCTCTCAAAATGTCGTTGGAAGTCAAAAATGTATACATCACTGCAAGTTTCAAGATAAAATTTTGCTTCCAGGGATAGATATTTGCACATCGGGTGAAAACTCTTCTCTTGTAGAAAATTTAAATCAGCCATCTTCAAATCATGTATAGTGTGGCTTTGCTTCAATTTTGCAATTAAAACACTACAGTAAATAGCCTTAGCCATAGATATGCTTGTATGGACACGTCTATAGCTAGACATTAGATACATGCATCTATGGAAGCCACTGAATCCACTTCCCATAGACACATGCATTAGTGCCAGCCATAGTCCAGTGATTTGCACACAGCCGTACTGTCAAACCAAAGAGACTACTGTCAGCTGCCATCTTTGCTCTTCCTCCAAAGGGGCGTGGCTACAACATTGGTGGCCCTTTCCACCGTGATGTACTCATCAGCTCTATCTGCTGTGTTGTAGAATGCCCGCAGTTCCTCAATAGCCTTTTCCTCAATCTACAGTCATAAGAAAAAGAAAAAGCATTCATCTTTGGAACAAGAAATGGATTTCTTCGATTTGTACACATTCTCAATCCTTCGCTACTCAATTGATGAATTTAATATTCTCAACTTTCCACAGATCGATCGAAGAGAAATTTCCCACTACGCAAGCACTGTCAGCTGCTTTCCCCAGTAAGTGAAAATGCACAATATAAATTCTGCTATTGTTTGCATCTTCCATTTTGCAGTTCTTGTACAGAAATCTGTTGAACTTGTAAAGTTATAAATATTACCTCAATGAATGTACTTAGATTCATTCAATCTTGTTTTTTTGTGTAACTGACTTATCAAGGTGAAAGTCTTAATCCCCTCATATGAGATTATGATTAGGGATAGACAATTATCATTTGAAAATTGAATAATTGTCAAACTTGGAAATACTGGAAAGGGCAATATGATTTTTTGACGTAAACTGACAAACAGATCACTGATTTGACTTGGTGCATCCCAAGTACTGACAAAGCAATTCATCAACAATGGCAGTCTTGAAGTACCCGTGATCTGGCCTAAGCTTGTCAAGTGTTCTGTTTACCTGGATGAGAGAGAACGGTTTCTTGAGGGTCCTGGCCAGCGTCTCTCGCTCTTCCGTTTCCGTCTTGATGATCTCGGAGAGGCTGACTTGGGTGGTTGGGGGTGAAGTGGCGCGGTGATGCCAAGGGCTGAAAGAACGAAAGTAGGATTATGAGATCAGGTGGGCATGTGGTATTATTAGTGCTTGAGACCTATGATCAGGTGGTCAGGGGTTTGAAGTTAACTTTAAATTCAGCTGCTTGCTTTGCAATGCGTCCTTGAGCAAGGCGCTTAACCCAAATTTACCTCTCCCCACCCAGGAAGATAAAAGGGGTTCTAGCTTTATCTTGGGAATGATCTGTCATGCAGCAGCAGTTTATCCGATTGCTGCCACAACAAACCAGGCTTGGACACACTTTCAATTTGCTTAAGTTTTACTTTACCAAACAGTTGAAGACTTTTGTTTGCAATTACACACTCATTTGTGCAACAACGGGGGTGTTTGTGGGATAAAGTTCTTCAAGTGCCCCATGCAGGGGGATTTACTAATATATTTGGAGTGTTATTCTTGTAACACCTTAAGAAATCAAAGTAAAATTCAATTTTACTGGCCGACATAATATAACCTTCTATTTTATTGTCAAGCAGTAAAATACATCTTACTTTTCAGGCGCTTCTTTGGCACTTGCTTCTTGAGGTGTTTCACTCGGCAGGGTCACCTCGTTTTCAGAAACTCTTCTTGAGTCGTTATCAGAAACTCTTCTTGAGCGAGACACAATACCAAAACTGCAGGAGAAAAAGGTTAACACAAGCTATAGCTTCAGAGGTACAGTTTAGAGCTAGAAATTTTAACAGGTGCCAGATGACCAATATAAATGATTAACGTGGGACTCAATTGGTCAGGTTGTTAATCAATCATTAATAAATCAATCGTCATCAGTCAATGCACCCTTCAAAATCATGTAACAGCTCCCGCACTCCATCAGTCAGTTCTAATCCCTCCAATTTCTTCACATTTCTCCGCCCCCTTACCTGAACTGCTCCGGACTTCTGGATTTAGCAGGCGGTGAGGTTGCCATGGATACCGTCATATTTCCCTTGAGCCTCCTCTGTTCCTCCATCTGCACCTCTCTGAAGGATGACGGCGATGCTTGTACTGTCTTGGCTGTACTACCCCTGATTTCCCAAGAGTAAAAAACACAAAGACTCGCATTAGACAAATATTCTGACATATAATACTTCCAAGTTTTAGATATTGATATACAGTCTTTAATACAATACTTCATTTATTCAGACAGCACTACTTTATAATAATGTGCACAATGAAGTTTCAGGGATGCACTGAATAAAATAAATCAGTACCTGGATAACAAATTTTTCGAAAGCATTTTAATAAACAAATACGCATTCACATTGTATGAACGTTGCCTCAAAGACAGCAACATGAATAATAAAAGGTGGAATATGCTTGGAGAAAACCTCTTGTATATTGTTACAATTTTACCATACAAGAGGTGCTTTAGAAGAAAACCTATGTTATAAGTAATGAGAAAATTATATGTTAACCTTAAGTGTATTTTACTACCTACATGTAGATATGCTAACACTTAGTAACAAAAACGTTCTAAAATTAACTCTTCATCTAAATTCAGCACGCTCTTTTCTGTCCTCACTGGTTGTTACTTCAATGAAATGGATAGAGGCTCAGTATTCAGAAAAGTATGCCATGACTTGGGCCCAGTTACTCAGACAAGTGAAGAGAATCTCTGGTACATACCATGGACAGGCTGGAACAGATTTCTCCACTGGTGAGACAGGAGTCGGTGACGTCACGCCATCTGCTGCCCTCTCTTGTTCTCGCTTTCGCTGCTTCTGGGACTTCTTGGCTATCGGTGTCGTCATTCTCGAGGCTAGCTGGGATTTCTTGGATGACGCAGACCGAGATGCCTCTGACTGCATGATGCTGCGTAGGTCTGGACCGGTGACATCTGGCATGCTGGGACTGATAAGGACAATAATGCTCCTATCAATTAGTTTGTGAAAAGCTACCAGTTTGCATCCTCAAATGAAATACCATGTGGACTTGAAAAGTTTCACAAATTATGAACATGCTATCCATATGATCTTTAAAATATTGGTGTTTTTTTCAGGGATGGTTTTTTTCATTGTATAATTCTTATTTCTGACATTTTTCATTGTGAACAGGAGTATTTATTTCTGGTTAACAGTAGCATCTTCCTTTACAATTTGAAATCATCGTCTTCAAAATTTTGGTAGATTTGGAATATTCGGGGATTTATTTAAGGAAAAACATTCTGATTGTCCATGGGCATAATGATTGGATCATACATTAAAACCACAGCAGAGAAAAACAGGAAAATTTCAAACAATATTGCAATACTGATCAAGCCATACCTCTGCCAACTTTTAGACTGTATCTCATCTTTGCTAATGCTCTTCTCTGGTGTCTTCAGACTTTTCTTTGTCTCATCCACAGTGCTTTCTGCCCAGCCTTTCTGTATCCATCTCCCTGGAGGACTTTGTGCTCCCAACGAGGTGACATCATGGTTGCTAGGGTCGGTTGACAAGGATTTCATTGTACCATTCCCAGAATCCTTTGTAACTTCCTGTTGTTGTTTATCAAGATCTGTGATGATGTCAACCTTTGGAGGGCCAGTCGGGGAGGAAACAGAACTTGCACTAGTGGAGCTATCGCCCTGCTCAGTTCCTCCTTCATGGATTGCATCAGTTGCTAGGGTCAAGTCATCCATTTCCATGGCAACCGTTCTAGGTATCACATCAGGTAGTATACGTGTGTTTTCTCCAGACTCACTGAACGACAAACTTTTCCGCTTTCCCGTGCTGGTCCTACGGCCGGCTTTCCTCTTTGCTTTGGCCTTCTTGATGATCTGATCAAAGTCCCCCGGGTCAAAGTTGATCATGTGACTTCCTGCAACCTCTTGACCTTTGACATTGGTAGGATTGGACACCTCTGTAGAGGGTTCTTCTTCGATGTGGCTGATGTCTGGGCCTTCTTGGTATGGTGCGATGGTGCGATATGCCATGGACGGTATCTGAAATCAAATGTGATTCAAAGTAATTCAAAATATTCTGACAGCGTTTTCTTGACTTTATGTGTGTGTTTATCATATCCCTTACCATATCTTTGTAAGCCTTGGTGAGTTCCAACAGTACATCATTGCTGAGTATCTCTAGCGCCCTCGCTTCTAGGAGACAGGCCAGGTTGAGACCGATGTACTGATGGCAGGTCTGCTTGAATTGGTTGGCTTGGTAGATGGAGGCAAACTGGAGGAGCTCTGCTACGTTCCTCAGAGAAACTAGAACATCGGCAGGAGAGAATGATCCAAATCACATTCAACAGCTAGGGAGACTAGAAATGAGTTGTTCTTATTTTCTGCATATTTTTTTACAGACAGCAGACTTAAGTCATTCTCATATAAACACAAGCATTTCTTGAATGCACACAAGGCACTTGTAGCCTAGAAGATTGAAGAAACTTTTCCAAGATAATGATGATAATAAAAGGTAGTTATATAGCGTTGTTAACATAAATCAAGGCAATTATCCTCTCTCATTGGGCCCATAAAATATTCCTTACACCTTCTCAGCTACCTGGGGAGTATACAGCTCCAGGTTACCCTTTCTCATGTGAAAAAGCTTATTCAAACTCAACAATCATCTATTTCCTTACAGGTACCTATTTACTCCTCAGCGGAAGAAGCAGTTAGCGAAAAAAGTGTCTCGCCCTAGAACAAACGCATCACAACTTCACAAGCTGGACACGAATGTACAATCTGAGCTATCCAAAGATCTTGACAAGAGCACTGTCTATTTCTTCTTCTGTGCTAGAAACAAAGACTTAAAGTCTGCAATGCTAGATACACAAGCATAAACAAAGATCAGATTAAAATTGGTTTCTTACTTAGGTCAACAAGTGCCACCTCGCATATTTCCTTCAGTCGACCAATCAGGAGTTGATCAGCTGTGGTTAGAGTGTTACACAGCAACTCAACGTCAGTGGCTGTTCTGACTGAGGGAGCATCATCAGTGTAGATATACTCAAGCAGGATGGACAGGATGGGTGCTGGAAGTGGCATCTTTAAAGGATCGCTGGAACTGGCCTGGTCAAAGAATTTTTGACAGAAAAAATGACAATTTAAATTATTCTGACTTCCAACTGGCTGTATTTTTCAAATACTTTAATGACTTTACAGCCTGAAAATCATTAAAAAGGTTTAAAGGCATTCTGGTTTAAAAAAAAAAATTCAAACATATTTCTTTATGCTTCCTCCTCCCCTCCCCTAATCAAGCATAATAATCTTCTTTCATTTTCAATATATTTGTTTCTCTTTGTCACGTTGGCTTCCTGTACTTTCAGAGCATACACACAAACTAGCGGTGTAGATGTAGGTTAGGTGAATGGTGATGGCTTTTACAAAATATTGAATACTTATGACCTAAGCAAATCTGATGAAAGTGTTTTGGAGACGGCCCAACTCACCTCGATCCAGCCAGACCCCAGCATGCTCTGAAAGTACTCCAGTCTGGCAACCAGAACACACTTGTGGCAGGGGAATAGCGTGCCTTCCTCAGAGCACAGCACCACGTCACACAGCTGTGACAGTTGTCTGCGATTGAATCGAAGAGGCTTGGTGCTGGGGCGAAAATTCTGCAGGCGGCCATCTTTGAATTTCACCTGGTCCAGTCTGTGAGTTTCAAAAACAAGCTAGAATTTTAGCGACCTGACTGTAAAGCAGACTGTAAAGAGAAGAAATTTCCAGTAACAAAAACCTAGGAAGATGTAATTAGCTTATTGTATAAATGACATTATTCTACCTCTTCACAAGAGATGGCACACCAAATTTCTTGGCGACATCGATCAAACTCCACACATGGACCATTGCATCGCCTTCGTTCTTTGTCCCGCCCCCTTTCTTTGATTTCTTCCCCGCCTCCTTCCGTCCCTTCTTCTCCTTGTGTTCCTTATACACTCCGTAAGCGGACCTATGCCTGTTCTTATCAGTGATTTTTAAATTGCTCAAATCATCAGCGACGTCAAAAACAGAGTCTAGATTTTGAAACACTCCAGGGAAGGATTTCAAATTGAAGTCTGGTTTGAACACATCGCAAGTGTCTGTGTAAATGTACTGCAGTAGATGCATTAGTGTGTTGTGGTCCGTCTTATCTGAGACGTCATGGATTTCTTGGGAATCGGGTGAGAAGGGGTCAAATGGTTCAGTTGCGTCAGGAGAGTTGTCAGTGTTTGGGGGCGGAGTCTGAAGGAAGAGGCGGCGAAAGAAGTCACTGCGAAGAGCGAGAATGTATTTGTGGGCTGCGATGGAGTGATGTCCAACCTAAAGAAGCAAAGAGAAATCAACAAAGCTTTGTCTTAATTTGTGATGAATTACTACAGCTTTCAACTGTAAATGCAAGTTCTTCCTTTCTTGATAACCTAAAATTAGAGGAAGAGACAAACGGAAATGTCTCTTTGTCCAAAAAAATTCTGAACATCAAACAAACCACAAAGGGAAATTAAACAGAATTTGGAGACCTAGTCAGTTGGGGGCTGCCAACATGGAGCTGAATAGCTCAGATGGCAGAGGGCTGGTACGTTGTTCCTGAGATCCAGACATTGCAAGTTTAAATCCTGCTCCAGTCAATTTCTTTGTTTGGTAAATTTGGCTTTAAAAATGTTCAACTTTCAGTGCACGAGATCTGGAGAAACTGTCAACAAGGAATACTACAGGGGGACAACTTGCAGTAAAGTGTCAGATAGAGGCCTAATCTTAAAACCAATAGTGGACTAACCTTAAGTACAACATCATGGATACGATCTGATGTGTCAGCATCTGTGAGAAGCTGGGACAAGTGTTTCACCATCAGCGACGGGCTGACAGAAGGAACCTCAGTCAAACTTTGAAACAAAGGGAAAAATTGTGAAATATACATTTAGGCAGTACTCTGACAATTTACAATCCATTAGCATCTTGTAACTGCAAATGTAGCTCAAATGCAGACAAAATATGTCCATTCTTGTCTTTACGAAAAGAGGATGGTGAACTGAAACCAATAATGTTGACCACAGTGTAATTTTTAAGCACTGAAAACTCGGTACCATCCAAGAGATGGCAAGTATAGTGCATGTAAACCAGGGTCACTGAAGGGCAATATTAAAATTTACATCTCTGTGACGCAATAACTTTCAACCGACAGGTCATTGTAATGTTGAAATGCACAATACCTTGCTTTAGGGTCAGCTTGCAGCACAGCAAAGTTGAGTCCGTTAGGGCCACACGCCACTCTGATGGCTCTATGAATGACAGGTAGTCTGTTGAGACTAACACGGTCCATCTCCTCGTGGTCACAAGACCAATCCTTGGATTGGGTGGTGTCACGAGGGGGTGGAGGAAAGGCTGGGTGTGGGGAGGAATCTGGATGATGGGATTACAGAAATGAGTATATCAATATTAGGTTTTTTTGCCCTTCACGGACGTATAAACAGTGTATACTCAGTGTGTTACCTCCCGAGTGAAAGTTAGAAGAAAAAAGATCATTCGGGTGGGACTCGAACCCACGACCTCCTGTTTTTTAGTGCAGATGTCTTACCACTCGACCACCAAGCTTGCAGGATCGGTAGGCTGGTTCAAATCTGATATGGCAGCGGGTAGCGCAATGAAATGAGTATGATAAAAAAATACATCAAAGTCTAGTGGACCTGTTTTATTTTGTACGAATAAGAGCTGTGGTCAAGTATGGATGTAGAATTAATCGGTGAGAAGTTTTTTGCTAAACCCACCGATTGTAAGCAACTACAAGTACTTTACTACAGGTAACTGTGATCAATTTGCTGCTTCAAAGATTTCATAAGCAATGTCTGCGGGCAACTCGAAGCAACTGTTTGCCCTTTATAGCCAACTGAATGAGAGAAACAAAGAACAAAATCTGGCTTCATAAAGATGTTACTCTAGTTGTGAGATGCTGGCCATGTACCTAACAAAAGATTTCATGGATGCGACAGAGCCAGTACCTTTGATGTGACTTGACGATGAAGGCTTCCTCCCGAGGAACCTTCCGTGGAACGCCTCCCCTTCTTCTGTGCAGAACAGAACCCCTTGACGGCTCAGCGCGACGTCTGACATAAAGATCTGGCGCTTGCGGGTCCAGGTGCAGCGTCTCAAGGTGCGACTGCTTGACCGCCAGTTGTACACCTATGAGTAAAGGGAAGTTTGTTACAAGGCTTGGTATGGATTCATAGAGATGACTTGCAATGACTTGTAATTGACTTGCAAAGACTTGTGATGAATGTGAAGACATGTGAGCACTTGCAAGGACTTGCGAGGACTTGTGAGGACTTGTGAGGACTTCTGAGGAATTGTGAGGACATGTAAGGACTTGTGAGGACTTGTTGGGACTTGTGAGGGCTTGTGATGATGGTTGATGACTTGCGATTGACTACAATTCAGTCAGTAGTGGATAACCTTTATTGTTGAGATTACCTGACCACTCTGTTTCAAGACCAACAGAATCAGCTCTGTCCCTCCTTCCTTCTGTAGCGTTCCATCACTGAGATCGGAGTCCAGGGTGCCACCGCTGGCGACAATCTTCATTAAGTTCAGTTGCCTGTGTGAAAGTATACCAGAGATCAACAATGCCAACATTTATAAGCTTTCAGTGTTTTTGCCATGTCTTCTTGAGCAAGACAGTTTATTGTAATTGCTTCTTTTTACCCATCACAGACTTGGAAGTGGTATTACTTTTTCTGCATAAACTGCCCAAGGTGTTGCCAACAGGCAGTATAATGAAGACTAAAACATTTAGAAGCAGTTACACATTGGTCAAAGGTAAATGAAATGGCAAAGTGAGTGGATATTCAGACATGCTTTATAGTTTTGTAAGAAACTTTATAGTAATTCAAAAACAATGTCATACATACATATTATTGGGTAAAATATGCTGTGAAAGTGGCAATATAGGATATACTCTGCAGAGTATACAAGGGTTGAACTAACTGGAGTATTTATTTCATATCCTAAAAGCACTATAACTAAATCTATATTCACCAAAAACAAATAAAACTTCTTACTTTGAAGCAACTTTGCGACACTGGTACTCGTTCAGCACATAGATATCACCAGCCTTGGTTGCACACACTGTGGCGGCATCACTGGTAGCTATGTGGGTCAGCTCCACCTTGTCATGATGCAAGGTGGTCACATGACGCGGCGAGACAATGTACTTCTCACCTTTGACATGACCTGAGACAAAGATATTGAAATCGAGGAGTTATAAGCATCCCTCAACGAAACACCCCATCCGGGTCTTCACATGGTTGGGTTTTCAGTGCCTGCCTGATTCTGTGGGTCTCCCCAGAATATTTGTCTGGGGTTTTCCTCCTACCTCTAAAACTGAACATTTCTTCACTGTTTTCCCTTTTAAGTTTAGATATCTTAGGCTTGTGAGCTACAGTGCCATAAATGTTTTTGAGGAATCCTTGGTTTCATTACCAGATTTGAAAGATTTATTAAGATCTTACCCAGCTGCCCAGCATTCAATCCAAAGGTGTAGACTTCCTCCTTTGTATGCAAGACGGAATGGAACCGACCAGCGGCCACGCCTAGCATGGTCTTGTGCTTGATCTGTTTGCTGGAGATGAACTTGGGCGTCAGGGCCTTGACACCCATGGAGGAATGGCCTAGCTGGTGATGGCTGTTCTGGCCACAGGAGAACACCGTGCCACTTTGGAAAAAGAAACGGGGTAAAAACCTTTGAATCTCAATATGCTCCACTTTTGAAGACACAATTGTGTTGACTTCATTCTTGAAAATTGCCAGATTTCTGTAACAAACTAGACCCAACATCAATAACATTGATGTTGTAGAGAGAGCTTCCAATCGCGAAATTCAGATTTGAACCAGCCAACTGATCCCGTAAGCTCGGTGGTCGAGTGGTAAGACGTCTGCATCAGAAAGCAGGAGGTCATGGCATCGAGTCCAAGCCGAGTGATTTTTTCCAACTTTCACTCAGGAGGTAACACACTGATCACCCGATGCAAATGCATCTTATGAATACCTGATAATGAAGAAAAGCTTCTTTTTAACCATCAATTCAATCATCACTTTGATTTGGATATTGCATCATTTTGGAAAGAGTTTATATTGTTTCTGACTTACTCTTCCATGAGGAACATAGTGTGGTCCCTGGCTGCAGCCACAAACTCACACACCTTCCCCGCCAGCGCCGCTACCGGGTGTGGCCTCAGGCAAACCTCCTCGTTGCCATGGCCCAGACGTCCCCCCTGGCCGTGCCCACAGGTGAAGACCATGCCTTGGCGGGTCAAGAAGACAGTGTGGAACTTGGACATTACGACCTGGCAGGCCGGGGGAAATCAAAGAAAATTATTGATGATTTATGTAATTCAAAGGAAATATAAGTGTTATAACTAAAATTAATAGCTTTCCCACACACTGTTCTCAATTAATTAAAAAAGAGCATGAAACTGATGCACCCAAGAAGGCTTGTGAATTTTTCTTGCAAGTTTTTGAAAAGCACTGAGTACAATGTATATAGTGCTCATAAAAATAACATCAGTGAAAGGCAATATCCAAAAATAACATCTCCCCCACGCAACTTCCATTATGCAAGATACACATTAACTCATCAGTTAATCTTGTACTGTAAGTTTTTGTCATATGAAATTTGTGTCAAAAGATGTTAATTTTACATCATGGGTTCGAGTCCTACCCGAGTAAACTTGTGAATTGTTTCTAACAAGCCAGTCTGGCAAAACTGATTATATGGTGTTTACAAAGACGTCGGCGAAAGGCAAAACCCAATATAACATTGTACTTTAAGTGAATTCCAGATTTGTGGAAAATTTGACAATTTGAAAGCAGCAGCCCAAATTTAACTGTTTCAATCCATGATGTCTGGGCAGTTTTATGTCAATTTTGTCCCACCCTCTGCAAGACTTGAAATCACGTTTTCTTATCTACCTGCTTGATGCTCAGTCCATCTTTACCAAACTGATCCACAATGTCTGGCTGGCTACGGCTCTTCCCTCCGCCGTGGCCAAGGGTGAAGTTGGCGTTGCTGCCCCACGAGTACACCTGAGTGGGTCCCCTAAGGTCGTAGTCTGCGTATCGCGGGTGATCCTTCATGGCAATCTCTAAGGGAGTCAAGTCCTCATTGTCATGCTTCTCCAGACTCGCCCCATGCTGGCCAAAAAAAAAGCACAAAGATAATGTATGTGTCTACACTAGGTTCAGAAACTGACTGGGATGTGAGGTCAGGGGTTGTAGATCCATACATGTAGGTTGCAGCAGATCCAGCCTGGGACCTTGAGCGCAGAAAAACATGCAAAACAAAATCAGGCCAACTTTACTCACTCTTTATCCAACAAAACTCTCCAAACTTTTCATGAGGCAAAGACAAGGTCCTAAGTATTTCACCAGCCAAGTCTGAGGTATCAAGTCAATTTTTAAAGGAGACTTTTCTTTAACATTTTGCACTTGAGAGTGAAGCCAAGTGATTTCAATTTGAAGCCTAAGACTAGACTGGTACATGTCCAACTTTTTTGAGAAGTTTGATCCTTCAGTAGTCTGGTTCTTGGTTCTTGGTTCTTGGTTGGTTCATCTCCTAAATATTCCACGTGGGAGTTTATACAGGAGGCCAGAAACACCGGGGCAAACCCCTTCTCTTAGCGATAAGTGTTTACTGGGTTCTTTTACGTGCATTTATGCAACACACGGGACCTACGGCTTAACATCCCATCCGAAGGACGAAGCAATAATGGTTAAGTGCCTTGCTTAAGAGCACAAGTGTCCGCCGGCGGGCTCGAACCCACGCCACTGTTGCCTCTGAAACACCAGAACATGAGTCCGGTGCTCTTAACCGCTAGGCCATGACACTCTGGTGGCAGACTATGGAAATGTGTGGGAATAGAGACTGGGTACAAGATGTTCTTGTAACGCAAAAGTATCCAGTTCAAGAAACACAAAAGGCCCTTTCTTTGTTTTAAAATCTTACTTGCTCAGCAATTTTTGCGTAAGAGTGAGACTAATAAAGTACATTTGTAGTTGTCATTCCCAAAGGAATGGACAATTCCAACTACTAAAACAACCTATTTTAGACCGCTAACTCACATTGATCAGGTACACAGCCGCTATCACCTGAGCATGGAAGATGCTCCTGTGAAGAGCCGTCCAGCCAGATTCCAGATCCTCGGCCCCCAGACCGGCATGCCTCTCTCTCAGCAGCCAATCAATGATCTCGAATTTGCCGCAGGACGCCGCCATGTGCAAGGCCGTGCGGCCAAACTTGTCTGCCACGTGGGCCGCATTCCGGCAGCCTCTGGTGAAGTAGGTTTTGATCTGATGCGGGGTCCCGCGAGTGACCACTGAGATCAGGTTGGAAGCACAGCGGGTCGAACGGCACCGCGATGTGCAGTCCGCTTCCAACATAGGATTCATTGCCTCGGCTACACCAATAGTATGTCAAATAACATTACCAGACTTATAATTATTTGAGAATGAGATTTAAACCGGCAGTCTCTAACATAAGCTTAGAGGTGCAATACAGGTTGTCCAACATGGTATCTCATTTGTCTTCTCGCACAGTGAACCGAAGACTTTGTTTCGTCAAGAAATGGCGGAGCATGGCCTGAGATCTCCAACTAGCCTGGAATGTATCACCCTCTACAGCCCTTGAGCAGCCCAAAAGGCTGGCCGGGGCTGCTGCTGCTTTCAGGCCTCCATAATTGCAGGTGATTCAAGCTGTAATAATGTTCAAAGAGAAAACACAAATTGAAAATGAATAGATTTAACCATGATCTTTACACCATATGCTTAAGTTCTTGTGTGCAAATGTTAACTGTTATTGTAAACAAACTGACTTTTTTCTATACAAAGACAACAAAATGACGTGATATTCTACTCTGAAAACTGGATAATTAAACAAATCCTTCGTCAAAGGATTTATCCTGATAACAGCTGTCCTCCAGACGCTCTCCAGTTGCGTAAAGTTGGATGACAGTGCAAACTGTTGATGGTACAACTAACTAGTAACATTTTCCAATTTTCACTGCATTCAATTTCAAGGTGGAATTATAACCAGAAATTGTACAGTTTGGCAGAAAAGTTCAATCAAAAAACTAATGAAACAAATAATATAGGCCATGTGTAGGCCCTTTTTGTTTTATAAAGTTTTAATTTAAGTTAACTTAACAACAGATTTACAAAAGATTAATTGAAAATCCGTCATAACTACCCCTACTGTGAGTGTTCATCAGATGCTCAAGTGTGGGCGTGTTAAAGGCTACTCACACTATCAAAAATACAATCGGGGGAGGGGCCTAGCCAAAGTGTCATAGTGTTTGTGCATCTGTCAGTGTCAATGTCTGTCCGTCCACTCCCCAACTAACTGAAATTATACCGTCTATTTCCGTCATATTACCCTTTGTTATTCCATGCTTGTTGCGCCACTTGCACTGGAGATAGCAAGAAGACCACAGGAAGAACAGAAATGAATTTCCATCGTCTCAAACTGTTGGCGGATGAAGTCGAAAAAGTGCCACATGGACGGTGCCATTTTGGAACGTCATTACACAAGCATGAAAAGCGCCACCAACAGTCGGGATTTCGCAACCGTGATGACTCCACCGAAGCTGGGAGAAGGTCAAATTCCTGCCGCTTTGTATTATATAATTGTGCACCTTTGTTTTAAAAACTATGTTATCGTCCTTCAAATGACAGCAGAGGTGCTGTGCTCTTTTGGCTTCCTATAGAAGAAGTACACAATAGAAATCTTGGCTTTGTGCGGGGAGCAGTATATTTAGCCACACCCCAATTGACTAGACCCGCCCACCTGCATTGCTCGATCATCGTCATTGCCTCGTTTTGGGGCAATAATTTTCTGTGCTGCGTACGCGTTTCCGTTAAAAAAAATAGCCAACTTCTTTTATAAAGTAATGTTAAGTTGTGAGCTAAATGGGGAATTTTGAATTTTTCCAATTGATTTACTTTTTTGAAAAAAGTACATTAGCCAAGTGCACATGATGTCATGTATGATCGTGAATTTTCTCCTGCAAATTAAGATAATATTTTCATGAATCCAGTTTCAAATCATAGATTAAATTAATTTTTCAATATTTTTGTTGTCCTGGAGCATAAATAGAACCCCCCCCCCCCTCCAAAAAAAAATCCCCAATATGAATGGAACAACTCAGCGCGGCGTTCGCTCAAACTCCCCGCCCTGTTTGCAGTGCGGGATTTTATGGATAGACCGGTTGGGGCCAAGTCATGAATAATTCAGTATTTTGATCGGCCAGTATGTTTATTCATTAGAATAGAACGATGATATTGCGAGCGTTGTTGTTATTTAGTCAACCCGTTACATTAAAGCATTTTAAAGAAGGTCTTCGTCGAGCTACCACATAGTAGCCTAGGCCTAGTGGCCAGCGAGATGACCAATGAATGTATGATACAAAGATCCCTGGTTCGATTCCACGTCGCCGCTGATCATTTATATTGTCTATTTTTCTTCTCCAAATTTATCGTTGAGATAATTTTTTATTTAGGCCTAGTCCAGTGGGCCAGCCCAAGTCGAATATTACACTTCCGACGGCATTTTGGGTATTAGCAGGCAACCATGTCAGATCAATCAGTCAAAGGATGGAGAAGTAAATGTGAAAGGAGGATGCCACCTAAGTTAATTTTGACCAAAGATACATAATTTGCATAAATTGCTAATCCCTGCCGTGATATATATTTATTTCCCATTATTTGGGTTTATAACACTTCACCCACAGATTCTGCGCCTCGGGAAAATGGAATGTCCATGGATACCTTCGGGAGGCTAGTTTTACTACACCACTCGAAACATTCAACATTTTGTATAATATTCTTCTTTTTTTTCTTCATTTTTTGACGATAAAGTGGCTACTATACCCCCCCAAAAATCGAGCATTTACTTGTCTCCAGATGTCATCAAGTAGTCTTGCCAAAAACCTCAGTATTGATGAGCTTTAGCACCAAGCTGCTTACTGTCACAGTTACCCTATTGAAATTGTATGGAAAATCATGTGAAGAATAAAAACATTGTGATATTTATCTCAACAAACAAAAACGGAAGAAAATGAGCTTGCTGTCCGTAAATTGGGCTTAAATTAGGCGAAAGGTCGCCTAACGTGGGAGACTTGAATAAGTTCAAGGAAATCCCCCTCCCCAAACAAAAAAAATTGCTTGCAATAATTATGTCAATGTCAAAATGTTTTCTTTCAATTTTCTTTCCAACTATTTGTTGGGAATTTCCTTGAACTTTTTTAAGTCTCCCACGTTAGGCACCCCTCCACTTATTATTGGGCCAATTAACAGACACCTCGTTTTCCCCCGTTTTTGTTTCCTGGGCTAAATATCACAACGTTACTATTGTTCACATGATTTTCCACAAGGTTTTAATAGGGTAACTGTGCAGCAACTTGGTAAATTTGAAGCTCATCAAAACACGGACACTCCGCATTATCGTCATCAAGTTCCAAAAGAGGGCGCGCTACATAAAAACTGGACACAAGTGCGCCGACTTCTGTCCATTCGCGATGTAAACAAAGTTATTGTTAGCTAAAAAAATCAAGAAAAACACATTGCATTGAACCTATCTTGCGTCCAATATTTTGCCATGATATTTGACACAATAATCTAGAATAATGACAGAAACCCTGAAAGAATGAATGTAATACAATTTAAAGAAATTGCAGTATACAGACACTCCGTATTATCGTCATTAATTTCTTCCAAAAAAATAAACATGAAAAAAAAGGAAAACTGCTGCAAACTGCTTACTGAACTGGATGGACCTGAAATATATAAATCTTAAAATTAATGTGGCCTGACGTTGCGAACTTAGCAAGTTCTTCTTCAGAGGCTAAAACAGAAATGACATAGGTACATACATTAACATGGGGGTGCACACAAACATGCAGGGCTGATTGAAATTATGCATTTAAATATTTTACAACAAATCGTTGAAACGATTGAATTATTAGTGTTAGTATTTTATTATGTTATTATTATTGTGTTAACAGAACTTTGCAACAAAATCTTGCAAGTATATAGACATATCAACCAGACAGAACTTGGATGTTTGAAAGTTAGCAAAATGTGGAAAGCTTTTTCGTGGAATCGTTTTACCATGTATGCAATTTGAAGAATTATAGTCTTATTGATGTCAAGTTCTGATCGAGTTTTGATCAAATTTAGCCCAAAAAAATGACTTTTCTCCAAACGACTCAGAAATGTCTTTGGATGCAAGAGGAACATCAATCGACCTTCAACCGCTTAACATATTGAAGATTTGGGCAAAAATCACCGACTTATTCAGACAAAAATTAATAATTTTCACTCATTTTGAACCAAATTATCGACGCGATCTTTCTTGAAAATGCCCAATATGTCCAAAATTCCAGTTCGAATGTGCTCTAGGGACCCTCAGGCATCTTTCCTGCAAGTTTCAAGCAATTTCATTTTTCGGCCAAAATTGAAAAAAAATGCAAGGGGTTAGCCTTACTTTTTGATCAAATTTGGCCAAAAATTGACTTTTCTCCAAACAACTCAGAAATGTCTTTGGATGCAAGAGGAACATCAATCGACCTTCAAACACTAAATATATTGAAGATTTGGGCAAAAATCACCGACTTATTCAGACAAAAATTAATAATTTTCACTCATTTTGACCCAAATTATCGACGCGATCTTTCTTTAAAATGCCCAATATGTCCAAAATTCCAGTTCGAATGTGCTCTACAGACCCTCAGGCATCTTTCCTGCAAGTTTTAAGCAATTTCATTTTTCGGCCAAAATTGAAAAAAAAATGTAAGGGGTTAACCGTACTTTTTGATCAAATTTGGCCAAAAATTGACTTTTCTCCAAACAATTCAGAAATGTCTTTGGATGCAAGAGGAACATCAATCGACCTTCAAACACTAAATATATCGAAAATTTGGGGAAAATCACCGACTTATTCAGACAAAAATTAATAATTTTCACTCATTTTGACCCAAATTATCGTCGCGATCTTTCTTTAAAATGCCCAATATGTCCCAAATTCCAGTTCGAATGTGCTCTAGGGACCCTCGGGCATCTTTCCTGCAAGTTTCAAGCAATTTCATTTTTCGGCCAAAATTGAAAAAAAATGTAAGGGGTTAGCCTTACTTTTTGATCAAATTTGGCCAAAAATTGACTTTTCTCCAAACAACTCAGAAATGTCTTTGGATAAAGGAGGAACATCAATCGACCTTCAAACACTAAATATATCGAAGATTTGGGCAAAAATCACCGACTTATTCAGACAAAAATTAATAATTTTCACTCATTTTGACCCAAATTATCGACGCGATCTTTCTTTAAAATGCCCAATATGTCCAAAATTCCAGTTCGAATGTGCTCTACAGACCCTCAGGCATCTTTCCTGCAAGTTTTAAGCAATTTCATT